AATTATATGAACATGTTTGCTGATGATGCTAAGATAATAGGAAGGATAAGAAATTTAGATGACTGTCATGCCTTCAAGAAGACCTGGACAAAATAAGTATATGGAGCACCACTTGGCAAATGGAATTTAATGTTAATAAATGTCATGTTATGGAATGTGGAATAGGAGAACATAGACCCCACACACCCTATATATTATGTGAGAAATCTTTAAAGAATTCTGATAAAGAAAGAGATCTAGGAGTGGTTCTAGATAGAAAACTATCACCTGAGGACCACATAAAGAATATTGTGCAAGGAGCCTATGCTATGCTTTCTAACTTCAGAATTGCATTTAAATACATGGATGGCGATATACTAAAGAAATTGTTCATGACTTTTGTTAGGCCAAAGCTAGAATATGCAGCTGTTGTGTGGTGCCCATATCTTAAGAAGCACATCAACAAACTGGAAAAGGTGCAAAGACATGCTACGAAGTGGCTCCCAGAACTGAAGGGCAAGAGCTACGAGGAGAGGTTAGAAGCATTAAATATGCCAAAACTAGAAGACAGAAGAAAAAGAGGTGATATGATCACTACGTACAAAATAGTAACAGGAATTGATAAAATCGACAGGGAAGGATTCCTGAGACCTGGCACTTCAAGAACAAGAGGTCATAGATTTAAACTAGCTAAACACAGATGCCGAAGAAATATAAGAAAATTCACCTTCGCAAATAGAGTGGTAGACGGTTGGAACAAGTTAAGTGAGAAGGTGGTGGAGGCCAAGACCGTCAGTAGTTTCAAAGCGTTATATGACAAAGAGTGCTGGGAAGACGGGACACACGAGCGTAGCTCTCATCCTGTAACTACACTTAGGTAATTACACTTAGGTAATTATAATTACCTGTTGACGGACGGTTGAGAGGCAGGACCAAGGAGCCAGAGCTCAACCCCCACAAGCACAACTAGGTGAGGACAATATATTGTAAAAGCACAAGCCGCCGACTAGTGGCAAAGAGCACTACGCCGGCCAGGCAAAGAAGGCACAAAACTGCATCAAAAGGCCCACCTCGACAGCAAAACCACAAAGTCCCAGCACAACCACAACATGTGCCAAGACCCAAAAAGCTCAGTCTGCAAGCCAGGAAGACCCCGGAACCCCAAAAGGCAGAACCGGGTCACACGAGGAAACAAAGTCCCCTGAACCCACAAAAGGGGGCCCAAGAGGAAGAAACCTCCAGAACGAAACCAAGGAACCCAAAGGAACCAGAATCGAACCAGGGGGAGCCCAAACCACCACATTTGCCGGCGGAGAACACCACTAAAAGGCAAAGCACAGACCCCAGCAGAACGCCCTGGGAAAACGGTCCCAACAGACCGAAAACCGAGGGGCAAGGTGTGGGAGCAAGCATACCAGCCAGGGGCACTGAGCCTAAACCCAGAGGCTCAGACCCAAAATCAACACCCAAACGTTCCCAGAGGAACAGGCAACGGCAAGAAAAAAACACCAGAAAAACAAAGAAACGACAACAGGAGAACAAAAACCCTGCAAATTTTTTGAAAAACTCGCCAGAGACGCTCGCTCGCACACCCAGACGCATGTAAACAAACCGCAACGCCGCCCTGGTGGCCATGCCGTGAAACCGGCAGACGAAAAATGGCCGCCAGCAGGGGCTGTGACTGACGCTTAATACACAAAAACACGCCAGCAAATGTGGGAAGCTAGCAGACTGGAAGGGCGAAAAAACGACGCCCAACAGCAGAAAAACCCCTGAAGGGGCAAAACCGCCCCAGAACTGCTAGCAGGCAACCCCCACAGCCCCGGGAACCAACAACAGAGGCCCCGGGGCAGAGCCGTCCTCCAAGCCCTCCGCCCTTAAAGAAAAGCAAGAGCCCATGGGAAAGGCAACAAGAAAGGGCCGCTGGTAAGACCCAGAAGCCTTGGCAGGAGGCACAGGCTCAAACCTCCGTCCCCAACCCGAACGGGGCATCCCCCGAAAACCGCCCGAGTCTCTGCCGCAACTGAACCCCGCCCTGACCCCGAAACCCGCAGACGGTCCGGAGCCGGGAACATGGAGAGAAAGGGGCGAGCAGCACCTAACCAAACGGGGCGGCCACGGGCATTCGAGTGGGAAACCAACCTAGCATGTTGCAGCAACCTAACCTAGCTTGCAACACGGATGCCGCCTGTACTCTGAACAGTAATAACATCAGGAGAGTACTGGAGAACAAGCAGAGAATCACTCGCAAGACTCCGGGTCAAGGTGTCAGTGACCCAACAGGCAGCATGACGGAGGTAAAAATGGCGACTGTCACCGGAGACAAGGGAACAGCAACCAACGATCCCGTTCAAGACGGGTTGGAACCCAGAAGACACATTCAATGGTCCCCCGAGCCCAGACAGGGGTTTCCAGGGCCCGTAGGGTAACAACTACGGGAAGCCCGGGCAAGGTGTTGCTAACCGGTTAAGAAACCCAAACATAACAAGAGGGTAGATGATAGCACTGAAAACCCCTGAGACGTGTACAAGCACGGGGGCCTAGCAGAGGGCCGCCAAACACTACCAGTGGAACTATAACCACCTTAGGCAGACCCCCACCAGGCAAGAAAATGAAAAACAAAAGAAAAACCCCGCAAAAGTACACCGTCTCCAGAGGCAACAGAAACCGGCCGCCGCTTAGGTGGCAGGCTGCGCAACACCTTGACGCCCTAACCAGCACAATACCAATCCCTACCCAGGGCCAAACAAGGGCCCCAAGCCCCAGCTGGCCCCAAGGGCGAGGCAAATGCCGAGCAGCAAGAACCTCTACGGGAATGGTTCCCGAATGCCCAGGGAAGATAACCCTGTAACGCAAGGGCAGTACTCACAGGGCGCTTAGGGAAGTCAGCCACTAAGCACATGCAGCCCCGGCACTGATGAAGTACTCCTGGCCACCGCACACCACAACACACGGCAGTGAACGCCACACAAGGCAAACACCGCCTAGGAAACTGAGGCCAGAGAAGCGTCAATCCCGGTTGACATTAGCGAACGAACTGGAGCTTGGCAGCCGGTGCGGTAGGTCCGGGGCTCCCCCCTCCCCCTCCCGGGGTGGGGAGGGCTGCGCGGACGATCGGCGCGGCAGTAAAGTGTGATGTTTGCTTGTTTGCTTGTTTCCTTGGGATTGTAGGGAGTTTTCTACCTCTCTGTTCGGTTTTTGTTGTAGTTTCTTACCATGTGGGGTTTGTTTTGTTACGCCTACCTTTCTGGGTGCCTAACCCCGGTCGATGGCAGATAAGGAAAACCCCAAACATATGGGGTTTTCCAGGGCCATTGCTCCCTGAAACTCTCTGAAGGGGCCAGGTTCTGGCGCTGGTCCCTGGTAGGTCTGAACTCCTTAGCTAATGTCCCGGTCTAACATAACACACATTAGCCCGATAAGCTCCAGGGAGCCGTAGGGGCTCCCCACAGAAACATCAATAAACTGGAAAAGGTGCAAAGGCATGCTGAAAAATGGCTACCAGAACTGAAAAACAAGAGTTACGAGGAGAGGCTAGAGGCGTTAAGTATGCCAAAGTTAGAAGATACAAGAAAAAAAAGAGGCAATATGACTGAGGAATATATGTCACTTATAACAGGAATAATAACCACAATAATAACAGGAATTAACCAAATTGACAAAGAAGAATTCCTGAAACCAGCAACTTTACGAACAAGAGGACACAGATTCAAGCTAAGGAAACAACAGCGCCGAGAAAAAATCTTAGAAAGTTTTCTTTTGCAAACAGAGTAGAAGACGGTTGGAAAAAACTAAGTGAGAGGGAGCCAGTCGGCCGAGTGGACAGCACGCTGGATTTGTGATCCTGTGGTCCTGGGTTCGATCCCAGGCGCTGGCGACAAACAATGGGCAGAGTTTCTTTCACCCTATATGGCCCTGTTACCTAGCAGTAAAATAGGTACCTGGGTGTTAGTCAGCTGTCACGGGCTGCTTCCTGAGGGTGGAGGCCTGATCGAGGACCGGGCCGCGGGGACACTAAAGCCCCGAAATCATCTCAAGATAACCTCAAGGTGGTGGTGAAGGCCAAAACAGTCAGTAGTTTCAGAGTGTTATATGACAAAGAGCACTGTGAAGACGGAACACCACGGGCGTAACTCTCATCCTGTAACTTCTCTTAGGTAATTACACAGCAAAATGAAGCCCCTCCTGTTATTTCCAACTTGATAATTTAAATCCTCCAGTGACTCCATTAGCACAATATAGCCCTGCAGGGATACTTGGAAAATTTGCTGTACTGGGCTGTATGTCAACCCAGTCTGATTGCATATTCTAATATCCAAGGGCACAGTAGAATCTTGCATGAGGGAGAAGCTGAATAAAAACAACAGAAATAATTCATATTTGTGAATATACAATTAAGCAATCAGGAAATCTTAGTAAAGTCACCAATTATTTTGACAATATTCTATACTAATTGCTCACCATGTTATGTCAAACAAAATGTGCAACAAGCCAGAATGGTACAAATTTAGCTTGTTGCTTTTTTTTTTTGCTAAAAAGACTAACTTTTTTTTATTCAAATATATGTTTTATATAACATCCTGAAAGTCTACTTATCATTATATTTAAAAAAAAAAATGTGTAGTGCTTATTTGATTGAGTTCAATGGCATATTTAATGCCAAAGTTCTATTATACTGTATATTATTCAAGACATCATAAAACGTACCTTGAGAGAGTGTAGCATAGGGAAGAAGATATTTACAATAGATGAAATCAAGTTTGGCTAGTCTTTCCTGTGCTGAGCGAGGTATTCTGCAAGTGTCTGCAACTTTACCCCAAAGTTCTTTTTCAATGACAGACATAAGACCTCCATGCTGCTCCACCACTTCATACAGACGAACCAGATCTAGTTCCATACACCCAATCTGTTTAATTTATTAACTGATAAAAGCAGGACAGATATTCAATTCATTGTTTCTTATTTATCACATATGAAAGTGATACCACTATTATTTAAGTATAGTACAAGTACGGTGAATGACAAGAGATATACAAGTATACCTAACAAATTTACAATATTTTGGCATATACAGAACATTTGCAAAGGTAAACCCTATTCAAATGTAAAAAAATAGAAAAAAATTACCATTAAATTATAGACTTGGCCAAGCCTATAAATTATTTTAACTTACAACACAGCACCAAGGGGAATTTTTAAACATATCTACAAGATCATGTAAGTGAAAAGTAGTCATTGGAGAAGTCATTAGACACTTCAGTCTAAAATGACTCACATAAATTTATTTATTTATTTTATTTATTTATATATACATGGGTTCTTACATTCTTGTAAAGCCACTAGCACGCATAGCATTTCGGGCAGGTCCTTAATCCTAATTTTCCCCGGAATACGACCCGCCAAATCATTTAACAACCTGGTACCCATTTACTGCTGGGTGAAGAGGCTACAGTCAAGGATTGGCACCCAGTCAATCCTCCCTGGTCAGAATACGAACCCAGGACAAAGCACTCACAAAGCATCGAGCAAGTGTATTACCACTGCGTCATGGGGACAATCCATAAAACTCAAAAGATCTTCCAAATCGTCTTGGCATCATAGGTGACCACTATCAAAGTCTTTAACAACTGGTTGGACATATATTCACTTCCTGACTGCTACTGGGTGTCAGCACCATGTTTACCCCTATATACCCATTACAAAAACCTTGCACACATATAACCTAAGCTCTGATTTTTTAAGGGGAAAGTTTCCACAAGTCATGTGCCCTTGGGGTATGCCTGAAAGTAATCTAAGCAATAACTGCGAGATGCACACATGGCAGACTGAGAAACAAGGTGTCAGAAGTACAGGAGGCCACCAGACAATGATTTTCAAAAACATTTACTTGCTCCTACTCACTTCAAGTTAAATTATCTACTCTTTCCATAAGATTTCATCCCATTTATAAATACACTCAATACAAATATCACACGTGATTTTCTTCTAGATTCCCCACCCCCCTCTCAAAGCAAATAAGGATTAAAGGAAATAAATTAAACTAAACTTACTAAAGGATTACTATTGAGTTCAATATTCTGCTTTGCTAGACATCTTTTGATGGCACGTAGAGTACGCACATTTGGGCCCCAACGTCTCATCATCTTGTGAATATACTGGTTGTTACCAGTGAATCTCATATCATCATTTACTCGACATTCAGGCTGATGGAATAAAAAATACATGCAAAATTATTAAAATATTTAAACAACCAGTATTGAATGTAATGAAACACCATTTTCTGGGTGAGACCCAGAGGCTCCACAGAGCTATGCAGGCAGATATATACTATTAGAATTTGGCATCAGTCAGTGTGAATAAAGTTCTAGGCCTATCGGATACCACGAGCCAAAACCTGGCCCCCACAGAGGCACATAGAGCAATAGCGTATAGAAATGCACAATGGATTTTGAGCATTCTATGTCTGCCATTGATGGGGCCAGGCACCCAGAAATGTAAGCACCTCAAAACAAACCCCTATTCTGGTTAAAACGATTAAAATAGACTAACGAGTGGACAGTACTCCCCAAATGAAAACAAGCAAACTAGCGTTACGTCGCACGAGCCACATGTCTGCACAGCTCCCCCCTCCCTAGGAGGGGAAAGGGACAGCCATAGATCCAACGTGCCGGCGATCTACCCTTCAGTTCGAGGCTAGATATCAAAACACGCGAAAAACGCCGACAGGGTGGAGGGGGGGGGGGGCCGAGGAGCTTCCGAGTCTCACCCAGAAAATGGCGTTTCATTACATTCAACGCTAGTTTTCTGGGGGGAGCCACTTCGGCTCTCTGGAACTACATCACCATAGACAAAAACTAGAGGGACTTGCCCAGGAGGCGATCGGTGCTTGTATCTCACCTTGAAGTCAAAACAACAGGTTGCAACTGCCGACCCAAAGCAACGCAGGCTTGACTAGACCCAGGAACATTTATGAGGTAGCGTGCAGCCAGGACCCTGTTCGACCTCCAAAAACCCCGCACCCAAATGTCAACTTAAGACTTGTTACTGAAGACGGCAGCCAAAGCAGCAAACTTACAAACATCATGGGCTTGAGGATTGACCGCAGGCTGACTAGACTTGATAACCCTGTGGACGACCTGGGAGACGCGCGCCCTAGAAAAGGGAAGAAGGGAAACCAGGTCAACCCAAAGCGCATCCCCGGCCACCAAAGCCGTGGCACGCAGATATTGGCAGCGAGCCGTAACCTGACAACACATGATGCACCCCCCAGACCTAAGCATCAACAACCCAAAGACCCCTCTGGAAAGCAGCAGACTTATTCTTCATCAGAAAAGAAGGAGACGGCTGCAAATGAACAAATCTATTACCAGGATCAAAAGAGCAGAAACCTCTGTGCCGGAGGAGAGCATGAAGCTCTGCGACCTGACCCCCAGAGGCCAATGTCAACAGGAAAAAGAGCCTTAGAAAAATAATCCTGAACCAAAGAGGCCACCACAAACCGAGGAGAGGAGAGAAAAGAGAGCACCCTGTCCAACGACCAGGATGGCTCAGGCAGCGCACGAGCAGGCCGGAGGTGAAACAATGCACAAGACAGCTTGCAGAACAGAGCAGAAGTAACATCGATATTAAATGCAAGCTGCAGCGGCTCCGCCAGTGCCGCACGATACAAAACGACAGTATTCGCATATGATAATGGTCCTGAAACAACCACGAAGGGAAGGACAAGACAACCCTATCAGTGACTGAAGTACACCTACGCAGTGATAGGAAAAACGCAAGAACGGCCAAGCAACTTCATACAGCCACCGAGATGAAACATGCAGGTGGGAAACCATCAATGAAGCCACCTGCACACCATACAAGTGATGATAGACTCGAGTCAGAAAAAGCAGGCGCAAAGACTCGAGGAGAAGAACGAACAAGCCTCATACCGGACTGGACCGATCTGCTGAGAGAGGCGCAGCCGCGGAAAGACCCACGGGTTTGGACACCGAGCAAGCACTGCTTGAAACCAAGGCTGGGTCAGCCACAAAGGGGTCAGAAGGACAAGTTTCATCTGGTAAGTCTTCAAGAGAACCAGGACCTGGAGCAACAGCTAAACCGCTGAGAAGAGGTATAGGTAACCCCACCTCACCCAGTCCTGCCTGAAGGCATTGATCCCAACGACCTCGCAGTCAGGGAAGGGCGCCACGTATACCGGGAGATGCCTCAACCATGCCGACGCGAAGAGGTCCACTTCCAGGGCCCCTAATGTCCATTCCGTGGAAAGGGAAATGAACCGGGACAGGCCGTCTGCCAGGACATTGGACACCCCTTGAACGTGAACTGCCGGGAGAGCTAAACCCTGAGAACTCAGCAGACGAGTCACCGAAAGCATCCAGCCCCAAAGAGCCAAGGACCGCAGCAAGCCCCCGCAGTTCAGGCGGGGTTGAAAACTCGAGGTGCCAGATTCAAACCGAAGGGAAAGCAACGAAAGTGGTAACCATGCCACCCCACAACAAACCAAGCCAGTCCCCAAACCTCCAATGAATCGGGACGTGCCAATACCCAACCTTAAAGCCCATGGACACTATCCAAGCATCTGCCTCCAACGGAAGACGGACCTAGGACAGAGTAGTCATCCGAAAGGAGGTGTAATAAACCCACGGGTTCAGATGGGACAAGTCTAGAATGAACCTGAGGTCCGCGCAGTCCCGTTTCAGAACTGGAGACAGTTGGGAAACCCACGTAAGGGACGAGGTCATTTCGAGCACGCCCAAGCGAACCCACTCCGAGATGTCCCGACAGAGCGCAGAAGAGGCCCGCCCAGCCAGCCCTGAACGAAAGAGGGGGGGGGGGCCCGCCCAGCACCACCGCAGGCCACATGAACGACCTGATAGGCCCACAAATCGTGGGACCAGGCATGTGAGCAAACAGAGCCAGCCTCCCCCCCCCTCCCATTGACGGGACGAACTGCGAAAGGGCCAACACACCTTACGAGCAACTAAGCGGCACACAGGGTGATCCCCGTGCCCAAAAGACAGTACCAAAAGCTGCACCGGCGCCAAATCTGGCACCACAGGCCTACCATGACAGGAAGAACCCTGAACCCTGGCATGATCCTTCCAGGAAGGCCCCCAACGAGCCCCCTAGAGGACTAATAAGTCCGACATAGGACGAAAACTAGACGAAGCTGCCTGCAGATACTGCACAACCACAGACTCTGCAAACAGCAATGGGCAAAATGGCGAAGACAGCCTAAGAGCCCGGGCCCAAGCGGATGCCAGAGAAGAAGCAAGCACCACCTGCCGACGTGAGAGGTAGGAAGCAAAAAACTTCAAAACCGCATCCCGTAGGATCGGCACAAACAGCTTCAACAAGGCAGACGATGCATGCCACTCTGAAGGCAACGCACCAGACCCAGAGGCGGCCCCAAGCACCTCCACATCCACCTCAAACCAGTCGGAAGACAGCTCGAGCAGGGAGAAGAAACGCAAGAGTGAAGCCAAATGGCCACTCATGCGCAAGTCCTCTGCGACCAATGCAGCCGAAAGGGAAGGAACTTGCACACGAAGCTGCAACACACCAACATCCCGCAGAAGGGCAGGGGCGAACAAGCATGCATTGAGATGATCAAAGTCGCCCCCCCCCCAGGAAAACCTGCAATGCCGATTGAGCCTCACGCCACTCAAGTGTGCGGGACCGACAGAACGAATGCCAAGTTTCCAACGAGAAGAGAGGGCAGACTGCTAACCAGGATGACTCCAGAACTTCATAACTTTATTAACTGTTTCTAAATGTAAACAAAGCCTCCAAAGATTGAGAAAAGATGTACAGGTTCGTAAGAGCTTGCGTAACTACTTCGTGAATCTGGCCCCTGGCTACTAATATTTATGGCCGATTGGCAAACCCCGACAAACCAGGACACATCAACAATGAACGGCTTTCTCAATGAACTGAGAAAGCGGCTGGTGTGCAAATGTCATGGGCATGAGAAAAGCCCAAAGGTTGTAGGGACAGAACAACACAGCAGATGACTTGAGAAAGATGAGCCTTGGAACAGGGAACCAAAGACAGTGGAAGAACCCCCAAGGCATCCACAAATGCTAAAACAAAAGCACAAAGGCAGCATAAAACAGGATGCACCCTGGCTGGGATAACGAAACAACAGGAACTAAAGAGACCCCTTTGGAAACTAGAAAGGAGGAGCTGACTGGAGACAAAAAAACGACCAAAAGATCAAAACCACCAACACTGAAGGAGAGCATGATGCGCCCCCACATTGTAGCCGGAAACTATGACTACCTACAAAAGAACCAAAAGAAAAGAAAATCAAACCAAAGAGGAGACAGCAAATGAGCAGGAAAAAAGAGGGGGCCAGAGACCAGACCAACCCCGGAGAAGCAAGAACAGCCCAGAGGGTAAAGAAAGCATGAAACAACTTACAAAGTTGAGCCAAGACAGTGTTGACCCTTTACGCGCACTGCAGTATTTCTGTCAGCGTCACAATCTGAGGCAACAGTATTGGCAAGAGATGCCAACCAAAAAGAGCAATGACGACAGTGACGGAACAATCACCAAGAACCAAGAGGACCACCTTATAAGTGACAGAGCAACACAGGCAGGGGCCAGATTCACAAAGCAGTTACGCAAGTACTTACAAACCTGTACATCTTTTCTCAATCTTTGGTGGCTTTGTTTACAATTATTAAACAGTTAATGAGCTCCGAAGCACCCAGACGGCTGTTTATAACATTAACAACAGATGATTGGGAAGTTTTCATGATTGTAAACTGTTTAATAAATGTAACCAAAGCCGTCAAAGATTGAGGAAAGATGTACACGTTCGTAAATCCTAGCGTAACTGCTTTGTGAATACAAGTCCTGGACAATACTTCCATGTCAGAAGGACCAGATGCAAAGAGAAGAGGAAATGCAGATGAAGTCACAATAATGTTGACCAAACCACACACACACTAAAAATTGAAGAGACGACAACGTTTCGGTCCATCCTGGACCATTATCAAGTCGATTGTGACCATTATCAACAGAGGAGGAGAAGATCGACTTAGCATGGCACTGCTGGCCATTCTTCAGGAAGAGGGGTAGCTGCAGAAAGTTGGCAGAATTCGTGCACCGCCCAAGCAGTACAGGAACCAGGGCCAGATTGGCCACTAAGGAGCCAGAGGAGTACCTGCCGCCAGAAGGACTCAAACCTCTCCAGGACCCGGAGCAACAGCTGGATCAGAAAAAGAGAGATACAGAAACCCCCAGCTCGTCCAGTCCTGCCAAAAGGCATCTACCATAGAAGTCAAGCAGTCAGGGAATGGTGCTACATGCGATGGGAGACTAGAGGCATTAAACGTCATAAAACTAGAAGATAGAAGAAAAAGAGGTGATATGATTACCTCTTACAATATACTAACAGGAATCGACAAAACTGATAAAGAGGAATTCCTGAAACCAGCAACTTCATGAACAAGTAGCTACCCAGAACTGAAGGACAAGAGCTACAAAGAGAGATTAGAGGCATTAAATATGCCAAAACTAGAAGATAGAAGAAAAAGAGGCGTATGATAACTATGTACAAAATAGTAACAGGAATCGAAAAAAATTGATAGGGAAGAATTCCTGAGACCTGGAACTTCAAGAATAAGAGGTCATAGACTTAAACTAACGAAACAAAGCTGCCGGAAAAATATAAGAAAATTTACTTTCGTAAACAGAGTGGTAAATGGTTGGAATAAGTTAGGCGAGGTGGTGGTGGATACCAAAACTGTCTGAAATTTCAAAGAGTTATATGACAAAGAGTGCTGGGAAGATGGGACACCAAGAGCGTAACTCTCATCCTGTAACTACACTTAGGTAGTTACAGATTCAAGCTAAAGAGGCCTGGTTGAGGACTGGGCCGCAAGGACGGTGAGCCCCAAAATCATTGCAAGGTAATCCGCAAGGTAAGGAAACAAAGGTGCCGAAAAAAATGTTAGGAAGTTTTCTTTTGCAAACAGAGTAGTAGACGGTTGGAACACGCCAAGTGAGAAGGTGGTGGAGGCCAAAACAGTCAGTAGTTTCAAAGTGTTATACGACAAAGTACTTGGAAGACGGGACACCGCGAGTGTAGTGCTCATCCTGTAAATACACTTAAGCAATTACAAAACTCCGGATCCATGCACACTGGAAGAGGAAGGGACTGCCACCAAGGCAAAAGAAATCCAAGAAAAAAACACTGGGGCCAGAGCAACTGCAGCAGCCTGACTCATCAGAGGAGAACTGACCAGCATGTGGCCTGGGAGCCACGGACTGCCCATCCATCACCCAAACGAGGGGGAAGGGGAAGGTAAACAAGCATGAGCTGGATGAAAACATTTTCAGTTGTTTGTTTAGTTACTTTCGGGGAGTTCTATGACCATTTTTAAATCTGCAAGTACAGGAAGTAGTGAGATGAGGTTTTTTGTTTTACTGACTTTCTGGGTGCCTTCCTTTGGGGAGTGGCATATAAAAGAATATAAAAAGAGATAAATGCCACTGCTCCCTACGCCTCTGTGAAGAGACTAGGTTTTGGCTTCGGGTCTCTGGTAGACCAGAGAATTGTGACTGACGGCAACTTTTAGACATTACACACATTTGGAGATGTTAGCTACAGGGAGCCAAAAGGGGTTCCCCCCAGAAATGTGGTGCATAATATAATACAACTACTGTATTATAGCTCCTGTATTATTACAGTACATCCACTGAATTTTTACATACTGTACCTGGACAGAGTTTTAGGAGTTCTTCTAATTCTCGAGCCCAGCCTGGGGCCAGGGAATTATCAGGGAAAAGTGCCTAGCCATTACGACTATATAGCACTTGGAAGGGGTCAAGATAAGGATTTGGGATGGGTCGGGGGGGGAAAGCAATGGTGCCCAACCACTTGGATAGTTGCGGATTGAACACCGACCTGCATGAAGCGAGACCGTTGGTCTACCGTCCAGCCCAAGTGGTTGGGTAGCCTGGGGCCAAACCCGACAATGTTTATTTACAGGTATATTATTATATCTTCAATATTATTATCTCTGTATTAATATCTATTATACTCTTAAATCTGTATTACTATATATATTGCATTATTACATTACAATATGAAATTGTCTGTATTACTACATCTATAATGTTGAAAGGACTACTAGGAAAGTAATAACCTTAAATAGGTAATACTTCATCAGCACCACTAAAATACCTAAGGAATAGCAAGAAAATAAGAATAAAAAGGGCAATTGAGAAAGATATTCCAGGGTCAATATGTATATGGTGCTTCACTTATGTGGTGACCAAATTATCCAAATAACAAGAATGTGGTCATGAGTTCATTTATGTGGTGGCCATACAGTAAATATGTGATATATGGTTGATGAGGTTCTGGGAGTTCTTCTACTCCCCAAGCCTGGCCAGAGGCCTTGACTTGTGAAAGCTTAGTCCAACAGGCTGTTGCCTCGAGCGGCTCGAAGGCCCACATATCCCCACAGCCCGGGTGATCTGGTACCGGTCTGTGATACTTGCTTTATTTATATAGTGGTCAAACAGCACGCATGAAATACTGTACCTGCTTCACTTACATAAATTGCCAAACCAGCTGCATGATTATTTTTTAGATATACAGTACCTGTATTAAAATTTACTCAGAAACCCTTTACTTATTTCTCCTTTTAACAATAAATTTAGAATACACAATGGCTCAGAAGAATACACAATTCCAATTAAAAGTTTTGAAACAAGTAGCTGTTTTCAGGTTAAACAGCCATAATAGTATTAGATATATATTTTTATTATTAAGTTTTATATATATAAAAATGATTAAATAATTTGAAAATGATTATCTTACCTTGAAATTATTGGGTGGAACAATACGACACAAACCAAACTGCTCAGCTTCTGGTCGGATCTTTTCAATATAATCAAGAGGATCAGTAAACTCTTCTTCGGATGGAAAAAATGTTGGTGCTCGAGTTAACAGACTATTGTCACATGTGTGTGCAGCATTGGGATCTAACAAAGACTTGTCAGACACAACTGGTGAATAACTATTTAGGGCACTTTGACTAGTTGGAATGCTTGATAAAGATGAAGATTTTCCAGGACTGGAAAAAAAATACATTAGAAATTTAGTCAATATTCCGTGAAACATAAATAGCTTATTAATTTAATTAACACTATCGCGCTCTGAGCCCTCCTATTATAGTCGTAAGTTTTTCTCCTTAATGTAATCCGATGACTATCTTCAGTCATAAACTAAAATATTTCTATAAAATTTAATTTTCATCCGATCAACTTCTAGGTGGTTTCAAAATGAGCGCCTTTAGATTGAGCACAATTTGATACCAAAATGAAAGACATAACATGAAAATTAATGTTATCAAACTGAACGAGTACAGTATATACATTAGTCTGCAGGTGTGCCAATTGGTGCTCGTTCACGGGTAACTTGGCCGACTTTAGTCTTTGCTGTGGGACTCACTCCAGGCTTTTAGACCTTATATGCATATATCCCTATAGAGAATTCTATTGCGAACACAATGATACCAAACGATCGATGTAGCATGAGAAATAAGGTGAGAAAACTGAAACGAGTATACAGTGGTACCTCGGAATACGAGTGTCCCTGTATACGAGTTTTTCGGAATACGAGCAGGATTTGCTCGGAAAATTTGCCTCAGAAGGGGAGGGTTACCTCAGAATCCGAGTTTGTTGATACACGTACTGGCCAAACTAGCGCGTGGTGGCACGACGATCGGCGCTCAGTTTACCAGTGTCTTGCGCCCAGTGACTATCTTGCCTGAATTCTTCTCCAGGATTTTTGCAGTGGGTCCCAAGAAAGCCAGTGGTAAGGATCAAGGCAAGAAAGCTCATGTGAGGATGACAATAGAGGAGAAACAAGAGATCATTCGGAAGCATGCAAATGGTACACGTGTTGTTGAACTTTGTAGGCAGTACAACAAATCCACGTCAACGATATGCACTATACTTGCCAAGAAAAAGGACATTATGAGTGCTAATGTGGCAAAAGGCGTAAGAACAATCACGAAACAAAGACCACAAATACTTGAGGATGTTGAAAAGAAGAAGTGGTGTCAGATGTGGGAAGAAATGCAAACTTTTATTGAAATGACTCACCCAGAGAAAGCTGTAGTAGGTCGTTGCATTAATCTTTTCAATGACAATGTGATGCCTCACTACAAAGACATCTTACAAAGAAGGGGAAAAAGGCAAAATGTGCCAGAGAGTGCACACCAGACATGTTCTCACTGCCTGATGTTATAATGGAAGGGGACTCCCCTTCCAAACAGTAACACCTCTCCTCCTCCCTCCTTCTCACCATCTTCCATATGCCATCAGCAGTCATTATCAAGGGTAAGTAATAACTTGAACATAGTTTTGTAGTGCAGATTTAGATGAATTAGGTATAAAATTTAGTTTGACGTGAGGTTTTTGGGTAGTCAGAAACGGATTCATTTATTTCCCATTATTTCTTACGGGGAAATTTGTTTCGGATTACGAGCTGTCTCCAGAAACGGATTAAACTCTTAAACCGAGGTACCACTGTATATATTTTACTGATTTTGCGTGCTCAAGGGTAACTTAGCCGACTTTACTCTTTATACCTTGTTATTGGTATTGCTTATATATATTGCGTTTGTTATGGCTTATACATGTCTTTCTATTTAGAGCATTTTATTGCGAATAATTTGATAGCACAACGAACAATGTTGCACAAAAAATTCTATTAGCGAACTATGTGTGTTTGTCTGGTGTATTGATTGTAGCGGGTGTGGCAATGAGTGTGCTCTAGCGGTTAAGGCTTCGGCAACTTTAGGGGTTGTTGCGGGTTATGCGCTCCCATGTTGTCTAACTTATATGCATATGTCTGTGTAGGAATTTTTATTGCGATCACATTGATACAAAAAAGAACGATGTCGAACAAGTTTGGACTTGATAAACCTGAAAAGAGTAGCAACATGTTCGCACTGTTTGGCGTGCTCGGCTAACAAACGACTTAGTTTTTTATTTGGCGCCGGCATCACATTAGCTTTGGTGACATGTTATATGTATGTTCCTCTAGAACATTTCATTGAGAACACATTGATACCAAAATGAAACACGTACATTGAAAATTACAGCCAAAAACATGAAAAGAGTATTACTTTTCAGTAGGGGTGTAGCCAATGTGCAGTGGGTGTGCTGAAAAGGGTAACCCTTGGGCAACTTCCTACGGTCTTGCGGGTGGGACACGCCCATGTCTTGTACTTTATATTCATATGTTTGTATACGGAATTTTATTGCGATCACAGTGATACCAAAATTAACGACGTAGAACAATTCTGGGGTTGACAAACCTGAAAAGAGCATAAACATTTCATCGCTGTTTGGCGCTCACGGCTAACGATCGCCATAGTTTTTATTTGCTGCGAGTCTCACGTCGGCTTTGGTAAAATTTTATATATACTGTATATTCCTCTAGAGCATTCTCTTGCAAACAAACTGATACCAAAATTAAATACATACATGGAAAATTAAGGTCAGCAGACCGAAAAGAGTATAAACATTTCAGTGTCGCCGCGCGGTCGCCCGAAATGCTCGGCGCACAAGGGGAAAGTTAAAGAGCCTCCTGCCAGCAGCGCGATAGTGTTAAGGACCAACAATCAATTGTCAAAAGAATTTCATGAGAAGACAGACAAAAGAATGTACACAACAGAAATTAAGTGCATTATACAAAAATAAGGGAAAACTTTGACCAGTTGTTGACCAGACCACACACTGAAGGTGAAGGGACCAGACCACACACTAGAAGGTGAAGGGACGACGACGTTTCGGTCAGTCCTGGACCACTCTCAAGTCGATTGTATCACAATCGACTTGAGATGACGTTTCGGTTGAGGACTGACCGAAACGTCATCGTCCCTTCACCTTCTAATATGTGGTCTGGTCAACATACTTCAGCCACGTTATTGTGACTCATCGCCGACTTTGACCAGTTCTGACTGTGCACAGTCCTATCCATAGGAACAGTGGGATATTGTCTAAGTGAGTGGCACAGTTCAGAAAAACATTCCATGAAAAGCTTCCACATTTTCCTTTATTCAAAATCCTTTGTCTAATTCTATTTTCCAGAGGATATGTTCTTAATACATTTTGGTAAAAATTAATAAAATTTGCCTATTCATTCACAGTATACAAGACAACTCACTTCATATTACTATCTATACTGCTTGCAGGTGATTGCCGACGACTACGAGACGCTGAGAGTCGGTTCCCACGCTGGGACGGGGTTGATGAGGTTGTTCCCTCTGAACTCTGAGATGGTGTTGGACTGTAAAATTTGAGAGATGATCATATATATCAATTGTTTTTAAAACACAATGATAACAGAAAAAATAATAACCGATTATCTAAAAATCCAGTGTTGAATGTAATGAAACGCCCTTTACTGGGGGAGAGGGGGAAGCCCTGGAGGCTCCCTGAAGCTATCCAGACTGATATGTCCTATATTAGTTTGGGGTCATCAGTTACATGGAATTCTTAGCCGGGTCATCAGTTACATGGAATTCTTAGACCTACCGGAGACCACGAGCCAGAACCTTGCCCCCTCAAAGGGGGTGCAGGGAGCAATGGCACTTTACATTAATGGATGTCTTATTCTGCCATCGACCAGAGCAGTTACCCAAAAATATAGGTGAACCAAAACAAACAATTAGCCTGGAAATTGCAACTTACCTCCTAAAAGCTAAGTTGGCAGGGAAGGGGGGGAGGGGGAACTGGCTCAGGAGACCCGACCACCATCATTCCAGTTCAAAGCCTAACAGAAAAAAACACTGACGGAGTCAGGAAGCCTCCGGGGCTACCCCCAGAAAAGGGCGTTTCATTATATTTAACTCTGGATTTTTTGGGGAAACCCCCGTCGGCTCCCTGCAGCTAACCACCCATAGAGAAGGAAAACAGGGACTTACCCGGGAGGCAGCAGCACCACATGACACAAGGCGAAGCAGGGACCTTTGGCCATGACAAATGCCCCAAAGCGTCACAAAGCCGGAAAGGGCCCGGAACTTTCACGAGTTATCTGGCAGCCAGGACCTTGTTTGATCTCCAATATCCTCGTACCCGAATGTTCACCCACGACATGTTACCAAAAATCACGGCAAGTGCCGTGTACTTCTGTACATCATGGACACGAGAGTAGACTGCAGGCTGGCTGGATTTAATAACACTGTGGACAACCTCAGACACACAAGCACTTAAACAGGGAACCAGTGAAACTGGGTCCACCCAAAGAGCGTCCACTGTCACAGATCCTGTGGCCTGCAGGTAGTGGTATAAAGCTGTCACCAGACACAACAGGTGATGCACCCCCGGCCGAACTAGCCAATCATCGACCACCACAGGATCCCTCCGAAAGCCCGCTGTCTCATTCTTTGCCAGAAAAAAAGGTGAAGGCTGCAACTGAACAAAACAACCACCTGGACCAAAGGAACAGAACCCCCGGCACCAGAGGATAGCATGAAGCTCCCCTACCCAGGCTTCCAGGTAACAAGAAAAGAAAACACGTGAGGTAAGGGTTGTTTAAAGGATATTTGTGCACTAAGCCTCTGGCTGGCCTGCTAAATGTCACTTATTTAAGTCTTACTTAGGCATTGGTTGAGTGTTTAAAGGGTGGGTAGTGGCACCAATGTTGCAACCACACTACAAACCTCACTTGAGAGCGTGTGAGGATCGCACGCGCGATTTTGGGCGGACAATACCTAGTTACCTGGTTGATGGGGTTCTGGGAGTTCTTCTACTCCCCAAGCTCGACCCGAGGCCAGGCTTGACTTGTGAGAGTTTGGTACACTAGGCTGTTGCTTGGAGCGGCCCGCAGGTCCACATATCCACCACAGCCCGGTTGGTCCGGCACTCCTTGGAGGAAACAATCTAGTTTCCTCTTGAAGATGTTTACAAAAGTGAATTTTCTTATATTTCTCCGGCAGCTTTGTTTTGTTAGTTTAAATCTATGACCTCTTGTTCTTGAAGTTCCGGGTTTCAGAAATTCTTCCCTATCAATTTTATCGATTCCTGTTACTATTTTGTACATAGTGATCATATCGTTTCTTTTTCTTCTATCTTCTAGTTTTTGCATATTTAATGCCTCTAACCTCTCCTCATAGCTCTTGTCCTTCAGTTCAGGAGCCACTTAGTGGCATGTCTTTGTATCTTTTCCAGTTTGTTGATGTATGTCATAAGATATGGGCACCAAACAACTGCTGCATATTCCAGCTTTGGTCTAAGAGGTCATGAACAATTTCTTTAGTATTTTCCCATCCATTTAGTTAAAAGCAATTCTGAAGTTAGAAAGTGTAGCATAGGCTCCTCGCACAATGTTCTTAATGTGGTTCTCAGGTGACAGTTTTCTATCTAGAACCACCCCTAGAACCCTTTTTTTGTCAGAATTCTTTAAAAATTTCTCACATAATTTATAGGTTGTGTGGGGTCTATGTTCTCCAATTCCACATTCCATAACATGGCATTTATTCACATTAATGGCCGTTTGCCAAGTGGTACTCTTATACTTATTTTGTCCAGGTCTTCTTGAAGGGTATGACAATCATCTAGATTTTTTATCTTCCCTATTATCTTAGCATCATCAGCAAACATGTTCATATAATTCTGTATTCCATCTGGTAGATCGTTTATGTAGATAATGAACATTACTGGTGCAGGAACTGAATCCTTGTGGTACTCCACTTGTGACATTCCTCCAATCCGATACATTGCCTCTGATTATGGCCCTCATTTTTCTATCAGTTAGGAAATTTTTCATCCATGTTAGAAGCTTACCTGTCACCCCTCCAATATGTTCCAGTTTCCAGAACAACCTCTTATGTGGAACTCTGTCAAAAGCCTTTTTTTTAGGTCCAGACAGATGCAGTCAACCCAATCATCTCTTTCCTGTAAAATCTCTCTGCTTGAACCTTAGAAACTGAGTAAATTCGTTACACAGGATCTTCCAGATCGAAAACAATACTGTCTGTCTGATATTATATCGTTTTTCTCCAGGTGTTCTACACATTTAGTTTTAATTATTTTTTCCAATATTTTGACAATTACACTTGTCAATGATACAGATCTATAACTGAGGGGGTCTTCCCTGCTGCCTCTTTTGTAGATTGGAACGATGTTAGCCTTTTTCCACATATCAGCTACATTTACACAGGGATGCCTGAAAAATCAGTTGAAGTGGAATGCTGAGCTCAGGTGCACATTCTCTCAGAACCCATGGTGTGATTCAGAATAAGTGCTATCAAAGTTCTAAAGTGGTTCTGTTACTTTCATGGGAGGCCAAAATGACTATAAAGGATTATTTTGTCAAAGTTCACCGTCAGGGGGTCTGAGCTTGTTCTCGTGATTTTGATACCGTGTTTGGAAGTTTCATGCCTTATCATTCTGACAGTTCTGGCAGAGTTGATAAGAGACTGAACTGTTTGTTCAAAGCTGGTTGTCACCCAAATCAGTTCAGACAGGTGATCCTTGCACTTTTTCTAGTTGTTCTTGTCTGTTGTGACAAACATAAGAGCTCTACTTCTAGGTCCTGTTGTGTAGCTGGTGGTTCTAAAAGTGTAATAGTTTCAGATGTGTCGTGAGGGGTCAAACCCTGTTTCTTCTACTTTTAGTGGCATTTGGCCAAAGCTGTTTGTTTCACAGAAGATCCAGAGTGATGGGGGACCAGCTTCTCCTGAAGGGGTTATACCAGATCTGGAAAGTGACTACCCAGATCAACCTCATTAACCAGAAGAATTCCCTCAACCAACCCTTATCTATTCAACTTCCTGTAAGTGGGTTAACTCTAGAAAAAAACAGCATTGAATGTGAGCCAGCCGGCTTACTCAGCACGCCTCCCTCCTTCCCGGAAGCAAGGGAATGAGGTGGGGGCAAGCTAGATGGCAATAATTTCATGAAATTTTGATAGTTTGCTTTCATTGCTGAGGGGGAGTTCTTTTGGCAATTACTGGTTGGTGGTCTTGGTTTTAACTATGCAGTAATCTGTTTTGGTTCGCATATATTTCTGGTTGCCTTCTCCGGTTGGTGGCAAGTATCATTAACTTTAAATGTCAAGTGTTCATAGGTCATTGTTCCTCTCTAATGGGGCCAGGTTCTGGCTCGTGGTACCCAGAGGCCAATAGAACTCTGTGACTGATGGCACCTTATAGTATGGCAATGATCATTGTATGATAGCTTCAGGGAGCTGATGGGACTCCATCTAGTAAGGTAAATAAATAAATAAGCTAAGTTATACAGAACCTGCATATAAATTTCCAACTTTCTCCTATAATTTGCTGTATTTGTCTGAACATGTTGTTCAACAAGGGTTAAAGCAACAAAGATGCATAAAAAACATAGAATAAAAGATGGAAAATTAAGTATGCTTCAGAATTAAAAATATCAAGAGTTTTTAACAAGCAGACTAACCTGGTAAGACGGGGTGGAGGCCAGCCTCTGAGAGTATCTGGAGACATCTGGGGGCTAAGTGGTGCCTCAGAAGAAGAACTCCAGCCTTCCTCCTTAGCCAAAGCAGCAGCTGCCCGCTTAGCTCGCCTATTTCTGCGTAGCTCCTCAATTTCGTGCATATCAGATTCTGTAGCCCTTGTGGCAGCAAGTGTGGTAGCACGGCCACTTCGTCTTCGAGTTGGAAAGTCCTTTTCATCTCGGGAAGTCTTAATCTTTTCTTCTTCCCTAGATTTTGATTTGACTGATCTTGGTTTAGCCGTGGCTCTACATGTGGGAGAGTTGTCCTCTTCACTTGTTGCAATAGATGGAGTAGGCTGGATTCTATTAAGAGGTATATTTACAGATTTAACATCAATGCTATGAATTGCAACTCTGTGTGTAGCATGGGATGCAGATGTAGAAACTGGGGTGTGAACAGTCATAGTTGGGGCAGTTGCTATAATACAGGAGGAAGAAGTAACTGGAAGTAAGGAGGCTGTAGTTGATGAGGTAGTAGTAACAATAATACTGGGAGCAGTGTTAGCAGTGGACGATGTTATAACGACAGGGGAGGGAGATGATACTTCATTCACTGCTGATGAGTCTTGATTTTTACTCAATGGTCTTGCATAATTTATAGAAGTAACAGAGGGACTTCCCAACATCCCTGGAATGATGGGAGTTACAGCTAAACCAGAAATGACTGCAGGCTTTATGGGTTTTACTGCAGAAGTATTTGACATAAGAGACGGACCAGGAACGCCTTGTTGTTGCAATTTTTGCTGGTGCTGCTGTGCAAGCTGTGCTGCTTGTTGAAGTATCATGCCAGCTTCTGCTGCACCAACTAACCCTTGTGTTTTTGCCAACATTTGCTGGACTAACTGGGCAGGAAGCTTCTCTCCTAAAGCAGCCATTGCAAGGGGAAGATAATAAAATGGGGAAGCATTTGGAGGTAGAGGAAATTTACTTGGTCCTTCAGTTTGTGTTCCACTTTCATTGGCACTCACACCATCTTCAGCAGCAACTTCTATTGCTTCATCCATGTCACACTGGATGGCAATTGAGGTGCTGCTAATGTTTTTCTTAAATCTACCAGAGGTTTGTACAGTTTCTTCAGCTTCAGCTCCAACTCTGCCATGTTCTAGTAATGACCGAGAAGTGGTGCACGTAGAACTGAGCTTCCTTGTGAGTGGTGAAGTCTCTGTGACAGTACCCGTAGCTTTCATATTAACAGTGCCTGTGCTGCAGCTTGGTCTCTTTCCCAAAAGAACTGTATGCGATGCTACTGTACTAGGGCTTATCCCCGCAGTAGATTTTGGTTTTCCTGTTATCATGGGATTTAAAGACCGTGCTACAGGGCTTCGAACAGTAGCAACTGCGGATGTTACTTTGCCAAGAGGTTTGTTTGTGACAGACCCCAGAGCTTGAGGTTTAATATTTACAACAGGCCCCTGGGCTAAAGGTTTAATGTTTGTGACAGAGCCCTGGGCTGGAGGTTTAATGTTCGTGACAGAGCCCTGAGCTGGAGGTTTAATGTTTGTGACAAAGCCCTGGGCTGGAGGTTTAATGTTTGTGATAAGCCCCTGAGTTGGAGGTTTAATTGAATTGTTAGGCTTCACTGGTGATGTTCCTGGTGAAGGCTGAATGTTTTTAATTCTTTGAGAGAATGGCGAGGATTCCTCAAGAGATGTTTCAACTTCTGGTTCAAAAGCATAGACACTGCTTTCATGTAATGGAGAAAAAGCACCTGAAGGCTTTTTACTTTCCAAGCTTTTAGTTTTGTACATAGGTCCAGGTGTCTTTTTCTCATCTTGACTCTTAGTCTTAAAGAGAGTTCTTTTCAGGAAAGGTTCTTTCTTTTTATCTATAATCTTTTTGTCACATAATTTATCACTATCACTTTCATTTTTGCCATTTATATTTTGCACTTTTTCTATTTTACTTTCTTCATTGTTTATTCGCACTGACTTGGTAGAATCAATTTTATTTTTGTCTGTTTTAACCAAATGACTTATGGAAGCAGTTACGTCCTTTTCTGATTTATGAAGGGAAGTATTAATATTACTATCCTGATTACTTTTAAATGGAGAGGTAACAGAAGCAACTTTATCCTTCAGTATTTTAAGAACTGGTGATGTGGTAGAAGTGGAAATACTGGAAGCAAGGCAATGTTTATCTCTGTCTGGTTTTGTTACAGGAGTGAACACTGATTTATCCTTTTCTGTAACTGGAACAGATGTAGTAGTACTATTTTCTATTTCACTTTTTGAGAGCAATGAAGCAACAGCAACATTTCTCCCCATTCCTGCTTTGTGTTGAACGACACTCACACTTGAGGATAACTTAAGTGCAATATTGGTACATCTCTTTAACTGTTTTGCACCAATAACTGGTTTTTGTCCCTCTGCAACACAGAGCTGGCCGGAATGTGGCACATCACTCAGAGATGTAATTGTTACCGAGGATGAAGCTAATTGTGGCATAGCTGTCATAGTGGAGGATGCTAGTTTTAAACTAGATTCTGAACTTGCACTAGAGATTGGTCCAGTGATCTTGGCAGTGACTTTTGAAACCTCGGTTATTCTTACATTCCCTGGTATTCCTCCTTTGAAAGCAGTTTCAACAACTTTAGAAGTGTGTGTAGATATGGAACCATCTATTTTATTTTCAGATTGGTTGGAAACCATCTTATTCACACTGCCACAAGGTACTACAGTACAAGCCTTAGTTATTGCTACAGCCATGCTAGAGGTGGATAATTGTGATGTGCCTAGAGAAGAAGCAGTATTAGAGAAGGATTTAATATTACTAGTTAACTTGCCACATGAAACAGTGGCTCCAGCCTTACTTTTGTCCACAGGTATTGGTCTTGATACCTGATTAATAGGAACTGATCCAGGTTGAGGACTTGTTAGAATATTACTATTCAAATGGGAGGATTTTCCAGCAACTTCAGCAGAGACCACAGGAAAGGTGGTAGCAATAGCAGCAATAGGCAACTGAGAAGTAGCAGCTGTGCTCAGCAAAGATTGCGAATGTGGAACAGCAGGATGGCCTTGAGGAATAATCTGATCAGTAGCTGTTGCAGATATGAAAGTATGATGGGATCCAGGAGGATGACTTGGAGATTGAACCGCGATTTGGGGTTTTGCTATTAAACTTGGCTGTCCTGTCATTGTTTGCACATGAGTGGATCCTACTGGCATTACATTAACAGCAAGAATTTGTGTTTGTTGTGAGGGTTGTATCTGCTGGGACAAAGGCACAATGGGTCTTACTGAAGCAGTACAGCCAACTGATGCTGGGGCTAAAGTAACAAGAGAATCTGGCGCCTTTGGGGTCATAAGATGAGGCTGAGGTTTGGCTGCTACTTTACCAACCAAGGTAGGAGCAAGAACACGGGCAACAGCACTCACATTACCAGTTAAGTGACCCTGACCTACAGTCTGAGGTGAAATGCTGTAAGTAACTGCACTCTGCATAGACGAGGTTACAAATACTGGTTGAGTAATTATTTTTGCTGGTGAAGATGGGGTTACCAACTGGGCTGGATCAATGACTGCCTGAGTAATGACAGCCTGTACAGGCATACCAGTTACAGTCTGCACTGTTTGTATAGGCTGAGGTATAGCCTGCATAGTTTGTACTGGCTGAGTTATTGCTTGAACTGTATGAACTGGTTGTGTTATTGCCTGCACCTGAGCCTGTACCTGTGCCTGCATCATATGGCCAGGCTGAGGTGCAAGAATATGAGTATTAGGGTGAATATGGGGTGTAGCAGCTGGGGGTTTGGGAGCAATTTGTACAGGTTTGGGAGTTGATTTTTGAGTTCCATGTTGGAAAACAGATAATGACACCTGTCCAGCAGGTGCAGATGCTACTAGAGTAGTTGAGGGTGCTGCTGGTTTGGGTGCAATTGAAAGTTGTTTGGGAGTACTTTTAGTAGCTGGTAGATCTATTGGTTTAGGACTAGCAACAGAACCACTGCCAACAGAAGAGAGTGTTACAACTGATGATAACTGTGGCACACGTGTGACAGTCAGTGGGGATGAAAATCCTGTGCTCACAACGTTAATTGTAGCAGAAGGATTAACTGGAACTGGTAAGCTTGGAAGAACAGTTACATGTTCATTTTGAGCACTCTGAAATATCAAAGGTGCTGCTTTTGATGCTATATTTCCTTTTTGAATACCTGAGGAAAATGCAGGTGTTCCTGTAGGTGCTGTGTTCACAATGGAAAGATTTTTATGATTGCTGGAAGTGATTGTAGTGCTGGGGGCAAGTGTTTGTGAACACGTCATCACAGGCTCTACCTGGGGTGAACTGCATGTGACAATAGGTGATTTTGTTTTGGGAGGTCTGGTGGTGCTAGTTTTAGTGGGTGCAACCTTGGCTGTGATAGATTTCTGAGGTAATTGTGATGGTGCCTTTGAGGTGGTGGTGGTAGCTGTATTCACTAATGGAATGGTGGGTGCACTGGGACTATGTGCAATTTCTGGCAGGGAGACATCATTCTGTGTTACTGCTATAGGTGCACAGGAAGTACCAGAAGATTGAAGATGAGGACCTGAGTGTGGACTTACTTGCCTCAATTTATCAGAGTTCCAGTTGTTGAGATCCTTCAAAAATGTTGGTTTTTCATTTAAAGTTGGAGTTTCAGCTTGTTTCTTTTGAAGGCTGCGAACAACATCACTTAGCTTTTTACTATTTGTGCTTCTTTTACTAGGACTTGGACTGCTACAACCAGACTGTACTACAACAGAACTACATGTACTTTTTGGTGTACTTGATGATGCAAGCATCATATCTGTTGAATTTGAACTCTTTTCATCCATGCAAGAAACACTACTGTCTGACATGAATAAATCTTCTTTTTCAATTTCTGTCGGTGTTCTTTCTCCTTTACTTTTCTCTGGAGATTTATTTCCCATCATAAAATCTTTTTCAATTTTTTCATAATGATCATCATCTATATCTTTTTCAAAATCTTTGGCAACACTCTCTAAAACTTCATTTAATTTGGCCTCATCATGATTACTACTTCTCCTTCTATTTCCCACAGATCTCCTTCTGATTAATGTTGCCAATGGTTTTTTATCATTTGCATCAAGACTTGTGTTGTCTATGTTGCTCCCTAAAGATCCACTTCTGCTTCTACAAGTTCTTGAGAAAGCTTCACCAATATCATTACTATCATTACTATCAGATTTTTCAAAACTTTTTCTGACAGATGAATGTCTAATACTTTCTTTCGATAAATACTGCTCTATTTTTCTATCTTGTGATACTGTCCTCCTTGATTTAACAGCCGGCGCAAATATTTTTTCTGAATTTTGTTCAAAACTTTTATCCAAAGAGTTGCCTTCCTCAGCTACGTGCCATTTATCATCTTTAAAGTCTTGTTCCTTCTCCTTATGATTTATGTCATCATTGGAATCACTTCTCTGGTATTCCCCCTCCTTATCAACTTTAGAACTAACATCACGGGAACTATCAAAATTCTTCAAATCTTCCACTTTACTTTCAGCTAATGAACCATCACGCGTGCTTATTTTTAAATGCTTATCATTTTCATCACTTATAGCATTTTTTGTGTGTGTTACTTGATCACTACCAATGTTGCCTGTTCTTCTTATCTCTCTTTTAGTACGAGTATTTATTATTAACCTTTCACTTTCCTCACTATCACTCTCATTTTCTTTATAATCCTGTCCCTCCCTCCCTCTGGTTATACGCCTCTGTCTGGTAACTTCATGAGAGCTATCAACCTCTAATGACGAACGTCTCAAGGAAGGCCATAACCCTTTTCTCTTTGGTTCATCAGCATCACTTCGAGTCCTTCTCAGTCTTCTAGGCATTGCTCTATTAACTGTAATAGCACTTGATTCTGGTAAGCAATATCTACTCGAGGAAATAAGAGACCGAGTGCATTCTGTGTCCCCTTGCTCCTCTGGTGTGGACGAATCTCTTTTTTCACAGCTTCTTGTCCTTCTTGAACTGAATGTAATTTTTTCATCGCTAAGAACATTAGAAAGCTCCTCTTTAGAGGAAGTTCTTCTAGTCACTCGTCCAACTTCAGCATTAACATTATCTGAATTGCACGGCTTTTCTATTTGAGACTGTCCTGCAAAATCTCTAATTTTTCTGAAAGACTTTCTAGCATTAAACTTAGCAGAATTGTCACTGACAACACGATTTTCACAGCCCTCACTTCCTGTTGTTCTTGTTAGCTCAGGTGTCACTTCCTCGGTTGATGAGTTTTGAGATTTCTTTTCTTCATGCTCTTCTTTGCCTTCTGAAACATTGAAAACATTGTGAAAATTATATTTAAATTTTATTTTGCATAACAGTAACAAAGCTAAATGAGGAAAGGATAATGATAAGTAATTAATACAAATTCAGTGATGGAATAAATATAAAGAAGGTTTAGAAAATTAATAATGATAGTGTAAAGTTTTACACAGATGCACTGTGACAGAGAGAAAAAAGGACAGGAGAAAGTAATGGCCTTGTAGAGAACAGTCTTGAGGAAAAGAAAAATCTTGGAGAAGAACAGTCTTGAGGAGAAAAACAGGCTTGAGGAGAACATATTAACAACGGGACTACACTCCCCAACCTTGCTATCGGACCTCAATCATTCGTTTATTCCATCTATTCGTTTGTGATCTGACCATTGACCACCTATGTAGTTCCACGACTGGCCACCGATGTAGCCGGTGGCGCCGCTGTTTATGTTTACCCGTGGCAGACAAAACCCTCTCTCTCACTGTTTTATATCGGTGCATATTTTTTTGCATCCTGCTACTAGTGCATCTGGAAATGCAGGAAATACGGTGTTTAGGGCTTCAACTAGCAGTGAAGTCGAGAGAAAATATATTGTGATGATCTATTATCAGAGCATTCAGCCAATGCGAAGAGGTTAACATTCAGGAGTCCGTACGTCTGGCAGAGCCAACTGAAGGAGTTGGCGTCGAACGTCCATTCAGTAGCAAGGGAATGAGCCAAGACAACCCGTCTGCCACGACGTTGGACACCCCGCCCAAGGGGTGTCCAACGTAATGGAGGCAAGGCAAACCAAATGAATCCAGCAGACAAGTCACTTGAAGTGACCAGCCCCAAAGAGCCAAAGACCAAAAAGAACCGCTGCAGGTCAGGCAATGAACCACCGGAGTACAGTCCGAATGGAGCCTGATCGTTGAACCCTGAGCAACCTGGTCCCTTTGAAGCGACATCCAGACCGCTGCAAACTACCACACCGTGCGGTGAGCCTGATGGAACGATGAAGCCCAATGCCCCCGGTCGGACTGGTGAGCACTGGTCACAAAGCCGCAGCCAAGAGACAAGGCATCTGTAAACACATCGACCGAGGGCTCGGGTAGGTGCCATGGTATTGAACCCTGAAAACCCCGAAGAGGAATCCGGCGACCGGATTATTGTCGTGGCACCAAATTATGCCATGATGATGCAAGATGGCACAGATTATAAGGGCCCCCAGAGCACAACATATATCATTACTTAGTTTCCCCATATCATGGACAGGAGATATCAGCCCAAAGAACATGTTCTACCATAACCCCGGGTACAACATGGGTGGGGAAATTTGATTCCGTACAGTATGTGGGTACTGTATGTGTTAAAAGCTACAGCCATACCAATAAAGTAATCACCAAAAACATCTGGCCCCATGCTGGGCTTGCAGAATAGAACCCTCTAAACCAATTACAGTGACACCTCGGCTTACGAATGTCCCTCTTTACGAACTTTTCAGGATACAAGCCCATTTTCTTCGTAAAATCCGAATCGGGTTACGAACTTTGCCTCAGGTAACGTAGTTTGTTGATACTGTATGCGTATGGCTGACCTAGCATGTTTTGGCACGGCGACTGCGCTTCAGTTTACCAGTGCCTCCCACCTAGTGACAATCACGCCTGAATTCTTTGTAAAGGATTTCAGTGATTTTCGGATTTTTGGGTATTTGAACATAAAAGTAGTTATTATATTTCTCATCATGAGTCCCAAGAAAGTCAGTGGTAAGGTTCAACCTAAGAAACTAGTTGTGAGTAAAGGCAGTAGAGGATGTCCCTTACTCATTAAGAAAATGAGTGAAGTATGGGAAGAACTGCAAAGTTTTGTTGAAAAAAATTCACCCAGATAAAGCTGTAGCAGGCCATTGCATTGACCTTTTAAATGACAATGTGATGTCTCACTACAGACAAGCGTTAAAATGTAGGGAAAAAAAAAAAGTGTTTTTAGACAGATTCTTAGTAAGACAAGCAAGCAGTGAGCCACAACCAGGTCCTAGTGGGAGTCCTGCAAAACGTAGGAGAGAGAGTACCCCAAAGAAGTCATCATTGCCTGATGTTATAATGGGAGGGGACTTCCCTTCCAAACACTAACACTTCTCCCCCACCCCTCCTCACTGTCTTCCATACGCCAACAAGTCATCAATAAAGGTAAACAATAACTTTCACATACTTTAGTACTAAGGATTTGGGTGAATTAGGTATAAAATTTACTTTGAAGTTAATATTTTTGGGAATGTGGAACAGATTAATTCAATTGACATTATTTCTTATGGGAAAATTCGCTTCAGTTTATGAATTTTTGGGTAACGAACCATCTCTGGGAACGGATTAAATTCGTAAGCTGAGGTACCACTGTACAGTATAAGTAAATTATGTGGACAGACATTCCATTTATTGCCCTTGTATCACATATATACTTAAGTATGCTTATGTACATAATAAAATAAAGAAATTTAGATACTTTTCTACAATTTCACAATTTATGCTGTACAATAAAAAGACATGATTAAAATTAAATCATAAAACTTACTAATATTTGATTGTGATTTGAGATCTATAAATTTTTTTAATAAAGTGGTGTCATTTTCCTCCTCATCATCATCATCAGACTTTGCATTGTCTTTTGAATCCTGTGCCAATTTACGACCAATCAACTGCAAGTATGCTGTGGCAGCTTCTTTTGTGCGTCTGCTCGGCCGTGCCCGAATCCCAAGATTGGTCCTGTATAAAACATCCATTAAAACCTAGTATACATGAAAAATTAATCCTAGCACCAATAACAACTGACATTTTGTCTTCAAATTATACAGCCTCTACTTTAGATAACTTTTATTTGTATAGACATATTCTAGCAAATACCCAAAACAGAAGCATTACATACTCAGTTTCTTCAACAATATGAGAGGTAACAGGTGACTCTGGTGAACCTGCAGCTGAAGTAACTTTATTCTGTTTATCCTCTTTGTTTGCTGCCTTCTTGCATGTACTTGGAGATGGTGAAGAGATTATTGGGGAAGACTTCATTGAAGGGAAATTGACTGGATTAGTTACAGGAGTAGACTTTTTAGTGTGATTATGGTTAGGTGGCGTAGAGATATATGAAGCAGAGTGAGATTTTTGCTCCTGAGAATATGAACTATTGGGTAAAGCACAATTTTCTTTAGGAAAGTTAAGTTTTGGCGATAGGCTTGTGAGAGTTTCTGACTCTGTAGTACTAGGTAACGTCTTCTCCTCTGAATCAGATATATTCGTGAGCAAAATAGTTGGAGAATATTTCTTCTGATTAGTTTGGGAATTATTTGAGGAAACATCTGGAGTTGAAGATTTCTTTGGAGTCTGAGAAATTATAGGTGATGGGGGAGCAGATGATACAGTACATTTTTTGGGCAAGACGGGGGAAACTGGAAGGTCTTGGGTGCTCCGGCGCAATCGTTTGGCAAGAGGAACTTGGTCAGGGGACTGTGAGTGCAGAGGCTGACTTACAACTGTTGAATTAGACTCTGATTGTTTGCAGGTCTCGCCCTCAGCATGCTTTGTTGCTGTTAGTAAAAATAACAAAATAATTAGAAATGAAATGTGTTGCAAGAATTAATTTAATTTGTGTAGAAAAAGGATTATGCAACATACACATTTCAAACCCTATATGCATTAACTGATGCCCAGCAATACTGTGCACGAGTTCCATCCAAAATATATAAATAAAAATAATAATACTATAAGATATAAACCATTTTGTAATTAGATAAGTTCAGGAGATAAACAATGCACATACAAAAAGCCTACATCTATTCACTCAATGACAACTTCCTAAAAAACAAGATAGTAAGATCGAGGAAACCAAGAATTTTAAACAGATGTGCTTACCTATCAGTGACTACAGTAAGTGAGATCTAGCTTTTTATGACCTGCCTTCTAGCCATTTCTACCTGATGCAATAATTATTTCTCTCAACATTAATGTTTTCATCATATGTTTTCCTATAGCTGTGGATGGAACTGGCTTCAACAACTTCTTTCTTCGATGCAGTCTACTTGCTGACCACTTGCATGACCAGCTTCCACTGATGCCCCCCCCCCTGTCCTACACCTTTTTTTAATTAAATAGACTTCCATTGTCCACTTGTTTATTCCCCTCGAGATCTTGTATGTAGTTATCATATCCTCTGTTTCTTCTGTCCTCTAAAGTTGAGAGAGTGAGTTCACTCAAACTGTCCTCGAAGCTGAGGCCTCTTAATTTAATCTAGTTACAAACCTCTGAACTTTCCCAAGTTCTTGTTTATGTTTTACAAGGTTTGGGTTACATGTTGGTGATGCATTCTTAAGTTATGGCCTTACACAGGCAGCATTGTTTAGATTTAATATGAACTTTAAAGCCTCCTTGTTTAGATTCTCAAAATGACATTCTTATGTTTACTAACTTTCCAGTTGTTGCTGATGTTACCCTGTTCACATGAGCTTCTGGTGTTAATGCCACACATAGCTGGAAATACACTCTGTGGAAGAAGTTTCACAAAGCAGCTATGAGTATACTGTTCAGTGAAGCACCATTTATCCAGGCAGGTAATAAAAAAACCAGCGTTGAATGCAATGAAACACCATTTTTTGGGGCGAGACCCGGAGGCTCCCCGGAGCTATACTGGGCTGATGTGTATATGTTAGACCGTGGCAACAGACAGTCAACAGAGTTCTAGGCCTACCGGGGACCACGAGCCAGAACCGGGCCCGCCTCAGGTAGGCACAAGGAGTAATAGCCTATAGACACCCCCCATGTAGTTGGAAGCAGTCTATGTCTGCCATGTACCAGGTCAGGCACCCAGAAAGGTAAGAATCTCAAAACAAACTACAGCTGGTTAAAAGTTGCAAACTGAAAGCCAAACGAGCAGGCAGAACTCCCCAATCTGAAAACAAGCATGAAGTCACCACATCCGCCACGCATCTGTCTGCACAGCTCCCCTTACCATTTGGGAGGGGGAAGGGAAAGCACCTGACCTCCTGCGCTGGCTACCCAACCCCAGTTCAGAAGCTGAATATAAAAAAACAAAAAAAAATGTCAACCGGAGAGAGGGAGGGATGCCCGGGAGCCTCCAGGTCTCACCCAGAAAATGGTGTTTTAATACATTCAACAGCCCTTCGGCTCCCAGGAGCTACCTAAGCAAAGATAAAGGAAAAGAAGGACTTACCCGGGAGGCAGCCACCAACTGCTTAACTCAAACTCGAAACAACTGGCTGCAACCTGTGACCCAAGGCTATACAAGCCCAAGAAGGGCCTGTAACATTAACTAGGTACCATGCGGCCAGGACCCTATTTGACCTCCGAAAACCCCGTGCCCGAATGTCAGCCCAGGACGTATTACCAAAAATAGCCAAAGCTGCGAACTTACAAACGTGGTGGGCAAAGGGATAGACCGCAGGCTGGCTGCACCAAATAATTCTGCAGATGACTTAGGAGACCCATGCCCTGGAACAGGCAAGAAGAGAAACCGGGTCAACCCATAGCGCGTCCCTTGCCCCGGAGGCTGAGGCGTGCAAGCAATAGTGAAGAGTCACAACCGGACATGAAACATGATGCACCCCCAGCCGAACCAACCAAGCATCAACAACCCAAGGAACCCTCCAGAAAGCAGCAGTCTCATTATTTGGTAGATAAGGAGACGGCTGCAAATGAACAAAACAACCACCAGGACCGAAAGAGCAGAAACCCCTGCGCTGGAGAAGAGCATGAAGCTCCCCGACCCGACCAATGTCAGCAAGAAGAGAAACAGTCATTAACCAAAAGGGACCACCACAAACTGAGGAGAAGAAAAGAGAGCACCTGGTCCAACAACCAGGACAACTCCGGCAATGCATGAGCAAGCCAGAGGTGAAACAACGCCAGAGAAAGCTTGCGGAACGGAGCAGAAGTGACATCCACCCCCAAACGCAAGCTGAAGCAGCTCCGCTAGCGCCGCACGATGACCACAGATGAACACCTGGCCACCACACAACACAAAAGCACAGCAGTGAGCACCACGGAGGCAAACACCCCCTAGGAAACTGAGGCCAGAGAAGCGTCTGCCCCGGTTGACATTAGCTTACGAACTGGAGTGCTATGCAGCCGGCTTGGTGAGGTCCGCCCCCCCCCCCGTCCCCCTCTCGGGGAGGGGAGGGCTGCGCAGACGAGTGCCGCAGGAGTAGTGTGTTACTTTTGCTTGTTTCCTTGGGATTGAAGGGCGTTCTACCTCTCTGTTCAGTTTTTGTTATTAGTTTCTTACCATGTGGGGTTTGTTTTGTCATGTCTACCTTTCTGGGTGCCTAACCCCGGTCAATGGCAGATAAGGGAAAACCCCTAACCACAGGGAGGGGGGGGGGGGGGTTTCCAGGGCCATTGCTCCCTGAAATCTCTCTGTAAGGGGCCAGGTTCTGGCTCATGGTCCCTGGTAGGTCAGAACTCCATGTAACGGCTGATTCCCTCCCTCCCCCTTCCCCCCCCCCCTTTGCCCATTTGTCAAGGGCTAAGAGGTTGACCCGAGAGTGGTCTTGCTAGCTTGGTCCTCTCGGGGCCTATGCTCCCCCAACTCCATTACCCCACTTTTCCCACTCCATTCTCCACCGAATTCCCTCTCTTCCTCCCTTTCACCGATTCCACCCTCCCCCCCCCATACCAGGCAAGTCAAATGTCCCTACCTTTTATCTTAGAGGAGAGAGGTTTGAACATAATTTATCAGTTTTTGAAAACATTGCTCTGATGTGTCCCAGGCTCGGGTGGTCCACTACAGAGGCGCCTTGTTCCCTTCGAATAGCTGGGGAGAGCTGACTCAATCTTCGAGAATTTCATGTACCTTCCGGCAGATCATGGAAGGTGAGTGACGGTAGATAAGTGCCAAGTCCTTATTGGCCCTGGAGAGCCAGATCTCAGGCCTAGTTTTAAATGCTTGGCTGTAGCCAAAAATAATGGGTGGAGCCCTGGGGCTGTATTAGATTGTGGGAGGAGCAATCCTTCCACTGGTAAGCTGGTGAAACAAAATTTGGTAGTGTGTTCTGGGAGTGCTTGGGGGTGGGAACTCGGTCCGGCATCAAAGGGGCTGAGGGCAGCCATCGACATCTTGGCCTAAGTGCGGTTTTAAGGTATTGTGCACTTGAGTATTCATGTCCTCGGTAGATATCCATTTTGCCTCTTAGGGATAATAGAGTAGGGCATATGTTCATTTGATTTCAATATATGTGTTAAATAAAAAGTATTAATTGGTTTTTGATTGTTTAGTTATCTCTGTCCCTTTTGTTATTAATGTTGAACAGTTTCTATATGCAATATATATATGTGTGGTATTTGGGAATCCCCCTGTTCTCCTCCATTTAATGGATATTAAAGTTGCCCTTGGACCTAAATAAGCAAAGTAAATTAAACATACTAATTCCCAAGATTTATTACCGAAGTTCCTATTGTCCGGGAGTTCATGATTACTGATCCCTTGCCTTCCTGGGGAATCGGTGACAGATACATTCAGGTATGTTAGATCGGGAAGGTGGTGGCAGTGTTTAATGAGAATTTAATTATTAGTTATAAATTAATAACCCCTATTCTTGTTGTGTCCTCCTCATTTAATATTCAGCTTATATTCGTGGCAGCTCAGTGAGGGGTCATACCGAGATGTAGCAGTGTTAAGCTGGGGTATTGAGTGAAGGGAAAGGGTAGAGCAGAGAGAGAGAGAGAGAAAGGTAAGGGTTATTACATCCATAGCTAATGTCCCGGTCTAATATAAAATACATTAGCCCGATAAGCTCCAGGGAGCCGTAGGGGCTCCCCTCAGAAAGTGCAATGTAAATTAACTAAGCCTGGTTAAGACAGCTGAGAAAATCTACCTATGTGTGGTGAAGTGCAGCACACATGTAACCCTGTGTGCCATACCAGCCAAAATACTTCAACCTCAACCAAGGAAAAGATGGAGGCTCAAAACTCCTGACTTACCCCAAGGCAAAGGCCATCACAAGCAAGGTGGACCTTTAAAGGAATATCACGCCGAACACTCCAGGGAAGAAAACCCTGACAGCACAGGGGAAGCACTAGGGAGCCCTCAAGAAAGGAAACCCTGAAAACATGTAGCTCAAAGTGCACTAAACTCCTGGCCCATGAGCATCAAAGTGCAAGGAACAGCCTTAAAAAAAAAAAGAAAACCCAAGAAACATCGAGGCCAGAGTGACAGTGGCGATCCTGGCACAAATCAGAAGAGAACTGACAGAGGAGTAGCCTGCAAGCCATGGCCTGCCCCCCCCCCCACCCCACCCTCCTCCCCTAAACGAGGAGAAGGGTAGGGCGAATGAGCAGGTGCTGGTGTTTACAACTTTTTTATTGTTTGTTTACATAGTTTGGAGAGTTCAATGGCTGTTTTTGAGCCCACAGGTCTTGAAACCTGATGTGATTTCTTTTGACTTTTTGGGTGCCTTCCTTGGTGGTGGCACAAATGAATACCTCAATATATAAATGCCACAGCTCCCTTTGCCTCTGTGAGGAGACCAGGTTCTGGCTCTGGGTCGTCGGTAGGCCAGAGAACTCCGCAGCTGATGGCACCTAGTAGTTGGCTGTTTCAGGAAGCTACAAGGAGCTCCTCCCAGAAAAAAATCCTTTCTTGTTCTTGTATACTGAGTTCTCTATCCCCTTTGCATACTCAAGTTTTATTACCACACATCACAACTGGAAGTCGTATACTAACACTTTGTTCCATTTTTAACTTCCATACTAACATTCCTTAATTCATTGTACTATTCACCTCTCCTATCACTCTTTATCCGCTCAATACTCATTCTTTTATTTCATCTTCCAATCTACCATTTTATATGACATTACTCAAAGTATTTAATATTTATTAACTCATCCAATATTTCCTCTCAATTTATCAATAATATAGCTCCATAACAGTTTACTTTCACTCCAACTACAGGTGTTTTTTTGCATTTTTTCCTCCAACCCATCCGTTTATACATTACAGCCAGGAAGACATTACACAACTCTATCTTACCCCATTAAAGCCTATTTTTCCCCTACTTTTATACATGCTCAGTTATTCATAAAGACTTTACTGCTGTGACTAAACAACTTCCCATCCCACAGATTTGTAAAACATCCCGCTAAACTTCATGATCAATCCAACCATATACTTTCTCCCAATACAAAATTCTCAGAAGCACCTCTACGTATACATAAAACAATGCAGCTGCCTTCCCCTTGCCAGAAACTTTTCAACAACTATGCTCACAGTGAAAATCTGATCTGTACAGCCCGTCTCCATAGTAAATCTATCTTGTTCCAGCTCTATTCAATATTCTGTTATATATCTTACTTTTCTGTACTCATTCCCTGGAATATCATGCAAACCAATGACTTTTTTAATTCTACATTCTTCCCTCATTGCCTTTTCCCTATTTATAGGCACCACATTGACCTCAGTCAAATCATCTGGCACCACAGCCTCTTGCCACAGCATCAGCCATACATCTATTTCCACCATCACCACATCCCCAGGCGCATACCTCAACTTATTTGCAGATATTCCAATAATTTCTTCATCTATTCTCATCTATAATACTGGTCTTCTTCCACCCCATTCCATCATTCCATAAAATAGCCATGTCTTACAGCTGATGGATGTAACTGTATGGGGTCAGTACTAATTATTCCATACAAGTGGGAATACATGGTACTTTCACATCTTTTATCTACACATGAAATGTATCAAACTCTTTTCTCCATTTCATTCTCTTCCCTTCAGCTATGTGTATACTTATGAATGAACTAATGCATATTCCTGAGAGAAACAAACTCCTCTAGTAACACGTCCACTAAGAAATACCCATTACCATTTACACTAGGCATGTACCCTTTCCTCTGCAACAATTTCCCTTCTGCATTCATATTCCCAAGCATAAGAATTTTCATACTATCTTGTGGCTTCTCCACACAAACTTTCAATCAGTTCTAAAACACCTCCATGGTATGGCCAAAGAAAAAAGGACAGCAGTTTAGGAAATCATATAAAGTGGTTAGATTGAACCTCAGTTTGATTCTTAGGCAGAGAATGATATGTGGGAAGCTTTCTTTACACACTGCTTACCAAGCAGTAAATAGATACCTGGAAGTTGGATATCAAGGTATGAATTTTTTTTATTCTTCCTAGATATATCTTCCATATGTGTCTGACCCAGAGTGACTGATAACCTTAGGTTGGCATCAAGGATATTTGGGTTTGTTATGCACAAGTTGAAAGCATTAGGAACTTACCTTCTCGTGTAACCCTGACAACTTTCTTAACAAGAAGTTTTTTCCTGGGCAACTTCTGTCTAACTAATCTGACAGGTCGAGATATAAGTGATGACTCTTGAGATACACCTTCCTTTTTTCCAATCTTCCCAATGTCACGTTTCTCAACTTTCTCTATTACCTTCCCCTGTTGCTCACCTTCTTCAGTTTTATCTTCAGTTTCATCACCTTTATCCTCAGCCTGACTACGTGTTATTCTAGTCAGTCTTGAATCTTGGTTTGCGATAGAGCTGCCCAGTCTGAAATTTAAAAATATATATAATTTTACCAATCTGCTTTATTTACATATAATGAATACAGTAAGGTATTTTAAATTAATTTTTTTTGTACAGGCAGCCTTTACTATGCATGAAGGTTGAATGCCTGGAAAACCTCTGCACAAATGAATTCAGGAAAAATTAACTTTAGGTTATATGGGTAAAAGAGGGATAACCTTCAGAGACCTCCCAAAGTTCACCTTTTCCACCCCGTGAACATTGTTACCAAGTAATTAACACTTCCAGCTACAAAGATGCAAAATAAACAACATTCCCAATCACAAATAAATAATATAAAGACTTATATACAGCGGTACCTTCGTTTATGAATTTAATCCATTCCCAGAGACGGGTTGTAACCCAAAACAAATTTTACCATAAGAAATAATGTAAACTTAATTAATCCGTTCCACACTCCCAAAAATATGAACTTCAAAATACATTTCATATATAAAAGACACAAGTATTTTGTACTATAGTATGTACAAGTTATAGCTTACCATTATTGATGACTCTTGTTGGTGTATGGAAGACTGTGAGGAGGAGAGGAGGAGGAGGAGAGGTGTTGGTGATTGGAAGGGGTAGTTCCCTTCCATTATAACATCAGGCAGTGATGACCTCTCTGAGGTACTCTCTCTCCTACGTTTTGCCTGCATATCACTAGGACCTGGTTGTGGCTCACTGCTTGTTTGTCTCACTAAGAACTATTCTATAGACTTGTTTTTCCTCAATGGTCATCCTCACATGTGTTTTTTATGGGTTGACCCTTACCACTGACTTTCTTGGGACCCATGGCATGGTATATAATAATTACTTTTATGTTTAGAAATAAAAAAAAAGCATTGAATGTAATGGAATGCCATTTTCTGGACGAGACCCGGAGGCTCCCTGGAGCTATCCAGGCTGATATGTATCTATTAGCTTTCTGGCATCAGTCAAAGTGCGTTGAGTTCTTGCCTACCGGGGACCATGAGCCAGAAACTGGCCCCCCCCTCACAATAGAACAATGGCCTATAGAAACCCCTGTGCGGTTGGGAACATTCTATGTTTGCCATCGACTGGGTCTGGCACCCAGAAAGATAGGCGCCTGAAAATAAACCCCTATTCTAGTGAAAATATTGCTACCGAAAGCCGAATGAGTGGACAGAACTCTCCAAACAAAAATTAGCAAAATGAGCATGATGTCATCACGTTGCTGCACTACTGTTTGCGCACCCCCCCCCCTCCCTGGGAGAGAAAAGGGGGAGCCCCAGACCCTTACGCCAGCGATACAACTGGAAGTTTTTAGGCTGGACTTTCCCCCCAGAAAAGCTGAAAAACAATTAAATTCTTTACAAAGAATTTACGAAGAAATTGAGCTCGTAACCCGAAAAATTCGCAAAAATTTCTTAACCAGAATAGGGGTTTGTTTTAGAGAGCTTACCTTTCTGGGTACCTGATCCGGTCGATAGCAGACATAGAATGCGTCCAATCACATGGGGTTTTCTATAGGCCATTGCTCCTCGTGCCTCTCTGAGGGGGGCCAGGTTCTGGCTTGTGGTCCCTTGTATGCCTATGAACTCCTTTCACATTGATGGCAAAGTATAATATTAGCAATATCAGCCTGGATAGCTCCAGGGAGCTGACGGGGCTTCCCCAGAAAAAATCTCAAATTTATTTTCATTTTTTTTCAATTATCAAATTAGGTCCATTTTTGGCCATATGGGTAAACAGCCAAATTCAGACATAATTTGTAAGAGGACAGGTTAACTTGATAGGGAAAAATCAGGGATTCAAGGGAAGAGAGAAAAAAAGAAAATCTTGAGAATCGTGCTAAGAAAGAATCTTTCCATATTCACAGAAAATCCTGAGTTCTGAGCTAATTAACCCATTAAAATGTTACTTAAGAAAAAGTGTCAACCTACAGTGAACAACAACAGAAAATATTAAGGGAGACATATCCGAGCTGCAGTGAAGGTCCCCAAATTAACAGGGCAAAAAATATAAGAAGATATTATTAAACAGTTGCTTCAGAAAACCCAAGACGCCAACAGGAGACAAAGATTACCTAGTGTGATGCACTGAGAACACTGGAGAGGAATTCTGGAGAGGTAGCAGGCAATGAGCGTGCAATCAGTTTGTAAATTCCAGAGTGCAGATGTTGGAACAGGACACTGCCAAGAACAATGTTTCGATAGAGGTAACTTCTAAAGGTCTTGCACCTGAGAATACACTGTAATTACCTAAGTGTAATTACCTAAGTGCAGTTACAGGATGAGAGCTACGCTCGTGGTGTCCCATCTCCCCAGCCCTATTTGTCATACAACATTTTGAAATTATTGACAGTTTTGGCCTCCACCACCCTCTTACCTAACTTGTTCCAACCATCTACCAATCTGGTTACAAAAGTGAATTTTCTTATATTTCTTCGGCAGCTTTGTTTCGTTAGTTTAAATCTATAATCTCTTGTTCTTTAAGTTCCAAGTCTCAGGAACTTCCTTATCAATTTTATAGATTCCTATTACTATTTTGTACGAAGTGATCATGTCGCCTCTTTTCTTCTATCTTCTAGCTTTTGCATATTTAATGCCTCTTATGCCCAGCTGTCAGGCTTAGGGTGCCTGACAGCTGGGTGGATAGCTCTTCGGATTCCAAGTCCTGAAGTCTCCGCCTCCACCAGGAGGCGGAGACAAATGGGAAAAATGTTTCTTTCACCCTGATGCCCTGTGTTACTTAGCAGTAAATAGGTACCTGGGAGTTAAAGAACTGCTATGGGCCGCTTCCTGGGTGTGTGTAACAAAAAGGAGGCCTAGTCGACGAATGAGTCGCGGAGACGCTAAGCCCCAAAATCATCTCAAGATAACCTCAAGATAATCTCTCCTCGTAGCTCTTGTTCTTCAGTTCTGGGAGCCACTTAGTGGCATGTCTTTGCACCTTTCCCAGTTTCTTGATGTGCATCTTAAGATATAGGCACCATACAACCACTGCATATTCCAGCTTTGGTCTAACAAAAGTCGTGAACAATTTCTTTAGTGTTTCTTCATCCATGTATTTAAAAAGCAATTCTAAAGTTAGAATGTGTAGCATAGGGCCCTTCACAATGTTCTTAACGCCCAAGCTCCAAAGGGCTATTTGGCCTTTGTCACCCACAGGCGCATAAAAAAAATAAAAAAAATTTCTTCTTAACCTGTTAATTTGTGTTCCTTGACCACGAGAAAAAAACAAAAATTTAATTGTACTTACCAATGACGTAAATGAGCCGACAATATGAGCGATGACGTCACACCCTGCATGCACGCTCATGCAAGGTGCGTCCCTGAGCCGTCGCATGCGCTCTTCAAGCAGCCAGAGTTGCCACAAATTTATTTTCACGGCATTACTTACAGTGTCTAGAGGTATTTTATCACAATTTTTTTCACTAATTGTGTTGCATAGAATGTTATTTGATGTTGAATTATAATACAAATTGCATACATTGAGTATACACTTGAATGATAGTGTCACAGTAATGCACACACAAATGTTTTCAATTATGCCATATATAATATGTATTCACATTTTTCATTATTATATTTACACACATCCACTCACTATTTACAGGTTTTTGCAACATTATTGCACATTTAGAAGTCTTGGAGACAGTGGTAGTCGTTGAAGCAGTTGACAGCACACAATGGGACAGCACATACTTCACACCATGTTTGCACCAGTTTACGTTTCTGTTTACGTTTACGTTTCTATCGGGGAAGGGGTGAGGAGGTGGATGTATCGGGGGAGGGGTGAGAGGTTGGATGATGGGGGGAGGGGAGGAAGAGGGGAAGAGAGGTGAGAGAGGGGGGATGTTTGGGGGCGAGTAGTGAGAAGGTGGATGATTGGGGGGGGGGGGGAGTGGAAGAGGTGGGGGGGAGTGAGAGGTAAGAGGGGGTGGATGTTGCAGGGGGATGAAGTGGAAGTGGGGAAGAGAGGAGAGGAGAAGGAAGAGAGGAGGAGAAGGAGAGAGGAGGAGAAGAGAGAGGGAGGAGAAGGAAGAGAGGAGAGGAGAAGGAGGAGAGAGGAAGAGAGGAGAGGAGAAGGAAGAGAGGGGAGGAGAAGGAAGAGAGGGGAGGAGAAGGAAGAGAGGGGAGGAGAAGGAAGAGAGGGGAGGAGAAGGAAGAGAGGAGAGGAGAAGGAAGAGAGGAGAGGAGAAGGAAGAGAGGAGAGGAGAAGGAAGAGAGGAGAGGAGAAGGAAGAGAGGAGAGGAGAAGGAGAGAGGAGAGGAGAGAAGGAAGAGAGGAGAGGAGAAGGAAGAGAGGAGAGGAGAAGGAAGAGAGGAGAGGAGAAGGAAGAGAGGAGAGGAGAAGGAAGAGAGGAGAGGAGAAGGAAGAGAGGAGAGAAGGAAGAGAGGAGAGGAGAAGGAAGAGAGAAATACAGTGGTACCTCGCATAACGAATTTAATCCGTTCCATGTTCGTCATGTGAAACGGACGTCATACAAAACGAGGGTCCCCCCATGTAACCAGTGTGATGCACTGTGTTTATTGTGAAATTCCCCCAGAGTGCATGACATCAAATGTTCCCCAAAATATCATTTTTCTTTGCAAAATGATAAATTACCGTCCCTGAACATGTCTATGTAAAAATAATTACCAAATTCCACTTACTTTGGCTGTGAGGGCGTGGACAAGGTGCGCTGTGACGTCATCAGGGCCTGGTCGCCCGTGTGTGAAGCTCCCAGACACGGTCGCGCAGGCCATTCAAGCACCGCGTGTTGCCACAAATATATTTTCAAATATTTTTTCTATGCATTTCCAATGCGGTTTTATTTGTTTCTTTTATCGTATATGATGCATATTTGTGACCTTTACAATATGTATACAGTAGAATGTTCATAATTTTCCATGGAACTGTGATACATGCGTCAGTAATGTGTCCACAATAAATGTTTATTGTCACAATATTACATGGTAAAAATTCACTAAAATTACAATATGTACAGTTTCACATACTATTTACACAGTAACACACTGTATTACACACTCAGTACTTTGGAGGTGCGTAATAGTCAACGAAGTAGTCTATGGTGCACAGCGCGACTTTGCTCTCCTTGCACCAGCTACAGATAGATTTTCGTTTCCTGTTTCATCGTTCTGTGTGCTTGCAAATAACGCACTCGTGTGCACCCTTGGCTTTAGTACTTGTAGGTGGTATGTAGCCAAGCTTGTAAAGCATAAGGTAGTATTGAAACGATTATAGGAAAAGCTCAATTTGTAAGGTAGTCTAGCTTGAAAAGATCGCTTTGTAAGGTCCCACACAGGAAGAGATTCAGCTAGCCTCAAAGAGTGTCCATCAGTCAGGAAGAGATTCAGGTATTCTTGAAAATATCAATGAACAAGACCACCATGGAAGCCACTAACACTTCATCTATGCTACTTGTATCAGATGCATCATCACTGAATGCAGAAAACGATTCATCTATGTATCATCTATATAAATTCGAGATGGCAAGGGTGGGGCTCAGAGCTACACCTGGATACGCTCGCTGTATCATCCTCATAGGTGCTGTATCACTGGCATCCGACCGTTGTGTTAAGCCCTTATTGCGCCTAGCTTCACCAATGTTATGACCCTTATGTTCTTCAAACAATAGGGCCTGAATTGCACCGATTGAGCGCAGTCTTTCAACACCGTGTGGGACAGGTGTTTGGGAGCCAGAGGTATGTGTGCCACAAATGGTTGCTCACGCAGTACTAACCCAGCCAGCAGCACTAGTCTTTCATATTCGTTATAGCAAAAGGTTCGTTCAGTGTTTGTTGGGTAGGCTGCTCCATTATGACAATCTTTCTTTGTTTAAATGTGTTCCATTTGTTTTGTATTTGTCACTTACGTCTCAATAATGGAGCAGCCTACCCGACAAACACTGAACGAACCTTTATGGCATTTGTCCATTTTTCAAATTGTTTCAACAGTTCTTTTATCTTTCGTTTTTTTTTTATTTAAGAAACATGGAGCAGCCGACCTGTAGACCACCGAACGAACCTTTTTGACATCTGTACTGGTTTTCAAAATTCTTCATTTTTTTATTATTTACGTTTTTTGTATGTAAGAAACATGGAGCAGCCTACCTGCCGACCACCGAACGAACCTTTTGCTATAAGACAGATGAAAAATAAATATTGAACACATTTGAAGAAAGGAAAATGTCATAATGGTTTATTCAGTGTATGTAAGGTAGGCTTCTCCATTATTGAGACGTAAATGACAAATACAAAACAAATGGAACACATTTGAAACAAAGAAAGATTGTTATAATGGAGCAGCCTACCTGCCGAACACCGAACGAACCTTTTTGACATTTGTTGTATATCAGACATTTCATTTCTTTTTTCCTACAAAAACGTCAATGCTTTGCAACATCTCAGCAGTCACCATTTTATATCCCAGCATCATTAGCATCTTTAAACAAGAACAACATAATTTATGTGCATTGTCGGAGGCGTCTAAGAATGTGCAAGAAGCAGCGCGACCCCACCGTGTGGTGTTGACGTTACTCAAACCAGCGTTCGTCATACGGGACGATTTGACGCCGATCGGGCCGTTCGTTACCCAAAATGTTCGTCATTTGGTAGCGATCGTTATGCGAGGTACCACTGTATAAAAATATATATGAGAGAGGGGGGAAAGAGTGGAAAATAGAGAGAAGGGGAGGGGGGGAGAAAAACCCAGGCACAGCTGGGCACCTCCATTTTTTTTCAATATGCATTGGTGTGTAAGCCGAACTTGAGGGTTGATTTTCAACTTCTGACACTTTCAAACTGTAATGTGTTTTAGTTCCTTTCTTGTACTATAGTTTATGGTTCAAATTTTTACCTCTTAACCCTAAGGTAAATAAAATCAGGAGAATTATTGGACTTATCAGTCTCTCAATGAATGAGAACTTTCCTGTGAGATCTGTAAGCTGAACATGTTAAGAACAGAACACTTTATGCTACTGCCCACTGAGTAAACAGAAGTGAAACTTAAAATCCTTATGCAAGTGATGAGTCACAATAACGTGGCTGAAGTATGTTGACCAGACCACACACTAGAAAGTGAAGGGACGACGACGTTTCGGTCCTTCCTGGACCATTCTCAAGTCAATTCTCACAATCGACTTGAGAATGGTCCAGGACGGACCGAAACGTCGTCGTCCCTTCAACTTCTAGTGTGTGGTCTGGTCAACTTAAAATCCTTCTATGCAATCATAAAGAACTGTTATAATTTCTCCAAAATCTGCACACAAGTTTTTCTAAGGCAAAAAATTAGTACTTCAAGTGAAATAATGCAACAATTGGATTTCACAAACCACCCTAATAAAGGTGTTGATGTCACTTTACAAATAAGACGAGTGAGCAGCCTATTATCTTGATTTGCTGCAACATATAAAACTCCTAATCTAACCAGAAACGTATGCACCCAAGGAACTCACAACCTAACCTAACCTAGTGATGCATAGAAAACAGATATTTTGAGTTGTTACTTTTCATAGTACAGTACTTTGTCATTTGAACGTTAGGGACCATAACATACAAAATAAAGTGTATTAGTTGAGAGGATAGATGGGTGTGAGAACAGAGCAGTCAGTAATGAATGCTTTAACATTATGGTAAGGGCTATTAATGTCAACTCACTGTATGCAAGTTGAGGCTACACAAGAGTGGGATGAGGGACTGCTCTCTGGTTGATTTTCCTCATTTCTTATTGGAAAGAAGACACAAATAACATACATAAAAGACAGCAGATAGTAAGTAATATGATTAACATCATTTGCAACTACAAGTAAAAAATAACAAGTAATACAAACTCAAAGTGATAATCTCTAAAGAAAAAAAAAAAGAATCTTAAAATTCCTTCATAAATTAGCATCATGCTCATAAGAATTGATTAGCCATGTTAGTAACTATCAAAGTTGTAGCATAGCAGAGGAATTGTGAGAAACATTACCTGCAGTACAACAGCAGAAAAAATACATTTATTTATATTTCAGCCAAGAATAAGGGTGAACAAAAAATCAGCGTTGAATGTAATGAAATGCCATTTTCTAGGCGAGACCCAGAGGCTCCCCGGAGGCAACCCGTTCTCGCAAATTTAATAAGTCAATATTGACTTATTAAATATGTGCATAGGTGACATACTTAACATAATAGTTTCCCTTGAAAAGCTTCATAGAAAACACCGACCTTACCTAACCTTCTTAGTATGTTGAGATAAGCATCTTATTGCTTCGTAATTACAATTATTACCTAACCTATACCTATAATAGGTTAAGTAACAATTGTAATTACAAAGCTATAAGATGCTTATTTTAACATATTAAATAGGTTAGGTAAGGTCGGTGTTTTCTACGAAGCTTTTCAAGGGAAACTATTATGTTTAGTATGTCACCTATGCACGCAACTAATAAGTCAATATTGACTTATTAAATTTGCGAGAACGGGTTGCCGGAGGTATACCGGGCTGATGTGCATATATTAGACAGTGGAAACAGTCAGTCAATGGAGTTTTAGACCTATTGGGGACCAGAGCCAGAGCCTGCCCCCCCCTCAAGAAGAAGCACGAGGAGCAATGGCCTAAAGACATCCCCGTGTAATTGAAAGCAGCCTTTGTCTGTCATCTACCAGGTCAGGCACCAAGAAAGGAAGGAATTCCAAAAACTACTGCTGGTCAAAAATTGCAAACCAAAAGCCGAAGGCACTATGGGGAACTTCAAAAAATTTTAATGAGTGTAATTGGACAGGCTTGTTGCTAGGCAGGAAAGTAAATGAAATGTATGCCAAATTTTGCAAAATATACGATGAAGGCACACAGACATTCATACCAATGTCACTAACATTGCCATTATGATGCATGCCATTAGGAACATGCCAATAGGAACATGCCACTAAGTGGCTCCCAGAACTTAAGGACAAGAGCTATGAGGAGAAGTTAGAGGCAATAAATATGCAAAAACTAGAAGATAGAAGAAAAGGAGGCGATATGATCACTATGTTCAAAATAGCAACAGGAATCGATAAAATTGATAGAGAAGAATTCCCAAGACCCGGAACTTCAAGAACAAGAGGTCATAGATTTAAACTAACGAAACAAAGTTGCCAGAGAAATATACGAAAATTCACTTTTGTAAATAGAGTGGTAGACGGTTGAAACAAGTTAGGTGAGAAGGTGGTGGAGGCCAAAACCATCAATAATTTCAAAGCATTATATGACAGAGTGCTAGGGAGACAGGACACCACGAGCGTAGCTCTCATCCTGTAACTACACTTAGGTAATTACCCAAAACAGAGATGCAGGGGGCAGAGAATAGGATTGGTTCAACAGAATTGGCAAGAGGGCCAGAGACCAAAAGATACAAAAATGGAATCAATATAGGAAGAGGCCAAACCCCCCAAACATACCAGCGATACAAAGATACGAGAACAACTATATGGCAGTAAGGAGAGAGGCAGAAAGAAATTTTGAAAAAGTAATAGCAGATAAATGTAAAAGAGAACCGGGCCTATTCTACAAATTCACAAACAACAAATTGCAGGTAAAGGATAATATCCAGAGGTTGAAAATGAGAAACAGAATCACAGAAAATGAAAAGGAAATGTGTGAAACATTAAACGAAAAGTTCCAAATTGTGTTTGTACAAAATGAAATCTTCAGAAAACCAGACACAATAAGAATTCCAGAGAACAACATAGAGCACATAGAGGTGTCTAGAGATGAAGTGGAAAATATGCTAAAGGAGCTAAGTAAGAACAAAGCGGTTGGCACAGATGGAGTTTCACCGTGGGTTCTGAGGGAATGTGCATCTGAGCTCAGCATTCCACTTCACCTGATCTTTCAGGCATCCCTGTGTACAGGAGTCGTAGCAGACATGTGGAAAAAGGCTAACATAGTACCAATCTACAAAAGTGGCAGCAGGGAAGACCCCTTCAATTATAGACCTGTATCATTGACAAGTGTAATAGTCAAAGTATTGGAAAAATAATAAAAACTAAATGAGTAGAACACCTGGTGTGAGAGAATGGTCTCTCAAGATTCTCCTACAGCTGACTTGAATGGCTCATTGCAGTGCACAGTGCACTGATCCTCGTGCAAAAGCCCTATCTCTGTTAACCCTGGATAGTAAACTGGCATGTTGGGTATCTCCAGGATGCCCACTTAACCAGGAATACGCTTATAATACGAAGGCCGCCGTATGTCCAGGCAGGAAGTAGATACAGGGAAGTTACTGGCCATAGGGTCAGAGAGTACATTGGCTGGTGCCAGCATGAGAGAGACGCCGGCGAGGCGACAGGACAGTCTGACCTCTGGGGGTCAGCCTCAACCGGTGCAATGGAGAATAACAACTGTGACGTGGTCATGATGTGTTCATGACATCACCTCTGCTACTGATCATGGAACAATCAATATGATTGGGTCCCCTCTTATTTGCTGCAATGTCATTGGTCAAATTGTAACCCCTTGTGTTGTGTCTCACGAGATGCCCTGCATTCTCTTGCAAAGGCATTCACGTGAGGGAGCCCTTGCATAGAGGACGTGTCCTGTTCTGTCTATCGGCCAATAGACAGAACAACACCGTCTATTCCTCACCGTCAAGTTAAACTCAGCGTCTTTTCGATATACCAACACTCGCCCGGAATCCCGACTGTGACTATATTGTTCAGAAGCCTAGTAGTGACAAATCACCAGAGTGAAACAGACTGGTATCAGGTAACCCTTGGTGTTAAATAGAGATCGTCTGTGAGTGACCTAGAGTGAACTAAGGCAGTGCAGTCACCTAAGTAACCTGTGTGTGACTTTACCACAAGTGTACCGCATGGTACCATATAGTCAGCCGCCGCCAGCCGCCACTCTGTCCCGAGTGTGTAGCCCACCAGCCGCCGCCCTCACTGTACTACGCGACGTCACCACCCTTACTCATCGCCAATGCCACCAAGTGTGTGCGTGTCGGTAAGACATACCGCACGCCCTCCTGCGAGTACCCCCGTGTCAAGTGCGGTTTGTGGGAAAGCCTGTCGTCAATGGTCTCACGTCGTGACGAGCAGAACCAGCTGTCAGGCCACCTACGAGTTCTTGCATAAATGTGCCTGAGTAAGTGAGTGAATAAGAGAGGTACCCACCTGTAAGTACAAGATCTTGTCATTGTTTTATTTTGTCTGTCTGTGTTGATCTGAGGTATCGACCACAGTTCTCACCTTCTCATACCTGACACTGGTATAGGTGGAGACCTAGACACCTGACGGTGTATGCGTGTTTATCTGTGTGGTATCACGACATTACACTCGTCTGTGAATGTGAGCTTCACATACACCACACATTTAGTATTGTGTGATATTATTATTGTGCATGTTATTGCCTGTCCCATTGACAGTGCCATTGTCGAGTTATTGCATATCATCATTACCCGAGTATCCGGTTGGAACTCTTGTAATCCCTTTGCATACCGGTAATTAGGTTGCTGTGTTAATGATTGGCTGTCAATTGTGTTAAGTTAGGTGTTACTTCACGAGTGGATCCGAGTTGATTAGCCAGACGTCAAAAGTCTCGCTAATGCAACCATAGCCTTTCTGACACAATCTAAAGTAAATCAAGCACCATTTGTATTAGTGGTTAAGTTAGTAAATAAACTGCTGTTAAGCTTTATGTGTTGTTTCCGTTGAACCACTTCAGATTTGAACCACTTCAGATTTGAACCACTTCAGATTGCACATTTAATGTCCAACAGGACATGATCACTCTTTCCCAATGGAGGAAGGTACTGGGTGTCAAATATCTCCATTCTTCCTGGTGAATATTGGATCTAGTACTGACGGAACATCCCCTTCCCTCACTGTTGTGGCCTGCTTGACGTGCTGATACATGAATGTCTCCAAAATGAGGTTTAAAAATCTGCCTGTCCAAATGTCCTTCATTCTTGCTTCGTAGGCCTCCCAGTTAAAGTTGAAGTCCCCAAAACCAACAATCGTGATTTATCTTTATCCGCTTGTACCTGGTACGCAGGATTTCACTGGCTGAAGCCCCAGACTAATATAGCATATATCGGTCTAATAGCTCAAGGGAGCCTCCGGGGCTCACCCAGAAAATGGCGCGAGTTTAATGTGACGAAAGCATTGAAAGAAACACCTATTAGGGAAAAGTTATCGAGTGTACGTCGAAAGTTTATAAAAGTGAGACTAATATGTTCTAACATGCAAATGTTCTTTTCGAGCATTCTATTGCGAACCATTTGATACCAAATTGAACATAGTAGCACGAAAATTGAGGTGAGAAAGCTGTAAAAAGAGTCTAAACATTGGAGTGAGGTTGTGTGCTCACGGGCAATGCTCGACCGGCCTTGCGGCATGCGGCGGGTCACCTGCCGACCCAGCGAAAGTGTCAATACAGTAAAAAAAAAAATTCAAATGAATAACCAAAAAACTTAAAACAAGAACATATATAGTATAATATGTTGTAAAGTACTTGAGCCCTTATACCTTTGTAATATCCTTGACAACTTTTGTTTAGGGCGTATTGAAGAGAGCATTGCAACCCGTGCTTTCTTTCGTGCCAAAGCTGTAGTGGCTGAAACACGATATTTATGCAACAGTCGCCCTGACCTTGTGGCCGCTACAGGTCCTTGAACTGGTGACGAGTCGACTGCTTGAATATCTGATCGTCTTAGAGCAGCCTTTTTTCTCTCTGTAAAGTGAAAAGATTAAATTTTATATATATAACCATATAACCTAAATCACATTTAACTATTTCAAAGTGGGCATCAAATGCCTAAATTTTTCAAAGAAACTTCATTTTATATAAATTTTGTAAAAATTATTTTGGGTTTTCTGATTACCATTATGAATGAAGCAACACCAGGGAGGATTTCTTAGTAAGAGAAAGAGGAAAACAATAGCAAGAAATATCCAAACTCTACTATCAACTTGGACAAATGCTAGATAGGACATGGACAATATGGCACCCCGACCAGAACCATTGATATTAACACCAAGTAAAATACAGCGCACTTTCACAAAAACGATAACATCTTTCTTATTTGCCAACATTCAAGGCATCAAAGCAAGCAAAACAAAGCCCACTTAATTAATAACTGGTCTCCCAAATGAGGCAAATGCAATATTTGCAACTTAGACTGAAAGTCACACAAAAGACTATTATGACAAATGCCTAAATGTAATTCTGGAAACTGGAACATATTGGAGGGGTGACAGGTAAGCTTCTAATATGGATGAAAAATTTCCTGATAGAAAAATGAGGACCGTAATCAGAGGCAATGTATCGAATTGGAGGAATGTCACAAGTGGAGTACCACAGGGTTCATTTCTTGCACCAGTAATGTTCATTGTCTACATAAACGATCTACCAGATGGAATACAGAATTATATGAACATGTTTGCTGATGATACTAAGATAATAGGGAAGATAAAAAAAACCCTAGTTGATTGTCATGCCCTTCATGAAGACCTGGACAAAATAAGTATATGGAGCACCACTTGGCAAATGGAATTTAATGTGAATAAATCCCATGTTATGGAATGTGGAATAGAACATAGACCCCACACAATTTATAAATTATGTGAGAAATCTTTAAAGAATTCTGATAAAGAAAGAGATCTAGAGGTGGTTCTAGATAGAAAACTATCACCTGAGGAGCACATAAAGAACGTTGTGCAAGGAGCCTATGCCACACTTTCTAACTTCAGAATTGCTTTTAAATACATGGATGGCGAAATACTAAAGAAATTGTTCACGACTTTTGTTAGACCAAAACTGGAATATGCAGTGGTTGTATGGGGCCCATATCTTAAGAAACACTTCAACAAACTGGAAAAGGTGTAAAGACATGCCACTAAGTGGCTCCCAGAACTGAAGGACAAGAGCTACGAGGAGAGGTTAGAGGCATTAAATATGCAAAAACTAGAAGATAGAAGAAAAAGAGGCGATATGATCACTACGTACAAAATAGTAACAGGAATTGATAAAATTGATAGGGAAGAATTCCTGAGACCCTTCAAGAACAAGAGGTCATAGATTTAAACTAATGAAACAAAGCTGCCGGAGAAATGTAAGAAAATTCACTTTTGTAATCAGTGGTAGATGGTTGGAACAAGAACCAAAACCGTCAGTAATTTCAAAGCATTATATGACAAAGAGTGCTGGAAAGATGGGACACCACGAGCTTAGCTCTCATCCTGTAACTACACTTAGGTAATTATACTTAGGTAATTACAATGAGATATGGATACCATAATTCGATCTTTTCAGATGGGATAAAAAACAGGCTACAATGTGAGGTCAGCCTGCACATCAAAGATACACTCATCTGCACAGAGCTGCTAAACACTACAAATTATATAGTGGAAGTGCTGATACTCAAAACAGAAATTCTATATGTGGTGATTGTTCTTGCATATAAATAACTAGATGGAAATACTAAACAGCTTAACCCTTGAGCAGCAATAAATATGTATATATACAATTTTCTCATGACTTTATGCATACCTCATATTTTTTTTATTATTATTATTATTATTATGACGAATATATTCGTCATAGTAAAAGACTCAGATGAACTAATTGATCTAAAAAGCCATCTAGAGAGAGAGAGTCAGAACTCCGATTTACACATGAAAATAGTGAAAATAACAGTCTGCCATTCTTGGATGTACTAATAACAAAAACAGGAACCTCCTTAAGCACCAACGTATATACTAAGCCCACCAACATAGGATTATGCCTGAACGGTAGAAGTGAGTGCCCCCAAAGATACAAAGCCAGTGTTCTCAATGCTTATATTCGTCGAGCGCTTACCCACTGGTCCGAATGGAGCAACGTGAGTAGAGAGTTTGAAAGAGTAACTCAGGTATTGGTGAACAACGGATATAGCAACGCGGAAATAAATGCTGCTATAAGAAGACACTTGGACCGATGGTATAATCCTGAACATAGAACAGAAACCACAATACCTCCAATAAAATTATATTACAAATCAACCATGCACAGTGAACATATAAAAGAGGAAAGAATAATGAAAGAAATAATTCGTAAAGGAGTAAAAAGCATTACTCCTAACCAAAACATAGACCTGATCATATTCTACAAAACGAAGAAGACTTCTGAACTCCTTATCAAAAACAGCCCAAAGCCGACAGAGAACCCTCTACAGCAGTCAAGCGCTGTATACATGTACACTTGCCCCAACGAAGGATGTAACCTTCAATCTAAGTACATAGGTATGACGTCAACCAAGCTGACGAGGCGTTTGACATGTCATCTTCAATCCGGTGCCCCCAGGAATCACACGAGACAAGCCCATGATATCACCCTAACAAGAGAAATGTTGAACAAAAATACCTGTATAATAGACAAAACCCAAGATGCAAGATTACAAATTTGTGAAGCAATTCACATAAGAATAGAACAACCTACCATGAACACCCAAATCACGGAACTATTTACTCTACCCACCATGAGAGTTTTCATCAATTTTCATATTCTTGCTATATCCACATCTCATAACCATGTAAACTGGTAGGCACTACCATTCCTAGTGCAGCATTTTTAATAGCATCGCTAAGAAATTTTTTAAAGACTTAACAATGAAAAAAGTATATACTTGTACCTTGTAGTCTCATTGACTTGGCTTTGGTCTGGAGAAGTAATGCTTTCTTCATTACAAGTCTTTTTGAGAGCTTCTTTGGTGAGTGAAGCACAGCTGGAGTAGTGCTAGTAACTGTTGTAGTGTGTGGGGTACTGCGTGTTACACGAATTGGAATAACAGAACCTTCACCATCAGTACTTTGATCTAGGTTTTTCTTAACAGAATCCTGAAACAAAAAGCCAATAAGCACTAATAGGCGATCAATTAATAAGTAATTTATCTAATACGATAAGTAGGATGTTAATGGTACCAAATAAACACAATAAAATTACACATACTGGGTAAATGTGTACAATAAAATATGAAAAGCAAAAAGTTAAATACAAATGTTTAAATAGTACACATACTGACAAAAATCTGACATTCAATATATAGTGGACTATAAATTCAATGGAACTCGGTACACACACACAAAAAAAACTGATATACAGTAGTAGGATTTCATTTGGTCACAAGAGGGGCTATAAGCCACACACAACTGTCCTCCACATCTAAGGAGTATTCTAGCTCCTTGATGCCATGTCGAGGGGAAATATGCATCAATATGGTTAAAAATTGTATGGCCTTAAAATTGAGCTCTAAAAAATAAAGGAGCTAGGATAACTACAAAATGACATTTTGAATTAGAAAAATTTACAAATGTCATTCCTTTGTAAATTTTAATCATTATATAACACCATATTTTAAGTGAAACACATTGTAATACGGAAATGTATTACTTATGTGACTTGAAAAACACATTAAAAATGTTTGAAATATATTGACCTTTAAAAATTCCCTCTCTTTTTTATCAACTGTAATACCATCTTGTTTTTTCTTTAAAGAAAGTTTCTTTTCTTCTCTGGCAGGACTTTGGCTTCGGCTATCACCTGCTGCTTCAAGAAGTTGGGGAGAATTAAAGTGCTCTAATCCCGGTGGCAAAAGTGAAGTTCCTGAAAAAAGAATGAAAAATTTAGTAATATAAAAATTAACACTTTGTATACACCCTAGCTACCAAAAAAAAAAAAAAAAAAAAAAATCTTGACAGGCCTTGATCAGAGCAATCCTAAAAATAAATGAGAAAAACCAGTCTAGCAGCACCACCTGAGAGCTAGCCTGACCTGGGAATTAAAGCCACTAGATCACACATCGTCTCTATTCAAAATCTCGGTTAACTATTCCTCTTAAAGTTCTCAAATGAAATACATCCAATGTGTGATAAATAATCTGACAGCCTGAAGGGGTCCAGCTCCAGTTTTTAGTTTTTTTACTTCAACACCAAAAGAAAGCCTAGCTTTTTAGCTTAATTTTTGCATTATTTAATAGAAATCATGTAACTTTATGTATACATATATTTTTATTTTTATGTTGCAGATGAAAGCAACAACAGTGGAGTTGCCAAACAGTACTTTTCTGGAGCTCACTCCATCGGCTCCCTGAAGCAGTATCCACTCGCCCACTGGCAGACTCTTACAACACGGCTGGAGGAACAGGCTCGAATGCCCCAGTCACCACCCCGAAAGAGAAATTCCCCGAGACCGCCAGTCTCAAAACCACCGAACCCCGTCCCGAGCCTACAGACGGTAAGGAACTGGATGGAGGCAGGAAGGGGGGGGGATCCAGGGGAAAGACAAGGGGCGTGGAAGAAACCGAAGCAACCAACACCCCCCCCCCCCCCCAAGTCCCAAAACGAACTAAAACGGGGCAGCCCCGGGGATCCCGGGGAGCAGACAAATGAGAGCGTTGCCACCACCAAGGCTCAACGTGCAACGCCCCTGCTGCCTGCACCCACTTAGTCAGCACACAACTGGGTAACCGAGCCACAACGAGCAACAAAACTTTGGGTAGGTGTCACCGACCCCACAGGCAGCAGACGGAGGCAAAACAGAGAGTCACCCTGAGACAAGGGGTGAGAGCAACCCTCAAACTCGCTAGAAACGAGGGGGGACTCCGGGGTCACATCCATCGAACCTGCGCGTCCCCAGGGGTTTCCCAGTGTCCCGAGCGTTTACTATAATAGGACTCGCGCTCAGGTAATCCCAGGCAGGGTACTGCTAACCGGCGCCCAAAGCTACCAAACAACTTTCTAATAGCTGAACCCTCGGGACGTGTACACTCACAGGGATCTAGCAGGGGGAACCACCAGAATAATACTCAAAACACAAGGGACACAGGGGGCAAGAACGAAGGCAGACCCTCACCAGGTAGACAAACAAAAATAAAAAGAAAACCCCGCAAGAGGACAGCGTACCCAAGCGGCCGCCATATAGGTGAAAACAGGCTGCACAGCACACTGCGCCCCACCAGTGCAAAACTGCCCCTTACCCTAAGGTGAACATGGGAGACAGAACACCCGAGTACACAAAGAGCGGCCGAAAATCAAGCAGTAAACGGCCTAGCAGGGGCAGAACAGAAGGAACTTGTGGAAGGTGGCCCCAAGCCCCAAGGGCAGTACTTACAACACACCTAGGGAGGGGAACCCTAGGCGCATGCAGCCCGAGTACTGAAGACTCGCTCCCGGCTCACGCACCACCTAGAAGACAGACACAACACTCTAGGTACAGTGCTGAAACAACTATTGGAGCAGGAGCACACAACCAGTGCCTATAGCATCAGCTGAAGAACTGATGGGTGGATAGCCGGCGTAAGAGGTCTGGGGCTCTCCCTTCCCCCTCCCGGGGAGGGGGGAGCTGCGCAGACAGGGGCGTGGTGACGTGTGACGTCATACTAGTTTGCTTTTTAGGGGTTTGTTTTGGAATGCGTACCTTTCTGGATGTTGACCCGGTCGATGGCAGATATAGAATGCTTCCAACTACACATGGGTTTCTATAGACCATTGCTCCCCTTGCCTCTCTGAGGGGGCCAGGTTCTGGCCGTGGTCCCTGGTAGGCCCTAGAACTCCATACACATGACTGATGCTAATGTCTGACATTAGCATATCAGCCTGGTAAAGCTCCGGGAGCTGATGGGGCTGCCCCCAGAAAAGTTTGATTGAAATCGAACCAGTTTTCATTTATTGCATATTTTTGCAATGCGACCCCTTAAGGGGTCGCATTACAGGGCTTCCCCAGAAAATAAATTTTTTGAACTACTGTATATACTATTTCTCGCATCCTGGTCTTTTTTTTTTATAGCAAATCATGGTTTTTCAGTCCCATTTTTAATAGCTATGTATCCTGATTTGATTATGAAAATGCCCTTCAACATTTTTACAACCGCTTTAATTGAGTACATTTATTTTCCTCTCTTTTCAAATTCTGAACATGTATAATATAAAAAACTTGTTTTGTATCTCACCTCTGTAACAAAGAAAAGTCAAAAAGTCCTCAACAGTTGGTCTGATTGGTACTTCAACAATATCCAGAGGAGGTGGGGGAACTTGAATGACAGCTCGATTTCTTGTTTCTGAAGAACCACTCCTATCACGCAATTCTCTTGTTTCCTTAACAGGAGTTGGAGCAGGACTATTTGGCTGTGAACCTTGAGCAAACTTCCGCTGGGCATGGACACGTGCCCTAAAAGTATTAACACATACATTCCATACAAATTCAAATGCTTATCTAGTTTTAGCTTAAATCTCCCTGTATAAAAACATTAAGATGATCTTGCGCTAACATGTTACAAAAAATGGCTCAAAAACCTACCAAAACCTGTCTAATCCAAAGTCAAATACTTGTACCTGTATATGTGATGGCAATCTGTGACAAACAAAAAAGTTACAAATTAAATACTATACTGTCATACTATACCGATGTGCGGGCGAGCGTGCAGGCAAGCTCGCAGTGACACCTAAATGTGTATGCTTGTTTCAGCTTTCTCACCTTAATTCTCGTGCTACATCGCTCGTTTTGGTATTGTGTTCAAAATTAAATTCCTAACAGGTGTGTATAAATATAATGTCCAAAAGCCTGGCGTGACTCCCAACAGCAAAGCCTAAAGTCGGCAAAAGTTACCCGTGAGCGCACAAAATCAGTAAAATGTGCATACTCATTCCATTTTTCTCACCTTAATTCTCGTGCTACGTTGCTCGTTTTGGTATCATCGTGTTCGCAAATAAATTCCCTACAGATGTGTATGAATATAATGTACAAAAGTTTGGAGTGCCTCCCCACAGAAAAGCCTAAAGTTACCCGTGAACAAGCACCAATTTGTACACTGCAACCTAATGTGTATACTTGTTCAGTTCGATAACATCAATTTTCGTGTTACGTCTTTCATTTTGGTATCAAATTGTTCGCAATAAAAAGGCACGTATTTTAAAACTAGTCCTATAATAATAGAGCAATAACTGGAATTTTAACAAATATTTTAATTCTGGAAGCTCATCTTCACAAAATTATTTATATCTTTCCAGTGTTCTGACATAAATTTTTGTGTTACATCCTTCATTTTAGTAACAAATTGTTCGTGACATAAAGGCGCGCATTTTAAAACTAGTCCCAACATAATAGCACAATAAATAGAATTTTAACAAATATTTTAAAATTTTGACCAAAAACCTATTTATAATCATATAAGTGTTCGGACATCAAGTTTCATGTTACATCTTTCATTTTGGTATCAAATTGTGTGCATTCTAAAGGCGCTTATTTTGATACTATCCCGAGGTCGATTGGATAAAAAATTAATTTTATACAAATATTTTTGTAGTGGACGCAAGTCCGATTCAAAGTTAGGATTCAAGAGAAAAATAATGGACGAGAGTACGGTTCAAAGTGACCGATAGTGTTAATTTATTTCCAATTATTTCTTATGAGAAAATCCACTTCGGTTTACGAATTTTCGGGTTACGAACTGTCTCCAGGAACGGATTAAATTCTTAAACCGAGGTACCCCTGTACCTGTACGTACGATTTCATGACTATTGATGACCGTCACAATAAGTACTATCTAAATAGGAGGATGGGTTGAAATATTTGGAATATTATTCCAAGATATTCAACCTATCTAAGTAGCTACACTGTACTTTACAATTTTATTATCATCCTCTTCATTACTCTATTTTCTACTTTCATAGGGTGGGGTAATGAAGGCCCAGAGGAAAATGGGGAACAGTATAGGAAATAATGGGTAAAAATATTGAAAACTAAATGTATTAATCTACCAGATATTATATGCTACATAAAAGCTGAGCTAGCAAGTCATCAACCGCAGCTCCTCACAATTTCATAAGACTAATTGTACAGTGTTCTTTGCGAGTTGTCATATAGAAACAAAAAAGTTATTCCCTCTTCACATTAGTGCTACCTATTGTTCAAATTTCAAAATATTTTTGCTTAAATTTACACATACCTTTTTGGAGAGACCTGTAAGCTTTCCAATGATGGTACAAGTGTAGCTCCATCTTTCCTACGCTTTCGTGTGTCCATTTTGCTCAATATATTACTAAAGTCATCAGAAATGTTTTACAACTTAATGCATGCCTGGCTGATGGCCTGTAAAAAAATGATAAAAGTAAATTGAAGGGGGTAGGGCTTGGAGAGAACATGGCACAAAGAAATTTTGACATATTGATAATTAAGTCATAAATTAAACCAGAGAAAACAATGATTATATGATTATCCAACTGAAACAGGCATATCCACAAGGTATTTAAAAAAAAAAATAAAAAACAGTTTTTCATTCACATGCATCAGTGAGATATAAAATATATATATACAGCATATACAGTATATCTATGAAAATCTTAAAACAAGTAAAACTGAAAAATGCACTGCCCTTAAAGTTTTCTTACATTCAATATACTGTACAGAAAATGAAATTTTGGCCAATGAATAGTCTCAAGATCCAATTCCTCACAAATTTTCTCATCTTCTAGAGGATATCATGACATGAAAGGTAGAGTTAACATGGTCATGAACAAGGGAAAATTGGTTTAATTATATGTAAATGCTAGCTATGTTTTCCTGAATTTACCTGTGGGCCACCATCTTCAGTGGCCTATATAAGTCGGCATCTTGTCAAAGGTCTCTCCTATTATTCCAAAGGATTTTTTTCAGGCTGAATTAATATTTATAATTATTAAATTGAATTAATAAATTTCAGGCCTCAATATTTAATGTTTCAGCAAGCAGGCAATTCCATGGATGTATTACACTGTGTCAATAAACCAACATTGAATGTAATGAAATGCCATTTTCTGGGTGAGACCTGGAGGCTCCCCAAAGCTATACTGGACTGATGTGTATATATTAGACCATGGCAACAAACAATCGATGGAGTGCTAGGCCACTACACACACACACACACAATATGTGTGTGTATATATATGATAAAGTATAATGAAATATATGATAAAGGCACAAAAAAATTTATACCAAAACAGAGATGCAGAACTAGGAAACAGGATTGGTTCAATAGAAATTGCGAGAGGACTAGAGACCAAAAGACACAAAAATGGAATCAATACAGGAAGAGGCCGAACCCCCAAACATACCAGCGATACAAAGATGCGAGAAACAACTACACGGCAGTGAGGAGAGAGGCAGAAAGAAATTTTGAAAAAGGGATTGCAGACAAATGTAAAACAGAACCAGGTCTATTCTATAAATTCATAAACAACAAACTGCAGGTAAAGGATAATATTCAGAGGTTGAAAATGGGAAATAGATTCACGGAAGATGAAAAGGAAATGTGTGAAACACTAAACGAAAAGTTCCAAAGTGTGTTTGTACAAAATGAAATCTTTAGGGAACCAGATACAATAAGAATTCCAGAGAACAACATAGAACACATAGAGGTGTCTAGAGACGAAGTGGAAAAAATGCTCAAGGAGCTCGGTAAGAACAAAGCAGCTGACCCAGATGGCGTTTCACCATGGGTTCTGAGAGAATGTGCAGCTGAGCTCAGCATTCCACTTCACCTGATCTTTCAGGCATCCCTGTGTACAGGAATCGTAGCAGACGTGTGGAAACAGGCTAACATAGTTCCAATCTACAAAAGTGGCAGCAGGGAAGACCCCCTCAATTATATACCTGTATCATTGACAAGTGTAATAGTTTTTTTTTTTTTTTTTTTTTTTTTTTTTTTTTATATATACAAGAGTTGTTACATTCTTGTACAGCCACTAGTACGCGTAGCGTTTCGGGCAGGTCCCTGGAATACGATCCCCTGCCGCGAAGAATCATTTTTTCATCCAAGTACACATTTTACTGTTGCGTTAAACAGAGGCTACAGTTAAGGAATTGCGCCCAGTAAATCCTCCCCGGCCAGGATACGAACCCATGACATAGCGCTCGCGGAACGCCAGGCGAGTGTCTTACCACTACACCACGGAGACTGTTAAAGTATTGGAAAAACTAATCAAAACTAAATGGGTAGAACACCTAGAGAGAAATGATATAATATCAGACAGACAGTATGGTTTTCGATCTGGAAGATCCTGTTTATCGAATTTACTCAGTTTCTATGATCGAGCCACAGAGATATTACAGGAAAGAGATGGTTGGGTTGACTGCATCTATCTGGACCTAAAAAAGGCTTTCGACAGAGTTCCACATAAGAGGTTATTCAGGAAACTGGAAAATATTGGAGGGGTGACAGGTAAGCTTCTATCATGGATGAAAAATTTTCTGACTGATAGAAAAATGAGGGCAGTAATCAGAGGCAATGTATCGGAATGGAGAAATGTCACAAGTGGAGTACCACAGGGTTCAGTTCTTGCACCAGTGATGTTCATTGTCTACATAAATGATCTACCAGTTGGTATACAGAATTATATGAACATGTTTGCTGATGATGCTAAGATAATAGGAAGGATAAGAAATTTAGATGATTGTCATGCCCTTCAAGAAGACCTGGACAAAATAAGTAGATGGAGCACCACTTGGCAAATGGAATTTAATGTTAATAAATGTCATGTTATGGAATGTGGAATAGGAGAACATAGAACCCACACAACCTATATATTATGTGAGAAATCTTTAAAGAATTCTGATAAAGAAAGAGATCTAGGGGTGGTTCTAGATAGAAAACTATCACCTGAGGACCACATAAAGAATATTGTGCAAGGAGCCTATGCTATGCTTTCTAACTTCAGAATTGCATTTAAATACATGGATGGCGATATACTAAAGAAATTGTTCATGACTTTTGTTAGGCCAAAGCTAGAATATGCAGCTGTTGTGTGGTGCCCATATCTTAAGAAGCACATCAACAAACTGGAAAAGGTGCAAAGACATGCTACTAAGTGGCTCCCAGAACTGAAGGGTAAGAGCTACAAGGAGAGGTTAGAAGCATTAAACATGCCAAAACTAGAAGACAGAAGAAAAAGAGGTGATATGATCACTACATACAAAATAGTAACAGGAATTTATAAAATCGACAGGGAAGATTTCCCGAGACCTGGCACTTCAAGAACAAGAGGTCAGATTTAAACTAGCTAAACACAGATGCCGAAGATATATAAGAAAATTCACCTTCGCAAATAGAGTAGTAGACGGTTGGAACAAGTTAAGTGAGAAGGTGGTGGAGGCCAAGACCGTCAGTAGTTTCAAAGCGTTATATGACAAAGAGTGCTGGGAAGATGGGACACCACGAGCATAGCTCTCATCCTGTAACTACACTTAGGTAATTACACAGGGCTCTGTACTCGGTCCTATCTTGTTTCTGATGTATGTAAATGATCTCCCGGAGGGTATAGATTCATTTCTCTCAATGTTTGCAGACGATGCCAAAATTATGAGAAGGATTAAGACAGAGGAGGACTACTTGAGGCTTCAAGAAGACCTAGACAAGCTGAAGTGAAACAAATGGTTGTTAGAGTTTAACCCAAGCAAATGTAATGTAATGAAGATAGGTGTAGGGATTGATTGATTGATAAAGATTAAGCCACCCAAAAGGTGGCACGGGCATGAATAGCCCGTAAGTGGTGGCCCTTTTGAGCCATTACCAGTATCAAGAGCTGATACTGGAGATCTGTGGAGGTGCGAATGCACCCTGCGTGACGGGAGATGTCTCCTTTGTGATTGTGTTAAGATGAAGATGAAGCCACCCAAAAGGTGGCACGGGCATGAATAGCTCGTAAGTGGTGGCCCTTTTGAGCCATTACCAGTATCAATAGATGATACTGGAGATCTGTGGAGGCGCGACTGCACCCTGCGTGACGGGAGATGTCTCCCTTGTGAATGTGTTAAGATGAAGATGAAGCCACCCAAACGGTGGCACGGGCATGATTAGCTCGTAAGTGGTAGCCCTTTTGAGCCATCACCAGCATCAATAGATGATACTGGAGATCTGTGGAGGCGCGATTGCAACCTGCGTGATGGGAGATGTCTCTCTTGTGAATGTGTTAAGATGAAGATGAAGCCACCCAAAAGGTGGCACGGGCATAAATAGCCCGTAAGTGGTGGCCATTTTAAGCCATTACCAGTATCAGGAGCTGATACTGGAGATCTGTGGAGGTGCGAATGCACCCTGCGTGACGGGAGATGTCTCCCGTGGTGTAGGGAGCAGGAGGCCAGATCCAGATACAAGGTACCATCTGGGAGATGAAATGCTTCAAGAGTCAGAGAAAGAAAAAGACTTGGGGGTTGATATCACACCAGACCTATCTCTTGCAGCCCATATCAAGAGGATAACATCAGCGGCATATGCCAGGCTGGCCAACATAAGAGTGGGAATTAAACCTCACTTCGCTGGAAGACAGAAGAGTTAGGGGGGACATGATCACCACATTCAAGATTCTCAAGGGAATTGATAGGGTAGATAAAGACAGTCTATTTAACACAAGGGGTACATGCACTAGGGGACACAGGTGGAAACTGAGTGCCCAAATGAGCCACCGAGATATTAGAAAGAACATTTTTAGTGTCAGAGTAGTTGACAAATGGAATGCATTAGGAAATGATGTGGTGGAGGCTGACTCCATACACAGTTTCAAGTAATTACCTAAGTGTAGTTACAGGATGAGAGCTGTATAAGTGTAGATATGATAGAGCCAAATTGGCTCAGGAACCTGTACACCTGTTGATTGATGGTTGAGAGGCGGGACCAAAGAGCCAGAGCTCAACCCCTACAAGCACAATTAGGCGAGTACACGAGCAGCCTCCAAGAGCCATGACACGAGCAGCCCCCCAAGAGCCATGACACGAGCAGCCCCCCAAGAGCCATGACACGAGCAGCCCCCCCAAGAGCCATGACACGAGCAGCCCCCCAAGAGCCATGACACGAGCAGCCCCCCAAGAGCCATGACACGAGCAGCCCCCCAAGAGCCATGACACGAGCAGCCCCCAAGAGCCATGACACGAGCAGCCCCCAAGAGCCATGACACGAGCAGCCCCCAAGAGCCATGACACGAGCAGCACCCAAGAGCCATGACACGAGCAGCCCCCAAGAGCCATGACACGAGCAGCCCCCAAGAGCCATGACACGAGCAGCCCCCAAGAGCCATGACACGAGCAGCCCCCAAGAGCCATGACACGACCAGCACCCAAGAGCCATGACACGACCAGCACCCAAGAGCCATGACACGACCAGCACCCAAGAGCCATGACACGACCAGCACCCAAGAGCCATGACACGAGCAGCACCCAAGAGCCATGACACGAGCAGCACCCAAGAGCCATGACACGAGCAGCACCCAAGAGCCATGACACGACCAGCACCCAAGAGCCATGACACGAGCAGCACCCAAGAGCCATGACACGAGCAGCACCCAAGAGCCATGACACGAGCAGCACCCAAGAGCCATGACACGAGCAGCACCCAAGAGTCATGACACGAGCAGCAACTTACAACCATGACAACATGCACATAACAGCCACAACCCAGAAGCTGTACCTTTAAACCATTGTACAACAGTTGTACCATAAAGCCACGGTACAACAGCTGTACTATATAGCCACAGTACAACAGCTGTACCGTACAGCAAGGGTACAACAGCTGCATTAACCATCCATCCAAAACAACACAATAAGACCGACCCTCAACACTAGTCTCACAGGCACTTGTCATCCCTAGCACACCCTCACCAGACCCAGCTGGTGCCGTAGAGCCCTAAAGTGGGCGTCATGTGGACCAGCAGGTTGACGTACCGGTTCTGCGTGCACATTTCCAGTAAGGTTCTCCTCTGTGGTTCACTTCTCCATTGTTTTGTTACACATTGTTTGATGCCACCGCTAGGGGTCCACCGCAGGCACCACACCTTTCATATCCTCTATCTCTTTCTTTTTCTCCCCATTGTCTGGTTACTTGGCCTGGAAAAAAACTAGATTATAAACTTTTATTGGCTTAGTAAATGCCAGCGTCTCACTGATTGCGTATATTTAAGCGTAAGTTGAGGAGGTTATAATCACAGTTGGGTTCGCCGTGTGTAATATTATATATTATCTCGAGAAACAGATCATGATGCAATTACTCATTCTAAAACTGTTAAAGAGCTATTTTATATAATTTTATAATACATAAATAAATTGTTTACTTATTTATAGGTAAGGATGACTGTAGGCTGTCTCGGTGACTCCAACATGTCAACATTCCTCGCTCGAAAATTTGACAGACGAAGGCTGGCTGCAGGAGTGTGATTGTGGCTGTTATGGCCTGAATTATTCAGTGACTGCCGCTAGCCAGACGCCAAGATGAACATCAAACACCTCAAGAACATCTTGCCGCCTCAAGTAACAAGAATGTGTTGCGCTTTAAAACATAAAATAGGTTATGGCTAAGTGCTCGGTGTGCACAGTGTGGGTCTGGACGCATGTAGGCGTTTTGTGTACCGTCACTCCCCAAGCAAATAATTTCGTTCACAGTCGATTCTGTATACAGGTGTTGGAAATGTGTGTTAGCTTGTGTTGCCTACTGCTCTTGTCTTCCAAGACAATAGCTTTATAAAAAATTTGTTTTACCCGAATTTACCTGAGGGCCACTAACACTAGTGTCTTCGACAAGGACAGGAAGCTCTCCGACGAGCGACGCGGCTATGGAATGTGACGTTTGCTTGCTTCTTTGGGATTAGAAGGAGTTCTGCCTTTCTGTTCGGTTTTCGGATGCAATTTTCTCACCACGTGGGGTCTGTTTTGTTATGCCTGCCTTTCTGGGTGTCTAATCTCAGTCGATGGCAAATAAGGAAAACGCCCAACCACAGGGGTGATTTTCCAGGTCTATTGCTCTCTGCGCTTCTGAGGGGACCAGGTTCTGTCTCGTGGTCTCCGGTAGACTGAACTCTATCGACTATGCTCCGGTCTAATGATTCGCGTTTTAGGCTGATAGCTCCAGGAAGCGTCTGGGGCTCATCCGGGAAATGGCGTTTCATTACATTCAATGCTGGTATTTTTTAAATAGTAACCAACTATTCAGACAAAGGGCTTCTGGTAGATGTAGTTTACATGGACTTTGCTATATCTTTTGACAAGGTAAAATGAAAGCAAGAAAATTATAGGCACATGGAATAAATGGCAGAATACTAGAATGAATAAAACAATGGTTAAAACAAAGAAAACAAAGGTTGTGTTATATGGGATGGAATTTGACTGGAGAAATGTGATGAGTGGAATACCACAGGGGTCCATTCTGGGGCCAACCATTTTTGTCGTATACATCAATGGCATAGATGAGAGCATTACAAATCACATCATCAAATTTGCAGATGCCACTTAAGATTTATGGTAAAGGGGGAAGTGAAAATGATGTGGCCTTACAAAGAAATTACATGAAGTTCATAAATGGTCAGAAGACTGTCAAATACTTTTTAATATAGAAAAATTCAAGACCTTGCATGTAGTGGTATAACAATCCATGTCTCATAACTATCAAATAAACAGCATTACCTTACAACAGATTAATGAAGAAAAGGACCTTGGAGTCGGAATCTATCATTCACTGAAGTTGTACAACAAGTGGGAGTAGCGGTAAAAAAAAGGTAACGAAACCCTAAGAATAATCAAGCATATCTTTGACTTTAAGGAAAAGAAGGTAGTTATTCAATTGTATATATCTCTGGTGCACCCCAACCTGGATTATTGCATCCAGGCACGAAGACCTCATCTTCACTGGAGAAAGTGCAACACTGGGCAACAAAAATAATTCCAAAACTAAGTCAACTCTCATACCAGGTAAGGTCAAGGGTCACAGGGTTGAGAGTACCAATTAATTTGGAGGATGTTGATCCAGACAACTTATTCAAATGTCAGATGTAACACAAACATGTTACAGTTTCAAACAGTTTCACCGTTACTTGAAACAGTTTCAAGCTAAGCAAATCACAACATAGGGCTGAAAACAGGAGATGCGTTATCACCCACGGGGGTTATAAACCCATGGAATCAACATCCTCTGAAGTCGTAAATGCCAAAACTCTGCTGAACTTTACAATCCAGCTTGGAAAAATCATCAGAACAAATGAGGGGGACCTCTGACAAGCCGCCAGCTTCCAAGCCTCGTTGAGGTCACTAGTGTGTAAGTGGCTTTCAGGTTAATTCAGGTAAAATATTGATCATAAAAGATATATAGGCTATCACCTAGGGACATAACATAATTTTGTTTGTCATTTTTTACCTAAATGAAAATTTACTCATAATACTGTACAGTGGAACCTTGCTTTACGAATTTAATCCATTCCAAGACGGGTCGTGAACCGAATATTCATACATCGAATAAAATTTTCCCGTAAAAAATAATGTAAATTTAATTAATTTGTTTCACACCCAAAAATATTATCTTAAAAATACATTTGATGTATATTCACAAATGTCACGAGTGAAGTACCGCAGGGTTCAGTTCTTGCACCGGTATCTTCTTGAGGTTATCTTGAAATGATTTCGGGGCTTTTTAGTGTCCCCGCGGCCCGGTCCTCGACCAGGCCGCGGCATAACTGACCGACCCCTCACAGTGTTCAAAAGAGAACTGGATAAGCACCTCCAAAGGATACCTGATCAACCAGGCTGTGACTCGTACGTCAGGCTGCGAGCAGCCGCGTCCAACAGCCTGGTTGATCAGTCCGGCAACCAGGAGGCCTGGTCGACGACCGGGCTGCGGGGACGCTAAGCCCCGGAAGCACCTCAAGGTAACCTCAAGGTAGGCCTCCACCCCCAGGAAGCAGCTCGTGACAGCTGATTAACACCCAGGTACCTATTTTACTGCTAGGTAACAGGGGCATAGGGTGAAAGAAACTCTGCCCATTGTTTCTCGCCGGCGCCTAGGATCGAACCCAGGACCACAGGATCACAAGTCCAGCGTGCTGTCCGCTTGGCCGACCGGCTCCCTGGTACCGGCTCGACCGGTAATGTTCATTGTCTACATAAACAATCTACCAGTGGGAATACAGAATTATATGAACATGTTTGCTGATGATGCTAAGATAATAGGGAAGATAACAAACCTAGATGATTGTCATGCCCTACAAGAAGACCTGGACAAAATAAGTATATGGAGTACCACTTGGCAAATGGAATTTAATGTGAATAAATGCCATGTTATGGAATGTGGAATTGGAGAGCATAGACCCCACACAACCTATAAATTATGTGAGAAATCTTTAAAGAATTCTGACAAAGAAAGGGATCTAGGGGTGGTTGTAGATAGAAAACTGTCACTTAAGGACCACATCAAGAACATTGTGCAAGGAGCCTATGCTACACTTTCTAACTTCAGAATTGCTTTTAAATACATGGATGGAGAAATACTAAAGAAATTGTTCACGACTTTCGTTAGACAAAAGCTGGAATGTACAGCATTTGTATGGTGCACATATCTTTAGAAGCACATAAGCAAACTGGAAAAGGTGCAAAGACATGCCACTAAGTGGCTCCCAGAACTGAAGGATAAGAGTTATGAGGAGAGGTTAGAGGCATTAAATATGCAAAAACTAGAAGAGAAGAAAAAGGAGACGATATGATCACTACATACAAAATAGTAACAGGAATTGAAAAAATTGATAGGGAAGAATTCCTGAGATCCAGAACTTCAAGAACAAGAGGTCATAGATTTAATCTAATGAAACAAAGCTGCCGGAGAAATATAAGAAAATTCACTTTTGTAAACAGAGTGGTAGATGGTTGGAACAAGTTAGGTGAGAAGGTGGTGGAGGCCAAAACCGTCAGTAGCTACAAAGCGTTATATGACAAAGTGCTGGGAAGAAGGGACACCACGAGCGTAGCTCTCATCCTGTAACTATACTTGGGTAATTACATACAACTGATACTCCCTCCCTCCTTCCCTCACTGGTTCAAGGCCAGATGCACTAATATTCCTCCTCCATCTATACTGTTTGTGGTGTTATTACATTATATACACACATTATACAGTATATAAGTATCTACATGTTTTGTTCACCATAACTGTGCAACTAAGCTGGAATGGTGCCCAAAGAGCATAGTGGCCACCCTCTACACCGCATGACAAGTCATGCAGATGATGCCACCTCTCTCAACAAAATGGCTTCTCCCTACATAATCCTTTTGCTGTTACTGTATTACACTATATATACACACGTTATATATAAGTATCTACATTTGTGTTCACCATAGCGAACCACAGAGCTGGTATGGTGAGTGCAGACAGTAACGCGTGGCCACACCTTCGATCTGGAAGATCCTGTGTAACGAATCTATTTGATTTCTATGATCGAGCCACAGAGATTTTACTGGAAAGAGATGGTTGGGTTGATTGTATCTATCTGGACCTAAAAAATGGCTTTCGACAGAGTTCCACATAAGAGGTTGTTCTGGAACATATTTGAGGGGGGTGACAGGCAAGCTTCTAACATGGATGAAAAGTTTTCTAACTGATAGAAAAATGAGGGCAGTAATCAAAGGCAATGTATCGGACTGAGAAATGTCACAAGTGGATTACCACAGGGTTCAGTTCTTGCACCTGTGATGTTCATTGCCTACATATCTACCAGATGTAATACAGAATCACATGAGCATGTTTGCACATGATGCTAAGATGTTTTGCCCGAAACGCATTGCGTAATAGTGGCTTTAGGCATTGTATGTACTAGCTCTATCTATATATCAATCCATTAATGTAACATCACTTGTATGTATGTACCTTACCTGAATAAACATATTTATTTATTTTATTTATTTATTTAAGATAATAGGAAAGATTAGAAACTTAGATGACTGTCATGCCCTTCAAGAAGCCCCGGACAAAATAAGTATATGGAGCACCACTTTGCAAATATAATTTAATGTGAATAAATGCCATGTTATGGAATGTGGGATAGAACATGTTCTTTGCGACATTTCAAGGCGAAGACTTTTTAATACTGCTCTCCTCAAAGGAGAAACGAAGATGGAGAAACGATGATATTTTGGACGATCCTGAACCATTGTCAAGTCGCATGTGGACTTGATAATGGTCTTGATGTCATGATAATGGTGCAGGATAGACCGAAACATCGCCATTTCTCCATCTTCTGATGTGTTATTTGGTCATTACGAGGCAAGTCCAATGATCAGCACTCTGTTTACAAATTAAGGAGCTCTAGTACAGGTACAGTACAGTATCTTTTTTTTTTTTTTTTTTTTTTTTTTTTTTTTTTTTTTTTTTTTTTTTTTTTTTTTTTTGCAAGCCTTAATTTTTTTCTGATATATTTATATACATCAACTGCCTATTGGCTGCACAGTCTATAATATAAAATTTGTTTCAGGATGGTGCTGCAAAAATCACAGCCTTAGCCTGGTCACCTAATAATGTAAAGTTAGCTGTGTCTACAGCAGAGCGCGTTATTCTGCTCTTTGATGAAAATGGTGAACGTAGAGACAAGTTTTCAACTAAACCTGCTGATGCCAAGGTATTCTGCATTTGCAAATAATGTTTACGAGTCAGAATTTACTCCAATACAATAAGTGTGCTGTATTTTTAAAATGAGGAGGTATAATTTATTGTTTAACTAAGATGTTTATCATTGTATTCATCAAGAAATATTTATTTTATGAAGATTTTTTGAGTTGTAACAATAAATAACATAAATATTACTTAGAAAATTATTTTAAAATGCAAATTGAAGAAGAAATCAAGATATATAAATACATACTGTATACTGCAATGTTCTTAATTATATAGGACAGTATGACTCAGTCTTGAGCATGCTATTGATAAGTATATGAACTAACCATTTTCTGAGGGCGGGGGTGCCCTTTGGCTTCTCGGAGCTATCCAGGCTGATATGGATTTACTGTATTAGACTTTGGCATCAGTCATTGTGAATGGAGTTCTTAGGCCTACCGGGAACCATCAGCCAGAACCTGGCGTCCCCTCAGAGAGGCACAAGGAGCAATGGCTTATAGAATTGCACATGTGATTTGGAGCATTCTGTGTCTGCTTTTGACTGGGTCAGGTACCCAGAATGGTAAGCATCCCAAAACAAACCTCTATTCTGGTTAAAACTACTACTAAAAGTCAAGCGAGTGGACAGAACTCTCCGAAGAAAAACTAGCAAACGAGCATGACATCACCACTTGCCACGCTGCCGTCTGCACAGCTCCCCCCCTTCCCGGGAGGAGGAAGGGGAAGACCCAGACCCCCCTCACACTGGCTCAGTTCTCGGCTGATGTGTTTGAGGCTTGGTCGTTTGACTCCAGCTCCTAATTCTTATGTTTTCAGTGCTGTGCCTTGTGTCTAGTGCTGTCTTCAGGGTGATGCATGAGCTGGGAGTAATTTCACAGGTGCTCGGGCTGCATGATGCTTAGGGTTGCCTTCCCTAAGTGCTCTGTAAGTACTGCCCTTGAGGATTGGGGCCATCTTCCATAAGTCACCTTGGGGTGTCCCTCTGTTTGGTCTTTTGCTGCTCAGTAATTGACCGCCCTGAGTGTGCTGTGGGGGTTTCCTTCTCCCTTGTTTACCATAGAGTAAGGGGTTGTTTGAACTGGTAGGGGTGTGGGGTACTTTACAGCTAGTTATCACCTATTATAGTGGCCAGCTCTGTTCCGCCTGGGTACGTTGTCCTCTTGCAGGGTTTTTCTTTTGTTTTTGTTTTCCTGCCTGGTGGGGGGGGGGGTTGCCTTTGGTTGGTTGCCCCTATGAATACTTAGGATTATATACATATCTGTGTTTCTGGGTGGTATCCCCTGCTGGGCCTCCAGTGAGTGGACATGTCCCAGGGGTTCAGCTTTTAGACGTTTGATTGGTTGACTTTGGAACCGGTTCACAGTACCCTGCCTGGGCTTCCCTTAGCAACACCAGTCTGAGGGCCTTGGGAAACCCTGTGGGGGCACAAGAGATCCTATGGATGTGACCCCTGGGTTCCCTCTTGCCTTGTGCGAGTTTGAGGGTTTCTCTGTCCTTTTGTCTCAGGGTGATTTACTGTTTTTGCCTCTGTCGTGCTGCCTGTTGGGTCAGTGATACCTTTGATCCCGAGTTTTGTGTTATGTTAGTTACTCAGTTCACCCAGTCCACTGATGACTCTATCCTCGTGCAGGCAGTGCTCGTACTATCCTCGTCCGTTGGGCCCACAGCACGGTGCAAAAGTTCGCAGCGGTATGGATGTCGTTTTGTTCGCTCAGGGATGGATGATCAGGTTCCATTCGGACTGCTCCCTGCTGTTCATTGCCTGAACCTTGGGGGTTCGAAGCGGTCCTTGGCTCTTTGGTTCTGGTCACTTCGGTTTGTCTAACGTCATAGTGGACATCTCGATTCGTCCTCTGTCCATGGAATGGACAGTCGACGCTGACTCATTCAGATGGTTCTGCCAGACGTACAGACTCCCTGAGGTGGACTTCTTCGCGTCTGCGTGGTCGAGGCATCTCCCGGTATATGTGGCACCCTTTCCCGACTGCGAGGCAGTTGAGGTCGATGCTTTTCGGCAGGACTGGTCGAGGTGGGGCTACCTGTACCTCTTTCCCCCTGGTTCAGCTGTTGCTCCAGGTCCTAGCTTGCTTGGAGACTTACCTGGGAAGAGTAGTCCTCTTGGCCTCTTGGTGGCCGGCCTAACCTTGGTTTCAGGCGCTGCTTGCTCAGTGTCCGAACGCAGGGGTTTTCCCGCAGCTCCGCCTCTTTCAGCAGATCGGTCCGGTCCATTACGTGGCTGGTTCAATCTTTTCCTCGAGTCTTCACATCTGGTATTTTTGACTCGAGTCTATCCCCATCTGTATGCTGATCAGGTAGCTTCGTTAATGGTGTCCCACCTGCGTACTTCATCTTGGCGGCAGTATGAAATTTCCCAGTGGTCCTTCCATTTCTTCTTGTCTCTTTGTGGGTGTAATTCACTTTGTTTCTGTTACTTTGTCTTGTCCTTTCTCTCATGGCTGTTTCAGGACTGTCATCTTATGCCGAATACTGTCGCCTTGTATCATTCAACACTAGCGGAGCAGCTGCAGTTTGTTTTTGGCATCGATGTTACTTCTGCTCTGTTTCGCTAGCTGTCTCGGGCATTGTTTCGCCTCTGACCTGCTCATGTGCCGCCTGAGCCATCCTGGTCATTGGACAAGGTGCTCTCTTATCTCTCTCCCCCTCAGTTTGTAGTGGCCCCTTCAGTTCAGGATTGTTTCTCCAAGGCTCTTTTTTTCCTGTTGGTGTTGGCCTCTGGGGGTCGGGTTGGGGAGCTTCATCCTCTCTTCCATTGCAGAGGTTTCTGCTCTTTTGGTTCTGGTGATAGGTTTGTTTGTTTGCAGCTGTCTCCTTCATTTATGGTGAAGAATTAGATGACTGCTTTCCGTAGGGGGTCCTTTGGTTGTTGATGCTTTGTTGGTCAGGCTGGGGGTGCATCATGTGTTATGTCTGGTTGTGCCTCTCCACTGATTTTTGCGCACCATGGCTTGTGTGTCCGTGGACATGCTTTGGGTTGTTCCGGTTTCCCTTCTTCCCTGTTCCAGGGTTCTGGTCTCCAAGATCGCCTGCAGGGTTATTTGATCTAGCCATTCTGCGGTCTATCCCTGTGCCCATGACGTTTGTAAGTTTGCTGCTCTTACTGCCATCTTTGGTAACATGTCTTGGGTTAACATTTGGGTGTGGAATTTTTGGTGGACGAACAGGGTCCTGGCTGCCCGCTACCTGGTCAATGTTCCTGAGCCTAGTCAGGCCTGTATCTCTTTGGGTTGGCGGTTGCAGCCAGTTGCCTCTACTTCGCATTGAGAGGCGAGTGCCGACCACCTCCCGAGTAAGTCCCTCTTATTTTTTTCTTTTGTTAAGTAGCTCCGCGGATCCGAAAGGGCCCCCCCCCTCCCCAGAAAACCAATGTTGAATGTAATGAAACTTTTTTTTTTTGGGTGAGACTCGGAGGCTCCCCGGTGTCTCACCCTTCCTCCGGTCAGCAGTTTTTTGCGTGTTTTTGACATTCATCTTCAGAACTGAAGGTGTGGGTAACCGGCATGAAGAGTCTAAGGCTCCCCCTTCCCTTTCCCGGGGAGGGGGGAGCTGCACAGATGGCGGCGCGGCACATGATGTCATTTGCTTATTTTTCTTTAGGGGAGTTCTGTTAAGTCGTTTGACTTTCAGTAGTAGTTTCAACCAAAATAGGGATTGTTTTGGGAAGCTTACCTGTCTGGGTGCCTGACCCGGTCGATGGCAGACATAGAATGCTCCAAATCACGTGTGCAATTCTATAGGCAATTGCTCCTCGTGTCTCTCTGAGGGGGTCCAGGTTCTGGCTCGTGCTCCCCTGTAGGCCTAAGAACTCCATTCACACTGACTGATGCCAAAGTTTAGTATATCAATATCAGCCTGCATAGCTCCAGTGAGCCTCCGGATCTCACCCAGAAAATGGTGTTTCATTCCATTCAATGCTGGTTTTATTAATTTTCGGTATGTATATTAACTACAAAAACCTTTTTTTCAGTATGGCAAGAAAAGTTATTTGGTGAAGGCTATTGCTTTCTCCCCTGACAGCACAAAAATTGCAATTGGCCAAACTGATAATATTATTTATGTATACAAGATTGGAGAAGACTGGTGAGTTTTCTATTAATAGTAGTAGTCTATATATATATATTATACCAGTAATCATTGTACTGAATTATATTTATAAAGGATGTCTTTTATGCTAATTATACTATACAGTGTTATCAGATTTGCCCCAGATAATAAATACTTAACCTATGCTAAACATGCAGATTATTATTATTTATTTATTTTCTGGGGTGAGCCTCAGAGGCTCGCTGAAGCTATCACACTGATTCAGTGCCAAACTACTAGGTGCCATCAGTCACATAGTTCTGTTGTCCTTCTGGGAACCATGAGCCAGAACCTGGCCCTTGTTAGAGATGTGTAGGGAGCAGGGGCCTTTGAACTCTTTAAATGAAAAGTTAATCATAATTACCACATCCAGGGAAGATACCCAGACAGTTAGGCAAAACAAAACAGACTACTGTATTGTTACAGGAAGACTGCAGCCTCAAAAACGCCAATAGAACTCTCCCAACAATGAATACAACAACAAAATTCTTCACTTTCAGCTTCACCCTCGGTTCTATTCTGTTGGAGCCTGATAACTATCTTAGTTGCTCTGGCTCTAGTCTGTCATTTTTTAAAGTGGTGTTTTGCCTTTGAGTCTGTTCTTATACGTGGTTGTGTTTGTGAGCAAGGAGTTTAATGTACTTGAAGCTGACGGCTTTCTTCCCTTAAGTGCTACCCTTGCGTGGTCATGGTTATCTTCCCTGGGGGTGTTTGGGATGCACTTCCTTTAGGGAGGGGGTCTCATCGATTGGGGTGGTCTCCGCCCATCACGTAAGCCAGTGGGTTTTTACTGTCCGTCTTCCCTAGGGTTGGGAGTGTTTTTGGCTGGTGGGCATACTGTGGTTTGTGTCCAATTATGTAGTGCTAACACAAAGGCATGCTAACATTTCTCCCCAGTTTGGTCCTGGGGCCTTTGGGCTTTTTGTTTCATTATTCATTTGTCACTTAGCCCTTTTGTGCTTGAGGGGGCTCTTCTTTTTTGCCTTATTAGACTTCTAGGGTATATGCAGTTGAACCCCTTCTTGACTTTTCCATTGGCTTTGAGTGGCTAGGGTTGCCTGTTCCTTTCAGGGGTTACCAGCATAGCATTCTAAGTGCTTGGGCTTCCTGCAGGGCTCATTTAAGCTGCAGGCCTTGGAAAACCTCCACAGGCTTGGTTGTACTATGGATTCCTCTTCCGAGCCTGCACTCACTCTGTGTGAATTTGACGGTTGTTTGTTACTTGTTCCACCGGACAATGTTCATATGTTCTGCCTCCTCCATGCTGACTGTTGGGTCCGTAAATCCGTTGACCCTAAATCATGTGGGACTTGTTCCCTCCATGTGATTTGTCTTACCTGTTCCTCTGTTGAAATCCAGAGGTTTCGGCAGAGACCACTTTACATTTGAGGTTTTCAGTGTTGCAGCAGTCTAGGTTGTGTGCCCAGTTGGATGTACTGGATTTGCCCCGCTTGTTGTTTAGGGACTTGGATATGGGATTGTTGGTCAATTTGACCATGATTCTGTCCACACCTCCTTTTCCTTTCCTGGTGGGCAGGTGTTGCCCTTTTTCCCTTCTGCTTCCGGCTCCAAGGCGTCTCCAAAGTTTACGCTTTGGTTTTGGATCCAGTCTCTTATAAGATGGTTCTTCTTCCCCATCTTGGGTGCCTTACGAGGTTCCAGAGTCATCCCGGCTGAAAGACTGTCCTTTGTTTGCCCTTGGAACTTGACGTGGGTTTTACCATTCTGCATGCTTGACTGGCAGGAGTTGCCGTCTGTGTTGCGGGTTTTCTGGGGGGTTCTTTAAAGTCTCTCATTGCATCACTGTTTACTATGGGCTCCCAGATATAGTACACACAGATTTTCGCTTACTTGTTTTTCGTCCTGAGTTCTTGCAAACAATGCACTCACATATACCTTAGGCCTTAGTTCCTGTAGGTGGTAGGTAGGCATGCTTGTGAATTACAAAGGCGTCTTTACCAGCCAGTCTGTTGGAAACTAAATGTGGTCTTGTTGGGGCATGAAAAACTGTCCTTACGCTGTCTTCCTGGCCATACTGACGAGTAATTGTGACAGCAGAGCATGACTAAACAATCGAACTGATGATTTTTTGCCCGTTTTCACCAAAAATATGCTCTAACAGTTGAGCACTGTTATGTCCACAAGATGAAAGAAGAATTTCCTTGTCCACTTTACACTTTTGCAGACACACTCAACGGCACCAACCATCATGTCACATTTATCTACAAGTCTCATTTACATTGCAGTCAATGACACAATCTGGCTTATACAATGATCCATCAGCTCGATACCTCACTTTGCCACTGTCAAGCATTTCACCAGTGTGAATAGTTGACAACATATTGACTTCATGTCTGTCTTTCCAACGCACTGCTAATATTTTGTCACATTTTCTAAGTTCACAATCACCTACACCAATATTATTTTCTAAAACTGGCATTTCTTTCCTATTTGTCTTTACAGTGCCACACACCCCCGTGTTATGTTCAAGCAAGAACTTTGTTAGCAAGGGGCTCCTATAATAGTCAGTGTACAGAATATGCCCCCTTGTACAGAATGTGCCCCCTTGTTCAGCAGAGATTTTATTAGCGTCTTTACTACACTGCCAGAAAACTCGTGAGGATCCTCTGCGGGTATGTCTACGTCTGTACCAGAATATAATAATATATCGATCACCATTCCGGTTTCACAGTTGCTCAGTACAAAAAATTTGAGGCAAAAACGGTACCTTTTCGATGGGATGTATTGTTTGAAGACAAGACGTCCCTTGAAAAGAACTAGGTATTCATCAATGATAACATTCTGTCCAGGTACAAAGTAATCACAGAATTTCCCTCTGATATCACTGAACACTTTTTGCACTCTCCAAAGTCGATCATTTCTATCAATATTTTCAAGGTTTTCAAAGTGTAGGCACCATAATAGTATCAGGAACCTGTCTCGTGACATGTACTTGTTGAACACTGGTGATGGAACAGCAGATTCTTTGTTCCAATAATCTTGTATGGCGTGCTTCACCGAATGTTTCATGAGCATACATAGAGCAAAGAACACATACAGCTCAGCCACGGTTTTGTCCTTCCAATGTATCATACGTGAAGCCTGCAATATGCCACGTTCAACAAGTTGCCCTGCGTGCCTGTTGGTTTCGCCAACAAGATGTTGCATGAATTGCTCATCAAAATATGCAAGAAAATAGTCCATTTCCATCATGTCGTCACCTGTGTACGGGAACGTGGGTGCAACCCCCCACATCACTATGATCAAATTGAGGTTAGTGTGGTACAAAAATATCACAGTCCTCCCACACAAATTCACCCGTTCTCCTTGTAGCAACGGCACGAGCGACTCCAGTACGGGTGCGGTTTCTTGCACTAAATCTCCTTTGGGGAGGAGTTGGAGGTCTTCTACCTTGTCTACAATTTGTGCAGTTTAAGGGTTAAGAAAGGTCTTATGTGTAATCATATACCCCTCTGTTTCTCCTTTCCTTGTAGGTTGTGAGCGAGAGTTCTCTCAGCCTGCTTAACATAGTACAGTACTGTGTATATCAAACTTACACTTGAACCAAGAGAATGAGCCAACAACCATTGTGTTACCCAGCAATTTGTTCCATGAATTCAAAAACCTCTTAATTCCCCCAAAATTAAAAAAATCGAGCAGAATTACATTTAGGTGGGGAAAGATCCATTACTGTATTTTTAAAGATTAGTTTTTAATCAAGCTTAATTTATTATAAAGTGTAAATAATTTTTCCTTTCACAGGGGAGAAAAGAAGGTGATATGCAATAAGTTTGTACAGTCATCCCAAGTGACCTGTCTTATATGGCCATTTGAGGGACCAATTGTCTATGGCTTGTTAGAGGGAAAAGTGCGAGCAGCAAACATAAAGACTAACAAATCACAGACGCTTTACCAGACAGAGTCCTATGTTGTGTCACTCACTCCAAAGTAAGTGGATTTTACTTTTTAATATTATTTGTAATATACTAATATTATTTACAAATCTAATTACAGTATTTATAAGAAGCTTTATTTGTAAGTGATTTGTTCCAATTATTTTCAAATATAGCTTATAAATAATTAGATTTGTAAATCTAGCAATACTAGTGTAGAAAAAAATATATAAAACATGTCGTCCAAAGCAGTTTATTTCTTTACTGAAATTATAATTAGATTCTTAAATATAAAGAAAAGATTAGACCGTAGATACATTAACATTTTCAACTTCTGGTTCATTAGTGCATTCCCGACTGTAAATGTTCTAGCTGTCTCAGAATTCCAATTACAGTAGCACCTCGATTAATGAGTGGTTCTATCTATGAGCATTTCAAGTAACGAGTGAGCCACTCGCAGAACATTTGTCTCTACTAACGAGCTTTTCCTCGATTAACGAGCGTTTCCGCTGGTTCTCGGACACCTTTTACGACAGTTTTGTTGTTGTTTCGCAAGACGAGTTTTCCACATGACAAGCTCGGTGCCTGGACGGATTAAACTCATTAATTGAGGTGCCACTGTAGTTAGGTTTTGGGTTATAAGTATAAAATGGTGTCAAAATGTTCACAAATGAATTTGCTAGAGTATAAATGCCATACAAAATGTGTTTTAAATAAATTATGCATGATGGTGTTAAATATTTTATATTTTAATGAACATCTTTAATGACATTCCTCATCTCTTTCAACATAAAGTAAAAAAAACAGTGTTGAATGTAATGAAATGCCATTTTCTGGGCGAGACCCGGACACCGTGGCAACAATCAATTGAAGGAGTTCTAGGCCTATCGAGGTCCTGGACAGAACCTGGCCCTCCTCAAGAGCGGCACAAGGAGCAATGGCCTGAAGACACCCCCGTGTAACTGGAAGCAGTCTTTGTCTGCCATCTACCAGATCAGACACTCAGAAAAGTAGGAATTCCAAGACGAATTACTGCTGGTCAAAAATTGCAAACCGAAAGCCGAGCTAGCAGACAGAACACCCCAATCAAAAACAAGAAAACAAACATGACGTCACCACAACCGCCGCGCATCCGTCTGCACAACCCCCCCTCCCCAGGAGGGGAACGCAGGGGGGGGGAGGGCTCCCAGACCTCCACATTGGCAAGTCTCCTTAGTTCAGAGGCTGAGCATCAAAAATGTGAAAAACCACCGACCAAAGGGAGGGATGCTGGGGAGCCTCTGGGTCTCACCCAGAAAATGGTGTTTCATTACATTCAATGCTGGTTTTCTATGGAGAACCCCTTCAGCTTCCCAGAGCTACCTCACCAAAGATAAGAAGAAAACGGACTCACCCAGGAGGCGGTCGTCACTCGCTCCTCAACTCGAAGTCGAAACAACTGGCCACAACCTGGGAACCAAGGCTGTACACGCCCGAGAAGGACCAGGAACATTAACACGGTAACATGCAGCCAGGACCCTGTTCGACCTCCAAAAGTCCTGTGCCCAAAAGATAGGCCAGGACAAATTACCAAATCTGCAGCCAAAGCCCCAAACTTACAAACGGCATGGGCACGGAGATAGACCGCAGGCTGGCTGGACCAAATAATCTTTAGGACAACCTGGGAGACCCGCGCCCTGGAGTAGGGAAAAAGGGAAACTGGGTCAACCCAAAGCACATCCTCTGCCACAGAGGCCGTGGCACGCAAATAACGGTGAAGAGCCACAAACGGACACAAAACATGATGCACCCCCAGCTGAATCAAACAAGCATCAACAACCCAAGGACCCTTTCGGAAAGCAGCAGACTCTTTCTTCGCCAGAAAAGGAGACTGCTGCAAATGAAGAAATGACCACCAGGATCGAAAGAGCAGAAACCCCTGCGCCAGAGGAGAGCATGAAGCTCTCCGACCCGACCCCCTGAGACCAATACCAACAAGAAAAGAGCCATAGAAAAACAATCCTGAACCATGGGGGGGCCACCACAAACCCAGGAGAAGAGAGAAGAAAGCAGCCGGTGCAACGACCAGGACGACTTAGGCGGCGCATGTGCAGGCCGGAGGTGAAACAACGCCCAAGAAAGCTTATGGAATGGAGCAGAAGTGATCATCCACCTCAAATGGGTGCACCGGCTGCGCCAGCACCGCCTGAAACGAGGCGACAGTATTAGGCATAATGGTCCTGAAACAACCAAGAGAAAGGACTAAACAACCCAACCAGAAATCGAAGACAACCTACGAAGAGACAAAGTGCTGAAAGGACTGCCAGGAAATTTCATTCTGCCGTCGAGATGAAACTCGCAGGTGAGACACCAACTAAGCCACCTGATCACCATACAAGCGGTGATAAACCCACGTCAAAAAGAGAAGATCGAACCAGCCGTGTACCGGAATGGACCGATCTGCTGAAAGGGGCAGAGCTGCGGGAAGACCCTCGGGTTCGGACATCGAGCCAGAAGCACCTGAAAACAGGGCTGGGTCAGCCACCAAAGAGCCAACAGGACTACTCATCCCTGGTAAGTGTCTCCAAGCAAGCCAGGACCCAGAACAACAACCGAACCAGTGGGAAGAGGTACAGGTAACCCTAGCTCGACCAGTCCAGACGAAAGGCATCGACCCTGATGGCCTCACAGTCTGGGAAGGGCACCACATACTCTGGAAGATGCCTCAATCACGTCGACAGGTAGAGGTCCACCTCTAGATGCCTGTATGTCCGGCAGAGCCAACTGAATGAGTCTGTGTCGACCGTCCATTTCATGGATAGAGGAATGAAACGAGACAGGCCATCCGCCAGGACATTTGATACCCCCTGAACGTGAACCGCCAGGAGAGCCAAACCCCGAGAACTCAGTAAACAAGTCACCTGAAGCGACCAGCCCCAAAGAGCCAAGGGCTGCATCGAACCCCCGCGGTTCAGACGGTGAATCACCAGAGAGGGAATGGAGCCAGATTGTTGCTCCACAAGCAACACAAACCCTCTGAAGTTAATGCCACAACACCGCGAACTCCTGCGCTGTGCTGTAAGCCCAACGAAAGGACAGACCCCATGACCCTGGCCGGCCCTCAGAGGAAGTCGGCGATGCAGCAGCCAACGCAAGGCTCTCAGATCCGAACACAGCGATTACGAGAGCGGCGGAAGGGACGCCCCCGAAGAAACCAGAACGTCCGCTGAAGCCAGATCTGACCCGACGGGTAGACCAGCACAGCGAAGATCAAGCTCCCGCCCTGCTGCTCAAACAACCGACATGTGACGTGATGCTGGGTGCCCTCCATAAACAGTTGTAAGCATGAATGCAGCTGCAACATCACCAACAGAGAGAGAGAGACAAGGAAGCAGTCTGAGAGTCCTACACAAGACCCAGCCCAGTCCAAACCTGAGAGGGAACCAAATAAGACTTCCTCCAGTACACCAAGAACCTGAAGTTGGCGAGCTGGAAAAGAACTAAGTCCGTGGCGAGCAGACACGTGGTTTGGCTGGTAGCCCACACATGTCAATTGTCGATGTAAGCCAGAACTCAAACTGGTCACCACGACCCGGTTAAGTCCTGTGGACACGCGAGGTGCCAGATCCATACTGGAAGGCAATGAGAGCGGCAAGTCCCACGAACAAAATCGAGCCAGTCCCTGAACTCCGGATGAATCGGGACGTGCCAATATGCGTCCCGAAGGTCCAGAGACACCATCCAGGCACCCAGCACCAAAAGCAGCTGGACCCAAGACAGAGTGGTCATCCAAAAGAAAGGGCAAAAGGCCCGGGGGATCAGACGGGACAAGTTCAGTATGAATTGCAGATCTACCCAGTCCCATTACGGAGCTGAAAACAGACGGGAAACCCACTCCAGGATGACCTGACAGAGCGCAGGGAAAGAGGCCCACATATATATAACATCTGTGTATAGTGAATAAATGCAAAAACAACATTGTGGGAGGAGAATGAGGGCGAGTGAGGTGTTGCTGAGGGAGGGAGTGGCTGGCTGGTGTGTGGCGGTCACTCCTTGTTGCATTTTGACTCACAATACCAACTTAGTGGTTCGTTATGGTGAGCAAAACATGCAGATACTTATATATAACCTGTGTATATAGTGTAATAACAGCAAAACTATTTGTTTATTGTGTTATGAACATAATAATTGAATCACTAATATGCACACCATAATTTTGAGTATAGCGATGGTTCACACATTTTATTATATAAATGTATCACAATTAACACTATTGAATAATATTACTGCAAAACAAAAAACACTTTTATAAGATGAAAGAGTTCTTTTGGAATTTTTTTTTTTGTTGCAAAGAAAAAATCAGACATTGAAATAATTAGGTAATAATATATTTGTGGCAACTTCCGCCTGACAGCTCGGGCAGAGTAGACCTCGTCTGGCGAAGGTTCTGTCAACGCCCCTTTTTTGCCAGACTTCCCTACCCTATTGCGTCTAAAATATGCCACCTACGATTTTTTTGTTATTTTTCCGTGATCAGGGAACAAAAATGAACACTTTTATAAGATGAAAGAGTTCTTTTGGAATTTTTTTTTTTGTTGCGCCTGTGGGTGATAAAGCCATTTGGACCCCTGGTGGTTTGAGGGTTAATAATAACCTTCTTTAGCATTGCGATAGTCTATTAATAAGCTTTTAATGATTAACTAAGACATGCTTTATATTTCTTAACCTTTGTCAACAGTTTGCGTGGCACTGCATTTCTCTCTGGCCATGCTGATGGATCAGTTGTGCGGTTCTATGTTGCTGATGATCCATATGCTGAGCCACAGGTACGCCACCAATGGTGAACATACTGTAATTAGACAGTTTACAAACCAAACAAATCTAAAAAATTTACCAACCAGTAAATCTTAACAATTTAAAAAAATGTTGAAAAATATATGTATTTTATCTACAGCATATTTTTCATTCTCTGGTCCTATTTTAAGTTCCTACTGCACTCTTTCTAATTAAAGATGCCATTTTCTGTGGGGAGCCCCTACAGCTCCCCGGGCTGATATGTATGTATTAGACTGATCAGTCTATATGACTGTGATATGTATGTATTAGACTCTAATCAGTCGATTGGAGTTCTTACCTACTGGGGACTATGAGCCAGAACCTGGCCTCCCCTCAGAGGGGCATGAGGAGCAATGGCCTATGGAAACCCCTATGTATTTGGAAGTTTTCCACGTCTGCCATCGACTGGGGGTTTGGCACCCAGAAAGGTAGGCATAACAAAACAAACCCCCATATGGTAAAAATTCTACCTAAAACGGATCAGAGGCAGAACTCCCAAACTAAAACAAGCAAATATGCAAACGTCGCTAACGCCGCCACACCGCTTGTCCGAGGAGCCAGGGAGGGGGAGGCGGACTCCCCTGCACCGGCCGCTCCAGCATTCAGTTCCTCGGCTGATGTTGACTGTGGTGGTCATCGACTCTGGCCTCTGACTTTATGCCGTTCTGTGCCTTGTGGTGTCTTTCTGCGGTGTGGTGCACAGGTCAGGAATACTTCATCAGTACTGGGGCTGCATTCACTTTGGGCCGACTTCCCTAACTACTCTGTAAGTACTGTACTGCCGTTGCGTCTTTAGGTTACCTACCATAGGTCCAAAGGTTCCAACTCGCCGAGTACGAGTTTGATGGTTGCTCTGTCTCCTAGCACGCCCAAACGGTGAAGTCTTCCAGCGCTCTACTAGCCCTCTGGCTAGCACAATTGGAGCATTTTATATCTGCCATCAACCGGGACAGGCACCCAGAAAAGTAAGCGCCACAAAACAAACCCCTATTCTGGTTAAAAACGATGAAAAAAGACAAATGAGTAGATAGAGCCCCCCCCCCCCAATTGAAAACGAGCAGACAAACATAATGTCACACGAGCCGCACCACATGTCTGCGCAGTTCCCCCCTCCCCGGGAGGGGAAAGGGGGAGCCCCAGACCCCCTATGTCCGGGTTTCAGGGTGCCAATACTCCTTCAACTGATGCCACTATCTAATACATACATATCAGCCCAGAATATGACATTTCATTACATTCAACACTGGTTTTTTGTATTTGCAATCAAAATTGTATTACAGTTATTAAATATTGAATTTCATTTTTGGCCTCGATATTCCAAAGATTTTTATTGTCCTCCTTCACTGTGGCTCTAAAGAAAGACCCTTGTAATGCTGCTCCTTTTGATTAATTTGCTAGACCACATTCTCATGTTTCTTCAACCACTGTAATGGGGCATAGCCTAGATACTGTATATCTAAATTATCCTTTATCAAATGAATATTAGAAAACTAGTGTGCTTTTGATATAAAAACACTATAAATGTATTAATAATCATGCTTTCTCTGATTTTTAGGGCAAAATAATATCCCATCCTGTGCCTCCTTATGCCATTGCATGGACTAACAGTAACATTATTGCTGCTGGGTGTGACAAGCGTATTGTAATGTATACCAAAAGTGGGAAGATTCATCAACAGTTTGATTACACCAGAGATGGATCAGAACGGGAATTTTCAGCTGCAGTTGCAAGTCCTAGTGGTCAGGCTCTTGTTGTTGGCAGCTTTGATAGGTAATATAATGTCATACTGTTGTAAGATTTGATAATTTTATGTTCTGTAAATTAGATAGAGCTGCAGGTAATAATTTGAGTAATGCCATAGTAAGATTTGTGATCATTTTAAATTATGAAAAATGAGTAGTGTATGCTCAATAGAATGGAGCATGGACTGAAATATTCTAGCTTTTCAAGGCTATTGTTGAAACAAGATTTTTTGAAACAAGAAGAATCTGCCTCTTCTTGAAACAAGAAGAGGCAGATTCCGGAATAGATTCCTAAGAGTAATTCCTCTATAGTAATTCAATCTAAAATCATGAAGGAGCTAGCCATTGAGCCATGTCTACTATTGAAACTCCAATTCAGAAAATCCCTGGACCTAAAAAAATTCTCCTGTATTGGAAATATGCAAATGTCACCCCTATCTCTGAGCCATGTCTACTATTGAAACTCCAATTCAGAAAATCCCTGGACCTAAAAAAATTCTCCTTGTATTGGAAATATGCAAATGTCACCCCTATCTCTGAAAAAGACACACAATGTTCAGCAGAAAACTACAGAACAGTAAGCCTAACGTCACACATCTACAAGCTCGAGTAAATCCTAAGGAAGGAAATCGTTCACCATCACAATATACTGTAGTTATGTAAAAAATAAATCCTTCCTAACTAACATACTTATATTTTTGGAAATGGTAACCAACTACACAGAGGACTTCCAATAGATATAGTGTTAAAGAAAGACTGGCACAGAAACTGAAAACATGTTGTATAAATGGCAGAATACTTGAATGGATAAAACAATAGTTAAAAGAAAGAAAGCAAAGGGTTATCCTAAATGGGAATGAATCTGAGTTGGTAAATGTTGAGTCCAACTCTTTTTGTTATGTACATCAACGACATACAGTGCATCCTCACTCTAACGAACTCCGTTCTATCGAATTCCCGGATGATCCGAACAAATTGAACTCTGTACTAAACGTTCAGCAGAGTATACAAATGTTTAAGTGAGGATTATTCATCCAAGTAGTCACCGAGACAGTGCGTTGGAGGTGGCTGTCATCAACTATGATTCACCAAAGTGTAAACAGTTGTACAGTGTTGTATTTTGCTTACCCATTATTTCCAGGGAGAAATGGTTGAAGGATGATAAAAAGGTGTCAAAGGAAGCATGTGGTGTCAGTGGTGGAAGCTGTCAGGGGAGGTAGGTGGTGTTAATGGTATCAAGGAAGTCAGGTTGTGTCAATGGTGGAAGTTGTCATGAGGCATGTGGTGTCAGTTGTCAGGGTAGGCAGATAGTGATAGTGGTGACCAAACCACACACTACAATGTGAAGGGACGACGACGTTTCGGTCCATCCTGGACCATTCTCAAGTCGATTGTGTAGACTTGAGAATGGTCCAGGAAGGACCGAAACGTCGTTGTCGTCCCTTCACTTTCTAGTGTGTGGTCTGGTCAACATATTTCAGCCACGTTATTGTGACTCATCATCTGCATAGTGATAGTGGTGTCAGGGAAGGCAGGTGGTGTCAATGGTGAAGTTGTCAATAGAAGTAGGTTGCCGACTTGTGTTAAACTGGAATGAGTATACACATTTGGGTGTCACCGCGCGCTTACCCGCACGGAGGGGCCACGATCCCCCAGTCAACCGCGAGTTTCTACGGAGCGCGAAAGTGTTAACTTGTTCCAACCGTCTACCACTCTATTTGCGAAGGTGAATTTTCTTATATTTCTTCGGCATCTGTGTTTAGCTAGTTTAAATCTATGGCCTCTTGTTCTTGAAGTTCCAGGTCTCAGGAAGTCTTCCCTGTCGATTTTATCAATTCCTGTTACTATTTTGTACGTAGTGATCATATCACCTCTTTTTCTTCTGTCTTCTAGTTTTGGCATATTTAATGCTTCTAACCTCTCCTCGTAGCTCTTGCCCTTCAGTTCTGGGAGCCACTTAGTAGCATGTCTTTGCACCTTTTCCAGTTTGTTGATGTGCTTCTTAAGATATGGGCACCACACAACAGCTGCATATTCTAGCTTTGGCCTAACAAAAGTCATGAACAATTTCTTTAGTATATCACCGTAGGGAGTGTCAGGGAAGGAAGGGTGGGTGGTGTCAGTGGGTGAGTCAAGATGCCTCCACCAGGTCTGGCATGAGTGATCAGCTGATTGTGCAACGTGGCTGGTGCTGTTGCTGCCTCAATACTAAACTCACTTGTGGCTTTTCACAAAATTAGCTGAGACAATTTTACCATTTCAGTTGCTTGTAGCACATTGCTCTATCATATTCCATAGCCAAAATAAGAATTCATAATAAATGGGGATGTCAATGGTGAGGGGATGTATTAGAGTAAGGAGGCTGCTAGCCTATACACAGTCAACATTTGTACTCATTAATAATGTACAGTATGTACTTATATGTACATGTGCTTTACTTTGTGTATTCCTTATTCATATTAATAAACTTTATTTAATTTTCTTATTTGCTGGATGTATCTGAGTATGTAATTGTTGATATGAAACAATCTATATTCCATGATATTGAAGCCTGCCTTGAGAATAGGAATGGGTGGGCTCATAAACACTCAAACTAGCTGTGTATGCCTGACTTGGCCTCAGACCTGGTTTGGCCCAAAGCCTGGTCTGGCCCAAGGCCTGCCAGTCTGGCCGCCACCCCCGCCCCCTCCTCTACTGCCGACATGTTACAACCCCCCCCCCTACCCCACCCCCTTTTCCTCTTGCACTTGACTACCAGCAACCGGCCACAACCCCTCCCCTGACCACCAGCGGTGCACCAACCACCCCCTTCTCTAGTCAGTTCGTTGAGTAAATTGTGATTTTGCTTGATTGGATTCAATAATGCTCATAAATGTAGCATTTTATACCAAATTGTTTGCAAGTGATTGTTGTATCAAATGGCTTAGTGAAAATGATGAATTCGTAACAAATGAATTTTTTCTGAATATTTATATCGAGACTGATAAAGTTGGCTTACGGAAATCCTGGTATTACATCATATATGCGGCCAACAATAATAGTCACATTGTTATGATTTTGATATGGAATTGTTCACCAATGATTGCTGTATCATGTGCCATGTTAAAAATGATAAATACTTAATAAATAGATTTTGTGTGATTTTTGCTTTGTTGATAGTGGATATAGAACCCCTGTTCTTTTCACATGGAGGGGAGGGACAGCCTGTGCCAGACAGGTAGAACTAATTCCGTGGTGGAACGAATCGGCCTTGCCGCATATAAATTGTTCACGTGAGTACACACTGTATATAAGAAAATAATAAACCATATCATCAAATTTGCAGATGGCACAAAGATCTATCGTAAAATGTTTAGTGAAATGAACTGAGGTTACAAAAAGTAATCTACATGAATTCCACAATTACAGTAGTCAGAAGACTGCCAAATGCTTTTCACTATTGAAAATTTAAAGACGTTGCAGATGATGAGTCACAATAACGTGACTGAAGATATGATGACCAAACCACACATCAGAAAATGGAGAAATAATGATGTTTTGGTCCATCCTGGAGTATAATCAAGTCATGTAATGGAAAGAGGAAGGGACAAACAAATAAATAGGGTAGGAGAGTGAGATGGAAGGTGAGGAGCAAGTAAGAAAAAGAAGGTAAGAGTAATACGTAGAAATAGTCTAAGCTACTCTATCCCTTTGAGATGTATTTCTTTGTCTCAATAAACATACTTGACCTTTAACTTGAACCAGCATTTGACATCTATGAAAGGTAAGAATTTGAACTTTCTTATACCTTACCTTTCATCCTATTCTTACTTTTTATATTATTCTCACCTCCTTCTTTCTCTTACTTTCTCCACACCTTTCATCTTACTTTCCTACCTTATTTATTTGTATCCCTGTCTTTTTATTACATGGTTTGATGATGGCCCACGATGGACCAAAGTATCATCATTTCTCCATTTTCTAATGTGTGGTTTGGTCATCATTGAAGGAAATTGTGTATGGCAAAACAATACACATCATAACTACCATATCAACAACACAACCATACAGAATATTGATAAAGAATAGGACCTAGGAGTTACGATCCACCTGTCATTAGACGTTCAGCAAGTATGAGCTGCAGTGAAAAAATGCCAACTGAACTAATCAAACAAACCTTTGACTTCACAGAAAAGAAAGGGTTATTCAGCTGTATAAATCAATGAGATTCATTGAGACTTCACCTTCAAAAGAACATAACTGCCTTAGAAAAAAATGAAAAATGCAGAGCAATGAAAATCATCCCACAACCAAGTTGATTCTCATTCCAGGAATGGCTGAAGGCCTCAGAGCTAACACAAGAGTACAGTATCTACAAACCAGACACAACAAGGATGATTTCAGCGAGTTTTTAAAATACAGAACAAATTACATGATATTTATCCATATTACTACTATGAAAGGTCCAATATTACTCGCAGATTATCTGCCTCTACTTGTCTAATTCTTGATTTTTCATGCTCATACCACACCAGCATTTGACATCCATACATAATGATAGACATTACCACTCTTTAGTACAACCTGTTGTATTCTTCCCTCCACAGCTTTCATTGCACTAACCACTTTGTCCCTGACTCACTCTACTCTGAACTTCACCTGAACAACTTCCTCTTTACTTTATCTCATGTCCCAGAGATATTAACTGATCAACCACTTGTTGTGCACTCTATGGAAATTTCACATAGCTTTTTCTTTATTTTTGTCCATCATTTCAGATTGCGTATCTTTGACTACAATACATCTCGAGGTATGTGGGACGAAAAAACCTCATGTGAGTTTGAAGGTTTCTACACAATCACTGCCTTAGCATGGAAACGAGACGGGTCTAGACTGGTTTGTGGAACATTATGTGGTGCAGTTGAGCTCTTTGATTCTGTGCTGCGGTAAGACTATTATTAATATTGTATTACTCATATTTTTCAACTCAACAGCATGTTGGTTTTACGTATTCTGCTGAAAACAATAGAGATTGTCCTTGATTTGATTCTTCAGGTGTAGTAACTACAGGGAATTTTTCTTCCCTGCACAAGTGTGTGTTGTGTATATATGCAGTGTATGTGCATACACATGAACTTTTGTTCTTAATCATTATCATCCATATTGTGCTTCTGAAACAAAAACTTTGTGTACTTAACACATTTTTAATAATATTTTTTTAATAGAGGTTTTTGTTTCTCAGACGATCTGTGTGGAAAAATAAGTGGGAGATGACTTATGTTGGACCATCACAAGTATTGGTTAAGCCTTTGGCTGGATCAGGCCCTTTTGGCAGCCGAGGAGTTATCCTCAGGTCACAGTATGGTTTTGAAATCCATGATGTTCGTATTATGGGTAAGTGTACAGTATATCTTTACTATGACAAAGGGTTTCGTACTACATGTATATATAATTTTAATGTTGCAATACACCCCCTATACTATTCAGTTGGGATTTGACACATAGGACACCTTTGAGGGTGGTAACAATTGACTTTTTTCTAATGCCATTAACAATTTGACTGAATGTGACTGCAAGCCAATGCAAATAATCAGTTACCAGAAATTAAATCTTGTCAAACCAACCTTTGAATTTTTTCAACACTGTGTATTCTCAATTGCTTGTTAACTGCCACATCTCTCTCCTGATTTGTGCCCATTTCAATAATTCCTTAAGTCCAAGTACTGTATGTATAGAAAATAATATTGGAACATGTCAGTAACATAATCACTAAGACCTATGAAGTTGCTACTACCAAAACAACATTCAGTATGTATTGGGAAGTTTTTGTCATAAGGTCATTAACACCTTGGTGTGGAATACATTACCTAAAAAGGTATTAAAGGCTCGCTCCACTCTTTCATAGTGGATTTCTGTGGGGAGCCCTGTCGGCTCCCTTGAGATATTGGGCTAATAGACCAGGGCAATAATCAGTCGAGTTCTGGTGTGCTGGTTAGGTGTACCTGAAGTATACTGGGGCTGCATGCACTTAGGGCAGCCTTCCCTGGTGTGTTCATGAACCGTTTCCTTAGGGGTCATTGCTGCTCAGCTATTACCCTGCCCTTAGGGCCAACTGGGGCTTTTGTGGCCCTTGTCTGGCCTTGGGTAGGAAGCAGCATTGTTGCTGATTAGGGCATCAAGGTGTTGTGCAGCTTGCCTACCTACAGCAGTAGCCAGTTTTTGTTTTCCATGGTGACGTACTTTTGCAGGGGTTTTCTTTTACTTTTTGTTTTGTGTGCCTGGTGGGGGTCTGCCTGCAGTAGCTATAGGTTCAGTTCTGATATTTTGGTGGCCCTCTGCTAGGCCCCAGTGATTGTACACATCGCACGGTTTTCAGTGTTGTGATCTTATCCCTTGTTAGCTTTGGGTCTAATTGGTTAGCAACACCTTGCCCGGGCTTCCAGTAGCAGTCAGCCTTGGAAAAACCCTGTCGGGATTCGTTGGACCTATTGATGTATCTTCTGAGTTCCAGCTCACCTCATGCAGGTTTGAAGGTTGCTGTATGCCCTTGTCTCAAGGTGACAGTCACCACTTTTGCCACCATCATGCTGCCTTTTGCGTCAACGACACCTTTGACCCGTCGTCATACGAGTCGTGTTCTCTGCTTGTTCTCCAGGACTATTCTGATGACATTACTGTTCGGGTACAGGCAGCATCCGCGTTAAATATTCATTTTAATTTACTGTAATGCTCTAGGTTGGTTGCCCACCCGGATGCCCCGAGGCTGCTCCGTTTCGGTTATAGGGACCCGCAATTGCAGGCGTTAGTCGCTTCAACTTTGGTTCATTTCGTGTTTCATGGTCCTTTCCCTGTTGTTCACCCTGCTCCCCCCTATCCCTCCCTGCTTCTGGCTCCTAAACATCAGATTGTTTCGGAGTCGGGGCAGAGTTTAGTTGGTAATGAGACTCGGGCTGCCTGTTCGGGTTGGAGACAGAGGCATTCAACCCGGTTCCTCATGCCAAGGTTTCTGGGTCCTACCAGCAGGTCCACTTTTTTTCAGCCTTTCCCCTGGACTCTGCCTTTTATTCAGGGGTAGAGGGTATGGAGGACTGCTCTGCCCCGGGTCCCGAGTTGGGGATCCCGGGGCTGGGGAGGAGTTGACCAGGGGGGCTTGGGCCCCCTTTGACCCCACTTGGGTGCTAGTATCCTCTTCATGGGGCTTGTTGTTGCAGGGGGGGAGGGGTTTTCTTACCCTTTCCTATATGAGTATGAACCCGGCACTTCCCCGGGTTCGGTTCCGGGTTCCTTTGGCTCCCTCGGCTACTTCTTTCCGGATGTTTTCTGCTTCACGGATCTCCCTGTCAGAGGTTTGGGAGGCGCTTGCTGAGTACCTCCTGCGAGACCCGGATTCTACCTCTGTGATGGATCCGTCCTTGTTTGAGTTTAGTTCTTCCCTATACTGTATTGGGTGTTTCTGGGGGGAGCCCCGTCGGCTCCCCGGAGCTATCCCAGGCTGATATGCTAATGTCAGACTTTGGCATCAGTCATGTGTATGGAGTTCTTAGGCCTACCGGGGACCACGGCCAGAACCGGGCCCCCTCAGAGAGGCAAGGGGAGCAATGGCCTATAGAAGCCCCCGTGTAGTTGGAAGCATTCTATGTCTGCCATCGACCGGAACAGGCACCCAGAAAGGTAAGCGCCCCAAAACAAACCCCTATTCTGGTTAAAATTGCTACCTAATACCGAACTAGTGGATAGAACTCCCCAACCGAAAACAAGCAAATTAGTGTGACGTCACACACTGCCGCGCCGCTGTCTGCGCAGCTCCCCCCTCCCCGGGAGGGGGAAGGGGGAGCCCCAGACCCCCCGCGCCGGCTACCCACACCTCAGTTCTTGAGGCTGATGCTATTGGCGGTGGTCGTGTGCTCTGGCTCCGGTGTCGCTACTGCACTGTGCTTTGAGTGTGGTGTTAGTTTTGTGGGTGCGAGAGCCAGGAGTTATCTTCAGTACTCGGGCTGCATGCGCCTAGGGCTGCCTTCCCTAGGTGCCCTGTAAGTACTGCCCTTGGGGCTTGGGGCCACCTTCCACAGGCTCCTCGGGGTCTGCCTCTGCTGGTCCGTTTTACCTTTCGGTTTTTCGGCCGCCTGTTGGGCTCTTGGGTGTTCTGTTCTCCCTTGTTACCGGCAGGTAAGAGGCAGTTTGCACTGGTAGGGGCGCAGGGTGCTGCTCAGCTTGTAATTCCCGACATCGCGGCCGGCTCTGTTCCTTGGGGTTCGCTGTCCTCTTGCGGGGTTTTGTTTTTCTTTTTGTTTTTTGCCTGGTGGGGGGTTCTGTCATTTTATTCAGTTTGTTTTTGCCCTTCCACTGTTCTCCTCGGTGGCGCCCCCTGCTAGGTCCCCGTGAGTGTACACGTCCCTGGGGTTCAGCTTTAGAAGTTTGCTTGGTAGTTTTGAGCGCCGGTTTGCAGCACCCTGCCTGGGACTACCTGAGCGCGAGTCCTCTTAAAGTAAACGCTCAGGACCCTGGGAATCCCCTAGGGGGCGCGTGGGTCCGATGGATGTGACCCCGGAGTCCCCACTCGCTGTGTGCGAGTTTGAGGGTTGCTCGGTCCCCTTGTCTCAGGGTGACCCTCATTGTTTTTGCCTCTGCCACGCTGCCTGTTGGGTCGGTGATACTTTCGACCCTGAGTCCTGTGAGTGTTGCTGCTTGCTTGTGACTCAATTTACCCAATCCTCTGATGATTCTATTCGGGTACAGGCGGCACGTGCGTTGCAGTCTAGGTTTCGTCTGTTGCAACGCGCTCGGTTGGTTGCTTCCCCGGATGCCCCGGGGCTGCCCCGCTTTGCTTTTCGAGACCCGGACTTGGGGGTGGGGGTCGCTTCGATCCTGGTTCAGTCCGCACCTCCTCGTCCTTCCCCTTCTGTTCGTTCTGGTCCCCCGCCCCTGCTTCCGGCCCCGAAGCGTCTGAGGGTTTCGGGGTCGGAGCAGGGGTTACTTGATCTCGAGACTCGGGCAGCTTCGGGGGTTGCCCCTTCCGGGGGGGCGGCAGAGGCATTCGGGTCTTGTCTCCCGGCCGAAGCTTCAGGGTCTGACCAGTGGGCCCCCCTTCCTCCAGCTTTTCCGGCTGCTCCGTCCTTGTCTTGTGGGGTCGGGGCTTGGGGAGAGGACTCGGCCTCGGGTCCTGTGGTGACGGACCTCGAGGCTGGGGAGGGGCTGACTTGGGGGCCTTGGGCCCCGCTGGACCCCGCCTGGGTTTTTCTTCCCACTGAGCGGGGCTTATTGTTACAAGGAGTGGGGTTTTCTTTCCCCCCCTCTGCGTACGAGTTGGATTTGGTGTCGGCCCCTCCCCGGGTACGGTTCCGTGTTCCCCCGGGTACGTCGGTTCCGTCCTTCAGGAGGTTTTCGGCTTATCGCATCCAACCTGGTGTGGTGCGCGCGGCCTTTGCAGCTTACCTCCTGCGTGACCCGGATTATGCCTCGGAAATGGATCCGTCCACGTTCAGGTTTGGGACTTCGTTCCCTTTCTGGCTCCGTTACGAGGTTCCGGAGTCATCCTGGCTAGCAGACTGCCCCTTGTTTGGTCTGGATTCCTGGCATTCCTTCTGTCGTTCCCGCACGCTGGAGTGGCGGGAAGCTTCCACGGTGCTTCAGGTTTTCCTGGGGGGTGAACTTGAGTACCTAAATGAGTGCTTGTTTGCCCCTGCCCTTCCCCGCGATGTGGGCGTTATTCAGCTCCATGTGCAGGTTCCCTCCCTTTCGGCGGCGCTCGTGGCGGAGGACTTGCGCGCTCGGGGCCTTTTGTGTTCGGCCTTGCGGTTCTTTTCCCTCCTGGAGCTGTCTTCGGATTGGCTCGTGGAGGATGTGGGGACGCTTGGGTCCGTCCCGGGGTCCGGCACCTTGTCCTCGGCTGCGCGTTCGTCGGCTGCCTTGTTGAAGCTGTTCACGCCGATTTTGCGGGATGCGGTTTTCCTGTTCTATGCTTCCCGTCTCGCGTGTCGGCAGGCGGTGCTGGGTTCCTCCGTGGAATCTGCTTGGGCTCTGGCTCTTAGGCGTTCTTCACCTTTTTGTCCTCTCCTGTTTGGGGAGTCGGCCGTGGCGCAGTTTATTCAGGCTGCGTCGGCGGCTTGTCGTCCGATGTCGGACTTGTTGGTTTTCCGGGGGTCCCGGGGTGGGTCTTCCCGGAAAGGTCGTGCCAGGGCTCGGGGTTCCTCTCGTCGTGGTAGGCCTCTGGTGTCAGGTTTGGGGTTGGCTCCTCCTGCGGACCCTCCCTCGTCTGGTCGGCGCGGTGTTCGCGCTGTGCGGGGTTCTGGGTCTCGTAAGGGTCGCCGGCCCTTTCGCGGTTTGCCCCTTTGACGGGGCGATGGGGGGGCGGCTTGCGCTGTTCGCCCGCGCCTGGTCCCACGATTCGTGGGCCTTTCGGGTCGTGTCTCGCGGCCTGCGGTGGCGTTGGGTGGCCCCTCCCCCCTTTGGGGGGTCGGGGCTGGCGGGGCAGGCTTCTTCCCCTGCGCTCTGTCGAGTCGTCTTGGAGTGGGTACGCTTGGGCGTCGTCGAAACGACGTCGTCCCTCAGATGGGTTTCCCGTCTGTTTCCGGTTCCGAAACGGGACTGCGCGGACCTGCGGTTCATTCTGGACTTGTCCCGTCTGAACCCCTGGGTTCATTGCCCCTCCTTTCGGATGACTACGCTGTCTCAGGTTCGGCTCCTCTTGGAGCCGGGTGCTTGGATGGTGTCCCTGGACCTCCGGGACGCTTATTGGCATGTCCCGATTCATCCGCGGTTCAGGGACTGGCTCGGTTTTGTAGTGGGGCGTCTGAGTTACCGCTTTCGTTGTCTCCCGTTCGGGTTGAACCTGGCACCTCGCGTGTTCACACGCCTTACACGGGTTGTGGTGGCTCGTTTGCGTCTCCTAGGTGTTCGGGTGTTGGCCTACCTCGACGACTGGCTGGTTTGGGCTCCCAGCCAGTCAGCTTGCTTGCTAGCCAGGGATTTGGTTCTTTCCCAGCTCGCCGGGTTCGGGTTCTTGGTGAACTGGAGGAAGTCCCATCTGGTTCCCTCTCAGGTTCGGACTTGGCTGGGTCTCGTGTGGGACTCTCGGACCGCCTCCTTGTCTCTCCCTCCGGAGTCTCTCCTGCGGCTGCGGTCCCGCCTTCGTCTGTTTCTGGAGGGCCCTCGGGTCACCCGGCGGTTGCTCGAGGGGCTGTGCGGGAGCCTGAACTTCGCGATGGTGGTCTACCCGCCGGGTCGGGTTTGGCTTCGACGGCTGTTCTGGTTCCTTCGGGGTTCCCCCTTCCGCCTCTCTCGCGATCGCAGAGTTCGACCCCCGGGGGACTTGCGTCGGTTGCTGCGTCACCGGCTTCCTCTTCGGGTTTTTCGGGGTTCAGTGCCTTGGCGCCTACCCGAGCCCTCGCTCGATGTGTACACGGATGCGTCGTCTCTCGGCTGGGGTTTTGTGACCAGTGCTCACCAGGCCGGCCAGGGGCGTTGGGATCCGTCCTTCCGTCGAGCTCACAGTACGGTGCGAGAGTTCGCGGCAGTGTGGTTTGCTCTGGGGAGGATTCGGGTGGCCCGCGGATCGACGATTCGGCTCCATTCGGACTGCTCTCCGGTGGTTCATTGCCTGGACCGCGGGGGTTCGATGCGGTCCTTGTCTCTTTGGGGTTGGTCGCTTCGGGTGACTCGTCTGCTGAGTTCTCGGGGTTTGGCTCTCCTGGCGGTTCACGTACGGGGCGTGTCCAACGTCTTGGCCGACGCCCTGTCTCGCTTCGTTCCCCTCTCCACGGAGTGGACGGTCGACGACGAGTCCTTCCGTTGGCTTTGCCAGACGTTCGGGCGCCCCGAGGTGGACCTCTTCGCGTCGGCGTGGTCGCGGCGTCTTCCCGTTTATGCGGCGCCCTTCCCCGATTGCGAGGCCGTCGGGGTCGATGCCTTTCGGCTCGACTGGTCGAGGTGGGGGTTCCTGTACCTCTTTCCCCCAGTTCGGCTGTTGCTCCAGGTCCTGACTCGCTTAGAGACTTACCAGGGGAGAGTTGTCCTTCTGGCCCCTTGGTGGCCGGCCCAGCCTTGGTTTCAGGCGCTGGTTGCTCGGTGTCCGAACCCGAGGGTTTTCCCGCGGCTCCGCCTCTTTCAGCAGATCGGGCCGGTACGTCACGTAGCTGGTTCGATCTTCTCCTCGAGTCTTCGTGTATGGTTTTTTTGACTCGAGTCTATCATCATCTCTATGGTGATCAGGTGGCCTCCTTGTTGGTGTCCCACCTGAGGGCTTCTTCTCGGCGGCAGTATGAGGTTTCCTGGCGGTCCTTCCGTTTCTTTTTGCGTCTTCGTCGTGTTAGCTCCTTGTCTGTTCGGGTGGTCTTGTCCTTCCTCTCGTGGTTGTTTCAGGACCGTCATCTTATGCCTAACACTGTCGCTTCGTATCGTGCGGCGCTGGCGGAGCCGCTTCAGCTTGCTTTCGGTATCGATGTTACGTCTGCGCCGTTTCGCAAGCTGTCTCGTGCATTGTTTCACCTCCGGCCTGCTCATGCGTCGCCTGAGCCGTCCTGGTCTTTGGACAGAGTGCTCGCTTTCCTTTCATCTCCTCGTTTCGTTGTGGCCCCTTCGGTCCAGGATTGTTTTTCCAAGGCACTTTTCTTGTTGGCTTTGGCCTCTGGGGGTCGGGTAGGGGAGCTTCATGCTCTCCTCCGGCGCAGGGGTTTCTGCTCTTTTGGTCGTGGTGATAGTTTTGTTCGTTTGCAGCCGTCTCCTTCTTTTCTGGCGAAGAATGAGACTGCTGCGTTCCGGAGGGGTCCATGGGTGGTTGATGCTTGGTTGGTCAGGCCGGGGGTGCATCATGTTTTGTGTCCGGTTGCGGCGCTTCGCCGTTATTTGCGCGCCACAGCTTCTGTGTCCGGGGACGCGCTGTGGGTTGATCCGGTTTCCCTTCTTCCCTGTTCGCGGGTTCGGGTCTCTCAGGTCGTCCGCAGGGTTATTAGGTCTAGCCAGCCTGCGGTCTATCCCCGTGCCCATGACGTTCGTAAGTTCGCGGCTCTTGCTGCCGTCTTTGGGAATATGTCTTGGTCTGATATTCGGGCGCGGGGATTTTGGCGGTCGAACAGGGTCCTGGCTGCTCGTTACCTTGTGAATGTCCCTGGCCCTCGTCGGGCCTGTGTTGCTTTGGGTCGGCGGTTGCAGCCAGTTGTCTCGGCTTCGAGTTGAGGGGTGAGCGACGACCGCCTCCCGGGTAAGTCCCTCTTTTTCTGTCTGTGGGTAGTTAGCTCCGGGGAGCCGACGGGGCTCCCCCCAGAAAACCAGCGTTGAATGTAATGAAACGCCATTTTCTGGGTGAGTCCCGGAGGCTCCCCGGCATCCCTCCCTCCCTCCGGTCGGCGGTTTTTCGCGTTTTTGACATCCAGCCTCAAGAACTGAGGTGTGGGTAGCCGGCGCGGGGGGTCTGGGGCTCCCCCTTCCCCCTCCCGGGGAGGGGGGAGCTGCGCAGACAGCGGCGCGGCAGTGTGTGACGTCACACTAATTTGCTTGTTTTCGGTTGGGGAGTTCTATCCACTAGTTCGGTATTAGGTAGCAATTTTAACCAGAATAGGGGTTTGTTTTGGGGCGCTTACCTTTCTGGGTGCCTGTTCCGGTCGATGGCAGACATAGAATGCTTCCAACTACACGGGGGCTTCTATAGGCCATTGCTCCCCTTGCCTCTCTGAGGGGGCCCGGTTCTGGCCGTGGTCCCCGGTAGGCCTAAGAACTCCATACACATGACTGATGCCAAAGTCTGACATTAGCATATCAGCCTGGGATAGCTCCGGGGAGCCTCCGGGACTCACCCAGAAAATGGCGTTTCATTACATTCAACGCTGGTTTTTTGGAGGTTCCGGAGTCTTCCTGGCTGGCAGACTGCCCGTTCTTTTTGTTGGGAGTGTGGCATGGGTTTTGTCGGATATGCACGCTCGAATGGCGAGAAGCTTCTAACGTTCTGCAGGTTTACCTGGGGGAGTGAGTTTGAGCGCCTTAACCCATTAACTGCACAAAACTCACATAGTGATGGAAGACAGAAAAGAAAGATTAAAATACTCTACTACACAGTAACTGTAATAAGGTTTTAAGAGATTATTAGGAATGGTTAAAAGGTAAAGGATGAGGATTCTGGGAGAAAGTCAATTGAGGACTGTATATGAAATGCAAAGTTATTTTACAAACTGGTTAATAGTCATTGAAAGTGAGAGAGAAATGGTGAAAGATATATGGGATACTGTGTTGACAAATGTGCATGTTACTAATAGATGTAGTGAATATTTTATGAACCTCATCCTTATTGGTATTGAGGTGAGGTGATTGTAGTCATAATGATAAATCTCTGTCAGATATAATGATATAAATATTTCCTATTCCATATCAGGCAAGGATCGCTACCTGATTGCCCGTACCAGTGAAACCTTGTTGCTGGGAGACCTACACAGGAATTTGCTGAGTGAAGTTCATTGGGCAGTGGAACCAGGAACAGAGAAATTTTATTTTGACAATGAGAATGTTTGTATGATCTTCAATGCTGGTGAGCTTTCACTGGTGGAATATGGCAATAATGACTTGCTTGGATCAGTTAGGTAATTGAGTTAACCATTAACAATTATATTTTCTTTAAAACTCAAATAATTTAGGTATTAGTGTTATGACTACAATATATGCTATTACATCCTCAGTTCCTTGCAAGATCTCTTTACAGATTTGTATGTTTACTCGGTATTTTCCCATTTTTTATGTTGCGTTTCTTTTATCAATTAGGGAGGCCTATGAAGAGTATAGTGCTCTGTCTTGCACTCTTCTCAAACCAGCAGCACCAATCATGTTCACAGTTGCAGTTAGGGACTGGGAAGCTTGTACATGAAAACAAAGCAACAAAATCATTAGAGGAAGGGGAAGTAAAGGACAAAGAAAGAGGGAACATTTCCTGAAAATTGTATATACGAACATGGATGGAGTGAGATTTTTTATTTTATTTTATTTTATTTGTTTATATATATATACAAGAGTTCTTACATTTTTGTGTATGTGTTCTTGTACATGTATGAGATAAAAAATATTGGAGCCAAAAGATATAATTCAGATTAAGGTCCCATATATTGTAGCATTAATAGGGACAAAACTTAAACAAAATATTTTAAACACGGTTGTATTCCCAAGGGGCTACTCAGTTTGGAGATGTGACAGAAAAACTAGGAAGGGTATTCACCTAGTTGTGATTGTAGGGGTTGAGCTCTGCTCTTTCGGCCCGTCTATCAACTGTCAATTAACTGTTACTAACTACAGTACTATTTTTTTTCCCTACACCACACACACACACATCCAGGAAGCAGCCCATGACAGCTGACTAACTCCCAGGTACCTATTTACTACTAGGTAACAGGAGCATCAGGGTGAAAGAAACTGTCCATTATTTCACGCCGGCGCTAGGAATTGAACCCGGAACCACACGATCACGCGTCCAGCGTGCTATCCAGTCAGCCACCGGCGCCCCAACATATTTACACCCTCTATATACACTGCACCCTCCACATAGAGTAATTACCTAAGTGTAGTTACAGAATGAGAGCTACGCTCGTGGTGTCCCGTCTTCCCAGGACTCTTTGTCATATAATTGTGAAGAAGTTGAAGGCATGGGTAGACAATCTCCTTGCATGTTTTCGAAGAGTACGAAATTGCTTGAATCGCGCTCTTGGAGTCACTACAGATTGTATATATCCCAACTGGTAATGTTGTGATGATTTGGAGAGCTTGATACAAGGCATATAATTCCGCTGTGAAAATAGATAGTTGGTTTGGTAACCGCCATCCCTGCTTGAGATGGTATTCCGGTATCCATACAGCGCAAGTGACCGAGGGTACGTTGTTCGTGAAGATACGAGACCCATCTGTGTAAATCTCTGTGGTATTGGGTAGCAATTTTTCATTGTTGAGACAAAGACTGAGGCTATGGCTGAGTTTGGTGCAGATTTTGGAATGTTGTCCTCGAGTTCTATTGCTGTATTAGGAGTTGTATAAAGCCAAGGTGGAATGGGGGGAACAGGAGGTTGGGTTTCACAGTTTTGAAGTAGGGAGAGGTCTATATTGAGGTTATTTGTAGCCCGTGTGAGGAAAGGTTGCGAGTGAATGGTTGGGGAGCGGGGGTTATATGGGTTAACTGTTGGGTGAATTTTTGATCTGTATGGGTGTGTCTGGTGAGCAGTGGTGCAGAGTGACAGATAGTTTGGCACACATAATGTCTCGTCTGGTGGCTAGGCTTGTGAGGCCTGTTTCCCCGTAAAGCGTATAACGCTTTGAAACTACTGACGGTCTTGGCCTCCACCACCTTCTCACCTAACTTGTTCCAACCGTCTACCACTCTGTTTGCGAAAGTGAATTTTCTTATATTTCTTCGGCATCTGTGTTTAGCTAGTTTAAATCTATGACCTCTTGTTCTTGAAGTTCCAGGTCTCAGGAAATCTTCCCTGTCGATTTTATCAATTCCTGTTACTATTTTGTACGTAGTGATCATATCACCTCTTTTCTTGTCTTCTAGTTTTGGCATATTTAATGCCTCTAACCTCTCCTCGTAGCTCTTGCCCTCAGTTCTGGGAGCCACTTAGTAGCATGTCTTTGCACCTTTTCCAGTTTGTTGCTGTCCTTCTTAAGATATGGGCACCACACAACAGCTGCATATCTAGCTTTGGCCTAACAAAAGTCATGAACAATTTCTTTAGTATATCGCCATCCATGTTTTTAAAAGCAATTCTGAAGTTAGAAAGCGTGGCATAGGCTCCTCGCACAATATTCTTTATGTGGTCCTCAGGTGATAGTTTTCTATCTAGAACCACCCCTAGATCTCTTTCTTTATCAGAATTCTTTAAAGATTTCTCACATAATATATAGGTTGTGTGCGGTCTATGTTCTCCTATTCCACATACCATAACATGGCATTATTAACATTAAATTCCATTTGCCAAGTGGTGCTCTATATACTTATTTTGTCCAGGTCATCTTGAAGGGCATGACAATCATCTAAGTTTCTTATCCTTCCTATTATCTTAGCATCATCAGCAAACATGTTCATATAATTCTGTATATCAACTGGTAGATCATTTATGTAAACAATAAACATCACTGGTGCAAGAACTGAACACTGTGGAGTGGAGGTGTAGCTGTGCTAGTGAAAGAACACCTGAAGGTAAGAAAGTTAATAATCGACAATTAATGAGAAGTGGACATAATGGCATGCAGGTTTAGAATCGGGATGATAACTGATAATCTTAAATATGTACACCCTCTTCCTGTCCGGCCCGTTGTCGTTGTGAGGGGGCTTGGTGGGCGGCTGCCAGGGTGTGATGCTCCATGGGTCAGTCCTCTGTCCTTTTGGGGCCTTATGCCTCTGCTGCTGTCTTCTCCAATTGTGCCGGATCTCTCTTCCTTTTCCTTGTGTTTCATTTTTCTCCCCCTCCCCCCTCTTCTCCTTCCTGATTGTAATTTCACGCTGACCTTTTGCCAGTTTTAATTATTCTTTTGGACTTCTGTTTTAAACGCCCAGGTGTTTGAGGAGGCATACTCTCTCACCCGCAGAACTGTGGTACCCAACATCATGAGCGAGGGGACGCTTTTATTGCGCTTTGAAACTACTGACGGTCTTGGCCTCCACCACCTTCTCACCTAACTTGTTCCAACCGTCTACCACTCTGTTTGCGAAAGTGAATTTTCTTATATTTCTTCGGCATCTGTGTTTAGCTAGTTTAAATCTATGACCTCTTGTTCTTGAAGTTCCAGGTCTCAGGAAATCTTCCCTGTCGATTTTATCAATTCCTGTTACTATTTTGTACGTAGTGATCATATCACCTCTTTTTCTTGTCTTCTAGTTTTGGCATATTTAATGCCTCTAACCTCTCCTCGTAGCTCTTGCCCTTCAGTTCTGGGAGCCACTTAGTAGCATGTCTTTGCACCTTTTCCAGTTTGTTGCTGTCCTTCTTAAGATATGGGCACCACACAACAGCTGCATATTCTAGCTTTGGCCTAACAAAAGTCATGAACAATTTCTTTAGTATATCGCCATCCATGTATTTAAATGCAATTCTGAAGTTAGGAAACATAGCATAGGCTCCTCGCACAATATTCTTTATGTGGTCCTCAGGTGATAGTTTTCTATCTAGAACCACCCCTAGATCTCTTTCTTTATCAGAATTCTTTAAAGATTTCTCACATAATATATAGGTTGTGTGGGGTCTATGTTCTCCTATTCCACATTCCATAACATGGCATTATTAACATTAAATTCCATTTGCCAAGTGATGCTCTATATACTTATTTTGTCCAGGTCATCTTGAAGGGCATGACAATCATCTAAGTTTCTTATCCTTCCTATTATCTTAGCATCATCAGCAAACATGTTCATATAATTCTGTATACCAACTGGTAGATCATTTATGTAAACAATAAACATCACTGGTGCAAGAACTGAACACTGGAGTGGAGGTGTAGCTGTGCTAGTGAAAGAACACCTGAAGGTAAGAAAGTTAATAATCGACAATTAATGAGAAGTGGACATAATGGCATTGCAGGTTTAGAATCGGGATGATAACTGATAATCTTAAATATGTACACCCTCTTCCTGTCCGGCCCGTTGTTGTTGTGAGGGGGCTTGGTGGGCGGCTGCCAGGGTGTGATGCTCCATGGGTCAGTCCTCTGTCCTTTTGGGGCCTTATGCTCCTGCTGCTGTCTTCTCCAATTGTGCCGGATCTCTCTTCCTTTTCCTTGTGTTTCATTTTTCTCCCCCTCCCCCCTCTTCTCCTTTCTGATTGTAATTTCACGCTGACCTTTTGCCAGTTTTAATTATTCTTTTGGACTTCTGTTTTAACGCCCAGGTGTTTGAGGAGGCATACTCTCTCACCCGCAGAACTGTGGTACCCAACATCATGAGCGAGGGGACGCTTTTATTGTCAATCCTTCTTTCGTCACTGAACCCGATCTCAACGGACTGACGGTTCTTAAGGTGGCATTTGTGGGGAGTATACTCACGACGCACCCCTGGGAGGCCCCGGCAAGACCAGAAACATGTCTCTTGTTGGGTGTCCTGTCCTCTAATTGGGGCTCTGTGGTGGGTATGGGGACACATTCGTGAATGAAAGTCTTCCCTCTCGTTTTTATGCCAATAACTCCAGTTCCTCTAATGACTTCTCAGGCTCATGGGGTGGGCGACCAGGCCCCCGAGTCGGACTGTGTTGGAAGACCGGGCTCTGTAGCCCCTGCTACATTGGGCCCAGACCTAGCTCCTCCTCCTGACCCTCCTGACTACTCCCCTCGGCTCCCCCTCCCTCCTCTGTGGTTGGGTTGAGCCCTAAGCCCTCAGCGGTGACCACCTCGTCTCCTGGCCCAGTTCAGTCTCTCATTGTAACTACTGCACCTTTTAACCCCTCGCTCTCTCTCTGGGGGTTCTCAACGCCATCCCTGCCACGGCCGCACTCGCACGATCCCTTCCCAAACTAATACATACCAAGCCTTGTTTGGTCCTGTCCTGGAACCAAAACTTTTAAGAAAATCAGTACAAGCCATAAAGAGGATTTGAACCTATGTGCTGGGCACTCCCAGGCAAAAGCTCTAGACCATGACATGGTCAAAATCATTGCAACCTGGGATACAACTAAATCCTCTAGGGTTCCTGAGGTGTCCGCTGAAGCCTAATCAATACCTAATTCCTAGAATACAAGTTTTTCTGGGGAGGGGGGCACTTTTGAGCACCTCAATGTGTGCCGTTACTCCAGTTGTACGCTCAGGTTCCTACCCTATCCGCTGCCTTGGTTGATTGCGGGCATCTGGCATCGGTCCTGTGCTTCTTTTCCCTTCTCGAACTGTCTTCTGACTGGCTTGAGGAGGATGTAGGGGCACTGATTGCCAGGCCATGGTCTGGGCCTTTGGCCTCAGCTGCTAGGGCGTCGGCGGCATTGCTGCATTTTGTGCGGTTCACATCAGGGGCGTGCCCAACGTTCTGGCAGACAGCCTGTTGCGGTTCATTCCCCTGTCCACGGAATGGTCGGTCAATACCGACTCCTTCGGAAAGGACTCCTTTGCCAGACGTTCGGGTCCCTGGAGGTGGACCTATTCACATTGGCGTGGTCGAGGTGTCTCCTAATGTATGTGGTATCCTTCCCCGACTGCAAAACCATCGCAGTCAATGCTTTTCGGCAGGACTGGTTGAGGTGGCGTTCCTGTACCTCTTACCCCTGGTCCAGCTGTTGCTTCGGGTTCTAGCTTAGCTGGAGTCCTATCAGGGGAGGATTTCAAGTGCTGCTTGGTTGGTGTCTGGACCCAGGACATTTTCCATTACACTGTTACCTACGCGCTTCGTGTTCTGTGTCCGGGGATGCACTTTGGGTTGATCTGATATCCCTCGTTCTCTATTCAAGGGCTTGGGTTTCTCACTTTGTCCGCAGGGTTATTAAGTCTAGCCAGCCTGCGTTATACCCTCATGCCCATGATGTTCGGAAGTTTGCGACTCTTGCTGCTGTATTTGGAGACATGTCTTGGGCTGACATTCAGGCACTGGGGTTTTGGAGGTCGAACAGGGTCCTGACTGTGCATTATTTCATGAATGTTCCTGGCCCTCAGCGGTCTTGTGTGGTCTTGGGCCGTCAGTTGCAGCCAGTTGTCTCTTCCTCGTCATGAGACATGGTGCTGCCGCCTCCCGGGTAAGTCCCCCCTTTTACTTATCTTTGGGTAGCTAGCTCCAGGGAGCCGATGGGGCTCCCCCTTCAGAAAATCGCATTGAATGTAATGAAACGCCATTTTCTGGGTGAGCAACTGAAGCTCCCTGGCACACTCTAGAGAGTAATTCATCAGTACTGGAGTTGCATGCGCTTAGGGCCACCTACCCTAAGCGCCCTGTAAGTATTGCCCTTGCATCTTGGGGTTATCGTCCACAGGGCATTTGAGAACCACTCCCATAAGGGTCTTTTGCCGCTCGGCAATTGCCTGTCCATTGGGGCCAACTGGGGTTATGCCGCTTTTTTCTGTGGGGAGCCCCTGCGGCTCCCTGGAGCTTATCGGGCTAATGTATGTTATATTAGACCAGGACATTAGCTAAGGAGTTCAGACCTACCTGGGACCAGCGCCAGAACCTGGCCCCTTCAGAGAGGTTTCAGGGAGCAATGTTGGACAATTAACCCCAACCTCTTGTGGTTGGGGTTTTCCTTATCTGCCATCGACCGGGGTCAGGCACCCAGAAAGGTAGGCATGACAAAATAAACCCCACATGGTAAAAAAACTAAAACAAAAAACCGAACAGAGAGGTAGAAACTCTCTACAATCCCAAGGAAAATTGCGCCGATTCTCAAGGAGGTGGTCTCTCTCATTTTTGCTTATCACCTTGCATGCCGACAGGCTCTGCTTGCACTCTCCTTGGAATCTGCTTAGGCTCTGGCTCTTAGGTTTCTGTCGACTTTTTGTCCATTGCTGTTTGCGAAGGCGGCTGTCACACAGTTTCTGCAAGCAGCTGTGTCTAGTTGTTCCATGTTAGACTTGTTGGTTTTCCAGGGGTGGGGCCATGATGGGCCTTCCTGGAAGGGTCGTCATCCCATGTCGGACTTGTTGGTTCTCCAGGAGAGGGGGGGGGGGCCATGGTGGGCCTTCCTGGAAGAGTCGTGCCAAGAACCTCTCCATGCGGCTCTTGTCCAGGGAGTGTCCAGCGTCCTGGCGGATGGCCTGTCTTGCTTCATTTTCCTGTCCATGGAATGGACGGTGGACGCCAGCTCCTTCAGTTGGCTCTGATGGATGTATGGACTCCCGGAAGTGGACCTCTTTGCGTTGTTGTCCTGGCATCTTCCTGTGTATGTGGCGCCCTTCCCCGACTGCGATGCCGTCGAGGTAGATGCTTTTTGGCACAAACTGGTCAAGGTGCGGTTATCCGTACCTCTTCCCCCTGGTCTAGCTGTTACTTCGGGTCCAGGTTTAATTAGAGACTTACCAGGGGAGAGTAGCCCTGTTGGCTCCTTGGTGGCTGGCCCAGCTTTGTTTTCAGGTGCTGCTTGTTCGGTGTCCGAATTCATGATGTTTTCCGTGGCTCCGCCTCTTTCAGCAGATCACTCCGGCCAGGTACCTGGCTGGTGCGGTCTTCTCCTCCGCTCTTTGTGTCTGGTCTTTCTGACGCGGGTCTATCACCACTTTTATAGTGTTCAGGTGGCTTTATTGATGGTGTCCTACCTGCGAGCTTCATCTCACGACAATATGAAGTTTCCTGGTGCTCTTTCTACCATTTTCGTAGGTTATACTTTATTTTGGATAGGATTGTCTTGTTCTTTCTTTCTTAGCTTTTTCAGGATCATCATTTGATGCCTAATATTGTCTCCTCGTATCGTGCAGTGCTGGCAGAGCCTCTACTCTGCCAGCGGTGAAGGAGCAGAGCAGAAATAATGGTGGATGTTACTTTCGCTCCGTTCAGTTAGTTTTCTTGTGCTTTGTTTTACCTCCGTCCTGCCCATGCACTGCCTGGGCCGTCCTGGTCCTTGGACAGGGTGCTCCCCTTTCTTTCATCTCCTTGGTTTGTGGTGGCCCCTTTGGTACAAAATTGTTTTTCCAAGGCTCTTTTCCTGTTGGCATTGGCTTCTGGGGGACGGGTCGGGAAGCTTCATGCTCTCCTCTGGCGCAGAGGGTTCTGCTCTTTGGGTCATGGCGGTAGATTTGTTCGTTTGCAGCCGCCGACTTCTTTTCTGGCAGTGAATTAGTCGGCGGCTTTCTGGGAGGGGTCCTTGATTTATTGGTTCTTGGTGCATCATGGGTTGTGTCCAGTTACGGCTCTTCGCCGTTACCTGCACGCCACGGCCTCTGTGGCCAGGGATGGGTTGGGTTGGCCCGGTTACTCTTGTTCTCTGTTCCAGGGCTCGGGTCTCTCAGGTCGTCCTCAGAGTTATTCCGTCCAGCCAACTTGTGGTCTATCCTCGTGCCCATGACGTTCGTAAGTTTGTTGCTTTGGCTGCCGTCTTTGATAACTTGCCCTGGGCTGACATTCAGGCACATGGGATTTTGGAGGTCAAACAAGGTCCTGGCCGTGCGTTACTTAGTCAACATTCCTGACCCTAGTCGGTCGTGTGTCGCTTTGGGTCGCAGATTGCAGCCAGTTGTCTTAACTTCAAGTTGAGATGCGTGTGGCAGTTGCCTCCTGGATAAGTCCTCCTTTCCACTTTTCTTTGTTTAAGTGGCTCAGGGAAGCCATTGGGATCCCAGCAGAAAACCTAGCCCTCTCTCTCTGAGGAGGGGGGGTGGCCAAGTTCTGGCTCGTGGTCCCCAGTAGGCAAGAACTCCAATCAGATTGACTGATGCCACAGTCTAATACATACATATCAGCCCGGTAAGCTCTGGGGAGTCTCTGGGGATTACTCAGAAAATAGCGTTTCATTACATTCAGTGCTGGTTTTATCACATGCATAATACTACATACAGTATTTAGTACAGGTACTTGTGTATATACACACACAAATCACAATAGTGTGATGCATCAAATAAACAAATCCACAAGGGCTGTGATGAGGGTTCGAACCCTGACGCTCATCCCACACGAAGGTTCGAACCCTCATCATGGCCCTTGTGGATTTGTTCACTTATATATATCTTTGTTTTGAGTATTTTATTAATATGCAAATCTCACTTTTAGCACATACCTTCCAATCTGCAACCATTTACATGTAGAAGCATTAATTACCCTTGTTATCCTCAGGACCGAGTTCATGAACCCCCACCTTACCAGTGTTCGACTGAATGAACGCCGCCAACGAGGCATAGACGACAACAAGAAGATGGCTTATTTATTAGATCTGAAAACAATATGTATTGGTTGGTATATTTTGTATTTGTATTCCTGCTTCCTTCATCCCTTATGGGGGGTTTATTATATGACAATGGCTACTGTATTTTAAAATTATTTGCTTAATAACTTTGAGTTTGTCTCTGTTTATTTGTGCACAATTTATTATGAGTAGAATTATAAAGAAATCTGCTATTTTATTTTATTTTTTAATTTTACAGTTTAATATTTCTACAAAAAATTATTTGAATGCCTTGTGATTTATTCTAATACAGTACTGTACTTTATTGCATTATGAGAATACTCTTGCTCTTTGCCACTGGTGTTCCCTATACACTGAACTCTTAATTTAATCAGGTTACCTTTCTCCAACCCTCTTAACTACTGCACTGCTCTGCATTAACCCCTAAGCTGCTCTGGGCTGTTTGGCTTTCAACACCCACAGTCGCAACATTAAAAAATAAAAAAAATTATTTTGTCTTATAAAAGTGTTCATTTGTGTTCCCTGATCACGGGAAAAGTAATAAAAAATCGTAAGTGGCATATTTTGGGCGCAATAGGGCAGGCTTTCCTCCAGCGCAGGGGTTACTGCTCGTGTGGTCCTGGTGGTAGGTTTCTTCGGTTGCAGCCGTCTCTTTTTTTTTTTTTTTTCTGGCAAAGAATGAGACTGCTGCTTTCCAGAGGGGTCCTTGGGTTGTTGATGCTTGGTGTTGATCAGGCAGGGAGTGCATCATGTGTTGTGTCTGGTTGCGGCTCTTCGCTGTTACCTGCGTGCCACGGCCTCGGTGGCCTGGGACGCGCTTTGGATTCACCCGGTTTCCCTTCTTCCCTGTTCCAGGGGTTTGGGTCTCCCAGGTCGTCCATAAGATTGATCGGTCCAGCCAGCCTGCGGTATATCCTCATGCCCATGACGTTCGTAAGTTTGCTGCGCTGGCTGCCGTCTTTGGTAACATATCTTGGGCTGACATTCGGGCACGGGTTTTTGGAGGTCGAACAGGGTCCTAGCCACTCTACCTTGTCAATGTTCCGGGGCCTAGTCAGGCCTGTGTCTCATTGGGTTGGCGATTGCAGCCAGTTGTCTTGACTTTGCATTGAGGAGCGAAGGCCGACCGCTTCCCGGGTAAGTACCTCTTGTTTTGTCTTTGGGTAAGTTTCACCGGGGAGCCGAATGGGCTCCCCCCAGAAAACCACCGTTGAATGTAATGAAATGCCATATTCTGGGTGAGACCTGGAGGCTCGCCAGCATCCCTCCCTTCCTCCAGTCAGCATTTTTTCCTGGTTTTTGACATCCAGCCTCAGAACTGCAGGGTGGATAGCTGGCGTGGGGGTCTGGGACTCCCGCTTTCCCCTCCCGGGGAGGGGGGGGTTACCACCATGTTGCTCAGACTGCGACGTGGTGACGCCATGCTCGTTTTCATTTGGGGAGTTCTGGCCACTAGTTCGACTTTCAGTAGCAATATCTTAACTAGAATAGGGGTTTGTTTTGGGGCACTTACCTTTCTGGGTGCCTAACCTGGTCGGTGGCAGAAAAAGAATGCTTCCAACCACACAGGGTTTTTATAGGCCATTGCTCCTCGTGCCTCTCTGAGGAGAGGCCAAGTTCTGGCTTGTGGTCCCCAGTAGGCCTAGAACTCTATGTGCAATGAATGATCCCAAGGTCTAATACATTAATATCATCCCTGTTAGCTCCAGGGAGCCTCTGGATCTCACCCAGAAAATGGCATTTCATTGCATTCAATGCTGATTTTATTTCAACAAAGTAATTCCTTGAACTCCTCTTTTAGACATTGCCATTTAATTCCTTGATAAGTCCTATAGTGTTGCTAGTGTGGGAAGTGTAACCTAAGACATTTATCCCAGAAGGTATCAGGTATGCCAAATATAGAGTAACCTTTCACTAAAGTTTACAAATACAGTATATGTACAATTTCCCAATTTAATTATTAGATAGATTTAAAATATGCATTATCTTTTTTTCCAGTGGATTTAACTTATGGCCAATCACTGGGACAAATCACTCATGACTCGAGAATTGATTGGTTGGAACTAAACGAAACAGGCTCCCAGCTTTTATTCAGAGATAAGAGGCAAAGACTGATGCTGATAAATGTTGCAACTCTACATAAGACAACAATACTGAATTACTCAACATTTGTTCAGGTTGGTTTTTAAAGTATCATCATTGTCTTGAATGTATGTCAGGGTTATTCAAATTTTTGGTTAAATATATTTTATCTATTAATTGAAAAAAAAAATTCATTTATCAGTTTTAAAAGTTTAAAGTATTCTATTTTAGTGCATTGTCATTTCCCACCAGACTAGTTCTTGAGGTGTGAGGACAGGCTGAAAGAATTAATACTATCACTACAGAAATGGAGGCATGAAAGGAATATAGATAAAACATACAGGTTTCTTAGTCATTAACAAAGTCCATAAAGAAATTTGATAAGAGTTTAATTTGACCCTTTAAACTTATTTATGCATATACAGTTATGTGAGTGTACACAGTTTATTCATAATATTTTGTACCCTCACGATGCATTTATTTTATTTTCTCAGTGTTATGGCAATACTTTCTGTGGAAAGCCCCTTCGGCTCCCCGAAGCTATACCGGGCTGATTTGCATATATTAGACCGTGGCAACAGTCGGTCAATGGAGTTATAAGCCTACCGGGGACCAGAGTCAGAACCTGGCCCCCTCAGATGAGGCACAAGGAGTAATGACTTATAGACACCCCCGTGTAATTGGAAACAGTCTTTTGTTTGCCATCTACCAGATCAGGCACCCAGAAAGGTAGTACTGTAATTCCAAAACAAACTACAGCTAGTCAAAAATTGCAAACCGAAAGCTGAATTAACAAGCAGAACTCCCTAATTGAAAACAAGCAAACAAGCATGATGTCACTACAGCCACCGAGCAGCCGTCTCTGCACACCTCCCCCCTCCCCGGGAACGGGAAGGGGGGGAGTCAAAGACCCCTGTGCTGACCATTCCTCCTTAGTTAAGAGGCTGCTGTGCTTGGTGACGGTTGCCGACTCTGGCTCCATACTTTAGAGCAGTGCTGCAGAGTGGTGTTGTTGTTCTGTGTTGGTGGTTTTTGAGTCAGAAGTAACACAAGAGTACTGGGGCTGCATACACCTAAGGCCACCTTCCCTAGTAGGTGCCCTGCAAGTACTGCCCCTGGGGCCTCGGGTTATCTTCCCTGAGCTGTTCGGGAACTGCCTCCATGAGGTTTTGTGGCCGCTCGGTGATTGCCAGCCCTTGGGGTTCAGCTGCGATGGTTCTTACTCCTGCTTGCCCTCGGATAGCAGGTAGTTTCATCACTGGCTGGGGTATGGGGTACTGTGCAGCTGTCTAATATACACATAGCGACTGGTTCTGTTCACCTAGAGACGACATGCTTTTGTGGACGTTTTCTTTTATTTTTGTTTTGTTTTTTGCCTGGTGAGGGTCTGCCTGGTATGCTGTAGGACCACTTGTATGATTATGGTGCATCTCCACTAGGTCCCTGTGCTTGCACATGTCGCAGGGGTTCAGCTTTTAGTTTGTTTGCTTGGTAGCTCTGGGATAACCAGTTGGCAGTACCTTGCCTGGGCTTCCCTTAGCAGTCAGCCTAAGGGCCCTGGAAACCCCCCCATTGGGGCTCATTGGTCCAATGGAGGAAACCACTTGAGTCCCACCTCGCTTTGTGTGAGTCGAAAGATTGCTCAGTCCTCTTGTCTCCTTGTACCCTTGGTGACTCACCACCTTTGCCTCTGCCATGCTGCCTGTTGAGTCGATGATAGCTTTGACCCGGAGTCCTGTGAGTAGTGTTCCTTGCTTCATGCTCTCCTCCGGCACGGGGTTTCTGCTTTTACGGTCCTGGTGGTCATTTTGTTCGATTGCAGCCGTCTCCTCCTTTTCTGGTGAAGAATGAGTCTGCTGATTTCCGGAGGGGTCCTTGGGTTGTTGATGCATGGTTGGTTCGGCCGGGGGCGCATCATACTTTGTGTCCGGTTGCGGCTCTTTGCCGTTATTTGTGCGCCATGGCCTCCATGACAGGGGACTCGCTTTAGATGAACCTGGTTTTCCTTTTTCCCCTGTTCTAGGGCGCAGGTCTCCCAGGTCGTCTTTAGGATTACTGCAGAAACCCACTAATTCGGAATCCGCCAATCCAGAAAACACCCTAATCCGGCAAAAATCGTGACCGGATAAAGTTATCTCCCTATTCAGCAAAAATATTCATGGAAGCCAGACTAGCGCATAGTGGGAGGGAGTCACCCTCACTGCTGCTCACTTCCTCCCTCCCTCCCTCCCACATTTACTGCCACCCTCTCTCATGTACTGCCTCCCTCCCTCCCTCTCCCTCCCCAAGAGGTCCTTCTGTAGGTGGCAGTAGATTGCTAGCCAGATATAGCCTGGAGAATTTCCATCTAATACAATAAAGCATTCATGAAACAAGTATTTTTATAACTTTTTATTATCGTAATAATATTACTAATCAAATTCTGTAACCAAAAATATATATGATCATGTACATCCAGAATTTAAGAAACAAATCTGGCTAGCAGGGTCGAGTGTGATAGGGTTATCGGAGTGAGCCTGTCCCTCCCCCATCACCAACACACCTCCCCAACCCCCCTACATACCATACACTCTCTCTGCTTCAAGGTGACATAGTTCAACTGTCCTTAATTCATAAGTAAAAATATATGTTTAATTAATAAACAGGAAGCAATAAAACATGTTAATGGTTATTAATGTATTGTAATACTGTACACTTAATACTTTCGCGTCCCCAGCAGGCGCGCCACCAACTTAGAGATCGTGTCCCTAGCGTGCAGCCGAGTGTGCGGGCAAGCGCACGGCGACACCGAAATGTATATACATGTTACAGTTTTTTTCAACTTCATTCTCGTGCTACGTCATTCGTTTTGGTATCATGGTGTTCGCAATTAAATTCCCTGCAGGTGTATATGCATATAATGTCCAAAAACCCAGCATGACTCCCCGCAGCAAAGCCTAAAGTTACCCGTAAACGAGCACCAATTGGCACACCGCAACCTAATGTGTATACTCGTTCAGTTTGATAACATCGATTTTCGTGTTACGTCTTTCATTTTAGTATCAAATTGTTTGCAATATAAAGGCGCTTATTTTAAAACTAGTCCCATAATAATAGAGCTATAACTGGAATTTTAACAAATATTTTAATTTTGTATGCTCATCGTCACAAAATTATTTATATCTTACCAGTGTTCTGATATAAATTTTTGTGTTACATCTTTCATTTTGGTATCAAATTGTTCACAATGTAAAGGCACGCATTTTAAAACTAGTCCCAAAATAATAGTACAATAAATAGAATTTTAACAAATATTTTAAAATTTTGACCAAAAATGTATTTATAATCTTTCAAATGTTTTGACATCAGGTTTCGTGTTACATCTTTCATTTTGGTATCAAATTGTGCGCACTCTAAGAGCGCTTATTTTGAAACTATCCCAAAGTCAATCAAATAAAAAATTAATTTTATACAAATATTTTTGTATTGAACGCGAGCTCTGTCCACAGCTAGGACTCAAGAGAAAAAAAAGTTGACATCATGCGGCTGTGGTGACATCATGCTTGTTTGCTTGTTTTCGATTGGGAGTTCTGCTTGTTAATTCAGCTTTCGGTTTGCAATATTTTATTAGCTGTAGTTTGTTTTGGAATTCCTACCTTTCTGGGTGCCTGACCCTGGTAGATGGTAGATATAGACTGCTTCCAATTACATGGGGGTATCTATATAAGCCATTACTCTTCGTGTCTCAACTGCCTCTCGTCCCTGGTAGGCCTATAACTCCATCGATTGACTGTTGCCACAGTCTAATATATGCACATCAGCCCGGTATATCTCCGGGAAGCCTCTGGGTCTCGCCCAGAAAATAACATTTCATTACATTTAAAGCTGGTTTTATGTTCCTTGAGACAGTGGGTGCCTGGTAGTGATGTGGTAGTGGCCCAAAGCCGTGAGCAGTTGTGTGTCTGGTACAACATCGACACCCCCGAACGAGTTACAATATTCCAGATCAAAGGAGAAGTTGTTGATGTTGAAAGAGCTGATGGAAGAACAGAGGTACAGTATTTGAATTTTGTAACAAATATTTTTTAAATGCTGTGATAACTAAGGTATGTTACTGGTTGATTTATAGTATGATTATTTAATATTATTAAAAATATCCAGTAGAGTATCTGCTACTGCAACTCATTGTTTGTTTACTTTTTATTAGTCATTAAATATTCATCTTTTTTTAGTTCCAGTGCATCTTTGCAGCATTACAATGTTTGCAGTTTTGTACCGGGTACTTGGGCTGCAGTCGGTTTTTTTAAAATTGAAAGGCTTTAAAGTTTTAAATTATTTTGCTACTTATTAATACACAAGTTATTCCTGAATTCCAGGGCTTTTTATCCCTGCTCTAAAGGTCTTGTTTCCCAGACTTCCAGTTGGTTTTGTATTTGATGAAGTAAAGTCAGTTACAGGCATGTGCTAGCATTCAGGGTCTTAGCAAATATGTTGCCCTTAGAGCATTATTTTTGGCTGCAGTATTATATTACCTACAAGGAAATTTAATCCAAAGGGATCTAGAGACCAGATTGACTGTTTACTATATATGATGCCACATTGGAAACTTAACACTTTGAGCTGCCCAGCGCATTGTAATTACACTTAGGTAATTACAGTGTGCGCCTCAGCCCACCCCAAGGTGGGCCTGGTGTTTCCTGGGAGCACGCACCCACACTAAAATGTGTATTCTCTTTTCAGTTTTTTTGCGTCAATTTCCGGGTTACATTGTTCATTTTGGTATCAAATTGTTCACAATAGAATTCTCTAAAGAGATATATGCATATAATGTCAAAAAGCCCGGTGTGCTACCCACAGCAAACCCAAAAATCAGCCGAGCATTACCCGTGAGCGAGGAACCACATTAAAATGTGTGTATTCTTTTCAGTTTTCTCGCATCAATTTTCATGGTACAGCGTTCATTTTGGTATCAAATTGTTAGCAATAGAATTCTCTAAAGGGATATATGCATATTTAAATTTTAAATTTTGCCCCAAGGGGCGAGTTTATTGGGCAGCGCCACTCATCCTGTGAGTGGACATACCACCATAGCAGCATGAACAACATTCCCCAATAGGAAGAAAACCCCGCTGGTTTATTAATCCTGTCACTTGTACCCCAGACACAGCTGGGACTTGCTTAACTGTCTCAAGTGAACAGCTCCTCAAACAAGAAGATTAACATCTGTCAACCCTTAAAATCTTAAGTTATCTTGCGGGTGCAAAATGGGGGGAATCTTTTAAGAACAGTATCAATATTTGACAAATAGTGTTTTCCTAACTCAAACAATGTGGGGTTTATTATTCTACACATATTTCTAATGCCTCTCAGGTGTTCACATTTTCTCAGGTAGTGGCCAAGGTGGTGTCCGTCACTCAATTTTAATTCTTCAACTCCGCTGCTCATCTATTGTTTCCATTCCGAATCTCCATGGATATTTGTATCCAAGACGGATTCTCGCTATGACTGATTCTCTCCTGCAGCCACCTCCTCTTCGTCCATAATGATTGGGGTTGCCAGCTGCAACCATGTTGTACCATTGTACAGATTTGCTGATTTGTGCTTCTATCCTCCTTTCCTCAGTTACCTTGTCACGGTAATGTTAACAATACCTGACAATACCTCTAATTTGTAGCAGAGTCTTGGGAATTTAATATTCAGTATGGTCTCCTTCAGCGCCTTCAGCTGCCAGCACATCTGCTCATTCATTCCCACATATTCCAACATGGAAGGGGATCCACAAAAACTTGACGACTCTTTCCTGGTTGTACCCTCACAGCTCTCTTAATTTCAGCAACTATCGCAAGATTTTCGGCCCGATTTTTACTTAGGCTTTGTAGCGCTGCTTTTAAATCAGTGCAGATCACTGCACCATTAGTGTTTCATTCAAGGAATCTTAACGCCATAACAATGGCAGTTAGCTTCACTTTCGTTGAAGAAGCATAGTTATCAATACGTGCTTTCTCTTCATTTCTGCATTTGAAAGGCATTATTCCTAATTACAGCGAATGTTGCACCAGCCCTGCCATTGACAGGATTAGATGACCCATCAGTGTAAATTTGATCTAGTTCATCTCAGGCTTCTTTATAAATTTTCCAGAGAAATTTGTGCGTCACTTCGTGTGGTATCATGTTTGATTTTTTCATTGCGAAGATATATACTGTATATGCATACAAGGTAAAACAAACAGGTGCACTGCCCACCGCAAACCAGAAAATCAGCCGAGCATTACCAGTGAGCGAGCACCCATCCGCACACCCACAACACCCACACTAAAATGTGAATACTCTTTTCAGTTTTGTCACATCAATTTTTTTGCTGCTTCAATCATTTTGTTATCAAATTGTTCGCATCAGAATTCTCCAAAGGGATATATTCATATAAGGTAAAATAAACAGGCGTGCTACCCATAGCAAACCAGAAATTTTGCCAAGCATTACCAATGAGCGAGCACCATCTGCACACTGTCTAAAATCGTCTAAATGAGGGCAGGAATGAAAAAGAAATAAAAAAATTTTTCTATAAAGTGATAGGGGTAGGCAGACCATTAAAATGGTACAAAAAGGCAAACCAACAAAATCACTAGAGAAAGGGGTAGTGAAAAATAAGGAGAGGGGGGAACATTTTCCTGAAAATTGCGTACACCAACATAGATGGAGTGAGATCAGAGATACTGGAGTTAAGTGATGTAATACAGCTGCAGACACCAGACATTGTTGCACTCACGAAGACGAAACTTGAAGATGATATTTTAAATGAGGTCATATTCCCAAGAGGGTACTCAGTCTAGAGACAGGACAGAAAAATTAGCAAAGGCAGTGGCGTTGCTGTGCTGGTGAAAGAACACCTATAGGTAAATGAAATAATGATTGCCAATCCACGAGAGGTTGACATAATAGTACTAGAGATCTGCAATCAGGATGATAAACTAACGATCATAAATGCATATAGTCTACCGCCATGCAACACGTGGTGAAAGGAGGAGCTGGATAATAAACAAGAGAGTCTAATAACAATAATGAGAGAGGTTATAGCGAGAGCTAATAAAGATAGATCTTGACTGTTGGTAATTGGTGACTTCAACTTGAAATCCATAGACTGGGAGGCATATGAATTTAGGACAGAGGATTTTTGGACTTGTAGATTCGTAAACCACATCCTGGAAACATTCATGTTTCAACATGTTAAACAAGCTACGAGGATGAGGGAAGGGGATGTTCCCTCTATGCTGGATTTAATATTTACCAGAAAAGAGGAAGAGATATTTGACATTCAGAACCTCCCTTCCTTGGGTAAAAGTGACTCATGTCTTTTTGGGAATAAAGTATGCAATGCGTTATAATCTGGAAGAAAATGAGGTTGAAGTAGTTCAAAAGCCTGATTTCAGGCGAGGTCATTATGGGAAACTCAGACATTTCTTTAAGGAATTTGACTGGAAAGACTTGCTGTTAGGACAGGAAGTAAATGAGATGTATGTCAAGTTTTGTGAAATGTATGATAAAGGCACAAAAAAGTTTATACCAAAGCAGAGATGCAGAACTAGGAAACAGGATTGGTTCAACAGAAATTGCAAGAGGGCCAGAGACCAAAAGACACAAAAATGGAATCAACATAGGAAGAGGCCAAACCCCCAAACATACCAGGAATTCAAAGATGCGAGAAACAACTACGCAGCAGTGAGGAGAGAGACAGACAGAAATTTTGAAAAAGGGATTGTGGACAAATGTAAAACAGAACCAGGTCTATTCTAATAATTCATAAACAACAAATTGCAGGTAAAGGATACTGTAATATTCAGAGATTGAAAATGGGGAAATAGATTCACGGAAAATGAAAAGGAAATGTGCGAAACATTAAACAAAAAGTTCCAAAGTGTGTTTGTACAAAATGAAATCTTCAGGGAACCAGACACAATAAGAATTCCAGAGAACTACATAGAGCACATAGAGGTGTCTAGAGACGAAGTGGAAAAAATGCTCAAGGAGCTAAGTAAGAACAAAGTAGTTGGTCCAGATAGTTTCACTATGGGTTCTGAGAGAATGTGCACTTGAGCTCAGCATTCCACTTCAACTGATTTTTCAGGCATTCCTGTGTACAGGAGTTGTAGCTGATGTGTGGAAAAAAGCTAACATAGTTCCAATCTACAAAGGTGGCAGCAGGGAAGACCCCCTCAATTATAGACCTTTATCATTCACAAGTGTAATAGTAAAAATATTGAAAAAAATAATAAAAACTAAATGGGTAGAATACCTGGAGAGAAATAGTATAATATCAGACAGACAGTATGGTTTTCGATCTGGAAGATCCTGTGTATCGAATTTACTCAGTTTCTATGATAGAGCCACAGAAATTTTACAGGAAAGAGATGGTTGGGTTGACTACATCTATCTGGACCTAAAAAAGGCTTTTGACAGAGTTCCACATAAGAGGTTGTTCTGGAAACTGAAACATATTGGAGGGGTGACAGGTAAGCTTCTAATATGGCTGAAAAATTTCCTAACTGATAAAAAAATGAGGGCTATAATCAGAGGCAATGTATCGGACTCGAGAAGTGTCACGAGTAGAGTACCGCAGGGTTAGGTCCTTGCACCGGTAATGTTCATTTTCTACATAAATGATCTACCAGTTGGAATACAGAATTATATGAACATGTTTGCTGATGATGTTAAGATAATAGGGAAGATAAGTAACTTAGATGATTGTCATACCCTTCAAGAAGACCTTTACAGAATAAGTATATGGAGCACCACTTGGCAAATGTATTTTAATGTAAATAACTGCTAGGTTATGGAATGTGGAATAGGAGAACATAGACCTCACACAGCCTATAAATTATGTGAGAAATCTTTAAAGAAGTCTGATAAAGAAAAAGATCTAGGTGTAGTTCTAGATAGAAAACTATCAGCAAGGATCACATTAAAAACATTGTGCGAGGGGCCTATCCTACACTTTCTGTTTTCAGATTTGCTTTTAAATACATGGATGGCGAAATACTAAAATACTAAAGAAATTGTTCACGACTTTTGTTAGGCTAAAGCTAGGATATGCAGTGGTTGTGTGGTGCCCATATCTTAAAAAGCACATCAACAAACTGGAAAAGGTGCAAAGACATGCTACTAAGTGGCTCCCAGAACTGAGGGCAAGAGCTACGAGGAGAGGTTAGAGGCATTAAATATGCCAGAACTAGAAGACACAAGAAAAAGAGGTGATATGATCACTACATACAAAATAGTAACAGGAATTGATAAAATCGATAGGGAAGATTTCCTGAGACCTGGAACTTTAAGAACAAGAGGTCATAGATTTAAACTAGCTAAACACAGATGCCGAAGAAATATAAGAAAATTCACTTTCGCAAACAGAGTGGTAGACGGTTGGAACAAGTTAGGTGAGAAGGTGGTGGAAGCCAAGACCGTCAGTAGTTTCAAACCGTTATATGACAAAGAGTGCTGGGAAGACGGGACACCATGAGCGTAGCTCTCAACCTGTAACTACACTTAGGTAATTACACTGATGCCAAAGTGTAGGTATATACATAGCCTGGATAGCTCCGGGGAGCCTCCGGGGACTCAACCAGAAATATGCTTTTCATTATATTCATCGCTGTTTTTTAAAGGAAATCAAAGAAATTTGAGAATGCAGCTATTTACTTGAGTTGTCTAGCTGTTAATCTTGAAAATCAGATTACTAACCACTTCTGTAGACGTCATAATATATTAATAGTATTAAATGGATAAAGATGAATCTTTATTTCTAATTACAGGTTAATACTTAATTAATACTAAATTAATCATGAATTCTAAACTTACGTGCAATTTATCTTTAGTGATGTATTTCAGGTTATTGTGCAAGAAGGTGTCCAAGAATTATCGTATGCATTAGATGAAGGGTTAATAGAATTTGGAACTGCTATTGACGATGGTGACTTCTTGAGGGCCATGAATTACCTTGAGGTATGTACAATAGTACTTCTATAAGTAAATTTGTATTGGATTAAATTTTTAACCTTTCTTTAGATATTGAAAATATGTATGTAGTTTAGTATGTTTTAGTATTTAGTATATACAGTATTTAGTACTGTATGTCTGGTACAATAGGGAGCAAAGGATTGGCTAAAAATTATAGAACACTTGCACTAAAGTCCCACATAATAAAAGTATTTGAGAGAGTGATCAGGAGTCAGGTCTTGAGTTTCATGAAGACCAATGACCTCCACAACTCAGGCCAACATGGATTTAGAGCGGGAACATGCTTCTTGGAGCTGCTTGATCACAACGACAAAATCACCGACTCATTAGAAGAAAAACAGAATGCAGGTATGGTATATTGTACACGGACTTGGCAAAAGCATTTGATAAATGTGACCATGGAGTGATAGCACACAAAATGAAGTCAATGGGAATAACAGGTAAAGTAAGATGGTGGATATTCGATTTTCTGTTGAGCAGAACACAAAGAATAACAGTCAATCAAATAAAATCGATTCCAAGTGCAGTTAGAACTTCTGTACCACAGGGCACGGTCCTTGCACCACTGCTTTTCCTTATTCTCATATCAGATATAGACAAAAATACAAGCCACAGTTTTGTATAATCTTTTGCAGATAACACAATCAGCATGAGAATTACTTCTGTTGTAGACATTGAAAAACTACAAGTAGAAATTAATAAAGTTGTCAACTGGGCAGCAGAAAAAAAACATAATGTTTAACAGTGATAAATTCCAGGTAATCAGGTACAGTAAAAATGAAGACCTCAAACAAAATACAGGGTACAAACACTAAAGTATCAAATATTCCCATACAGTACAACCTCGATTCAACGTACCCCAGTTAGGTCAATCTCCGGCTAGGTCGCACAGTTTTCAGGGCGAATTTACTCACCCGGTTTGGCATACTCCAGTTCACAGACTGGTGGAAAACTTTCCTATTCTATCACAGCTTACAATTAATAATTTCTTCATATGACAAGTTGAATCACACAAGTGAACCACACAACAAGGGAATAATATTAACCAAACACCAGTCAAAGTGGTCCACACAAGTGAATGACTGTTTTTCCATGATTTTCTTTCACTGATTTGTGGCACATGTATCCTTGTAGATTAATTTAAAGGCTGAAGTGTGAATAGCTAGCTAATGTGTTGAAATCTTCTTATACATATACATTTTCTGTGATGAAACAAGACGAGTGAGGGTGGACAGATAAGGGAATACTGTACTGTAAACCTCACTTTACAGTGAAGTTTCACTCACTTTCATCTGTGTCATCATAGTTCAGTGACCAATGACTTTGAAAGTTTCAGATTAATAAATAATTTCTAAAACTTGTGTTTTAATAGCTCTTTATTATCCTAAACTAAATAAAACCAAAAATATACTGTAATATGATAGATACCTGGTTGATACCTGGTTGATGGGGTTCTGGGAGTTCTTCTACTCCCCAAGCCCGGCCCGAGGCCAGACTTGACTTGAGAGTTTGGTCCACCAGGCTGTTGCTTGGAGCGGCCCGCAGGCCCACATACCCACCACAGCCTGGTTGGTCTGGCACTCCTTGAAGAAAACAATCTAGTTTCCTCTTGAAGAGGTCCATGGTTGTTCCTGTAATGTTTCTGATGCTCGCTGGTAGGACGTTGAACAACCGTGGACCTCTGATGTTCATACAGTGTTCTTTGATTGTGCCTATGGCACCTCTGCTCTTCACTGGTTCTATTCTGCATTTTCTTCCATGTTGTTCACTCCAGTACGTTGTTATTTTACTGTGCAGACTTGGGACCTGTCCCTCCAGTATTTTCCATGTGTATATTATTTGGTATCTCTCTCGTCTCCTTTCTAGTGAATACATTTGGAGAGCTTTGAGACGATCCCAATAATTTAGGTGCTTTATCTCGTCTATGCGTGCCGTATATGTTCTCTGTATTCCCTCAATTTCAGCAATCTCTCTGACTCTTTCGTCGCCACATTTCAGTGACCTACGGCCTTGAAATAAGAAAATAGACATCTGCTATTTGAGAAATTAGTTACGTTACTGGCACAACAACTCCAGCACGAGTGGATGGGTCTAATCTGTGTACACACAGCACTTTGTGTGTTTCGTTCAATTTCGTCGCCACATTTCAGTGACCTACGGCCTTGAAATAAGAAAATTAATAAATCGGTAAACAGCGAGCGTATCCAGTTGTAGCTCTGAGCGCCACCCTTGCCCACCTATGCTATACCCAATTTATTTAGATGATACATAGATGAATCGTTTTCTGCGTTCAGTGATGATGCATCTGATACAAGTAGCATAGATGAACAGTTTTAGCGGCTTCCACAGTGGTGTTTTCCATAGATATTTTCAAGAATAGCAGAATCTCATCTTGACTGGCAGACACTCTTTGAGGCTGGCTGAATCTCTTCCAGACTGACGGACACTCTTTGAGGCTGGCTGAATCTCTTCCTGTGTGGGACCTTACAAAGAGACCTTTTCACGACTACCTTACAAATTGATCTTTTCCTGTAATCTTTTTAAGACTACCTTACGTTTTACAAGCTTGGCTACATACCACCTACAGGTACTAATGTCAAGGGTGTATGTGAGTGCGTTATTTGCAAGCACATAAAACGAAGAAATAGGAAGCGAAAATCTATCTGTACCTGGTGCAACGTGAGCGAAGTCACACTGTGTTCCATGGACTACTTTGTTGATTATTACTCACTTCCGAAGTACTGAGTAATTACCTAAGTGTAATTACCTAAGTGTAGTTACAGGATGAGAGCTACGCTCGTGGTGTCCCGTCTTCCCAGCACTCTTTGTCATATAACGCTTTGAAACTACTGACGGTCTTGGCCTCCACCACCTTCTCACTTAACTTGTTCCAACCGTCTACCACTCTATTTGCGAAGGTGAATTTTCTTATATTTCTTCGGCATCTGTGTTTAGCTAGTTTAAATCTATGACCTCTTGTTCTTGAAATTCCAGGTCTCGGGAAGTCTTCCCTGTCGATTTTATCAATTCCTGTTACTATTTTGTATGTAGTGATCATATCACCTCTTTTTCTTCTGTCTTCTAGTTTTGGCATATTTAATGCTTCTAACCTCTCCTCGTAGCTCTTGCCCTTCAGTTCTGGGAGCCACTTAGTAGCATGTCTTTGCACCTTTTCCAGTTTGTTGATGTGCTTCTTAAGATATGGGCACCACACAACAGCTGCATATTCTAGCTTTGGCCTAACAAAAGTCATGAACAATTTCTTTAGTATATCGCCATCCATGTATTTAAATGCAATTCTGAAGTTAGAAAGCATAGCATAGGCTCCTTACACAATATTCTTTATGTGGTCCTCAGGTGATAGTTTTCTATCTAGAACCACTCCTAGATCTCTTTCTTTATCAGAATTCTTTAAAGATTTCTCACATAATATATAGGTTGTGTAGGGTCTATGTTCTCCTATTCCACATTCCATAACATGACATTTATTAACATTAAATTCCATTTGCCAAGTGGTGCTCCATATACTTATTTTGTCCAGGTCTTCTTGAAGGGCATGACAGTCATCTAAATTTCTTATCCTTCCTATTATCTTAGCATCATCAGCAAACATGTTCATATAATTCTGTATACCAACTGGTAGATCATTTATGTACACAATAAACATCACTGGTGCAAGAACTGAACCCTGTGGTACTCCACTTGTGACATTTCTCCATTCCGATACATTGCCTCTGATTACTGCCCTCATTTTTTTATCAGTCAGAAAATTTTTCATCCATGATAGAAGCTTACCTGTCACCCCTCCAATATTTTCCAGTTTCCAGAACAACCTCTTATGTGGAACTCTGTCAAAAGCCTTTTTTAGGTCCAGATAGATGCAGTCAACCCAACCATCTCTTTCCTGTAATATCTCTGTGGCTCGATCATAGAAACTGAGTAAATTCGATACACAGGATCTTCCAGATCGAAAACCATACTGTCTGTCTGATATTATATCATTTCTCTCTAGGTGTTCTACCCATTTAGTTTTGATTAGTTTTTCCAATACTTTCACTATTACACTTGTCAATGATACAGGTCTATAATTGAGGGGGTCTTCCCTGCTGCCACTTTTGTAGATTGGAACTATGTTAGCCTGTTTCCACCCGTCTGCTACGATTCCTGTACACAGGGATGCCTGAAAGATCAGGTGAAGTGGAATGCTGAGCTCAGATGCACATTCTCTCAGAACCCATGGTGAAACGCCATCTGGGCCAGCTGCTTTGTTCTTACCGAGCTCCTTGAGCATTTTTTCCACTTCGTCTCTAGACACCTCTATGTGTTCTATGTTGTTCTCTGGAATTCTTATTGTATCTGGTTCCCTAAAGATTTCATTTTGTACAAACACACTTTGGAACTTTTCGTTTAGTGTTTCACACATTTCCTTTTCATCTTCCGTGAATCTATTTCCCATTTTCAACCTCTGAATATTATCCTTTACCTGCAATTTATTGTTTATGAATTTATAGAATAGACCTGGTTCTGTTTTACATTTGTCCGCAATCCCTTTTTCAAAATTTCTTTCTGCCTCTCTCCTCACTGCCGTGTAGTTGTTTCTCGCATCTTTGTATCGCTGGTATGTTTGGGGGTTCGGCCTCTTCCTGTATTGATTCCATTTTTGTGTCTTTCGGTCTCTAGCCCTCTCGCAATTTCTATTGAACCAATCCTGTTTCCTAGTTCTGCATCTCTGTTTTGGTATAAATTTTTTTGTGCCTTTATCATATATTTCACAAAACTTGCCATACATCTCATTCACTTCCTTGCCTAGCATCAAGTCTGTCCAATTATACTCACTAAAAAAATTTCTAAGGTCACCATAATGTCCTCTCCTGAAGTCTGGTTTTTCAACTGCTTCAACCTCCTTATTTTCTTCCAGCTTATAACGCATTGCATACTTTATTCCCAAAAAGACATGGTCACTTTTACCCAAGGGAGGAAGGTACTGAATGTCAAATATCTCTTCCTCCTTCCTGGTAAATATCAAATCTAGCATGGAGGGAACGTCCCCTTCCCTCATCCTCGTAGCTTGTTTAACATGTTGATACAAGAATGTTTCCAGGATGAGGTCTACAAATTTACAGGTCCAAAAATCTTCTGTTTTAGCTTCATATGCTTCCCAGTCTATGGATTTCAAGTTGAAGTCACCGACTATCAACAGTCGTGATCTATCGTTATCCGCTCTCGCTATAATCTCTCTCATTATTGTTATAAGACCTTCACGTTTACTATCTAGCTCCTCCTTTGACCATGTGCTGCTTGGCGGTGGACTATATGCATTTATCATCATTAGTTTATCATCCTCATAGCAGATCTCTAGTGCTATTATGTCAACTTCTTGTGGATTGGCAGTCATTATTTCCTTCACCTTTAGGTGTTCTTTTACCAGCACAGCAACGCCACCGCCTTTCCTAATTTTTCTGTCCCGTCTCCAAATTGAGTAGCCCCTTGGGAATATGACCTCATTTAAAATTACATCTTCAAGTTTTGTCTCCGTGAGTGCAACAATGTCTGGTGTCTGCAGCTGTATTACATCACTTAACTCCAGTATCTTCGATCTCACTCCATCTATGTTGGTGTATGCAATCTTCAGGAACTTGTTCCCCCTCTCCTTATTCTTCACTCCCCCTCTCTCTATTGATTTTGTTGGTTTGCCTTTATGTACCACTTTACTGGTTTGCCTACCCCTATCACTTTGTAGAAAAAAGAATTTATTTCTTCTTCATTCCTGCTCTCATTTAAATGTTTTGCCTCGGCGAGGTTCAGTTTCAGCTTCTCTCTATCTTCTTTTGAAAGATCTCGTCTTAACGACCACCCTTTCCCATCCTCATCCCTTTGCAATAATGTAATGTGTATGTAATAATGAGTGTGTAATACAGTGTGTTACTGTGTAAATAGTATGTGAAACTGTACATATTGTAATTTTAGTGAATTTTTAACAAGTAGTGTTGTGACAATAAACATTTATTTTGGACACATTACTGACAATGTACAGTATCACAGTTCCATGGAAAATTATGAACGTTCTACTGTATACATATTGTAATGGACACAAATATGCATCATATACGATAAAAAAACAAATAAAACTGCATTGGAAATACAAAGAACAAATAATTGAAAATATATTTGTGACAACATCCGGTGCTTGAATGGCCTGCGCAACCGTGTCTGGGCGTGTCACGCACGGGCGACCAGCCCCTGATGACATCACAGCGCACCTTTTCCATGTCCCCACAGCCAAAGTAAGTGAAATTTGATATTTATTTTTACATAGACATGTTCAGGGAAGGGAATTTATCATTTTACGAAGAAAAATAATTTTTGGGGAACACTTTATTTCATGCGCACAGGGGAAATTTCACAATAAACTCGGCGCAGCACAGTGGTTAAAAGTTAAACCAGCTATAAACCTAATAAGAAAAACATAAGCAAGCTGCTCCAAGCACGAGCTTGTTGGACCAAGCTCTCACAAGTCAAGCTTGGCTCCAGGCCAGGCTTGGGGAATAGAATAACTCTTAAGAACCTCATCCAGGTACAATCCCGAATTACCATTTCACTCATGTGCCCAACCACTTGGACTGGATGGTAGAGCGATGGTCTAGCTTCTTGCAGGTCGGCTTTCAGTCCCTAACTGTCCAAGTGCTTTGACACCATTCCTATTCTCTGCCCTATCCTAAATCCTCATCCGTTCCAAGTGTTGTATAGTCATAATGGCTTAGTACTTCCTCCTGATAATTACTGTATTTTATCTGTTTCACTCACATCTAGAAGTATAATTAGTATAGTAATTGGTTGTTCTTCCTAGAGGTTTCTTTCCTACTGATTTCGTCTTGTGCTTGTATCACCTAATACCCTTTTGCAGTTCTCATCTAGTTTCTCTCATCTTGTTCCCAGTTGTTCTTATCTTGTTTCCAAGTAATCTCATGCAATAATAGAAAGTATGCTAATTATTTTTACTGAAATTCCAGACCCTGCCAATGACAGCTGAGGCAGAAACTATGTGGCGAACACTTGCTCGGTTGACACTGGAGGGGCGTCATCTCTATATAGCTGAACGTTGTTATGCAGCTCTTGGAGATGTCTCAAAGGTCAGATACCTTCAAGGAATTAACCAAATAAGGCAGGAAATTCAAAATACCACAGGTTAGAACTCCTCTTTAGTTTCACTTCGAATAAAAAATTATTCTTGATTAATTGTCTGGGCATCTAATAGAATTACTGTATATGTATCATAAAGTATGTAAAGTGTTTAACTCAACACTGCAAGACAGTTACTGCATGATCAATAATAGTCTTAGACAAGCCTGCATATGAATATTTTGTAATACACAAACATTAAACACTCAGTAAATGTGCAATCCATATTTATGCTTTATATCCAATAGTTTCAAAAAATTTCAATACAGTACTGTAATTCTAAACTAATACACAGTGTATTTCATGCAATTCTTTTATTATTAGTGTTTGATTAACATTCTACATTACCTGGAAATAATAAATTTCACCACTGAATCATTGAATTTAGAAGTGTTAAGTAAATGACATGGATTCATGGATACCGAGGTTCCAGTAGTAGAGTTGGGTTAATTCTCTACTCAAAATCAAGAACTCCAAGTTCAAATTACAGGTGGGAGAGAAATGTTTAGGCACATCTAATCTAATGCCTAACATCTCCTCCTAACATCTAATGCACCTGTTCACCTAGCAGTAAATAGGTACCCAGGAATTAAGCAACTTTTTGTGGGGTGTCAGTAATTCGACCTTGGGAAGGACCTCGATATAAATCTAACATGTATATGTACACTGTTTGCCTGTCCCCAAACACCATTCATTGCTGAAAACAAGGAATATAGTAATCTTCAAAGTCAAGAAAGGCATAACCATCTCTTGCTTGCATAACATTTCATTAAATATCTCGCCAACTGGTTTATTGAGGAAGCCCTGTCGGCTTCCTGAAGCTATCATACACTGATCAGTGCCATATTACTAGGTGCCATTAGTTGCGAAATTCTACTGGCTTACTGGGGACCACGAGCCAGAACCTGGCTACCTCAGAGAGGTTCAGGGAGCAATGGCTTATGAACACTTTACACTTAAATTTAATCATAATTGCCACCAACCAGGGAAGGCACCCAGAATGATAGATTAACCAAAACAGAGTACAGTACTACATGAATAAAACAAGACCACAGCCCCAAAATTGCCAAAAGAACTTCCCCAACAAGAAAACAAATAACCAAAATTTCATGAAACTAGGTACACTTATTTGACTTGCCTTCCCCCTCATTTTGGGGGAGAAGGGAGGCATACCAGGTCAGCCAGATTGCCTCACCATCAGTTCTATTCTGGTAGTGCTTACCTGCTTGATGGGGTTCTGGGAGTTCTTCTACTCCCTACTCCTGGAAGTTCATCATTGCAAGAAGAGGTTCTACTACTACTGACTTGTGAGAGCTTGGTCCAACAGGCTGTTGCTTGGAGCAGCCCGCAGGCCCACATATCCACCACAGCCCGGTTGGTCCAACACTCCTTGAAGAAATCTATGTACAGTAGTTTTCTCTTGAAGATGTCCATAGTTGTTTCGGCAATATTTCTTATATTAGCAACATCTTGTATAACATCTTATATTACCAACATCCTCCGCTGGGAGGATGTTGAACAACCGTGGGCCTCGGATGTTTATACAGTTTTCTCTAATTGTGCTTATGGCACCCCTGCTTTTACTGGTTCTATTCTGCATTTTCTTCCATATCGTTCACTCCAGTATGTTGTTATTTAACTGTGTATATTTGGGACCTGGCCCTCTAGTATTTTCCACATGTATATTATTTGATTTCTCTCTTGTCTCCTTTCTAGTGAGTACATTTGGAGAGCTTTGAGACGCTCCCAATAATTTAGGTGCTTTATCGCATCTATGTATGCTGTATATGTTCTCTGTACTCCCTCTATTTCAGCAATCTCTCCTGCTCTGAAGGGGAAAGTGAGTACTGAGCAGTACTCAAGGCGGGACAGCATAAGTGATTTGAAGAGTACAACCATTGTGATGGGATCCGTGGATTTGAAAGTTCTCGAAAGTTCTCCCTCCCTCCCTCACTGGGAGGGAGGGAGTTACAGGATTGTTGAGGGAGTTCTCCTTGAGGGAGTTCAAGGCTAGATGCACTAACATTCCTCCTTCAGGTATACTGTTTGTGGTGTTATTACCCTATATATGCATATTATATATAAGTATCTACATGTTTTGTTCACCATAACTGTTCAACTAAGCTGGTATAGTGCAGAAAGGGCATAGTGGCCACCCTAACCCAGCATGACAAGACATGCAGATGTCGCCATCTCCCTAACCAAAATGGCTTCTTCCAACACTCCTTTTGGTGTTATTAGACTATATATACACATTACGTATAAGTATTTACATTTGTGTTCACCATAACGAACCACTAAGTAGGTATACTGAGTCAAAAGGCAGCAAGGTGTGGCCAGCACACCAAGCAGCCCGCCACTGGCTGCCACTCCCTCCCTCCCTCATCTCACTCCTGGTTGATACCTGGTTGATGGGGTTCTGGGAGTTGTTCTTCTCCCCAAGCCCAGCCCGAGGCTAGGCTTGACTTGAGAGTTTGGTCCACTAGGCTGTTGCTTGGAGCGGCCCGCAGGCCCACATACCCACCACAGCCCGGTTGGTCCGGCACTCCTTGGAGGAATAAATCTAGTTTCACCAACATTCTCCTCCCACCATATTTTTTTGCTTTTATTCACTATATACAGATGTTCTTTATAAGTATCTGCATGTTTTGTTCACTATAGCAAACCACTAAGCTGGTATAGTGAGTCCAAACAGTAAAAGGTGGTTACACAGTCAGCAGACAACACTACCTCCCTCTCCACCAAGATTACTCCTCCCACTACAGTGCTAATTATCACAACAATCCTGTTATTATCAGAATCCTGGTCATTTTTATCACAGTCAGGGGTCTTCTGTAATACTATCATTGCTAAATTATAGCATGTACATACATATTTTGACATTTTTAGGAGATGCTGTGGTCACAAGCTGAACAGCAGTGCTGTGAGCTCATGCTGTGTGCGCCAGCCTTGGTGGCTCACTCAGTATTGAGGCCCTCACACACCCGGGAATGTTGCCCACGATTTAAAAAAAATGGGGTCTGTTTACAAGAGCCCTGATGAAGGTGAGGTGAACCCTGTGTATCCGCGGGCCGTTTAAATCTTGCTTAGTACTCCAACACGTCATATGACGTAATACGCACTTTTGGGTATGTTACTTAACACGTCATATGACGTGTTGCGCAATTTAAGGGTTAATGCCTCCAGTCTCTCCTTGTAACTCTTGTTTTTCAGTTCCGGAAGCCATTTTGTAGCATATCGTTGCACCTTTTCCAGTTTATTTTTGCGTCTTGAGATTAGGGAACCATACAACTGCTGCATATTCCAATTTTGGTCTCAAAAAAGTAGTGAATAGTTTCTTTAGTATTCCTCCATCAATATAATTAAAAGCAAGTCTGAAGTTGGAAAGCAACGCATACTCCCCTCTCGCAATATTCTTTCTGTTCCTCTGATGACAGCTTATTATCCAAAACTACCCCTAGGTCTCGTTTTTTATTAGAGCTCTGTAATTCCTTTCCACATAATTTGTAAGTTGTGTGTGGTTTATTGTCTCTGATTCCACTTTCCATAACATGGCATTTATTCACATTGAATTCCATTTGCCACTTATCATTCCAAGCCCTTATTTTATCTAGATCAATTTGAAGGGCATTACAGTTGTCTGCATCTCCTACCTTCCTCAGGTTTTTTTGTGTGTGGGTGAGAGGGAAAATGAGTGTGCCTGTGTTAGGGACACGTGTGGGTGGATGGGAGTGAGTTACATCATTTTTATATGAAAAGTATTTTGGGGCATGAGAATTACTCAAAATATTAGACATTTAACAACTTTGGATTTGGCAAACATTATGATTTAGGGCATAGGGTATAGCCCCTTATAGGTTGTTTAATTGAATTGATGCTATACTCAGAAATAGTAATAAATATAACCGTTGGTAGTTCAAAATTTATTCATATATATGTTGCATTATAGAAATAATTTGAAAAGGTAAAATAAATAACTTTACTTTGTTTAGGTGAAGATGCAATACAGAATTATGAAGTACAAGCTCGTTTAGCCATTCTGGACAAGCAGTTCAAGACAGCTGAAAGTATCTACCTTGATTACAATAACCTTGAGAAAGCTATGGAAATGTACCAAGAACTTCACAAATGGGATGAAGGTAACCAAATTATACTACCTACATGTTGAATATCTATTGAAGGTCCTGGGAATCAACGTCCCCATGGCCCAGTCTCTGACCAGGCCTCCTGGTTACTGGTCTGATCCACCATGATCATACCTAATACTACATTATGCATTTTTTTTGTATGGACTTATACAAAATTCTATTTGTAATTTTAAATTAATGTCAGTCGAGTGTTGTAATCCATCCTAATTTGATTATAACAGCTTTGCCTAATTAATATAATTTATCATAAGTGCAATGTAATGGCTTATTCAGAAAATATTTTACAGTACAGTGTACAGTATTTATAAGTATTCCTCATAATGCAAATGTTTATAGTAGTGCTTCACTTTTCATTCTAAAAATTCTAAAACTAGTTTTCTGGGGAAGCCCTTTGGTGGCTTTCTAAAGCTATCTTATTGAGATGACTTCCCATTACCATGAGGGGAGGGGGGGGAGCTGATCCCCCCATCCCCCCACAGAGGCAGAGAGAGCAGGAGATCGTTAAAATCACACTCGCTGTAAAAGTATCCAGAGAGGAAGTGAGACAGTACAGAGAACTGCAGGGTTTATTGAAAATGAAGTCCCAAAAACCTCAGAAAAACTTTGCAAATGATTCATTCAAAATAAATTCTTCATTCAAAACTAATTCAAACCCCCAAGTGCAAATTGCTGCCACCAGGAGACCTGGAGCTTCCAACTATCAGCTAGCTTTCAGTCAGTTCTGTCTTCTGTCTCTGCTGTGTTGCTGTATAGAAAATACACGGGTCACGTCATCATTGAGAGCATCACTTCTTTCTCTGCTAAATGCCAGCCATCCTTTGGACTATGTCATGTGGGGGCTCGTATTCCTCAGGTTGTCTGCAGTGCCATTAAAGTTAGCCAGCTCACAGTGTACTCTCAGGCTCATGATGTTTGCAAGTTTGCAGCTATGGCTGCTGTTGTCACTTTTTGTGGGCTGATTTTTGGACTCGTGTTTGAAATGTCTCTTTGGATCCTGCAACTTATGTACTGTAGATGTCAATTTTCCTCCTCCCTGATAAGTCGCATGTCTTTTTTTCTTCTCTTTGGATAGATTAAGGGAGCCACCAAGGCTCCCCAAGAAAACCAGCATTGAATTTAATGAAATGCCTCTTTCTAGTAAAGTTCTGGTGGATCTCTGCACCCTCACGCCTGGGCGCCTGACATCTGGGTGGACAACACTTCAGATTCGTAGTCCCGAGGTCCCGGGTTCGATCCCCGGTGGAGGCGGAGACAAATGGGCAAAATGTTTCTTTCACCCTGATGCCCCTGTTACCTAGCAGTAAATAGGTACCTAGGAGTTAGACAGCTGCTACGGACTGCTTCCTGGAGGTGTGTAACAAAAAGGAGGCCTGGTCGAGGACTGGGCCACGGGGACGCTAAGCCCCAAAATCTTCTCAAGATAACTAAGATGACCTCTTCTCTATCAGGTTTGTTGACTTGTAGTGTATCAGCTCCAGACTCACTGGGAGCCAGCTGATAGCTCCTGTTACTTGATAGCAGCCATTTACAATGAGGGGTTCAAGTTAGTTTCAAGTGAATCATTTGATTTGAATCATTCATTGGCAGTCAATTGACTGTTTTGATGCTTTGTTTTCTGTGAACCTTGCAATAGTCTGTATTGTCTAACTTCCTTTCACGATGCTTTCTTGGTGAGGATGATCACAACAATGCCTTGCTCTCTGCACCTCTGAGAGGGGGCAAGGTTTTTCTTCGATCCTCAGTAGGTCATACAGCACTCCTATGACTGGTGGGACCTAGTTGTTGGAAGCAATCTCAGCAAGATAGATTCAAGGAGCCACCCAGAGCTCTACCAAAAAAAGGTGTTTCATTACATTTGATGCTTTTCTAGGGGAAAGTCCCTTCGGCTCCCCAGAGCTATCCAAGCTGATATGGATATTACTTGACTTTGGCATCAGTCAATGTGAATGAAGTTCATAGGCCTACTGGGGACCACAAGCAAAAACCTGGCCCCCTCAGAGAGGCATGAGGAACAATGGCCTATAGAAATGCACATGTGATTTGGAGCATTCTGTGTCTGCCATCGACCGGACCAGGCACACAGAAGGGTAAGCACCCCAAAACAAACCCCTATTTTGATTAACACTACTACTGAACGCTAAATGAGTGGACAGACCTCCCCAAATGAAAACGAGTATGACATCACACGTGCCTCACTGCTTGTCTGCACAGCTCCCCCCCCCCCCCCTCCTCGGGAGGGGAAAGAGGGACCCCCCAGACCCTAGTTCTCGGCTGATGTGGCTCGGTATTGGTTGTTTGACTCCAGCTCCTGATTGTTGTCTCAGTTCTGTGCCTTGGGTTTGGTGCTGTCTCCACAGTGGTGGGTGAGCTGGGAGTAAATTCACAGGTGCTCGGGCTGCATGTGCTTAGGGTTCCCTTCCCTAATTGCCCTGTTAGTACCGCCCTTGGGGTTTGGGGTTATCTTCTAGAAGTCACCTTGGGTCTACTTCGGGTCGGGTCGTTTTAATAAAACTTTTTTTATATCTTTTTATTTAATTCTGTCTCATTGCTAATTATATGGAGATAAAATATTTTTTGTATAATTAATGAAGATCTAATTACAGTTATCTCTTGTATAATAATCTATTGTGTAAAATACATATTACATATGTATGACATTATTTTGCAGCTGTCCAACTAGCTGAAGTAAAGGGCCATCCAGAAGTTGAATCACTGCGTAGGGCTCACACACAGTGGCTTATGGACACCCATCAAGAAGAGAGAGCTGGCCAGCTTAAAGAAGCTGAGGGCGACTATTTGGCTGCTATTAATATGTATCTCAAAGCTGGAATGCCTGCTAAAGCTTCTAGGTCAGAGAAATATATAAACATAAACCAAATCAGTTTTTTTTATGGCACATTTGGTTCATTCCGAAGTATAGTACTGTATATTTCATTTGATGTACAGAATTTGAATTAAACATAGTACAGTACATCAGCAATCCTTAGTTACTACTACTTTGGAACGCTTGTCAGAATCGTTATTATTACTTCAGTTCCCACTAACATGGGAAGGAAAAACTTTGTCTTAAAGAAAAAAGACTCTCTACCATTCACTATATATCACAATGAAACAAACACTACCTGTGTCCATCAGATTATCTTCAGGACCAGTTTTTTGTTTCACTGATAGCTCTTTCCTAAGACATTCTGAAGATACAACTTAAAGCAGCTTCTTTCACTAAGTTCTCTATCTTTTCACAACATTTCTTTTATAGTGACATTTTGTCTTTGTGGACATCATTATATTGAATGGAGCATGCTGATATTGAAGACTGTAGGAAAAGGCAGAATCCACTGCTATGCAGGGAGATAACCGAAACACATTTAACGCTGTTTTTTTTTTTCCCCCCTTTTTCTTACATTTCTCGTTTACGAACTTACACGGTAACCGACGGGTCTCATCCCTGAGGGGTTCGCAAAGCACGTGGTCCTCTGTATTTTGTTTCATGGTATTGTCAATTTTTCAATCATCTAGACTTAATTGTTTTTTCCTGAGTTCACGGACCGTCGGTGGAACATAAATCCTTTCCATATGTTTCAAGACGTTATTTTTTACTTTACGGGGGAAATGGTTATCAGTATACTGAGAAGATTATGTACGTTGCTATTTACACAAAAAAACTGTCAAAAGCAATATAAGAACATATTCTTAGTTATGGTTGTCTTTGTCCTTGAACTTGCTTATGACAATAAATGATTTGGTATTTTTTACCTCTACATTAAATTAGGACTTTATATTTTTATGCATGCAGTAATAACTTTTTGTTTCATGTACAGCATGTGTGTTATGTAGGAGGAATAATGAAGTGGCTTATGTTACAGATTAGCTACAAGCATCGATGAACTTCGTGAAGATCCAGAACTTATAACACGAATTGCTACATCTTTGCTCAGAACTGAACTCTATGAGCAGGCTGGAGAATTGTATGAAAAAGTTGGTGAACCCCAAAAAGCCTTGGAATGTTATCGTAAAGGTCAGGCTTATGCTCGAGCTGTGGAGTTAGCACGATATGCGTTCCCTGCAGGTGAGTTTATTTATACAGTATTGTAAATAGTTCCAGTTATGCCAACATATAACCCCCTCTCTTCCCCTCCATACAGGAAAAAAAAATTATTCTCAACTTGAAAACACATTATGCTGTATGTTAACCCCTGATCTGGAGATTTTCTCTTTATTAGAACCATCTATATATTTTTTAATTCAAACATCTGCAATGTCACTACCACTGAGACTTAGATTTAAATTGAATATAATGGTTGATATTTTATATAAATGCTTTCCTTGCAATTTGTAAGCAAATGAGGACTGGAATACATTTAAGACAGACATGAAAGTGGCAACTCCTCTTCCCAGCTTGATGTCTTACAATCTACCGTACCCTTTGTTGCAAGGGTGACAGAGCCACTCTCACTAGCATTTGTGTTAAAAGTATTCTTCTCCTCCTTGCTTTTGGGTATCTTTCCTTATTTGTAGAGAGAGCAAGATCCTGGTGGTAGGCAAGGGTTGGTCTCACAAGTCTGGTGCATCTCCCTAAGGCTTGGCTGGACAAGTGTTCTGCTCAGGGAGCTACTGAAGGGCCCTCTGGAATAGGGTGTTTTATACATTCATTGCTTGTTTTTTATTTTAGAAATATTTTCTTACATTTCTTTATACATTTTAGATGTTGTGCACATGGAGGAAGAATGGGGAGACCAGCTAGTGTCCAACAAGCAGGCAGATGCTGCTATCAGTCACTACATTGAAGCAGGACGTACTATAAAAGCCTTAGATGCTGCAATAACTGCTAGGCAATGGAAAAAAGCTATGCAAATTATAGAGGTAAAATTTAATCCCATACAAAAGCAATACACACTTGTACTCCATTGAGCATTGATCTACACAGTGCTGTTTCTCAATTATTTTTTCTAGAAAAGAAAAAAAATACAGTAATACAGGGGTACCTCGGTTTAAGAGTTTAATCCGTTCCTGTAGACAGCTCGTAACCCGAAAACTCGTAAACCGAAGCTAATTTCCCCATAAGAAATAAATGGAAAGGAATTAATCCGTTTCTGACTACCCAAAAACCTCACTTAAAACTAAATTTTATACTGTACCTAATTCATCCAAATCTACACTACAGAAGTATGTTCAAGTTATTACTTACCCTTGCTGATGACTGCTGTTGACGTATGGAAGATGATGGGGGGGGGGGGAGAAGGAGAGGTGTTACTGTTTGGAAGGGGAGTCCCCTTCCATTATAACATCAGGCAGTGAAGATTTTTCTGGAGTGCACTCTCTGGCACATTTTACCTGCATACCACTAGGTCCTGGTTGTGGCTCACTGCTTGATTTTTTCACAACGAAAAGATCCATTGAAGATTGTTTTTCCCTTCTTCGCAACATTTGTCTGTAGTGAGGCATCACATTGTCATTGAAAAGATTAATGCAACGGCCTTTCTCTGGGTGAGTTGTTTCAATAAAAGTTTGCATTTCTTCCCAATCTGACACCACTTCCTAATGTTTACGGAAGGGACATCCTCTTCTGCCTCATCCTCCTCCACTGGAGAAATATCCTCGGCTGCCTCTTCTTGCTGCTCCTTTTGACGGGCTTGGAATTCTTCGGTGGTCAGTTCTTCGTTGTGTTCTTCCACCAACTCCTCCACAACAGCACCATCCAATTCCAAGCCCATCTTCCGATATCGCACGGCGATATCATGCGTTACAAATTGTAGTCACAAAACCACAAAAAAAAACACAAATAAATGCAGAGGGATGCTTGTAGTGCACGTTACAAGAAGACTGGTGTCATAGGAGTCCGAGAATTTGCGAGAACCCGCGAGGCGCTAGGAAGCACCATGTGGTTTTGCTCGTTAATAGAGGTGAAGCTCGTCAATAGAGACAAATTTGCTGTGAGTGGCTCGCTTGTTACTGGAAATGCTCGTAAATAGAGCCGCTCGTTAATCAAGGTGCCACTGTATATATATATAATAATAATAATAATAATAATATTGTGTTTTGGTGGTATCCCCCACTTGGTCCCCGTGAGTGGACACTTCCCAGGGGTTCAGCTTTTAGCAGTTTGTTTGGTAGACTTGGACGCCGGTTTGCAGTACCCTGCCTGGGCTTCCCTTAGCGTGTTAAAATGGCTAAGGGCCCTGGAAAACCCTGTGGGGGGCTCCGTGGTCCAATGCAAGGGACCCTTGAGTTCCCTCTCGCTTCGTGTGAGCTTGAAGGTTGCTGTCCCCCTTGTCTCAGGGTGACAATCCCAGCTGTGCCTCCACCACTCTGCCTGTTGGGTTGGTGATTCCTTTGACCTGAAGTCGTACAACGTTTTTTGTCTGTACATGATCCAGTTCACCCATGCTCCTCTACATATGTGGGTGCAGGCAGCTGCTGCATTGCATGCTCGGTTCGGTTGGTTGTGGCCCCAGATGCCCCGAAACTGCCCCGTTTTGGTTATAGGGGTCCGGACTTGAGGGTGGGAGTCATTTCGGCTCTGGTTCCGTTCGCTCCTCCTAGTCCTTCCCCTTCTGTTGTGCATACTTTCTTCCCCCCTTGCTTCTGGCTTCGAACCGTCAGGAGCCAGGAAGACCCCCTTAATTATAGACCTGTATCATTGACAAGTGTAATAGTCAAAATATTGGAAAAAATAATTAAAACTAAATGGATAGAACACCTGGAGAGAAACGATATAATATCAGACAGACAGTATGGTTTTCGATCTGGAAGATCCTGTGTATCGAATTTACTCAGTTTCTATGATCGAGCAACAGAGATATTACAGGAAAGAGATGGTTGGGTTGACTGCATCTATCTGGACCTCAAAAAGGCTTTCGACAGAGTTCCACATACGAGGTTATTCTGGAAACTGGAAAATATTGGAGGGGTGACAGGTAAGCTTCTAATGTAACAAACTAGGCTGTTATAAGAATTATCCAGAGTGGTTTATCGACAAAAGAGAATGGGAAGCTGAGCCGCATGGTGACCTGACCCCCAGGGGAATTCGCGGTGGAAATAACCGACGCTTTGTTCATAACTGCGTATAATGAATCATCCTATAGTATTCAGTAATTTAGAGAAAATTAGCCTTTATTCATTTTGCATTAAAATTGTATTGTATAATAGTACTGGATACAATATCAACAGTATTCTAATTATTGAGTTTAAGTCACCATCAGTGACGTCACGAATCAGATCTAACTTTTAAAGCGGAGTGACCGGCGGTCATAGGTCATCAGGGGTTGACAGGTCTACTATTTCTCAAAGTTTTAATAACCATTTTTGGGGATCGGGAACAGCTCTGCCGTTAGATGTTTGTAATCTAATTCAGTAAAATAATTCAACCAGTCTGGATCAATTAAGTACAACAGAGTTTAATTGTTATAACTTAAACCTTGCTAGTAACTGGGTAGAACTTTGACTAGGCGGAAGGATACAATGTTCTGTCTGGGGGAGACCAGACAAGGAAGAGATCAGTGTGGTCACGGAAGCAGCTAGGAGAGGTCAAACATCTTACCTCTCCCCTAGACCAGCCAAGACATCTAGCTGGTCGCCCAAGGTATAGTTGCTATTGTTAATTATAGAAATAGTCTTCTCATTTGCCACTCAGGTCAAGTAGGGAGTGTTAAAGTAATAGGGAGTGAACATATTTAGATTTTGTTTTAGTTTTCTTTTAATAAATTAAATTTGTTATTAATTTGCATTTTATTGTTTCCATGTGTTTTATGTGTATACTTGTCCTGGTCACGTGGTCCACACGAGGCAGAGTTGCATTGGGCGCCGATTCTAACATCGAATCGGAATTATCATTACCGTGTAATTTATTCCACACTCAAGGTCATCGTTTATAGTGGGGATCAAGCCCCTAGGTTGATTAATTAGCGTGATCGATCCAGACCTCGATCATTGCTCTTGTATTACTGGTCTGGTGGTGGCAGCAGAGGTGACTCTAGGGTTTTGTGCAGAGCTTAGGTCACGTCATACTGGGTGTAGAATCCTAAGTCGGTCAATCGTCTTAGGACCACGTGGCGTGGAGTTGGCTTTGTTAAAAGTTTTGGGGTCCCTTGGTTTAGAAATAATAAGTAAGAATACGGGTAGAGGGAGTAGAAAGAAGGAAGTAAAGAGAGAGGAACCTAACCCGTGTTACACTAACATGGATGAAAAATTTTCTGACTGATGGAAAAATGAGGGCTGTGATCAGAGGCAATGTATTGGACTGGAGAAGTGTCACAAGTGGAGTACCACAGGGTTCAGTTCTTGCACCAGTGATGTTTATTGTGTACATAAATGATCTACCAGTTGGTATACAGAATTATATGAACATGTTTGCTGATGATGCTAAGATAATAGGAAGGATAAGAAACTTAGATGATTGTCAAGATGACCTGGACAAAAGATGACCTGGACAAAATAAGTATATGGAACACCACTTGGCAAATGGAATTTATTGTTAATAAATGCCATGTTATGGAATGTGGAATAGGAGACCATAGACCCCACACAACCTATATATTATTTGAGAAATCTTTAAAGAATTCTGATAAAGAAAGAGATCTAGGGGTGGCTCTAGATAGAGAACTATCACCTGAGGACCACATAAAGAATATTGTGCGAGGAGCCTATGCCACGCTTTCTAACTTCAGAATTGCTTTTAAATACATGGATGGCGATATACTAAAAAAATTGTTCACGGCTTTTGTTAGGCCAAAGCTAGAATATACAGCGGTTGTGTGGTGCCCATATCTTAAGAAGCACATCAACAAACTGGAAAAGGTGCAAAGACATGCTACTAAGTGGCTCCCAGAACTGAAGGGCAAGAGCTACGAGGAGAGGTTAGAGGCATTAAATATGCCAAAACTAGAAGACAAGAAAAAGAGGTGATATGATCACTACATACAAAATAGTAACAGGAATTGATAAAATCGATAGGGAAGATTTCCTGAGACCTGGAACTTTAAGAACAAGAGGTCATAGATTTAAACTAGCTAAACACAGATGCCGAAGAAATATAAGAAAATTCACTTTCGCAAACAGAGTGGTAGACGGTTGGAACAAGTTAGGGGAGAAGGTGATGGAGGCCAAGACCGTCAGTAGTTTCAAAGCGTTATATGACAAAGAGTACTGGGAAGACGGGACACCATGAACGTAGCTCTCATCCTGTAACTACACTTAGGTAATTACAGCAAACAGAGAAAGTGACAGTGCGTTACCCTAGTGAGCGCTGATAAAGAGCAATAAAATGGGTTTGCTCTTTTCAACTTTGTTACCTCAATTCTGGTCCTAGGTCTTTCATCTTGGTATCATTGTGTTGGCAGTAGAATTCCCTACACGATTAAATGCATGTGAAGTCCAAAAGCCTGGCATACCATCCGTAGCAAATAGAGAAAGTGACAGAGCATTACCCCAGTGAGTGCTAATAAAGAGCAATAAAATGGGTTTGCTCTTTTCAACTTTGTTACCTCAATTCTGGTCCTAGGTCTTTCCTTTTGGTATTAATGGATTCGCAATGAAATTTCCTTCAAGGGGTATATGCATATAATGTCCAAAACCGCGGCAAAAGCAGGCCAATTTTTTTTTAAATTTTTGACTCCATATTTCATCATCTGTGGCTATTAAAAAGTAAAATTTTGACTCCATCCTTTGTCATCGGTGGGCGAAAGTGTTAAGTTGCTGCTTGGTTGGTCAGGCTGGGGAGTGCTTCACGTGTTGTGTTTGGTTGGGGCTCATCGCTGTTCTCTGCATGTCTTGGCCTCTGGGGCCGTGGGCGTGTTTTGGTTTGCCTGGGTACCCTTCCTTCCTTCCTGTTCGGGGGTTCGGGTCTCCCAGGTCTTCTGCAGGGTCCTTTGGTTTGGTCTGTGGGTTTGTTTGTGGGTTGGGGTGCATGGTGTCCACCTCCCAGTTCCTTCCCTCTATTTCTTATCTTTGGTGAGGTAGCTCCGGGGAGCCAACGGGGCTCTCCCAGAAAACCAGTGTTGAATGTAATGAATGCCATTTTCTGGGCGAGTCCTGGAGGCTCCCTGGCATCCCTCCCTCCCTCTGGTCGGCAGTGTTTTTCGCGTATTTTGACATTCAGCCTAAGAACTGCCGGTTGGATCGCCGATGTGGAGGGTCTAGGGCTCTCCCTTTCTCCTCCTGGGGAGGGCGGAAGGGTTTGCACAGACAGCTGCGCGGCGACGTGATGACGTCATGCTAGTTTGCTAATTTTGTTTGGGGAGTTCTGTCCACTCGTTCGCCTTTCGGTAGCAATATTTTCATCAGAATAGGGGTTTGTTTTAGGGGACCTGTCCTGGTCGATGGCAGACATAGAATGCTCCCAACCACGGGAGTTTCTATAGGCCATTGCTCCTCGTGCCTCTCTGAGGGGCCAGGTTCTGGCTCGTGGTCCCCGGTAGGCAAGAACTCCAAGCACATTGATGCCAGAAAGTTATACATATCCATTCAGGCCTCCGAGATTCACCCAAAAAATGGCGTTTCATTACAATCAATGCTAGTTTTTTCTGGGCAGGCCTGCCTATTCCCCTTTTCCCCTCCTCCTTCCCTATTCTTCCCAACCTTTCCTTTTCTTCCCTTTAATAATGTGATATTTATTTTTACTTGTTGGGTTAAAGGGGGATTATAATTTAAATAATTTTAGCTTTAATGGTAATTTTTACATCAAAATGGTGATTTGATAACTATATAAGTAAACAGTTTGATACGAATATTGCAGCAGCATTGGAAATCATTAACGGTTTTGAAACCTTAATGATTTATTTTTATTTTCACAGGTCATAGATGATGATGAAGCTCTACAGCCACACTTGATGAAGTTGGGCAATCACTTCTCATCAATGAATGACTTGAAAAGGGCAGAAAAATTCTATATTAAGGGTGGCATGTTCAACGAGGCAATTACAATGTATAACCAGGCTGGTAAATATTATATCTTACATTGTGCTTCTACAATGATAGTAAAATTGTTGATTGTTCCTGGTTATTTCATTTAATGAATTTTCTTATATTTGTGTGCATGTGACGATGTCAACACCATCTGTTGAGTGCACCCGACCCCACTTTCTGTTCCCCGGTGAAAGGCTGTGATCTTTCTGACACCTGTGTAGTTTCCTTCTTCCTATACAGTTTTACTCAGAATTGATGTGGAGGGTACCTTGGTCAAGGGAACAAGAGTCAGTTCACCCAAGGTAGTCCTGAACTCGAGACTTGTAAGTGTGATTTTAAGAAGAGGCATCCCCCCCCCCCCTCCCTCCCCAACAGTGCAGACGACAAAATTTATGATAGCTGCCAGCAAGAAGAAAAAGAAAAGAACAGAGCTAGATTTTGGTGGTTTCAATGAAGAAAGCATTGATATCAGCAGTCTACACAACAAGTTGGCAAAATTAGTTACAGTATTGTAGTGAACTATCATGTAGAAATAATCAGCAAATTGAGAGAAAATAATGACCACTTGAGTAGCAAAGTGTAGTATTAGATCTTGAGGAGTTAGTGAAAGACTGATGTAAGGAAAAGAATCAGTTGGAAATAAATTGCAAAGCCATGAAAGAGGAATATAAACTCTTGAAAACCAGCATTACACTCAATGCTGGTTTTGTTGGCACTGTTTTATCCTGCCCTCCATTGTTCTATTCTCACATAGTACCACTGCTAAATATGGCAAAATTCTTTAACATTTTCCAGTATTGTGCTTCAGTTTTACCTGCCACTCGTATGCTGATCTATTTCTGTTTTCATTTACCTGTACATCAATACTGCTTCTCTATTTTAAGTAACTGTGATGACTAGAAGGGGTACCCAGCAGTACCTAGGATGGTCTGTTTTCCCCATTCCCCCTTCTTCTCTCCTCTCCCTCCATCCCTACCCTCCCTCTTCACTCTCCCTCCCCTCACTTCTCCCATCCCCCCCTCTTCTCTTCCGTCTCCCTGCATCTCTCTTTTTTTCTCCCATTTTCTCTCCCCGTTACCACTTCTCTCTTTTTTCCCTCTTGCACCTGGCCTCCAACCTCGAACAGAGGGGCATTTCCATTTACTGTATTTATTTACCAAGAAATCTTAGGACTCTGCTAGTCATCTTTCATTGATTATATATGGATACCCCCTCCCCCTTCTCTCCAAATAGGACAGACTCTGACCAACCTACGTCCATCCCATATTCCAGACCATTCACTCTGCAAAGTAGGGTGAGGTTAGCCACAAACATCTGGCCTCTAATCTCATACAGACACAGGCATTCTCTCTTATAGATATATCTTGTGTGCAGGCGAGTGGGAACGTGCCCATCAACTTGCCAGTAAGTACATGGGTGCCGACAAGGTAGCTGTCATGTATGTGAACCAAGCACAAGTACTGGAGAGTCAAGGCAAGTTTAAAGAAGCAGAAAAACTCTACATCTCAGTCCATGAACCTGATCTGGCTATTACTATGTATAAAAAGCAGCGACAGTTTGACCAGGTTAGTGATCTTTTCTTTAGTGTATCATCTTCAATATGGTTTCATATGGTTATTTAGTAAATTTATGGCTGAAATATGAGGAATAATAATAAATTACTACATTAACTACATTTTTCTGTGTTACATCCTTAGATGATGCAATTAGTGAAGGAGTATCACTCTGATCTGGTGCAATCTACACACCTGCACTTAGCTGCACAGCTAGAGCAGGAGAGTAACTATCATGATGCAGAAAAACACTACATAGCTGCTGATGACTGGAAAGCTGCCGTCAACATGTATCGTGGTGTGGACATGTGGGAAGAAGCATATAGAGTAAGTACTCTTTGATTGCTTGTTTTATTTAATTATTTCTTATACTCTACATTGGTCCTGTAGCACTGTGGTCTACATGTTTTGCTCACAACCAGGAGACCTCGGTTCAATTCCCGAGCAGGACAGAAACAGTTGGGGAACATTTCCTTTCACCTGATGCCTCTATTCTCATAGCAGGGAAATATGTACTTAGAAGTTAGACAATTGTTGTGAATTTCCTCCTGAGGAAGGTCAGTAGTTGACCTAGAGGGAGAAGAGGAGAACCTTGATAAGCCTAAGTACAGATTGCCTCTCCCTTACAACAGGAATTATTATAACTTAATACATGTCATTTTGTCTCATTTGGTAACTTTAATTACTGAGAACTATCATATTCAGCTATATTCTAAAGCATCTTTAAGGATCTCGGTATTCATTCCATTAATGTTGAGTGAGGTGATGAGATTTATTAATCTTGAGTGTACTTGAACTTACTTGATGTTCTTGAAACAGGTAGCAAAAAAAGAGGGAGGTGCCAATCCAGGAAAGCAAGTAGCATTCATGTGGGCAAGAACACTTAGAGGTGATGCTGCTGTCAAACTCCTTAGTAAATTTGGTTTATTGGAGCAGTGTATTGATTATGCTTGTGAAAGTGGCCAGGTCAGTATCTCATATCTTTTTGTTATTAATTTGTATTAATTTTTTCTCTAACCTCTTTATTATTATTTTTTGTTTTTAGCATTGATGAATGAAAGCTAATCTGCATTGTTTCAGCCTTTCTCACACTTTAAGTCAAATATCACTTTCTTAGAATTGTGGCATTATGATAACGCTACCAGTTTTCAAGCTAGAAAATATAGATACTTTACTGCCTGCATAGAATCATTCAAGTATTGAAACTACTGTACTGTACTGGGACGACCTCAAAGCACTCAAATTGTACTTCTGCAACAGAAACAAGAGACATCTTGTGATATGCACTTGGAAATTACTGAAAGGTCAGGTTTCAAACTTGTTCAATAAAATTACAACATACAGTACTGATGTGCAAAATATTGTAGCAAGTGTAAAATGAAGTCAATGAAAAGAAGAGGTGTCATAGAGAAACTGTGTGAACATCAGATGGCTAAGACTTAAATTTCCTACCAGCAAACATAAGGAATACTGCCTTAGAAGCCTCCGGGTCTCACCCAGAAAATGGCGTTTCATTACATTAAACGCTGATTTTTTTGACTTTCCCTGTAAGAACTCAGCTTATCCATTGTCTAGCATATCTGGCAGAGGTCCTTTCCATGCAATTTGGATAAGTGAGCTTAGGCAGTACATTTTTTTTTTTTTTTTTTTTTTTTTTTTTTTTTTTTTTTTTGAGATATATACAAGAGTTGTTACATTCTTGTACAGCCACTAGTACGCGTAGCGTTTCGGGCAAGTCCTTAATCCTATGGTCCCTGAAATACGATCCCCTGCCGCGAAGAATCGTTTTTTCATCCAAGTACTACACATAAGGGGCATAACTGGCAAACCCCTCACAGTGTTCAAGAGAGAACTGGATAAGCACCTCCAAAGGATACCTGATCAACCAGGCTGTGACTCATACGTCAGGCTGCGAGCAGCCGCGTCTAACAGCCTGGTTGATCAGTCCAGCAACCAGGAGGCCTGGTCGACGACCGGGCCGCGGGGACACTAAGCCCCGGAAGCACCTCAAGGTAGCCTCAAGGTAAGTACACATTTTACTGTTGCGTTAAACAGAGGCTACAGTTAAGGATTTGCGCCCAGTAAATCCTCTCCGGCCAGGATACGAACCCATGACATAGCGCTCGCGGAACGCCAGGCGAGTGTCTTACCACTACACCACGGAGACTGTATCTATTTAGAAAATTACCTTCACATTCCAATTAGACTTAATGTTTTATTAGATGCTGAAATCAAATACTGTACTGTGCTTAGTTTCCATTGTTTCATAAATTATTATAATATTGTATTATAATTTTTTAATGTAAGTATAGTGAGTTTAATATTCTTTATATTTTCTAATTATAATAATACTAAAAAAATAGAGGATTGGTACACATTTATTTTTTATAAAGCGACTAATTACACATGTCACTCAGATGGTTTCTTAATGCTGCTATTGATTATAATTTAATTATTTTTAAATTTATACCGTATATGCCGGCATATATGTTGACATTGAAGCCTAAAAACCTTATGCGTTAAATATTTGTTAAGCTACCATATATTTATGAGATACCATAATTTTTCTTTTCATATTCCATCCAGCAGGGCAGGGGAAGAGGTACAGTACTGCCATATTTTGAGAGGGGTCGTTTTATGTGGCAAATATCGGCTTGAACCTGAATTACACCTCAAAATTTTTGGGGTCGACCTATGTGCCGGATCGACTTGTATGCTGGCATATCCAGTATTTGGTGTGTTTTGTGTAAATTATAATATAATTTTTTCTCAACAGTTTGAATTTGCCTTTGAACTGGCTCGAATAGCAATGAAAAATAAAGTACCAGACATTCACTATAAGTATGCCATGGCACTAGAGGATGATGGCAAGTATCCGGAGGCAGAATCAGAGTTTATTCAAGCAGGCAAACCGAAGGAAGCTGTATTGATGTACGTATGCTAAGCTGATTGATATTTGCAAGTACAATACAGTATATAGAGTTTGGTATGCTTATGTATGTAGAAAGACACCAGAGTAGGAGTAATCTTTATTAACCCCTGGCCTGCTGTGTCTTGTGTGTGTAATTACCTAAGTGTAGTTACAGGATGAGAACTATGCTAGTGGTGTCTCGTCTTCCCAGTACTCTTCGTCATATAACGCTTTGAAATTACTGATGGTTTTGGCCGCCACCACTTTCTCACCTAACTTGTTCCAACTGTCTACTATTCTGTTTGCGAAAGTGAATTTTTTTATATTTTTTCGGCATCAGTGTTTAGTTAGGTTAAGTAACCATATAGGCAACCATACCAATAATAAGAGGGATTATAGCAAGAGCTATGAAGATAGATCATGACTGTTGGTAGCCGATGCCTTCAACTTGAAATCTATAGACTGGGAGGCATATGAAGCCAGAACAGAGGATTTTGGACTTGTAGATTCGTAAATCTCATCCAGGAAACATTCATGTTTCAACATTGTGACGGTAACATTGATGGTGGTGCAGTCTGTAATGCCAGTCACAAAATATTTAAAAACAAAAAAGAACAAAAATTAAACTGCAAAAGGTGTCTTCACAGCGTGGTAAACTGTAGGATAAAGCAGAGGGAAAAAACATTTAAAAATACTTTACTTTAAAAATAAACAAATTACAAAAAATATCCAGGCTTGGCTTTAATACAAAATGTGCAAAACAAACAAGATGAATAATCAAATTTACATTACGTTAAGGTGCAAAATAATATATGGTGCGGAGCACTGTGAGTCAAACTAAATAGCTCTATTACCACACCGAGATGTGTCAACAGGTCTAACCAGCGAGAGCACTCAGGAGTAATCTGAAACTTGGAGAGCTTGGTAGCCCTATTTATACAGAATATTGGCCAGCCAGAGGGCGTTGATAGTCTCCTTTAACTAGGAACCGGCTGCTTTAACTGCTTGTTTGGAAGGGCGTGGCCTCACAGTGACCCAGGTGCGAGGTGGGGTGACGGGCCCTGGTAGAGGAGGGAGACTGGTGCTATTGTCTAGCCGTCTGGAAGTAGTTGTAGTTGTTGTTCTTCTTGTCTGCAGTTCTTGATTACATAGACGTGAATGAGTAGAATAGGCGATAAGGGAGTAGGCCGAATCTCTTCCTAGAGATTTTGAGAAGAGAGATCTTCCTAGGTGACAACATGTTAAACAAGCTACAAGGTTGAGGGAATGCGAAGTTCCCTCCATGCTGGATTTGATATTTACCAGAAAAGAGGAGAGATTTGACATTCAGTACCTCCCTCCCTTGGGTAAAAGTGACCATGTCTTTTTGGGAATAAAGTATGCAATGTGTTATAATCTGGAAGATAATAAGGAGGTTGAAGCAGTTGAAAAACCTGATTTCAGGAGAGGACATTGTGGGGAACTTAGACATTTCTTTAAGGAATTTGACTGGAAAGACTTGCTGTTAGGACTTGAAGTAAATGAGATGTATGCCAAATTTTGCAAAATATACGATAAATGCACAGAAATATTCACACCAAAACAGAAATGCAGACCTAGGAAACAGGATTGGTTCAAAAGAAATTGCGAGGGACAGAGACCGAAAGACACAAAAATGGAATCAATATAGGAAGAGGCCAAACCCCCAAACATACCAGCCATACATTGATGCAAGAAACAACTGCATGGCAGTGAGGAGAGGCAGAAAGAGATTTTGAAAAAGGGATAGCGGACAAATGTAAAACAGAACCAGGCCCTGTTCTAGAAATTCATAAACTACAAATTACAGGTAAAAAATAATTTTCAGAGGTTGAAAATGGGAAACAGATCCTTGGAAATTTCAAGAACAAGAGGTCATAGTTTTAAACTAACTAACCAAAGCTGCTGAAGAAATATATAAAAATTCACTTTTGCAAACAGTGGTAGAAGGTTGGAACAAGTTCAATGGTGGTACAGGCCAAAACCCTCAGTAATTTTGAAGCATTATGTGACAGAGTGCTGGGAAGACAGGACACCACATGAATAGCTCTCATCCTGTAACTACACTTAGGTAATTACACTTAGGTAATCACAGTGGTACCTCCTCCACTTACGAATTTAATCCGTTCCCAGAGACGGGTCATAACTCAAAACTAATTTTCCCATAAGAAATAATGTAAATTGAATTAACACTATCGCCGGCGACACGCACGCACTGCAGACTTTGACATCATGGGGCCACTGGTGCGGGCGAGCGTGCGGCGACGCCTAAATGTGTATACTCGTTTCAGTTTTCTTACCTTAATTCTTGTGCTACGTCGTTCGTTTTGGTATCATTGTGTTTGCAACTAAATTCCCTGTAGATGTATATGCATATAATGTCCAAAAGCCTGGGGAGACTCCCCGCAGCAAAGCCTAAAGTCGAAAAAGTTACAGTGAGAGCACAAAATCAGTAAAATGTGTATACTCGTTTCAGTTTTCTCACCTAAATTCTCGTGCTACGTCGTCCGTTTTGGTATCATTGTGTTCGCAATTAAATTCCCAGCAGATGTATATGCATATAATGTCCAAAAGCCTGACGAGATTCCCTGCAACAAACCCTCTAGTTACCTGTGAACAAGCACCAATTTGCACACCGCAGCCTAATGTGTATACTCGTTCAGTTTGATAACATCAATTTTCATGTTACATCTCTCCTTTTGGTATCAAATTGTTCGCCATATGAAGGCGCGCATTTTAAAACTAGCATAATAAATAGAATTTTAACAAATATTTTAAAATCTAAAATTTAGACCCAAAAAGTATTTATAATCCTTCAAGTGTTCTTACTTCAAGTTTCATGTTACATCTTTCATTTTGGTATCAAATTCTGCGCATTCTAAAGGCGCTTATTTTGAAACTATCCCGAGGTCAATCGGATAAAAAATTAATTTTATACAAATATTTGTAGTGGACACAAGACCTGTCCTCGGCTAGGACTCGAGAGAAAAAAATGGACGCGAGTCATGTCCAAAGAGAATGATAGTGTTAATCTGTTCCACACCCCTAAAAATATTAACTTAAAAGTACATTTTATACTGAATACCAATCTTTTTGTACTAGCTAAAATACAGTATGTATATCTTACTGATGTTACCAATGACGATGTACTTTATCTTATGGTATTTGTAACATTGTTCTTATATTTGTTCATATATGTAAATATTCCTTTAGAACCTTCTATTATGAACAATTTGATACCAAATTGAATGACATAGCACTAAAATTGAGGTGAGAAAGCTGAAAAGAGTATAAACATTGGAGTGTGGTAGTGAGCTCACGGGCAGCACTCGGCCTTCCTTGCAGTCCAAGGAGAGCCGCCTGCCAGGCCAGCGAAAGTGTTAAGTGAGGTAGTAGTTGTCGGGGTTCCTCGGTGAGCAACAGTACACTCAAGGTCACTCACCGTAGCCCAGCGGGTCTTCACTCTATCCTCGTGGCGCCACTGTACGCCAGGAGAGTATCCCAGTCAATCCCAACCGGCCTCTGATCAAGAAGGAGTGGGAACACAACTTGTTCACTTAACTATTGTGTGCCCGCCCCGTCATGGGCTCTACTACTAACCACAAGGTCGCCAACTGGTGTTTTCGGTGTCCAGTAACACGTCAGTGGTTTTGTTGAATTGTGGTAACAGTGGCAAGAACACACTCAATATGTCTGATATCAGGCAGGTATTTACTTCTATCGCTCTCTGCTTTCAGGTATTATATAGCCACAAGAAATATGGAGGGGATGATATAAACACCAATGTACTTTGTATTTTACTTAAAACTCATTCAAAGACATCACAAGATTATATCAATAAGCAAACAGCTGTTTCAGGCGGGAGACGCTCGTTCCCACATATAATATGAACTCGCCAAGCTGGCAATGCTCCCCCTCACGTCACTGTCAAAATCAGCTGGGCGACTCCCCCCGCGCGAATGCTTATTGCTTGTTTCCCTGACGTCACGCGCTCTGTTTCTTTAACTTCTCAAAGATCACTAGAAGTTCGAACACACAATATTTGCGACAAAAGCACGTAAATACTTCGCTACACTGATCTTGGGCCCAATCAAACATTTCTATATTAAAGGTGACAATGATTCACCGTCATGGTATTACACGCTGCCCTTCATTTAATGATAACGTATGCAAGTATATATCACGGGAGTTCTCAGTAATTCCTTTCGTGGGCGATAACACAATTAATCACTGCACACATGAATGATTATTCAATACACGAGCATAGACATATATATATATATGGATGAGTCAGACATCAATAATGGTAATAACATAGTTACTGGGCACATAGCCTAACTCCAAACACTGGCACAATTATATATATATTCTCTCACTAAATGATCTCATTAAAGTCTCATGAAAGACATTCTCAACACAGTAAATTCATCAATTACTCCGGGTGCCTGCATACACCAATAATAATCATAAATATCGTGAGTACTCTTTATAGTACCACTGCACACTGGTGCCTTACTGTGACATAGGTGAGCCTTGCTCACGACATACAAAATACTCAGGCTAAATAATATAGCTGACTAAAGGGGAATTGGGAGGGAAACTAGTATCACCTACTTCCACCTATCCTCCGGTGAGAGTTGAGTTGTAGCTCCTGGTCCTGGCTCCTGCCTCGTGTAGGGAACGCCCCCACACACACACTGTCGTGTCCTCCAGGAACTCAATCAACGTCCCACCGTAAGCGCGTCGTCTCCGTGCCTTTTCACTGCAGGTCCGTGCTCCTCCTCGACTTCTTGTAGGGTTGGAGTCGGTCTCCCGGCCGTCGACTTCTCCTCCCAGCTACGGCTGCCCGCCTACGTCTCGGCTGCAGTCGTTCGGATTCCCGAATAGTTTTCTTCTTCCTCTGCTTCCCTGTGGCTCGGTCCAGCCACTACGCCGTCACAAACGGGTGAACTGCCTCAGACGTCGCATACGTCACTGCACAGACTTCACTTCTTCTTGCACAGTACCTGTCCTGGAGCACTTGTTGCTCAATATCCCGTCGATTCCCTCTCTGGTCCAACACATGAACGAAGGAAGACCTTACAGAGTACTGGCAGACTTCGGGTGACGCGTAAAATTCACGGGAACGGGAAACAACTGTCAAACTGACAGGACCAATCTTCGCACGTCCAACCACCTTGACGTGTCGTGTCAGACTGCTTCCCTCACGGAGGATTGGCTCATCCACTACGTCATCACTGTGGAGCTATCAGCCGTCGCATACGTCGCTGCCTAGACTCCACTCCTGCACAACACCTGTTCCTGGAGCACTTGTTGCTCAATATCCCGTCAATTCCTTCTTCGGTTCAACACATGAACGAAGGAAGGCCCCACAGGTGTTGGCAGACCACGGGTGATGCGTAAGTCCTCCGGAGACGGGGTAAACTGTCCAACTGACAGGACCCCCCAGCGCACGTCCGACCTCCTTGACGTGCTGTCTTAGACTGATGGCGCCAGCGCGGCGTGCTGACCGGACCCCCCTTCCTTCGTGACGTCATATTCGCCACGGGAGGTTTTCATTGGCTCCCTGTGCCACGTCGCTGTCGGCGACCAATCTGGTGTCACTGACGTCACACAGTTTTGGCGGGAAAACAGAAGAGCCAGCGCCATATTGGCTTCCTAAAGGGCCTAAACCACAGCCCAAAATACTCTTCTTTTATAAATTTCTCGGCACTCCGAGAACACTCCACTCTCCCACATATATCAAATTGATGCCTGCGACCTAGAGAACGCTCGGGTAAAGTGGACATGACTCTTACTGCAGGCGTGGGAGAAATATAAGGGGGGGAACACCGTCACATAGTGGACGCCAAAACCGTCAATCGTTTCAAAGCGTTATATGACAGAGTACTGGGAAGACAGGACACCACAGGCATAGCTCTCATCCTGTAACTACACTTAGGCAATTACAAGAGTATGGTGACATAGGACTTGTCTTTTCATGATCTCTAATATATTCCATTCCTGCTAAGAAAAACTCCATTCTTCAAAGAAATAGGGTAAAGATTATAATTATTACCATATCAAACCTAAACATGCTCTTTATTAAAAGTTGTATTCATAATAAGTATCAGCATTACAATTATTAACCTCTTTCTCCCTTCAGGTATGTTCATGCTCAGGACTGGGAGAGTGCACAGAGAGTGGCAGAGGCACATGACCCAGATTCTGTTGGAGACGTACTTGTGGGCCAGGCCAAGGTAGCTTTTACAGACAGGGATTATCCAAGGGCAGAGGCACTTCTGTTACGTGCTCAGAGGCCAGAACTTGCAGTCAAATTTTACAGGGTAAGTGTGTAAACTGAGTGACTTACAGATGACAAGTACAAATTAGGATTCAATAAGGATTGACTATGTTTACTAATAAAATAAACTTCAACAGTTCAATAAGCAGAAAAATGTGGCCATGGCTTAAGTGTAGGTGGAGAGTGCTCAAGGAAGAAGGGCATCAGCAATGTTCCAAATGCTGAAATGCAACGCAGTTGTGATGAGTCCAGTACCCAGGTGGACTACCTTGAACATGTCCCATGCCCCAAAAAAAAACCCAAACACCAAGGAAATGGAGCAAGATTTTGACATGCAAGGGAGCAAGTTAAAAACCAGAAGACCCAGAAGGATATCAGGAAACCAATGAGTAGGAGAACCTACTGTAGGAACCCAAAACCAAGGGTCCAAAGCCATAGTAAGTGGCTTTTGAGGACCACACCAGAATAGTGTATTTCATTATATTCAAAGAATTATATTTTTTCTTGTACAGAGTTTGGTCTTGAGATGATTGAAAAGTGGGATGGTGCCTGGATAAACTAAATTTTGGGTCCCATAGTGTCCACAGCATTTTGGTCAAGGTGAAAGCTAACTAAAGAACTTCAATACATTGCAGTACTGTACAAATAGATAACATAGTAGTACAGGCATACCTCAGTTTAAGAGTTTAATTGGTTCCTGGAGACGCCTCGTATTCCGAAAACTCGCATTCCGAAGCTAATTTCCCCATAAGAAATAAAGGGAAATTAATTAATCCGTTCCTGACTACCCCAAAAACCCCACATCAAACTAAATTTTTATACCTAATTCATCTAAATAAACCTACAAAACTATGTTCAAGTTATTACTTACCTTGCTGTTGAATGCTGTAGGTGTATGGAAGATGGTGAGGAGGTGGGAGGAAGAGAGGAGTTACTGTTTGGAAGGGGAGTCCCTTTCCATTATCACATCAGGCAGTGAGGACTTCACTGGTATGCACACTGGCACATTTTGCCTGCATACCACTAGGACTTGCTTGTTTTACTAAGAATTTGTCTAATGACACTTGTTTTTCCCTACATTTTAGCACTTGTCTGTAGTAAGACATCACATTATCATTTAAAAGGTCAATGCAACGGACTGCTACAGCTTTATCTGGGTGAGTTTTTTCAACAAAACTTTGCAGTTCTTCCCATACTTCACACATTTTCTTAATCAAGAAGGGACATCCTCTACTGCCTCTACTCTCAGTTATTTTCTTGGGTTGAACCTTACCAATGGCTTTCTTGAGACCCGTGGCAAGATATATAATGACAACTTTTATGCTCAAATGGCCAAAAAAACGATAAAAAACTGTAAATCCTTGTGAAGAATTCAGGTGGGATAGTCACTGGACACAAGACACTGGTAAACTGAGGCGCGATCGCCATGCCACCACGCGCCAGTCGGCCTGTACACGTATCAACAAACTCGCGTCCCGAGGTAACCCTCGCCTTCCGAGACATATTTTTGGCGTAAATCCTGCTCGTCTTCCGAAAAACTCGCATACAGGGACACTCGCATTCCGAGGTACCACTGTAATATAAATAATAGCATTAACAGTGACAATGTCTCAGAATATAATTTGAAGACATTATTATTTAGGAATCTATACTTAATACAGTATGTGTATACTGCGTGTTTATTTTATTGTACAGTACTATATTTGGTGCCAGTGACCTCACCATCAAGCAATCAATCTATAAAATAAAATTCCAAAACATTCGAAAGTCACTGCTGTATTATATTTTTCCTTTACAGGACAGCAACCAATGGACTGAGGCATTGAGAGTGTGCAAAGAATACCTTCCACATAAGCTTAGTGCACTTCAGGATGAATATGATCGAAATGTTCTTAGTCGAGGATCACAAGATTCACAAGCTCTCATGAATCAGGCACGCCAGTGGGAGGAATCTGGAGAATATTCTCGAGCAGTTGATTGTTATATGAAGGTTGGTATCCATCAGTATTTTCTGGGGGTGGGGGGGGGAGCCCCTTCGGCTCCCCGGAGCTATCCAGGCTGATATGTATATTATTAGATATTGGCATCAGTCAGTGTTAATGGATTTCAAGGCCTACTGGGAGCCATGAGCAAGAACCTGGCCCCCTCAGAGAGGCACGAGGAGCAATGGCCTATAGAAGTGCACATGTGTTTGGAGCATTCTATGTCTGCCATCGACCAGGCCAGGCACCCAGAAAGGTAAGTGCATAAGGTTGGTCAGGCTGGGGTTGCATCATGTGTTATGTCCGGTTGTGGCTCTCCGCTGTTATTTGTGCGCCATGGCCTCTGTGACCGGGGACCCGCTTTGGGTTACTCCGGTTTTCTTTCTTCCCTGTTCTTGGGTTTGGGTCTCTCAAGTTGTCCACAGGGTTATTCTGTCTCTAGCCAGCCTGTGGTCTATCCCCGTGCCCATGACGTTCGTAAGTTTGCTGCATTGACTGCCGTCTTTGGTAACATGTCCTGGGCTGACATTTGGGCATGGAGATTTTGGCGGTCGAACAGGGTCCTGGCTTCACGCTACCTCGTAAATGTTCCTAGACCTAGTCAGACCTGTATCGCTTTGGGTCGGCGGTTGCAGCCTGTTGTCTCGACTTCCAGTTTACGTGTGATCACCGACCACCTTTTCATTTGCTCATTTTCATATGGGGAATTCTGTCCACTCGTTTGGCCATTTTAGTCGTTTTAACCAGAATAGGGGTTTGTTTTGAGGCAATAACCTTTCTGGATGCCTGGCCCATTCGATGGCAGACATAGAATGCTCTAAATCCCATGTGCATTTCTATAGGCCATTGCTCGTCGTGCCTCTCTGAGGGGGGCCAGGTTCTGGCTTGTGGTTCCCAGTAGGCCTGGAACTCCATTCACAATGATGCCAAAGTCTACTGATATACATATATTAGCCTGGATAGCTCCTAGGAGCCTCCGGGTCTATACCAGAAAATGGCATTTCACTACATTCAACACCTGGTGTTTTAATAGAATTGAGTAGACTGTCCTAGTATTTTTCTCTTTTCATCCTTGTATCAAAATCATAGTAATGTTTATAACAATAAATACATAAAATATTCTTAATTATATATGCAGTATTAAATAGAAAATTTAAAATAATTCATGGTTGATTTAGGTGACCCCAAGTATGACCAGTGATGCAGCATTATTGGAAAAGGCATGGAGCAAAGCTGGAGAATTAGCTGTCAAGTTTCTCTCTGCTGAGAAAGCTGATGAGATATCCCATATTCTTGGTTAGTAAATGTTTTTATGTTTGAAATTTATCTTCATTGTGTTTAACATAGTCATAGCTTTATTAATTCTAACCCTTTAATTAAACTGCTCTGGGCTATATGGGCTTCAACACCCACAGGTGCAACAAAAAAACAATTCAACAAAATATGTTTTTATAAAAGTGTTTATTTGTGTTCCCTGATCTTGGTAAAAATAATAAAAAATTGTACGTGTTATATTTGGCCGCAGTAGGGCAGGGAAATCGCAAAAAAAGTGTCAATCATCGCTATACTCTAAAGTATTATGGTCATATTAGTGATTCAATTATTATGTTCATAAAACATTAAACAAATAGCTTTGCTGTTTTTACACAATATACACAGGTTATATATAAGTTTCTGCATGTTTTGTTCACCATAACTGTACAAATAAGCTGGTATGGTTAGTTCAGACTGACAGAGGTCACCACACACAGCTGATGCTCCCTCCTTCCCTCCCTTCCTCCCTCACTGGTTCAAGGCCAGATGCACTAACATTCCTCCTTTAAGTATACTGTGTGTGGTGCTATTACACTATATACACACATTATATATAAGTATCTACATGTTTTGTTTACCATAGCTGTACAACTAAGCTGGTATGGTGCCCAAAGAGCATAGTGGCCACCTTTAAACAGCATGACAAGTCATGCAGATGACCCCACCTCCCTCACCAAAATGGCTTCTCCCAACATACTCCTTTTGCTGTTATTACACTATATATACACATGTTATATATAAGTATCTACATTTGTGTTCACCGTAGCAAACCACTAAGCTGGTATGGTGAGTGCAGACAGTAACAGGTGGCCGCAAAGATTCGGCAGACAAAGCTACAGCCCTCATTTCCTCAACATTACTCCTCCAACAATACCACACACAGCCCAAATTATCACAACAATCCTGCTATTATCAGAATCCTGGTAATTTTTTCAGTCAGGGGTCTTCTATAATACTATCATCGTAAAATAATACCAGTTACATACATTTCTGGGGGGAGCCCCATCAGCTCCCCGGAGCTATCCAGGCTGAATGGATATGTATAACTTTCTGGCATCAGTCAAAGTGCTTGGAGTTCTTGCCTACCAGGAACCACGAGCCAGAACCTGGCCCCCCTCAGAGAGGCGCATGGAGCAATGGCCTATAGAACCTCCCCCCCCCCCCCGTGGTTGGGGTTCTGGATTTTTTGTGTGAAGCGATCTTCCAGTTCTTTTCTCGGCTTACAAGTGTGGGGCAGCTCTAGCGCCTCCTCTGCCTCTGTATTACATGCACCTCGTCTTCTTCTACTGGGCACCCATCTCTGGACATTCTGCACAAGGGATGCTCCTGTTACATTGCAAGGCTCAGCTGTGTCAACACACGGTAGTGTGTCTGTTCTGCAGGTGAGGTTGTACTGTCTGGCGACTGTTGGCCAGATGTTGGTTCTTGCTTTTTGGTGGAGTGTTAGGTATTGTGTGTTTTGCATGGACACTTTGCGTGTGTCTTACAATGACTTGACTTTGTCCATGTATCTTATTCTTAGTTGTACTGTGGGGTACAACCCCGAATTTCGGTGCTTTTTGTTTAGTTTTTTGGCGCCTGGGTCTTTTCTCAATATTTGGACACTCCTTCGTTCCCTCGGTTCGTGCTTTCTGTGTCCTCATTCATTGACTCAGTCTCTATTCTCTGGACACTCCTTCCTTGCCTATCTTCAGTGCCTGGCTGCACCTTTATATCCATGGTGTCCCTCTGTGTATGTGCGACCAACCACAACACACAATGTGGTTAGTCGTGTACATTGCATTACCAGCTGCTACTTGGACCGTATTTCGGGTCTTTTCCATGCCTATTTCCGTTTTTCCTCCTCCTGTGCTACACATAGTTGTGTATCTTGGTCGGTGCTTATTGGTTATACTGATGTTAGGTGCTGGGGGTGGGCCTCTGTCCATGTTCAGTTCCCTGATTTTGGACTACCCCAGTGTTCAGTTTTGGTACTGGGTTCTTTCACTTTTTCTTTGTCTCACTGCAGGCTTCTGTGTTGCAATATCTGCAGGTGGTTGTGGACTTCCGGGCACCCGCTTCTGCCCTACTGGTTGCTTTTCTTGGGACAGGGGTAGCTAGGATTCCAGTCCTGGCTATGGCTTTTCTTTGTTCCTTTTCCGGAACGTACATTTTTGTTTTCCTGTGGTACACGTCCTCTGTAGTTCTCCTCATGTATACTTCGGAGACGCGTGCGTCATTCTTCCCTGCTAGAGCTGGTTGCGCTGTTCCTTCAGGTTGCAGGGTCTGTTTTCACTTCGCGTCTCGCGCTTTGGCTGGTGGTGCTTGTTTTCTTCGCTGGCCTCTGCCTGGGCCCTGGCTCTTCGGTGTTTGGCCTTGTTGGTCCTTTAGGGGTCCTTGGGGGGGGGGGGGTCCTCCCGGACGGAACGTGTCTCTTCACCCGGATTGGTTCCTTTCTGGCTCGCCAAGATTGGGTTCCTGGTTCCCTGGCGGCCATTCCTTCTGGTTCTTTGCCAGCCTTAGTTGGTCGCTGCTTTACTTGGTTTCCGATCTTGAGGGTCTTCCCGCGGCTTTGCCTCTTTCTGCGGATCGGTCCAACCCTGTACGAGACTGGTTCATTCTTCCCCCTCGAGTCTTCATGTCTGGGGTTTTTGTCTCGAGTTTCGTGTCGCTTGTGTGGGCACTGGTGGCTTCGTTGTTGGGCTCCCAACTGCATGCTTCGTCTCGGCGGCAGTGTGTAGTTTCCTGGCGGTCCTTTTGTTTTTCCTATCACTGCGAAGGGTTCTTCGGTCTCTGATAGGGTTGTCTTGTCTTTCTCTTCAGGGTTGCTCCGGGATTGTCGTTTAGTGTCATGTACTGTCACCTCGTCTTAGGTGGCGCTGGCAGGGCCGGTCCAGCTTGTGTTCTGTATTGCTGTTCCTTCTGCTCCGTTCCGCTTGCTGTCTTGGGCATTGTTTCACCTTCGGCCTGCTCTTACACTTCCGGTGCCGTCCTGGTCATTGACCTGGGTGGTCTATTTTCTTTCTTCTCCTCAGTTTTCGTGATCCCTTCGTTTTTTTTTTTTGAGGTCTCCTTTTTCTGTTGGCGTTGACCTCTGGGGGTCGGGTCGGGGAATTTCTGGCTCTCCTCTGGCACCCGTGTTTTTTCTGCCTCGTTTGGCCCTAGTGGTAGGTTGTTCATTTGCTGCAATCTCCTTCTTTTCTAATGATTTTTGAGTCTGCTGTTTTCGGAGGGGTCCTTGGGATGTTGCTTGGTTGGTCAGGCCGGGGGCGCTTCATTGTTGTTCGGTTGTGGCTCTTCACTGTTCTCTGCACGTCTTGGCCTCTGGGGCCATGGACACGTTTTGGTTTGCCTGGGTACCCTTCCTTCCCTCCTTCCTGTTCTGGGGTTTGGGCCTCTCGGGGTCATCTGCAGGGTCCTTTATTTTCGTCTGTGGTATTGTTTTTGTGTTAGGGCACGTTGCGTCCGCCTCCTGGATCCTTCCCTTTTCCTTATCTTTGGGGAGGTAGCTCCGGGAAGACGACGGGACTCACCCAGAAAACGAGCGTTGAATCTAATGAAATGCCATTTTCTGGGGAGTCCCGGAGACTCCCCGGCATCCCTCCCTCCCTCCGGTCGGCGGTGTTTTGGTGTTGATGCCTCACTAGGCATCACATTGTGATGCAAAGAATTGCATCAATGTTGCAAAAAAGGGAAAAACAATCTTCAATGGAACGTTTCCTTGAGAGAAAAGTGAGAAAATCAAGCAGTGAGCCACAACTAGGACCTAGTGGTATGTAGGAAAAACGTGCCAGAGAGTGCACTCCAGAAAAATCTTTACTGCCTGATGTTATAATGGAAGGGGACTCCCCTTCCAAACAGTAACACCTCTTCTCCTCCCCCTCCTCACCATCTTCCATACACCAACAGGAGTCATCAGCAAGGGTAAGTAATAACTTGAACATACTTTTGAAGTGTAGATTTGGATGAATTATGTATAAAATTTAATTTGAAGTGAGGTTTTTGGGTAGTCAGGAATGGATTAATTCATTTCCCATTATTTCTTATGGGGAAATTAGCTTCGGTTTACGAGCTGTCTCCAGGAACGGATTGAACTCTTAAACCGATGTACCCCTGTAGTTACATATCAGCTTGGATAGCTCCATGAAGCCTCCGGGTCTCACCCAGAAAATGGTGTTTCATTACATTCAAGGGTGGGTTTTTCTTTCTTCTAATTTTGGTATACTGTATTTAATGCCTCTAACCTCTCTACGTACCTCTTATTCTTCATTTTCGGAAGCCATTTAGTTGCGTGTCTTTGCACCTTTTCTAGTTTACTAATGTACTTCTTAAGATACGGGCACCATTATCATGTGTGTGTGTTTTAATACTACTTGCATTTATACTTTGTTATCCTTCTATTCCTCTTGCCAGGTCCACGCCTTTTGGAAATCAAGCGTTATTCAGCTGCTGCTCAGTTGTTCCTTGCTGGTGATCAAATTAAGGAAGCCATAGATGCATTCATCATGGGACAGGAATGGGGTAAAGCAAAGAAAGTTGCAAAAGAGTTGGATCCTCGGTAGGTGTTGCATATTATCCTATTTATTCGCTGTCATTAATTCAAAACCCTCCGAGTTAATTTTATAAGTAGCAATATCATTATCTCTTAATTAAAACAGTAGGTTGATCAGACCACACACTAGAAGGTGAAAGGACGACAACGTTTCGGTCCGTCCTGGACCATTCTCAAGTTGATTCTTAAAACAGTAGTATTCAATTCCCATTATTGAGTGGGAAGAGGCAGTGATAAGTTTCTTCTTTGATTTAAGCTAATTTACAGATTATAATTACAGTATAATCATATTCCTATTGTCTTGTCAGAAAGATATATCGTTTATAAATAGTTGTGTAGATAAGGAAGATGTGCATTTCTAGTTAAACTGATTGGGAGCGGTGACTCCAGAACCAAGAATGGCTTGTTAGCAGTACCCTGTGTTATAGTGGTTAGCATACTCGCCTCACAAACAATCATTCATCCCTGTGTACCCAGCATGAATTGAGGACTTCGATGTAAGTAACCTGTTGCTCTTCCTAATCTACATGAATGACCTACCCAAGGCCGTTAGCTTATACATGTCAGTGTTTGCAGACAATGTAAACCCAGAGTAAAAAATGAGAACTCTTTAAGAGTGCTGCAGGAAGGCCTTGACAAATTTCAGGAATATAAAATGGAGGAAGATGACATGAGACCAGAAGGAAACTACATCATAAAGGAAAGGACTCAAAAAGATAAATTTTTTTAAATGTATCTGTTTGCATCTGCATAAAATCACAACCTTCCTAAGCATATAACTCTGTTCAACTATTGTGATACATTTGTAATGGAGGCTTTGCATCTTAATTGGAACAAGTATGAGACAGTTTATCCATTTCACTCCAAATGCTTTCCTAGAGGCGATTTGTAGGCCATGTCAATTTCCTTGCTTCCATCCTCATAGCCAGTTTAATCGCTGCACTGCGACACCCGACAAAACACTGGGTATGATGGCGGTGCGCCACCCGACTCTTAAGCAATGTTAGGATATCGTAAGATTCAAAACGTTCGCGTGGTAGGTTGGGTATGAGATGGATGCCTGGGACCTCCAGTGAGAGGCAGCCATCTTGAAAAAAAATTCACAGCATGCCCTAGGGCTACTGGTGGGTACAGTTCTGAATGAGCACCCATGGGTGGTGCACACGCCTCTGGCTCCTAATTTCCTGTCGGACATGTTAAAATATCACTCTCTGACGGTGATATTCAGACCTTATAGTTTGAAGAAGATAAGGGTAGTGATATTGATAAATCAAGGCACAATAAAGACCTAACACAAGTGTCAGAGACAAGTGATACAACATGGATGAGAACAATACGAGCGTATCCAGTAGAGGTTGAGCACCAGGCATGCTTGTGACCTCCCAGGCCATCGCACTCCCCATTATCACCACCTCTGTCATCTCCAATTTTTTAATAAAGTGATACTATAGATGAATCGTTTTCTGGGGTTCAGTGATGCTGCTTCTGATACATGTATCGTAGATGAACAGTGTTAGCGGCTTCCTTGGTTGTGTTACTATGCCAGTGGTGGTTGTGCCAGTACAAGGAGCAAGTGTGAATTCACGAGGGAGGACTGATAATTTTGTACCACACAAACCGCAATTTGATGATACTGATGTTGGTGTTGCACCTACTTTCCCATATACAGGTGAAGATATGAGTGAAAGTGAATATTTTATGGCTTATTTTGATGAGCCATTCATGCCATATTTTGTTGATAAAACCAACAGGTGTGCATTGTAACTGCAACTTATTGTACGGGGCTTATTACCTGCTTCACGGATAACATGATGGAAGGACACCACTGTGGCTGAATTGAATGTGTTCTTAGTTCTGTGTTAGCTTATGAAACATTCCATTAAACATGTAATACAAGATTATTGGAACCAATTTTTGTTCTGTTCTAAGCCCAGTGTTCAACAAGTACATGTCATGAGACAGGTTCCTGATATTTCTTTGGTGCCTACACTTTGACAATATTGCAAATGTTGTCAACATTCTAGACTTTGGAAAGTGCAAAAAGTGTTCATCGATATCAGACAAATTTTGAGATTGCTTTGTACCAGGAGAGAATTTTGTCATTGATCTTTTCCTAGATCTTTTCAAGACTTCCTTACACTTCATAAGCTTGGCTACATACCACCTACAGGAACTAAAACCAAAGTTATACGTGAGTGCATTGTTTACAAGCACACAGAACAAAGAAACATGAAGTAAAAATCTCTGTACCTGGTATATCAACCAGGTGCATCAAGTTCAAAGTCACGCTGTGTACCATGGACTGCTTCTTTGATTATCACTCACTTCTGAAGTACTGTGTGTGTAATACAGTGTATGACTGTGTAAACAGTGTGAGTGTACAGTGTGAATAAATTGAATATGGAACAAGTAATAGTGTGACAATAAAAAAGTTTGTGGACTCATTAGTGACACATGTTTCAGAGTTCCTTGAAACATTATGAACGTTTTACTGTGTACATATTGTTAAGGACACAAATGTGCATCATATATAATAAAAAAAAAGTAATTAGAAAGCATTGAAAAAAATAATGAAAATTTATTTGTGGCAACTCGCGAGTTTTGAATCGTCCACTCGACTGCCTCTGGGAGCTTCCTGCCCGAGCGAACACGTATCAGTCATGTCACATTGCATCTTCTCCACGTCGCCACAGCTAAAGTAAGTTGTTTTCTGTTGGGAGCCCCTATGGCTCCCTGGAACTGTCAAGCTAATATGTGATACATTAGACCAGGGCTTTAGTTCTGCCTACCAGGGACCACGAGCCAGAACCTGTGGTTGGGGGGTTTACCTTATCTGCCATCAATTGGGGTTAGGCAAGATAACCTCAAGATAAGCACCCAGAAAGGTAGGTGTAACAAAACAGACCCCCACAAGGTAAGAAAAATGCAAACGAAAGCCGAACAGAGGGACTCAATTCCCAAAGAAACAAACAAACATCGCACCACACCATTGCCTCACTTGTTTGCGAAGCTTCCCCATCCTCCCCTGTGAGTACTACCCTTGCGTGTTAGGGTTTTCTTCCCCTGGTGCATTCGGTAACCAGTTCCTTAGGGGTTTTTGCTGCTCGGCAGGAGGAGAAGGCTTGAATGCCTCTGTCCCCAACCTGAATGGGGGCAATCCTTGAAGCCACCCTAGTCTCATCACCAACTAAACCCCACCCCGACCCCAAAACCCGCAGACGGTTCGGAGCCGGGAACAGGGAGGGAGGGGGTAAGAAGGGCAAACAATGCCTAACCAAAACGGGGCAGCCTCGGGTCATCCGGGTGGGAAACCAACCTAGCGTGATGCAGCAACCTAAACCTAGCATGCAACGCGGATGATGCCTGTATCCTAACAATAATGGCATCTGAATCGTACTGGAAAATAAGCAGAGAACACGACTCGCAAGACTTCGGGTCAAATGTGTCATTGACTCAACTGGCAGCATGATTGAGGCAAAAGTGGTGCCCAAAGTGGTGACTAAAGCACTGGTCTAATGTATCGCATATTAGCCCGATAGCTCCAGGAAGCCTCCGGGGCTCACCCAGAAAATGGCATTTCATTACCTTCAACACTAGTTTTTTATATATATTACATGTACATGTTCAGGGAAGAGTTTTAAACAATTTAAAAAGAAAACAAATTTTTTAACAACACTTTATTTTCCACACACCACCAGAATGTCACAATAAAATCCGCGCAGCACGAAAGTTAAGCTTGATTCTCAGCCCTGCTCTCCAGGTGTCCAAACACAGTTTTTTCCCTCACATCAACTTTCGATGTTATATCAATACTGTTCTCGTACTTCCAGGCTCTCCACTGATCATTGTGTGTGAATTCTATAGGGCTTTTCTGTCATTCTGTTGACTCAAACAATCTTCCAGATATTTCACATGCACCAAAATGTTGACATTTACCAAAGAATTCAATTTGTTGATTTTGGTATTGCTTATGTACAGCACTACTATATGCAACATTTACAATGCCTTATTACCTCCCTGATTTATTTGCAAATTTTGTTTCTCAGATATGAATCCTATGTTGATTCATCATATAAAGACTTCTTGAAAAATGAGGGTAAAGCTGAAGCTCTAGCAGATGTGGACTTAGCCGGGGCTTTAGAAATGTATGTTGAGGCTGGGCAGTGGTCCCGAGCATTGGACACTGCTGCCTCCCATGGCCCACAGTTGTTACATAAATATCTTGCAAAATATGCTACAAGTCTTATCAAGGTAAGTAAAAAGCAAAAGAACGAGTGTAAATATAATCAGAGGGTCCTGGTAGTGCAGTCGGGTTTGTTCTTGACTCACAGTCGAGAATTCCGGGTTGAAAGCTTGTGTGGGATAGAAATGGTTGGGTGCGTTTCCTATTACCTAATGCCTCTGTTCACCTAGCCTAGCGGTAAATTAGGTACCCAGGAGTTACAGCTTGTTGTGGGGTTGCATCCTGGGAAGGGTCAGTAATTCGATCCAGGGGGAGGGGGGACCGCGATATAAGCCTAACATGTACCATATATATAAAATGGCTGCCTGACCCCAACACAATGAATCATTATTATAAACCATGCATATATGTAACCTATTTCTGTGGGGAGCCCTGTCGGCTCTCTGAAGCTATCATACGCTGATCAGTGCCATTAGTCTATTTGCTTACTGGGGACCATGAACCAAACATAGTCCCCTCAGAGAGGCGTGGGGAGCGATGGCCTATGATCACTTTACATTTAAGGGTTATCAGTTTTGCCACCACCTAGGGAAGGCACCCAGAAAATTAGAGGAATCAAAACAAACCACTGCATGGTTAAAAATGTGACTACAGCCCCAAAATAGACACAAGAACTCCCAAACAATGAAAACCAAAATCAAGTAAGTAAGTATCAAAAGAAGGCACCAAACCGGGAACGCTATGTAGCACCATCAAATGTGTGGAATAATCAGAGGGCACTAAATATCACCAAGGATGCCAATACGAGCACAGAAACGCATAAGGCGAACGATATCAAAAGTATCCGATTCACCAAGAATTCTATCAAGGGACAAGCGACGACGGGGGGTCGGTCGGAAAACAAGACACACGCTCGTCCCGGAAGTCAGGACATTCAACAAGGATATGCACGACTGTAAGAGGAACAATGCAATTTGGACAATAAGGAGCAGGGCAGCGCTCCATTAAGTGACTATGAGTTAAGCGAGTATGGCCAATACGCAACCTCGCCAGAACCGTTTCCCATCGCCGGTTACGGTGGTAGGACAGCCACGAGAACACACAACTCTTAAGAGTACGCAGTTTGTTATCAGTAACAGAAGACCAACAAGCCTGCCAACGGGCATTTATGGAGGAATGAATAACTGGGTAAAAGTCGGAATAAGGAATACTTTTACAAGAGATGGCAAACACTTTGTCTGGCCCTCGGGATTTGTTTGGCTTGAGTTTCACTATTTGTTTAATAACATCCTCCTTGGTAACTGCTAAACTAGTCAACTTGTCTTCATCCAAACAAGTCATATAGACTTGTTTTTGTCTTGTAGACAAAAAAAATTTTGATTTTGTTGTGCCTGTGGGTGTTAAAGCCATTTGGACCCCTAGCGGTTTGAGGGTTAAGAGAGTATTCATTTAAATACTTTAGTGATGTGAAAGGGTAGTAACAATTGATAAGGTGAAGATAATGGAAGTTTTTTAAAAGGCAATGGGAGACCAATACAGTAGTGAAAAGATAGTTATGATATATGCTTAGTGTATTTGAAAAAGATGAACTGATAATACAGTACATGCTAATGTGAATAAAGTTAATGATTTAAATTTTAGAGATGAACACAAGTCATTACCATCAACTTTATAACAGTTTTATTAGTATTCTTCCCTAAATAATATTAAATTTAAAGTTTCTAGAAAAGAATGACTATAGGGGGTGTTATGTACTGCAGAATTTAATCATAAGAATATATCTTAGAGCAGCTTTCAGATCTTTTACTTAACCTCAAAATAGTTAGTTGTATATTTAAAATTATATACTGTAGTTTATTTAAGTGTACAGTACTTTAATGCCATGCCATTTTGCAGGATGGTCAAGCTGTTGAAGCCCTGGGTTTGTATAAGCAGTATGGGGCTCCAGCTGTTGCACAGAACTACAACATATACCGACGTTTAACACAAGATTTAATGAGTTTGCATGAATTATGTTCAGCACAGGCTTATCGCACTTGGGCAGATCTGCGAGATCTCCTCTTCTCATTGGTAGAGGACCTGAGGCAACATGAGGATACAGACGGTGTCATGGTAAGTTTTTCCTCTGCTTTCACATTACAATTTATTTATGTCACTGGCATAAATGATCTGATTTAACATGTTCATATCATGGCTAGAGGTGTTCAGGGTTCCCCTGTTACCCCAGCAAGCAACTCATTGCAGTTGCCTTCAAAGTGTGCACTTACCTGGTAGATGTGACTTTTACAAAATATTATTTTTCTTCCCAGCTGCAGTCTGAGTTGGCTAGGCTGCATAAAATGTTTACACTGCTTCTGTGAGACTTGGTTTCTGACTTTTTCTCGTAACACTTCCGCGTCCTCGGCGTGCGCTCCCCAGCCCACCCGAAGGTGGGCCTGGCATTTCCCGTGAGCATGCACCCACACTAAAATGTTTGTACGCTTTTCAGTTTTCTCGCATCAAATTTCATGTTACATCGTTCATTTTGATACTAAATTGTTAGCAATAGAATTTTCTAAAGGGATATACGTACTGTGGTACCTCAGTTTACGAGTGCCCCTTGAACTTTTCGGGTTACGAGCCCAATTTCTCCGGAAAATTTGAACCGGGTTACGAACTTTACCTCAGGATACGAGTTTTTGTTGATACGCATATGGGCGACCTAGCGCATGGTGGCACAGCAGTCATGCCTCAATTTACCAGTGCCTCCCACCTAGTGACTATCCCGCCTGAATTCTTTACAAGGATCTACATTTTTTTTTCTGATTTTTAGCTATTTGAACATATAGTTGTTGTTATATATCTCGACATGGGTCCCAAGAAAACCAGTGGTAAGGTTCAACCTAAGAAAATAGTTGTGTGAAGTATGGGAAGAACTGCAAAGTTTTGTTGAAAAAATTCACCCAGATAAAGCAGTAGCAGTCCGTTGCATTGACCTTTTAAATGACAATGTGATGTCTCACTACAGACAAGTGTTAAAATGTAGGGAAAAACAAGTGTCTTTAGACAGATTCTTAGTAAGACAAGCAAGCAGTGAGCCATAACCAGGTCCTAGTGGTATGCAGGCAAAATGTACAAGAGAGTGCACCCCCAGAGAAATTCTCACTGCCTGAGGTTATAATGGAAGGGGGACTTTCATTTGGAATTTTTAACAAATATTTTAATTTTGGACGCAACATGTGTCCCTGCCAGTCATTCGTAAGAGTTATTTATGGACGCAATATCAGTCCCTTTCTGACGAAAGTGTTAACATTTTAATGTTCTGACCAGTTCAGCTTATGTTACTGTTAAAAGAAAACAAGCATGACTTTCATACTTTTTCAGTAGATAATTTGCAAAGCATAATAAAAATTCTCACAAATAGAGCAATATTGTCTTGAGTGGTAGATTGTTGGCCGAGCTGATCTTTGGATGGTTCCCTGATAAGCAATGCCCATACTGAACTCCAAAAACAGTGTTGAATGTACTGAAACTCCTCTTCCTGGTAGAGTTCTGATGACTCTCTGTAGCTATCTTAGTGAGATTGCTCCATACTACCAGTCACCTCAGTCGCAGGAGTTCTGTTTGGCCTACTGCAGACCAGGGCCAGAATCTGGTCTCCTCTCACAGAGGTGTAGATAGCAAATGACAGAATTTCATTTCACTGTGAAAGCATCCTGAAAATCAGCAAAGCTTTATAAACAACTGCTGGGTTAAAAAAAACTTGAAGCGTCAAAACTTCTGCTAGACATCATCCCAAATGGATCAATCTAGACAAAAGTCCCTCGAGACTAGCTAGATCCCAGTAGTACCGAATGCTGCCATCAGGTGCCCCAGAGCTCAGTTCAATGCCAGCACACATTTCATTTCTGGAGCCCATAAAATATCACAACAAACTGATGACTATGGAAAGGAGGGAAATGGAGCCACAGGAGCTCTACCAGAAAGAAGTATTTCATTCCATTGAATGCTGTTTTTGGGGGGGGGGGAAGACTAGTGGGTATTATGCACATTTGCTGCCGGCTTCTCCTTTTCTAGCAAAGAACAGGTAGGTTGGCTTCTGGAGTTTTTTTTTTGGGGGGGGGGCTATTGTTGCTTGGTTGGCTCAGCCAGGAGTCCATCATCTGTTGTCTGGTAGCAGCTCTCTGTTACTAATTTTCATGCCACTGGTTCTACTTAAATGGATGCCTTGTAAGTTGACCATGTTTTCTTGGTCCCTTGTTCTAAAGCTCATATTTCCCAGGTCGTCCATAGTGGTACAGGTATTCAGTCTGGCCAGTCTGAGGTGTTTGGTGTATTTTCCTGGGCCTCGATGCCTTTGTGTGACCTTGGGTTGTGTCTCTTGGTCAGGGTCTTGTCCTCATCCTGACTCCTGCAGTGCTTCCTCCTCCCTGGTAAGTTCCCATGAGTATCTCCCTCTCCCTGGGTACAGTAGTTAGTTTCAGGGAATAGAATCAGGGAACCCCAATGGTTTCCCGATCACTTCCTTCCCTTCTAGGTCATTGGGTGGATGTCTACATCTGCTCTAGAACTGACAGCTCAGACCCGTGGTGAGATCCAACATGTGGTGAGTTACTGCCTCCATCCAAATAAGTGGGGAAGGTGGGGCAAACGAGCTTGCTTTAGTTCTGAGAGATTACGATCTTTATTTACATAGTTGAGGGAGTTCTTTAGGCATGTTTTAAGGTTTCGGTCTCCTTTTCAATCCAACAGTAATTAATTTGCTTTAACTCAGACTTTCTGATTGACTTCGCCAGTGCGATAGCATAAAATATGTCACTGCTCCCTGCGCATCTATGAGGGGGCCAGATTTTGGCTATTGTCCCCAGTAGGCCTATAGAACTCTTTTAGAATGGAGCAGTCTGAGCAACATAGTTCAGAGAACCACTTGGGCTCTACCAGAAAGAGGCATTTCATTAAATTCAATCCTGGGGTTTTGTTACAATTGAATTGTTGTCATTCATTACAGAAAGAATTTGAGATGCTGTTACTTCAAGCCCATTATCTGGCAGCACGCTCAGCTTACATGGCTACACCACAACTAGAAATATTAGTTGCAAAAGTGTCAGTTTCCTTACTGCGCCACATTGATATTTTACCAGCAGATAAAGCTTTCTATGAAGCAGGAATGGCTTGTAAGGTTAGTGTAATAGTTAAGTGCATGCTTTTGTTTGTGCATTTAAAATAATTGTAATGTAAAGTTTAATTTACTGTATTCCAACTTCTGAAAATACTGCAGTCTAGTCTGACAAAGAAGACATTTTCTTTGGCATCATCAGTATAGCAACTGAGATCATGGCTAAATATTATTAGTCACTGTGAATATTCTGTGTTTCAGGAGGTTGGATGGAAAAACATGGCATTTGTATTCTTAAATCGATTTTTGGACTTGTGTGAAGCCATTGAGGAGGGTTCACTTGACTCACTTGATCATTCTGACTTCTTGGACACTGACATTCCTTATGAGATTCCTCTACCAGAGTCTCTGACCATACCTGAACCACTGAGGGAAGAAGCCAAGGAATGGGTGTTGGCAGTATCAATGGACCAGCAAGTGGAACAGGTACAAAATTATTTTAAGGGTACAAAATTGTAATTAATATACTGTATAAACTACAAACTATTATCTCCTGATTGAATTGCAGTCTAAAATAAATAATAAATGGCTTCTGTGGTAAGTTTGTAAGTTGTTGCAATTTTAAAAAGACAACAAAGATGAAATGCTGCTTTCTGAGCTAGACAGTCTCCTATCCATGAAAAAGGCAGGCTTTCCAAAGTGCAGTCAGGACTGGTCGACATTTTGTCCCAGCACAGCATGGATAATCTTTAATGTTGTTACTGGGTCACAAAAGTTAAGGTAGATTCTGAAGAAGTGTCTATCCAACTAAGGAATGACTTCCAGAAAACTCATTTATTTATACTTGAAAGCTGTCTAAGTGTCACTTAGCATCAAGGAGACTGCCGAGTAGCATTTAGCAAATTACTAGCTGGTTGACCCAGTCACCACCCTTAACTACCACCATATTTTAACACCTACATGGCAATACAGAAGTCAGGCTCTGCCTGCCTAACAAAAATCTAGAAACACAGAAGTTGGAAGCGTCCATATTAGTGGTTCAATTATTATGTTCATAAAACAATAAACAAATAGTTTTGCAGTTATTACACTATATACACACATTATATATAAATATCTACATGTTTTGTTCACAACTAAGCTGATATAGTTAGTTCAGGCACTAAAAGACATCGCTACACACAGTCAGCTCACGGCTGCCTCCCTCACTCATTCAAGGTCTGGCGCACTAAATTTCTCCCCCAACAATACTGTTTGTAGTGTTATTACACTATATACACACACATTATATATAAGTATCTACATGTTGTATGCACCATAACTGTACACCTAAGCTTGTAGGGTGGATAGTGTCCACCCTCTACACAGCTAGACAAATCATGCAGACGACGCCACCTGATGGCTCCTCCCAACATAATCTTTTTGCTGTTATTACACTAATACTCACATTATACATAGGTATCTACATTTGTGTTCACCATAGAGAACCACTGAGCTGGTATGGTGAATGCAGACAATAACAGGTGGCTACACAGTAAACGACGCTAGCTCCCTCCCTCCTACAGCATTACTACTTCCACACAGCGCTAATTATTACAACAATCCTACTATTATCACAATCCTGGTCATTTTTATCACAGTCAGGGATCATCTGTAACATTGTCATTGCTAAATAATAGCAGTTACATATTTATTTTGACATTTTTAGGCGATGCTGTGGTCACAAGCTGAGCAGCAATGCTGTTAGCTCATGCTGCATGCGCCAGCCTTGGATGCTCCAACAGTACTGTGGCTCTCACACCGGAGAATATTGCCCACGATTTTTGTTAAACATGGCGTCTGTTTACAAGAGCCCTGAGGAAGCTGATGCGAACCCCGTGTAGCCGTGGGCCATTTGAATCGTGCCTGGCACCTTATGGCGTATACAGTATATACACCATGCGCACCGTGGGACATGTTACTCATGACGTGTATATACGTATAGGCCATGTGCAGTTTAAGGGTTAAACCCTATTTTTCTAAGAAGAAATATAAGTCATGATTTGATAATAGTGTTGTTCACCAGCTTGATGAACATAGGGCTGACTACTGTGTTGACATTTTTGTGCTGACATGTAGTGGTTGGGGATGGGGAGGAGGGGGTTGCAGCCAGAAGGGCTGGCCAGTGCTAACGATTAGCAGAACAAGTCTTGGCATCTCTTTGATGCTGAGTAGTACTTGGAAAGGTTTTTGAGTACATATAGATGACTGTCCTTTCTGGAGGTCATTTCAGGCTGGATTGAGTCTTCTCCAATGTCTCCTTGCTGCAGTATGATGGCCCAATGGGGATGTTTTAAATGACCCCTTGCTGTGTCAGGGTAAAATATCACTGTCCCAATTGTACATTAGTCTTGACCATGAAAAGAGCAGTTCTTTAGGTAAGGGAGCAAATAAATGATCAGAAAGTATAGTTATAAAAACTATTTCTGTTGTTGGTATCGAGATTTACTGTACTCAAATGAATTTTGCAGGTTCTGCCTACAGATGAGCGCATGGTTTATGAAGCTTCCTTAGTAGGTCCAGACAATACTACCTATTCTCCTTGTGTTATCTCTGGTTATCCAGTTATTCGGAATCATATTGATCTTAAGCGTGGACAAGCAGCCAACAAGGAAGATTGGAATAAACTCATCATGGCGACCAAGATGTCAAATGCCCCTGAATGTCAGGATGTACTTAAGTTTATAACTGCATGGTGTGTTGGGCTTCCCAGCATGGGATACAATTTCCAGTGAATTTATATATTGGGTGATTGCACATGACTAATAACATTTATTATTAAATTAATTTAAAATAGCTGTTAATCTAAAAGTTTCCCAGGAATTAACACACCTTTAGCACTTCACTTTCACTTTTATATATTAAGTTTGTTGCTTTGATTTTCCACACTAGTCATATATGTTAAGTACAGTGTAACACACATTTACTAATTCAAGCAGATTGAAGTAGAACTGGGAAATATACTTTATAACTGTATATGCTTCATACAATAGGTTACATTTTGAAAGGACTCAAAGCCTTCTGAAGTATGCAAGAGGACACGGGATACAACATAGTTGCATGGGATGCATTTTTGGGGTCAAATAAAAAAATGTTTAGAAAAATCATCCACTGTTTTCACAATCTTTGCCTTTGCCCCGTAACCCTGATTTCACAGATCCTAAACTTACTTAGTCGACCGTGTTCTTTGCCTTTGTTTCTCTCGTTATCTCCGTTTCTGTTCTCTCTATGTCTGTCTATTTTTCAATGGAATATTTGTGGTTTTTATGCCAACTTCCATGAACTCCAGCTTCTAATCATGAAGTTTTTACCACTTCTTGGCGAACACAAAGACTTTGTGTTTGTCTCCAGGAGCCGGTGCTCGTCCTAGTCACTTTCATGGTTATTCCTTTCTCTCCACCCCTCCAGCTTTTGCTGGGGCCCATAACTACTGCCCTCTTGATCCGTCACAATATTCCCTTCGTCCTCCTACTTTTTCAGCCGCACATTGTGTTCTGCAACCCTTATCTTTGTGAGTAAATGGTATACAGTTTGTTCCATTTATCTCGTCTCTCCCTCTAATGTCCTACTTTCTCTTCCTGATCTTAAACACCTGTTGGACTCCTTACCAGAGCCTGTGCGCCTTTTAGGTGATTTTTACTGTCGATATTTCCTCTGGGGAGATGTTCTGACAAACATCCAGGGCTGTCTACTCAAACCATTTATCCTCTCCTTCTCTGTCTCTTCTGAATTTTGGTGAACCCACTCATGTTGACTCTCACTCACTCCCTTTCCTGTCTTGATCTTTCTCTCTTTGCTCTTCTCTTTATTTAGACTTCACATGGTATGGTACACTCTGTTCCTCACTCTACCTCCCAGGGCACGCGGAAGTGCATTCCCTGGTGGAATGCAGACTATGCTTGGGCTGTCTGCTGTAAGCGTGCAGCCTGGAAAAAAACACCGACACCCGATTCTTTTGTTTCAGAAGGGAAGTGCGGTGGCCCACAGTGCCATCCACACAGCTAAGCGGGAGTTGGAAATCTTATATCTCCACCATTACCAATGACACTCCTCTGCCCCTGATCTGAAAGAAAATCCATAAGATAGCGGGTAAATTTTTCCCAAATATCTCCCCTGTCCTCCACCTCTGTGGTTCTATTGTGGCAGATCCGGTGTCGGTCGCGACCGAACTAGTTTCACACTTTTCAACTGTTAGCTCCGGTTCTCATCTTCCTCCTCCTTTCCTTACTCATAAGCTGTCTTCAATCTTGTCCCTTAGATTTTCACATTTATCTGCAGCTTCCTTATAATGATCCTCTCACTCTCAGAACTCCAGTCTGCCCTGGCCCTCTGCGATTCTATGGTGAATGGCTCAGGTGACATTCATTAGATGCTTTGCCATCTCCCTCCATGCATGTTTCAGCATTTACTGAATATTTACAACCGTGTCCAAGAGTCGTCGTCAGTCCCCGAGGACTGGCTTGAGGCAGCTGTTCTTCCCATTCGGAAACCTGGTTCTCTAGGGTCATCCCCTAAAGACTTCCGCCCCATTGCTCTAACGAGTTGTCTGCAAACTCTTTGAACGTATGGTCAATCTTTGAATGTGGCTTTTGGAATGCTATCACCACATCTTGCCTTCTCAATTTGGCTTTTGCAAGTGCTGCAGCACAACTGATATCCTCGTGAACTTGGAGGTCTATGTTTGTACTGCCTTTGCTGTTAAGATTGCCATTGTTGCTGTCCTTTTTTACCTAGAAAAGGCATATGACACCACCTGGAGATACCATATTTGCACTATTATTATTTTCCTGGTTGCCCTCAATGGTCTCCTTTCCTTCCTTCCCTCTGGCATTTTCTCCGCTTTCTATGTTGACACTCTTACCCTCTGCTGTCAAGGTGATGACTCGCCTTTCCTCCAACAGTGGTTTCAAATTGTGATTGATGCCGTATCGTCCTGGGACACCAATCATAACTTCAGTTTTCTATAACTAAGACTTGTGCTATGACCTTTACTCGGAAGCAGGTCGTTCTTTGAACCCCCTTGTTGGTTTATGGTAATCCTCTTGTATCTGTTTACAAGAGCCCTGAGGAAGCTGATGTGAACCCCGTGTAGCCGCGGGACTTCAACACAACAATAGCTGTGGTGTGCAATTCTGTGACAGTTACTCACCACAGCTATTGATGTCTTGCACAATTTAAGGGTTAATTATTTACCAAATTATGATGGAATGATTCAACTGATACAAATGTTTTGTTGTGTGCAATACACACACACACTTAAGGCTATTAAGCAAATCATTTTCAATAATTCAATAGTATAATGAAATTATATTAAAAGGTAGATAAAAACTAGACATACACACATACCATAAAACTTAGGAAATAATTTTGCAGTCTATTAAGTCATTCAGTTAAAACAAAAATATGTTCACTACCAACAGTCAGCATTGTCTTGTCAAATAGTATATTATTCTAGAACATTTCAGTCAGCAATCATGCACTATGCTGTGGCATTTATCCTCAAAACACACGCTGATATCTTTAATACAAACAGCTGGGTACTACTTTATCTGTGACAATATAAGGAAAAAGAATAATATATTGGTAAACATTTGAGCCATTGTAGACATACAGCTGCTGGGTAATACTTGCAAGTGCAATTATTTTTGTTATTAACACGGTAAACTCGCCCATTTCTTAACCTGAGCACATGTTATAAATATTGCACACTAAACTTTCTGTAATTTTCCCGTTTTGTCTTTAATCTGAAATGAATGAATATTGTTGAAAAATATTGAAATGTTATTTAGTATAAACATGCAGCAATGGGAGCATGAAAAATTCAGTGTTTTATGCATTCCACCCAACCTTCAACTGGGATGTCATTAAAATTATACAATATAACTTAAATTGTAAAACTCTAGCAAATGACAAATCATCTATGTTTTCTAGTTTTGAGTCTTTCAAATTCTATAACCTGTTTTACATGGGCTTTGGCAATTTTTTCCATATTCTTACTAGTAGATCCCTGACCTATGACATCCAAAGCAAATGGTCTGCAAACAGCAAACAGTTTCTTGAAGCACACCTTGAATAATGGATCCTTCATTTTCATCCCCTCTTTTTCAAGGGATTCTACAACAGCCACACGAAGTTTCTGTCAAGGTAAAAAAAAAATTAAAATATATAAAGAGAAATTTTTACCATTGCACACCCAAAATAATAGTTGATAGGTATGTATTTTCAAAATTTTTGTATTGTTGATATCATTGGAATCTAAATACAAATGCCTCTATAAATGAGTAACTCTACCTAATCAGGTTTTATTGTTAATAAAAAAAATTAAGGCTGATCGAATTTCTTGAAGTTAAGCTAACCCAAGGGACACACAACGAAGGCAAAGTTATGTCTTCTAAGTGGATAAGGTACTTCTGATCACAAGAGGTGGGGGCATTTCAAAGACAAACTGCAGAGTGAGCCAAGGAGGCAGCAGCCATGATATCCCACAGGAATTTCAACCAGATAATCCTTTCCAAAGGCTAAAGCTGGGATAGAAGTTAATTGCCTATGAAACTTTTTACTGTATCCCTCACAACTGGAAATGCACTGTCCTTGAACAGCAATCATTGCTGCAAACTGAACCCAGATGAGTTGAAGCTTGTGCTGAACCATCCTAATGAACCTGGTGAATGTTGGACAGCCCAGAAAATTCTTCAACTTCTGCAAAATAATAAATGCCCCTCTTTGATTCTGGGAGAGTAGTGGCTGGTCTCTGGTGGTCAGGTGCAGGAGCTCTCCACATACACAACCTGCTTCCCATGACACCACTGTTACTCCAGCTTCCCCTGACAACTTCCTCCACTGACAACGTGCCTCTACTGACACCACTATTACACCAGCTTCCCTTGACAACTTCTACCACTGACAACCTGCCTCCCATGAGAATACGTAACTTACACGACCTGCCCCCTGACAACAACTCTCTCTCACCAATGACCCCCCCCCCTGACACCATTTTATCATCCTTCAACCATTTATTGCACTTATTGCTCTTATTTATGCTTTATATAAAATAATTATATTCAAATTTTATCTAACAGTACTGTATCAGAATTTTCTAAATTAATAGCAATAATCATTTTAATTTTCCACTTAAAATATCCAATTTTTTCAGATGTCATTAAGCAACTTAAAACTTAATGAAAAATGCAACATATCCATATATTACCTGCTTGTGTACATCACTCAGATCAGCAGGTTTAGGAATTCTCTTGCTTTGTGAATTAACATTTCTTAATGGACCTCTAGTAGCTGCTGGCTGTAGTAAGTCTGAAGGTTTCATCAGGTCACTTTCGCTCTTCCTGTTTCCATGGCCTCCTTTTCTCAATCCCTTCTGAGGTGTTGTTCTGATAACAAGGGCGTAATTTTCATGAAATTTATGTACTATATACAGCTACAGAGTGCCTCAAAACTTACACATACAATCCAATAAAGAACACTGTATTTATTAATGAAGTACATTGTATAACTTGAGGGAAAACAGTGGATTGTGTCATTTTTAATTTACAGGTACTCAAGAGTAGTCACAATTAGCATCTTGGCACTGTCAAAAGCAATAAACAAGCTTGTGTATATTATTTTTAGACACCCTGTATGTGATAAAACCACGTGAGAAACTCCACCTTACCTGATGTACAGTTCCCATGTGTGTTGTATTATGTAATGCCATTATTAATGGTGCTGCATAGTATCTATATGTAAACTGCAATTATTTATTATTCGATTATTTAGTGACTTTTGCAGCGCCTACTTAGTGTGGTGGTTTGATGCTAACCCCCCGTTTCTATCCCTCATAACTGCAAGTCAACCTGATAATCATTAAAATTTAAATGTTAGGTTTTTTTAATAATCGAGTGTTGTGGACTTATTTTAAAACCTCATATTATATATACATATGTATACCTGTATATCTATGCGAACAAGCCTGAATGGTCCCCAGGACTATATGCAACTGAAAACTCACGTATATATCTATATACACCTTTGTGATAACTACTTATAATTATTATCATGACAATATTTTGTCCGATTCTTCCTGGTAAAAAATTAAGATTTCAGATACAGAAATTATGTCAGTAAGGGTAGACTGGCTTTTTCTCTTAGTATGGTAGTCTCATGTATATATATAAATTAATCATTTCAACTTGTTAATAAAGATGTAAGTTTAGAAGTCTCTGTATTTAGGTAAGTTATTAATTTGCAGTGAATATTATTTTCCAAGATAAAAACACGTATAGATGAATGTACTGTAGCAAGTTCTTAGTATTTTAACCTGTTAGGCTACCTTATTACAAAATAAACCAGTGCTTAATATAGTATTACAAATTGTATTTCTATTATGCATCCTGCAGAGTATAATGTTGGATTATGTTCTTCAAATCTTGATATTTAAAAACTAAATTGCATTCTGTAGGTGCAAATTTGTGTTCTTGTAATGTGTGGTATTGAGAACAACTGCGTATAAACAAACCTGACAAAGTATTGGTGCCGCAAGTGCTAAATCATATTGTTATATTGTAATCCAATTTGAATTATTCTACAGGATACAGTAGCTGCATACTGTAACAGCTCACCTCTCATTTTTATTTTCTGACCGCTGCAATTGCTTTAGTGGTGGCTGATGTAACCGCTTACGAGGTGAACGCCTTAGAGCTCCTCTTGGTATTCGTGCACTATATCCACTTCTCAAGCTCGCTGTATCCACCTCACTTGCCCCTGTGGCTCCACTCTTCACTAATCTGCTCATGTTTGAGGGTTGTATATTCCCCTTTGTTGTTGCTTTGGTCTCTTTACTTTTAATAAAAGAAAATGCTCAATAATATATTAAGTATAGAATATAACTAAAGTATAAGATGTCTACAATATATTAAAATTTAAAAAACCAAAAGAATTAATAAAGGTGCTTCAGACAACTCAAATGTCTAAGTTAAACTACCAAGTAAAGGAAATATATACAGTACTGAATACTAGTACTGCATACATAATGCAGGGCCAGTCTCTTAAGTTCCATAGGAACAAAGTTAGGAGTTGAAAATGCCCCTACACATATGCTAAAGCCTAGTAAATAAACTTGGCACATTGTGCACAGGAACTGAGGTTAATAATACCATCATCAATAATATCAGCAAAACATAGGGATGATAAAAGTCAATGGAAGGTGAATTCCATCTTCTAGGGTATCACCCACTTTTCAGAAAAGACAGAGCAACAGGTGCAATGCTACAATCAGCAACAAAGAATAAAATATGTGATGTTTAGAATTTGTATAATGCAATAGCTCAAAATAGTAGCAAACTGATAGTGGGAACATGTTACAGAGCAGATACAGCAATAGCAGTTGTAGTTTAATCTGTATCATGTGATACAAACAGCAGCTGACGCATGAGCTTTTATGATGGTGGAATTTAACTGCGAGACTAACAACTAAGTGAAACTGACATCATGAACAGAAGAACTTAAATTTCTTTACCAATTACAGAACTTTTCTCATACAGTACAAGTCTTTAACTTTTGTTTAAATATTAATTTACTTATTTAAATTGTTTAAAGTTCAGTACCTGCTGGATTTGTGTGTGGAGACTGTAACATATGCTGTCTCTTTGTCTTGGAACACAGTACAGGTGGCAGCAGTCTCTTGTCTAATGAAGCGATTTTTTACCTGGTTACATTGTTCATTGTACTTCTCACATCGCTCATCAACATTGTAACTGAAAATAATTTTCTATCTCTTATCTTTCAATCTCTAATACAGGTATTAGCCTAAAAATCAGACTTGCTGCCCAAGCAAATCATATTATTAAAAAATCTCATGCAAAACCTGCAAAGTTAAATAAAAATTACCGTAAAACAATATTAGTGCAATATTAAAAAAGAAACAAGTACATGTCATCCTAACACAGATCCCCCCATCTCCAGGGATAAACATATACCGAGCAAACCCTAAATTCCCTACCAATTAACCAGTCCCTATTATTATCGGACTAGTTTTAAAATATGTGCCTTTATTTTGCAAACAATTTGATACAAAAATGAAACACGAAAATTGATGTTATCAAACTGAACGAGTATATACATTACTCTGCAGGTGTGCCAATTGGTGCTCGTTCACGGGAAACTTGGTATATTCATGTAAGAGATATTATATGCTGACAAAGCCACACGTTGGAAAATAAAGAAACAACCACATTTTGGTCCACTGTGGACCATTAAAGTCGTATGATCTTGATAATGGTCCACATTCTGACATACAGTACAATATAATTTGTATGATATTGTATGTCATTTACAAGAGTAGATGTTAACACTATCACTCGCTTTGGACACCGATCACGTCCACTTTTTTCTCTCGAGTCCTAGCCATGGACATGACTCACATCCACTCCAAAAATATTTGAATAAAATTACTTTTTTATCCGATCAACCTCGGGATAGTTTCAAAATAAGAGCCTTTAGAGTGCGCACAATTTGATACCAAAATGAAAGATGTAAAACGAAATTTGATGTCAGAACACTTGAAAGATTATAAATACTTTTTGGGTATAAATTTTAAATTTTAAAATGTTTGTTAAAATTCTATTTATTGTGCTATTATTATGGGACTAGTTTTAAAATGCATGCCTTTATATTGCAAACAATTTGATACCAAAACGAGCGACGTAACACGAAAATTGATGTTATCAAACTGAACGAGTATACACATTAAGTTGTGGTGTGCAAATTGGTGGTCGTTCATGGGTAACTTTAGGCTTTGCTGCGGGGAGTCTCGCCAGGCTTTTGGATTTTATATGCATATTGCATATACACCTGCAGGGAATTTAATTGCGAACACAATAATACCAAAACGTACGACGTAGCACGAGAATTAAGGTATGAAAACTGAAACGAGTACACACACATTTTACTGATTTTGTGCGTTCACGGGTAACTTTTCCGACTTTAGGCTTTGCTTTGGGGAGTCATGCCGGGCTTTTGGACATTACAGTGGTACCTCGGAATACGAGTTTTTCGGAATACGAGCAGAATTTGCTCGGAAAATGTGCCTCGGAAGGCAAGGGTTACCTCGGAACACGAGTTTGTTGATACGCGTACAGGCCGAACTAGCGCGTGGTGGTACGGCGATCGTTGCCCCTCACCCCTCAGTTTACCAGTGCCTCGCGCCCAGTGACTACCCCACGTCAGTTCTTCACCTGGATTTTCAGTGTTTTGATGGATTTTTGGTCATTTGACCATAAAAGTTGTTATTATATATCACACCATGGGTCCCAAGAAAACCAGTGGTAAGGATCAAGGCAAGAAAGCCCATGTGAGGATGACAATAGAGGAGAAACAAGAGATCATTCAGAAGCATGAAAATGGTACCACGGGTTGTTGAACTGTGGGAAAAACTGTGGGAAGAGAACTTTGCAAACTTTTATTGAAAAGACTCACCCAGAGAAAGCTGTAGTAAGCCGTTGCTTTAATCTTTTCAATGACAACATGATGCCTTACTACAGAGACAGCTTGCGAAGAAGGGAAAAACAAGCTTCCATGGACAGATTTATTGTGAGAAAATCGAGCAGTGAGCCACAACCAGGACCTAGTGGTATGCAGGCAAAACGTGCCAGGGAGTGCACACCAGAAAGGTCCTCACTGCCTGATGTTATAATGGAAGGGGACTCCCAAACAGTAACACCTCTCCTCTTCCTCTCCTCCTCACTATTTTCCATACGCCTACAACATTCATCAACAAGGGTGAGTAATAACTTGAACATAGTTTTGTAGGTTTATTTAGATGAATTAGGTATAAAATTTAGTTTGAAGTGAGGTTTTTGGGGTAGTCAGAAACGGATTAATTCATTTCCCATTATTTCTTATGAGGAAATTAGCTTTGGAATACGAGCTGTTTCCAGGAACGGATTAAACTCTTAAACCGACATACCACTGTATATGCATATACACCTGTAGGCGGTTCCATTGCGAACACAATGATACCAAAACGAACGACGTAGCACGAGAATTAAGGTAAGAAAACTGAAATGAGTATACACATTTAGGCGTCGCCACACGCTCGCCCGCACCATCCACTCCATGACGTCAAAGTCTGCGGCGCTCAGGCGCGATAGTGTTAATTAAGAATGTTAACAAAAAATAAAGAAAATGATATATAACTTTTCATTATAGGATTTAGTATAATTTGCACAAAATACTTACTAAATACCATGGTGGTGAGCATAGAGTGATTCTGGCCATGTTAGGGATTTCACTTCTTGTAGAGTTGATTTTAATTTAAAGGAACGTTGACCAGAAGAGGCTACAATGGAAAAGCAATATAGAGTACAGCAAAGTACAAAAATATTTGACATCAAAACTTATCCTAAAAATTCAAGATATAATTGTTTAACTTTAATAATTAACATGAGATATAAATATTTACACACACAATAACTCACTGTGTTTAATCATTTTCCGTCTTATTCTGTCAATTGGCTGGCCACTCTTGGTGAATAGCTTAGTAAGCTGGGCTGCCTCAAGAGTGAGAATGGCATCAGTGTGTGGTGGTGGTGCAAGTCCACCAAGCAAGTCCCCTGTAAGTCAAATTTTAACAACTTTAATGATAAAATAATTGAACAATGACAAATAATACAATGAAACTGGGGTAAATTGTAGAATTTTGAAACTGGGAACGTTGGGAATATTTGATCTACTTTATATATCTGTAATGCTATATAATGTGAATGACAACAAATTGATGAGACATTTTGATTTTTGCATATCTGTAAACTTCTTTTACTATAATACATATTATTCTTTTCTGGGGAGAGCCCTGTCGGCTCCCCAGAGCTATCCAAGCTGATATGGATATTGGCTTTCTGGCATCAGTCAATGTGCATGGAGTTCTTGCCTACCGGGGACCACGAACCAGAACCTGGTTCTCTCAGAGAGGTGCTAGGAGCAATGGCTTATAGAAACCCATTCTGTCATTCTATGTCTGCCATCGACTGGGTTTGGCACCCAGAAAGGTAGGCGCCCCAAAAGAAACCCCTATTCTGGTGAAAATATTACTACCGAAAGTCGAACGAGTGGTCAGAACTCCTCAAATGAAAATTAGCAAACGAGCATGACGTTATCACATTGCCGCACCCCTGTCTACGCAACCACCTCCGTACCCAAGAGGGGGAAGGGGGAGCCCCAGATCCTCACGCCGGCAATCCACCCTTCAGTTCTTGGCTGATGTGCAACTGATGAGGTCTTGTCCTGAAACGCTTTGTGTAATAGTGGCTTTAGGCATTGTATGTACTAGCTTTATCTATAAATCCTTCAATGTTTGTATCTCACCTTGTATGCATGTACTTTACCTGAATAAACATTTATTTTATTTTATTTTATTTTATTTGTGCCTCTGGCTCCTGCTTTGGTCTTAGTTTCTGTGCCTTGTGGCATGGTCTGTCTCTACAGGTAATGTGCGAGCCAGGAGTAATATTCTACAGTACTTGGGTTGCACTCTTGCATGAAACTCAGAAAACAAATATTCCAAGGCCTAGTATAGCACACATATGTACTATATTAGCCTCAGATATCGTGTATTATGTTTAGAAAGGTCAAGTTGGGTTAGTTTGTCTTTGCAATATAAATAGAAAAAATTTTCCGGTTTGTCCAAATTCAATAGTACCGATTTCTGCTTTCTAATTGAGTAGTACGTTGGTGTATGTACTATGATCCTCATCGTTACTATAAGTACCACCAAAACAGGAGGATGGACTGGGTAGGCATACAAAGAACTCTGCAACTGATGACACTCAAGTAGTATGGCACTTGATCAGTAAGAAAGCTTCAGGGAGTTGATGGGGCTCCCCACAGAAACGGTCTCGATTCTTGCACTGCAAGTTGAGGATGTAAATTCCAATTTTGTTCCATATGAAAGAAATCTGTGCTAATTTATAAATTTATTGTTAAAAGACAAAGAACGAACGAGATAAACACATCATAGGACTACACAGTGAAATTCACATAAAACCAACACCTACTGTACTAGGATCAAGTTTACTAAACAAGAAATTCTTGTACCTGAATGACGTCGTGCAAGTGACGATTTTTCAGCATCATCTTCAGCTTTAGCCAATGCAATATATTCTGCCCACTCATTACTGCTTACTGCCGTTTCTGCCAAGAAAATAATTAGTATGATAAATTCTTTCCACCAAACACTGTAGTGGTATGGCCACTACACAAACTTGTCTATAGGCACTATTATCTCATCAAACAGTGGAGTGGTCAACAAAATTAGAAACATTTCTTTAGGCACTCTGATCTCAACATACAGTGGTGTGGCCTACACACAGTTATCTTCAAGAACTGTGATCACATCTTATTTCTGCCTATTTGTCTAAAATCCCTCTTACTCTTACACTATTTTTCAGTTTCAATTATTTTCCCTTGTGTATTCTTTTCTTCAGCCTAGCAAAATATGACCTAAAACAAAACATTGTTATGACTGCAGGTAGCCTGAAGAATGAGTCTACCCCTGTGAGAGTTATTCAGCAAACTGGACCTGATTGAGAGGTCAGAGGAAGTATAGATATGTGAATATATATTAAATACTTGGCAAATGTCAGTGAATAGTTTAAAAGCATTAGCAGAGGATGAACATGTAAATAACTGACATGACATGAGATGTCGATATTATGCTGAAATGATGTGAGGCTCGCAGGACATCTTGACCTCACTTGAGTCGCAACTGTCATCAAAGGTGGATGTACCAATTTTTTTTTTATTATTTTCTACCACAGATGTGGCCACACATTTACAATGCTAACCAGCATATAACCAGAGCTCTCTTTGGAGGTTTACGTTCCACAAGCCCCAACCCCCTCAGGCCAGGGCACTATATTTACCCAAATCCTCATATAATTACATAAATAATATAAATATTTTTCTATATATTAGTAATGAAAACAGAACAAAATTATATATGATTTAAGTTGGAAATATATGCATTTCATAGCAAAATATGACCAAACACAACATACAGCACAACCATGATTCAACAAAACATATGAGACAAAACCCAGTTTATTGCAGCGAGAGATTCGTTGCAACCAGAGATGCTTTCAGGATGCATTTCCTATGCTTTATGGGTTAATTTCACTTAGCAAAATTTTAATTTTAACCTATAATATACATGTAATAGACTATAGTACTACCATATGAACACCTCTGCAAAAAACCAGCGTTGAATGTAATGAAACGCCATTTTCTGGGTGAGTCCCGGAGGCTCCCCGGAGCTATCCCAGGCTGATATGCTAATGTCAGACTTTGGCATCAGTCATGTGTATGGAGTTCTTAGGCCTACCGGGGACCACGGCCAGAACCGGGCCCCCTCAGAGAGGCAAGGGGAGCAATGGCCTATAGAAGCCCCCGTGTAGTTGGAAGCATTCTATGTCTGCCATCGACCGGAACAGGCACCCAGAAAGGTAAGCGCCCCAAAACAAACCCCTATTCTGGTTAAAATTGCTACCTAATACCGAACTAGTGGATAGAACTCCCCAACCGAAAACAAGCAAATTAGTGTGACGTCACACACTGCCGCGCCGCTGTCTGCGCAGCTCCCCCTCCCCGGGAGGGGGAAGGGGGAGCCCCAGACCCCCCGCGCCGGCTACCCACACCTCAGTTCTTGAGGCTGGATGTCAAAAACGCGAAAAACCGCCGACCGGAGGGAGGGAGGGATGCCGGGGAGCCTCCGGGACTCACCCAGAAAATGGCGTTTCATTACATTCAACGCTGGTTTTCTGGGGGGAGCCCCGTCGGCTCCCCGGAGCTAACTACCCACAGACAGAAAAAGAGGGACTTACCCGGGAGGCGGTCGTCGCTCACCCCTCAACTCGAAGCCGAGACAACTGGCTGCAACCGCCGACCCAAAGCAACACAGGCCCGACGAGGGCCAGGGACATTCACAAGGTAACGAGCAGCCAGGACCCTGTTCGACCGCCAAAATCCCCGCGCCCGAATATCAGACCAAGACATATTCCCAAAGACGGCAGCAAGAGCCGCGAACTTACGAACGTCATGGGCACGGGGATAGACCGCAGGCTGGCTAGACCTAATAACCCTGCGGACGACCTGAGAGACCCGAACCCGCGAACAGGGAAGAAGGGAAACCGGATCAACCCACAGCGCGTCCCCGGACACAGAAGCTGTGGCGCGCAAATAACGGCGAAGCGCCGCAACCGGACACAAAACATGATGCACCCCCGGCCTGACCAACCAAGCATCAACCACCCATGGACCCCTCCGGAACGCAGCAGTCTCATTCTTCGCCAGAAAAGAAGGAGACGGCTGCAAACGAACAAAACTATCACCACGACCAAAAGAGCAGAAACCCCTGCGCCGGAGGAGAGCATGAAGCTCCCCTACCCGACCCCCAGAGGCCAAAGCCAACAAGAAAAGTGCCTTGGAAAAACAATCCTGGACCGAAGGGGCCACAACGAAACGAGGAGATGAAAGGAAAGCGAGCACTCTGTCCAAAGACCAGGACGGCTCAGGCGACGCATGAGCAGGCCGGAGGTGAAACAATGCACGAGACAGCTTGCGAAACGGCGCAGACGTAACATCGATACCGAAAGCAAGCTGAAGCGGCTCCGCCAGCGCCGCACGATACGAAGCGACAGTGTTAGGCATAAGATGACGGTCCTGAAACAACCACGAGAGGAAGGACAAGACCACCCGAACAGACAAGGAGCTAACACGACGAAGACGCAAAAAGAAACGGAAGGACCGCCAGGAAACTTCATACTGCCGCCGAGAAGAAGCCCTCAGGTGGGACACCAACAAGGAGGCCACCTGATCACCATAGAGATGATGATAGACTCGAGTCAAAAAAACCATACGCGAAGACTCGAGGAGAAGATCGAACCAGCTACGTGACGTACCGGCCCGATCTGCTGAAAGAGGCGGAGCCGCGGGAAAACCCTCGGGTTCGGACACCGAGCAACCAGCGCCTGAAACCAAGGCTGGGCCGGCCACCAAGGGGCCAGAAGGACAACTCTCCCCCGGTAAGTCTCTAAGCGAGTCAGGACCTGGAGCAACAGCCGAACTGGGGGAAAGAGGTACAGGAACCCCCACCTCGACCAGTCGAGCCGAAAGGCATCGACCCCGACGGCCTCGCAATCGGGGAAGGGCGCCGCATAAACGGGTAAGACGCCGCGACCACGCCGACGCGAAGAGGTCCACCTCGGGGCGCCCGAACGTCTGGCAAAGCCAACGGAAGGACTCGTCGTCGACCGTCCACTCCGTGGAGAGGGGAACGAAGCGAGACAGGGCGTCGGCCAAGACGTTGGACACGCCCCGTACGTGAACCGCCAGGAGAGCCAAACCCCGAGAACTCAGCAGACGAGTCACCCGAAGCGACCAACCCCAAAGAGACAAGGACCGCATCGAACCCCCGCGGTTCAGGCAATGAACCACCGGAGAGCAGTCCGAATGGAGCCGAATCGTCGATCCGCGGGCCACCCGAATCCTCCCCAGAGCAAACCACACTGCCGCGAACTCCCGCACCGTACTGTGAGCTCGACGGAAGGACGGATCCCAACGCCCCTGGCCGGCCTGGTGAGCACTGGTCACAAAACCCCAGCCGAGAGACGACGCATCTGTGTACACATCGAGCGAGGGCTCGGGTAGGCGCCAAGGCACTGAACCCCGAAAAACCCGAAGAGGAAGCCGGTGACGCAGCAACCGACGCAAGTCCCCCGGGGGTCGAACTCTGCGATCGCGAGAGAGGCGGAAGGGGGAACCCCGAAGGAACCAGAACAGCCGTCGAAGCCAAACCCGACCCGGCGGGTAGACCACCATCGCGAAGTTCAGGCTCCCGCACAGCCCCTCGAGCAACCGCCGGGTGACCCGAGGGCCCTCCAGAAACAGACGAAGGCGGGACCGCAGCCGCAGGAGAGACTCCGGAGGGAGAGACAAGGAGGCGGTCCGAGAGTCCCACACGAGACCCAGCCAAGTCTGAACCTGAGAGGGAACCAGATGGGACTTCCTCCAGTTCACCAAGAACCCGAACCCGGCGAGCTGGGAAAGAACCAAATCCCTGGCTAGCAAGCAAGCTGACTGGCTGGGAGCCCAAACCAGCCAGTCGTCGAGGTAGGCCAACACCCGAACACCTAGGAGACGCAAACGAGCCACCACAACCCGTGTAAGGCGTGTGAACACGCGAGGCGCCAGGTTCAACCCGAACGGGAGATAACGAAAGCGGTAACTCAGACGCCCCACTACAAAACCGAGCCAGTCCCTGAACCGCGGATGAATCGGGACATGCCAATAAGCGTCCCGGAGGTCCAGGGACACCATCCAAGCACCCGGCTCCAAGAGGAGCCGAACCTGAGACAGCGTAGTCATCCGAAAGGAGGGGCAATGAACCCAGGGGTTCAGACGGGACAAGTCCAGAATGAACCGCAGGTCCGCGCAGTCCCGTTTCGGAACCGGAAACAGACGGGAAACCCATCTGAGGGACGACGTCGTTTCGACGACGCCCAAGCGTACCCACTCCAAGACGACTCGACAGAGCGCAGGGAAAGAAGCCTGCCCCGCCAGCCCCGACCCCCCAAAGGGGGGAGGGGCCACCCAACGCCACCGCAGGCCGCGAGACACGACCCGAAAGGCCCACGAATCGTGGGACCAGGCGCGGGCGAACAGCGCAAGCCGCCCCCCCATCGCCCCGTCAAAGGGGCAAACCGCGAAAGGGCCGGCGACCCTTACGAGACCCAGAACCCCGCACAGCGCGAACACCGCGCCGACCAGACGAGGGAGGGTCCGCAGGAGGAGCCAACCCCAAACCTGACACCAGAGGCCTACCACGACGAGAGGAACCCCGAGCCCTGGCACGACCTTTCCGGGAAGACCCACCCCGGGACCCCCGGAAAACCAACAAGTCCGACATCGGACGACAAGCCGCCGACTCAGCCTGAATAAACTGCGCCACGGCCGACTCCCCAAACAGGAGAGGACAAAAAGGTGAAGAACGCCTAAGAGCCAGAGCCCAAGCAGATTCCACGGAGGAACCCAGCACCGCCTGCCGTCACGCGAGACGGGAAGCATAGAACAGGGAAACCGCATCCCGCAAAATCGGCGTGAACAGCTTCAACAAGGCAGCCGACGAACGCGCAGCCGAGGACAAGGTGCCGGACCCCGGGACGGACCCAAGCGTCCCCACATCCTCCACGAGCCAATCCGAAGACAGCTCCAGGAGGGAAAAGAACCGCAAGGCCGAACACAAAAGGCCCCGAGCGCGCAAGTCCTCCGCCACGAGCGCCGCCGAAAAGGAGGGAACCTGCACATAGAGCTGAATAACGCCCACATCGCGGGGAAGGGCAGGGGCAAACAAGCACTCATTCAGGTACTCAAGGTCACCCCCCAGGAAAACCTGAAGCACCGTGGAAGCTTCCCGCCACTCCAGCGTGCGGGAACGACAGAAGGAATGCCAGGAATCCAGACCAAACAAGGGGCAGTCTGCTAGCCAGGATGACTCCGGAACCTCGTAACGGAGCCAGAAAGGGAACGAAGTCCCAAACCTGAACGTGGACGGATCCATTTCCGAGGCATAATCCGGGTCACGCAGGAGGTAAGCTGCAAAGGCCGCTCGCACCACACCAGGTTGGATGCGATAAGCCGAAAACCTCCGGAAGGACGGAACCGACGTACCCGGGGGAACACGGAACCGTACCCGGGGAGGGGCCGACACCAAATCCAACTCGTACGCAGAGGGGGGAAAAGAAAACCCCACTCCTTGTAACAATAAGCCCCGCTCAGTGGGAAGAAAAACCCAGGCGGGGTCCAGCGGGGCCCAAGGCCCCCAAGTCAGCCCCTCCCCAGCCTCGAGGTCCGTCACCACAGGACCCGAGGCCGAGTCCTCTCCCCAAGCCCCGACCCCACAAGACAAGGACGGAGCAGCCGGAAAAGCTGGAGGAAGGGGGGCCCACTGGTCAGACCCTGAAGCTTCGGCCGGGAGACAAGACTCGAATGCCTCTGCCGCCCCCCCGGAAGGGGCAACCCCCGAAGCTGCCCGAGTCTCGAGATCAAGTAACCCCTGCTCCGACCCCGAAACCCTCAGACGCTTCGGGGCCGGAAGCAGGGGCGGGGGACCAGAACGAACAGAAGGGGAAGGACAAGGAGGTGCGGACTGAACCAGGATCGAAGCGACCCCCACCCCCAAGTCCGGGTCTCGAAAAGCAAAGCGGGGCAGCCCCGGGGCATCCGGGGAAGCAACCAACCGAGCGCGTTGCAACAGACGAAACCTAGACTGCAACGCACGTGCCGCCTGTACCCGAATAGAATCATCAGAGGATTGGGTAAATTGAGTCACAAGCAAGCAGCAACACTCACAGGACTCAGGGTCGAAAGTATCACCGACCCAACAGGCAGCGTGGCAGAGGCAAAAACAATGAGGGTCACCCTGAGACAAGGGGACCGATCAACCCTCAAACTCGCACACAGCGAGTGGGGACTCCGGGGTCACATCCATCGGACCCACGCGCCCCCTAGGGGATTCCCAGGGTCCTGAGCGTTTACTTTAAGAGGACTCGCGCTCAGGTAGTCCCAGGCAGGGTGCTGCAAACCGGCGCCCAAAACTACCAAGCAAACTTCTAAAGCTGAACCCCAGGGACGTGTACACTCACGGGGACCTAGCAGGGGGCGCCACCGAGGAGAACAGTGGAAGGGCAAAAACAAACTGAATAAAATGACAGAACCCCCCACCAGGCAAAAACAAAAGAAAAACAAAACCCCGCAAGAGGACAGCGAACCCCAAGGAACAGAGCCGGCCGCGATGTCGGGAATTACAAGCTGAGCAGCACCCTGCGCCCCTACCAGTGCAAACTGCCTCTTACCTGCCGGTAACAAGGGAGAACAGAACACCCAAGAGCCCAACAGGCGGCCGAAAAACCGAAAGGTAAAACGGACCAGCAGAGGCAGACCCCGAGGAGCCTGTGGAAGGTGGCCCCAAGCCCCAAGGGCAGTACTTACAGGGCACCTAGGGAAGGCAGCCCTAGGCGCATGCAGCCCGAGTACTGAAGATAACTCCTGGCTCTCGCACCCACAAAACTAACACCACACTCAAAGCACAGTGCAGTAGCGACACCGGAGCCAGAGCACACGACCATCGCCTATAGCATCAGCCTCAAGAACTGAGGTGTGGGTAGCCGGCGCGGGGGGTCTGGGGCTCCCCCTTCCCCCTTCCGGGGAGGGGGGAGCTGCGCAGACAGCGGCGCGGCAGTGTGTGACGTCACACTAATTTGCTTGTTTTCGGTTGGGGAGTTCTATCCACTAGTTCGGTATTAGGTAGCAATTTTAACCAGAATAGGGGTTTGTTTTGGGGCGCTTACCTTTCTGGGTGCCTGTTCCGGTCGATGGCAGACATAGAATGCTTCCAACTACACGGGGGCTTCTATAGGCCATTGCTCCCCTTGCCTCTCTGAGGGGGCCCGGTTCTGGCCGTGGTCCCCGGTAGGCCTAAGAACTCCATACACATGACTGATGCCAAAGTCTGACATTAGCATATCAGCCTGGGATAGCTCCGGGGAGCCGACGGGGCTCCCCCCAGAAAAATAAACAACATACATTATTTTGTATTTTTCAAGTCTTGTCTCATTTTTCCCCCGTTTTATGTCTTGGTTGCAACTTGTAAGGTACAGGATGGGCTGAAACGTTGTCAATTTCTTTTCATAAGTGTGGGTTGAGCTTTTTAAATCATGTTATTGTGACATTCATTTCAACCATTACTTCCTTACAGGTAATGTATGATGATGATAAGTTGACCTGAATTTTTTGAGTAAAGATTTAGAGAGATCTTTGGGTCAATAACATCGCTGAAAACAAAAAAACCCAGCCCACACTTATGAAAATAAAATAAAGTGATGCTTCAGCTCATCTTGGACTTTACAAGTTGCAATCAAAACATAAAAGGTTGGAAGCCATTATATGACCAGAGAGTAGGTGAGGGTGAGCTTGAAGGAGTTTACCCAAATTTTATGAGTAAAGACGTATAAAGATCTTTGGGTCCCAGTTTGTTACTAATTTTAATCCAATGTAACTTAAATATTATCATAGCTAACATGCCATGTTATTTCCTTTCATTAGTCAAGAGATTTGCATGATTTTGCCTTACAAAATTTCTCAATATCTCTATCAATTAAATTTTGCTTCATTGTTAAAATACACTTCAAAAAGCTTCAGACTATATATTCAGGTACAGTGAGTCATGTTTATAAAACACTTTTGCTTTACAAAGTTCCCCAGTTTACTTTAAAAAAGTTTAGTATATCATTTATTAATGAATACTTACCAGGTAGAACAGCACAGAATGTTTTGGGCAAGACAGGCAGAGGAGCTGGTATCAAGAGCATGCAACGTAGTACCTCCTCACTTGCTGCTGCTTCAAGCTCTCTCCTTGTGTGCTCACTTAAATCATTTACTGGCCGGCCAGCTCGTGACAAACGTCCTATGATCTACAATACATAACATCACAAATATGAAATAGAGCAATATCCTTCATTCCTCGTACTCTCTGGAAATTGCCAATCCATTAACATGCAGCATCTTTCTTTAATATTTAAAATGCCTTCAAATATTACACACACTTAAAGGGAGATTTCAGAGAGCCGCACCAAATACCAATTCCAGAGCACCCCATAAAATACATTGAGGTATCTCAAGATGAGCTGCATATGGTATAATGCAAATCACATACACTCAAAGGCATTTACCATCCCACCTTAGTAACTCTAAAGGTTGCTAAGAAGTGGTATGGCAAACTATTGGTTGACTTAACCACTACCTACCCCCTACTGCCACCAGATGGCAACACTTTAGCCATAACATAGGTCCACTTCTCCAAGACTTCTATCTTGAGGTTATCTTGAGATGATTTCGGGCTTGGCATCCCTCCAGCCCGGTCCTCGACCAGGCCTCCTTTTTGTTACACACCCCCAAGAAGCAGCCCCGTAGCAGCTGTCTAACTCCCAGGTACCTATTTACTGCTAGGTAAAAGGGGCATCAGGGTGAAAGAAACTCTGCCCATTTGTTTCTGCCTCCACCTGGAATCGAACCTGGAACCTCAGAACTATGAATCCGAAGCGCTGTCCACTCAGCTGTCAGGCCCCTTGAATTCTAAAATTCATTTCTGACAGTCATTGTTTACACTTGGCTTACCTGTTGTGAGAGGTTCAAAGAAAGATGAGAAAATGCTGCCATGTGCAATGATGAAAACTCTGGTGTCTCCCTTAGCAGATCTAGTATTTTTTTCTCCTCTTCATTGGAGTGACTCTGCAAAGATATGTCAACAAAATAAACTACAATGGTAGAGAAGTGACTGACCATACTCCATGCACCCTGTTCCAGTTACAATAGCTATGAGATGACATTCTACAACTAGATCTCTCTTCCAGTAGACTCACCTAAATAAGCATTCATTTCATACATCATTTTGACTACCATATCTTTATTTTATATTTACTTTTATCAGTGTTTACTCACACACATCAAGAAAGTTAGTTCATGATTACAGTAATAGGGAGATATTATAGAAAATGTTAAGAGTTAAATGATGTCTATCAACATCACTTAATGTCGTCGTCTCTTCATCTTCTAGTGTGTGGTTTGGTGAACATGGCTATAGAATTAATTTTTGTCCTATTTTATAATGATCACAACTGTAACTCTAACTATACAAGGAAATGGCATATAAAATAATTACAAATTTTGCTTTTCCCTCAAGACAAACGAGTTACAGTACATGATATTTACCTTCATATGTCGACCTGGATGACTGATGAACTTGACAACATCCTCCCCACAAACATTTGGGTCTTGCATAGCAACCATCAGTGCCTGCTTGGAAGGATAATTTTCAAGGCTGTTTAAAGATAATTTAACTTTAAAATAATTATTGTACATTCCTAGCTGAAATTTTCCAACAAATTAAAAAAATTTATTAGCATGGTTTTTAAATACAGTACTTTTATTTAATATCCTTTTGGGTCTAACTTTGCTTAAGGTTCTCTAAAAAAAAAAAAACAGCATTGAATGCAATGAAATGCCATTTTCTGGGCGAGACCCAGAGGCTCCCTGGAGCTATACCTATTTTATGCGTATATATATTATACCATGGCAACAGTCAATCGATGGAGTTCTAAGCCTACCGGAGACCAACACTGGGTCCCCGCCAGGTCCGGGTCTGGTAGCATTGCCCACCAAAACAGACCAACAACTTCAACAAGGCAGCCAATGCCCTAGCCGCCGAGGCAAAAGCACCGAACACAGGCCCAGAACCTAGATCCTCCACATCCTCCTCAAGCCAGTCCAAAGACAGATCCAACGGGGAAAAAAACGCAAGACCAAAGCCAAATGCCTACAGGTGCGCAAATCCTCAGCAACCATGGACTCCGAAAGGGAGGGAACCTGCACGTGAAACTGCACTTGGCAGATATCACGAGCTCTCTCTCTCTCTCTCCCTCCCCTCCCCCATCTTTCTCTCCCTCCCTCCCTCTCTCCCTCCCTCCCTCCCTCCCTCCCTCCCTCCCTCCCTCTCTCCCTCCCTCCCTCTCTCTCTCCCTCCCTCCCTCCCTCTCTCCCTCCCTCTCTCCCTCCCCCCCCTCTCTCTCTCTGTGTATGTGCACGTGTGTGTGTGAGTGGAAAAAAATTAGAAACAGCTGATTGACAGTTGAGAGGCAGGCCAAAAGAGCAGAGCTCAACCCTCACAAGCACAACTAGGTGAATACATCAGAAAATGAAGAAAGGACAACATTTCGGTTCATCCTGAACCATTATCAAGTCATGTTACAGAAAAGAGGAAGGGACTGGCAAATAACTAAGGTAAGAGTGGTATGAGAGGTAAGAGGCAGGGAAGAGAAAAAAAGTGAGAGTAAGATGAATGATAAGAATACCTTTCATTTAATTCTTACCTTTTTCTCTTACCTGCTCCTCACCCTTCATCTCACTCTTACCTTATTTATTTGCCAGTCCCTTCCTCTCTTCTGTTATACGACGTGATAATAGTCCAAGATAGATCGAAATATCATTTCTTCCTTTTCTGACAAGTGGTGCGGTCATCATATCTTCAGCTACATTATTGTGACGCATCATCTCCATGAGGTTTGAGTATTTCCATGGATCAAAACAGTGATAAAACACTGGTACTCTTAGGTTATCAACAACTTTTCTTACTAAAATACAACTTTAAAGAAGGAAACTTCAAGCAAACCTTTCCTTTATCTACTCCTTCACTAAGAATAAGCATGTTGAGAGTCTGGTAGAAACTCTTGAATTGCAGACTTGGGACGAGATCAAAATGACCTTCAGCATTATTTCTTTTCCATTCTTTTGTGGTCACTGACTTCACACCTTCCAGAGTCGGTGGTAGTGGTGAATACTGAAGTCTGATCAGTGTTGCCACCTGCAATATTTAAAACAAACTGCAGTTTATCCCTCATAAGCTTTACTTCTTTTATAAGTGGCCCCTAATTACAAACTATTGCCATTTAAATCATTTGTGCCCTTTAAAATAAATGTGTGATGAAGCTCCACTTAATGAAATGAAACCATGCAACATTTTTTATAACAATAATTTATTTTTCATAAAATAACAATTATTTTATAAAATCATTATGCTATTTACTTATGTAAAATTCCAATTGAATACTTAAATGCTTGGAACTGACCAATTTCCTTCAAATATAGCTCAAAATTTAGATAAAGATCTAGGCTTAAAAATGACAAACCATAAGGTATCCCTACCAGACACACCTAATAGAACAAATATTACTCACTCCAGGCTGATTAGTAAGTGCATCTAATAAATCTGTCACTTCCTCATGGTTCTCTTCATCCAAGAAATTAACGGGGGTAATTTTGTAAACACTACCATGACGGAGATATACCAAAGGTAAGGTGCCAATGTCAAAATCAACCACAACCTCTGCAGTAGGAAGAATGTACAATGCTTCCTGTACGGGAGACATGAATTAGGAAAACCTACATTTTTCACAAGAACAGCTTTCATTCTTTCAAAATTAAAACACACATACAGATGAACAAATGTGTACACATACAGATCTTTCCTAAGCCCTCCATTTTAATACAATAGAAAACTTTTTGTACCCTAACATGGAAATTCTCTTTTTGAAATCATTTTCATGGCTTTAGGTATGAAACTTCAACCTTTACATAAATAAATCAACTGCAATTAAGTGTTTTTCAAGCTGGATTATGCAAAGCAAACATTTAAGTACTTCAAGAGAAAAGCCACAGATATGTGAGTAATATTTCTTGGATATTTAAAACTATGATACATATGACATAGCATTAACTAACACTATATTATAATGAATAAACAATATTTAAAATTCACCTGTTTGGAATTAGTCCCTAAAGCAGGCTGTCCAGAGAGGCACTGAATAACACACTCTGGGAATAGCAAAGGATTGCCAGTTCCCTCTTCTGATAAAGTCAGATGGCCTTGCCAAAAGGTAGAGATGATGTTTTCTACAGCCTGTAGGCAAAATATTTATGCAGAACAATATTATTTAGATAACCACGACAAATTTAATACATAAATAAACAAAAATAAATAAATAAATAAAATATACTGTAGACACCCACTAATCTGGAATCCACCTATCCGGAAAATGCCCTAATCTGACCATAATCATGGCCGGATATAGTTATAGTTATCTCCCCATCTGGCCAAAATGTCCATGGAAGCTATCTTGAGGTTATCTTGAGATGATTTCGGGGCTTTAGTGTCCCCGCGGCCCGGTCCTCGACCAGGCCTCCACCCCCAGGAAGCAGCCCATGACAGCTGACTAACACCCAGGTACCTATTTTACTGCTAGGTAACAGGGGCATAGGGTGAAAGAAACTCTGCCCATTGTTTCTCGCCGGCGCCTGGGATCGAACCCAGGACCACAGGATCACAAGTCCAGTGTGCTGTCCGCTCGGCCAACCGGCTCACTAGCAGGACTAGCCGATGTTTGGCCGGATAAGAAATCTGAGCCGGTTAACTTGCTGCCGATGTTACTCAATCCGGACAGTAAGCCGGACAAGCAGCAAATAGTCCGGCTCAAAAAGCCCACTGATGAAGTGAGACCACTTCAAGACCTCGAAACAACATGGAAACAGCAAGCATTAAGCATTTGGCACTGAGTTCTCCCACATAACAGGGCTTGATGAAAGAACGCGAGAGGTCCCTCACTATCTCATTGCCTGGAGAGGAATAGAGTTCTGGTTGGTTAAATACCCCAGAATTCCTACCTCTTTAGGGCTCTGAAGTATGGTGTAGTGGATACAGTGCGTCCCTGCCACCTTGATGGCCAGTGTTCGAGTCCCCCCTGGTGGGTTGAGTGTCTAAAAAGTTATAAACTTCAACTTGTGGTTATAAGCAAGTCTGTGCATTAAGCATTTGGTACCGAGTTCTCCCACATAACAAGGCTTGATGAAAGACCGCGAGAGGTCCCTCACTATCTCATTGCCTGGAGAGGAATAGAGTTCTGGTTGGTTAAATATATATATATATATATATATATATATATATATATATATATAATAGATATGTGACCCAGAATTCCTACCTCTTTAGGGCTCTGAAGTATGGTGTAGTGGATACAGTGCATAACTGCCACCTTGATGGCCAGTGTTCGAGTCCCCTGATGGGTTGAGTGTCTAAAAAGTTATACATATACATATTATATATATATATATATATATATATATATATATATATATATATATATATATATATATATATATATATATATATATATATATATATATATATATATATATATATATATATATATATAGTGATATATATAGGCTTATAAGCTGGACACGAGTTCTCTCACATTGACAGTGGCTTGACGAAAATTGCAGACTGACCCCTCACTCATCTGGTGCCTTCGGGAGGTAGAGATGTTTGAGATATATATATCTCGAACTATCTACTTCTTTTGTAAGGTCTGATGGCGTAGTGGGTTAAAGCATACTAGTTATGCCAGCTACTGGAAGGTAGTTGTGCTTTCTGGGTTCGAGTCCCACTGGTGGGTGTTGTCCAAAGATTGTTTATCTTCACTTGTGGTTTATGCAAGTATAGGCTTATAAGCTGGACACGAGTTCTCTCACATTGACAGTGGCTTGACGAAAATTGCAGACTGACCCCTCACTCATCTGGTGCCTTCGGGAGGTAGAGATGTTTGAGATATATATATCTCGAACTATCTACTTCTTTTGTAAGGTCTGATGGCGTAGTGGGTTAAAGCATACTAGTTATGCCAGCTACTGGAAGGTAGTTGTGCTTTCTGGGTTCGAGTCCCATATACTATATATATAAGGTATATATATATATATATATATATATATATATATATATATTTTATCTGGTATATATCTGGTGAAAATGACCATTACCACAATCTTTATGGCCTTCAATTTTGTTATACTTAATATGCAGTCCTACTGGTTGGTTATCACTAGTTTGGTTTTCCTCAAATCTCCAAAACCCCTCTGTAAACTTCTATTTCCTGATTATATGGTATCCTATTGGGATGATCAAGTTTACTGTTACACTTGTCAGTTGAATGACCACATATTGGTGTAATGAACACAAGTTGGTATAATGAGCACAGGCTGATGTAATGAGCCAAGGAAGGGGTATTGAACAAAGGATGGTATAATAAGCAAGGGAGCTTGGGGGTAGCAGTGATTGTACCTCCAGTAAAGGTGAGAGTGGAGATGGTAGAAGAGGAAGTGCAAGCAGTGATATCAAGCTAGTATAGTAAGCTTACCTCAGAACATCCAGTGGAAATATGAAGTGGCATAAAGTTGCGCCATTCATAAACACTTATCTGATCCTTGCACGTAATGTGTAAACCACCAAAATGCCACTGTTGTATTCTTCTTAAAGCTCCATAAAACTCTGGAATCTCACTGAAATATATATTAAAAAAAAATTCAGATATTTAGAGCTTAATACACTTATTAAATGTTAAAAAGGATCCTTTCTAACAGCAGAGCATATAACTTGGAAAGGGCTTCCCCACAGAAAGCACATCAATTATCTGGAAAAGGTGCAAAGGCATACAACAAAGTAGCTTCTGGATCTAAAAACAAGTTATGAAGAGAGGCTATAGGCATTAAATATGCCAAAGCTAGAAGATAGAAGAAAAAGAGACATGATCACCTTTTACAAAATAATAACAGGAATCGACCAAAGTAACAAAGAGGAATTCCTGAAACTAGTGACTTTAAGAACAAGAGGTCACAGATTTAAGCTATTCAAGCTAAGGAATCAAAGGTGCCCAAAAAAATAGAAAGTTTTCCTTTGCAAACAGAGTTGTAGATGGTGGAATAAGTTAAGCAAGAAGGTGGTGGAGACCAAACCCGTAAGTAGTTTCAAAGCATAATATAACAATGAGTGCTGGGAAGACAGGACACCACAAGCATAGCTCTCATACTATAACTACACTTAGGTAATTACACAGTGTATATGCAACTGAAGCAATTTAAAAAAATATATAAAAACATGATTTATGCACATTATTTGCATATAAAACCAACGTTGAATGTAATGAAACGCCATTCTCTGGGCGAGACCCAGAGGCTCCCCGGAGCTATCCAGGCTGATATGTAATAAATTAGACTTTGGCATCAGTGTGAATGGAGCTCATAGGCCTACCGGGAACCTCGAGCCAGAACCTGGCCCCCCTCAGAGAGGCACGAGTTGCAATGGCCTATAGAATAGCACATGTGATTTGGGGCATTCTATGTCTGCCATCGACCGGGTCAGGCACCCAGAAAGGTAAGCATCTCAAAACAAACCCTTATTCTGATTGAAACTACTACTGAAAGGCAAACGAGTGGATAGAATTCTCCAAAGAAAAAGAAGCAAACAAACATGACATCACCACTTGCCGCACCGCCATCTGCACAGCCCCCCTCCTCCCAAGGAGGGGGAAGGGGGAGCCCCAGACCCTCGTGTTGGCAACCCACACCTTCGGTTCTTCGGCTGATGTGAATGGCATTGGTCGTTGTGGCTTTCGCTCCTGATTTCTGTCCTCTGCCTTGTGGTGTGGGGCGAGTCTTCTCTGGTGGTGCGTGAGCCAGGAGTAATTTCCCAAGTACTCGGGCTGCATGTGCCCAGGGTCACCTTCCCTAGGTGCCCTGTAAGTACTGCCCTTGGGGCTTGGGGTTATCTTCCACAAGTCACCTTGTGGTCTACCTCTGTTGGTCTTTTGCTGCTCGGTAATTGACCCCCCTGAGTGTGCTGGGGGTTTTCCTTCTCCCTTGTTTACCTTAAGGTAAGGGGTAGTTTACACTGTTAGGGGGTGCAGGGTACCGCTTGTTATCACCTATAATGGCAGCCGGCTCTGTTCTGCCTGGGTATGTTGTCATCTTGCGGGGGTTTTTCTTTTGTTTTTGTTTTCCTGCTTGGTTGGTGGGGGGGGGGCTGCCTTTGGTTCATTGCCCACTATCTATACCTTAGGTCTCCCTCTCTCTCTCTCTGTGTTCAAGGTGGTATCCCCTGCTAGGCCCCAGAGAGCGGACACATCCTGGGGGTTCAGCTTCTAGAAAGTTTGTTTGTAGACTTGGGCGCCAGTTAGCAGTACCCTGTCTGGGCTTCCCTGAGCTCGAGTTCCATCTCAGGACCCTGGGAATCCCCACGGGGGCGTGTGGGTCCAATGGATGTGACCCCTGAGTCCCCCCCCCCCCCCTCGCCAAAGTCTAATATAATACATATCAGCCTGGATAGCTCCGGGGAGCCAAAAGGGCTCCCCCCAGAAAAATATACTTACCTAGGATTTGGTGCGTATTTGTCCACTGCCCAGACCACATATATGAGATAACTTCCAATGTCTTGCAAATCATCAGCAAATTTGTGTAATGCTTCAGCCAAGAGGAAGTAGTCATTGTACCTATAAATATAATAATACATGTAAGTATATATTCCATTCATTATTTGAGGACTGGGGGGGGGGGGTTAAAAATGGCACAAGTCCTTGTGTACCACTATTACTATAATCTGAATTCAGAGTGCTAGTACTAAACAGTGCATAAGTAGACACTGTACGTGCAAATAATACATGTGATGCCACATCATTACATGCATTATTACGCACAACACAAGGCAAACTGGTCAAGGAATTACGAACAACAACATTACATATTAGGTTATTTTAAGAAACCTCATGGAAATTTAAAATGAAATAATGTTATGACCTGGGCCCAGTATTGAACTGTAGCAGATGAGATCCAGGATCGTATGTTTATATATAGAGATGTGAGGGACCTTAGCAGGTTATAGTTTTATGGTGATAAGTCACAGAAGTCGTGAGAGAGGGTTGTGCTTTGTTGAGCTCCTGGCAGTAGGACAAACCCTAACTGTGTGCTCCTTCAAGAGGGAATCAAGCAGGCGTTTATGTGTGAAGCCTGTTGGACAACTTAATGTACTGAAGTCAGGAGCACAAGAGCTGTGAGGCTGTCATAAAGAAACTTTGTTGGATATCTTAGAGGACGACACCTGGGAGCGCCTCAGCTGAGTGTGCTCGAGATACAAATTCTGCGGTAAGCTAATATAACAGTTGTTACAGTGGTTGTGTTCAAGCACTGCCTGTGCTTGAACGTGTACCCAGTGATCATAGCAAGTATTTATGTATATAGTACATATGTTCCATTGAGCTAGTGAGCCAAAATAAGAAAGTAGAGATAGGAAGACATGCTGGAGGGGAGGAGTGATTTGTCCGCCCTTGCCAAAGGTCAAGCACTGACTGAGTGGGGGAGGCCCCAGCCTCATGACCAGGGAGGCAGCCAGCGATGTGTCTGGACATGTTCCCAAGTAGACCCGCCCAGGATGGGGGAGGACCGTCGGGGCGATGCAATAGTGATTAAAGAGATGTCAGAATGAGGCGTTTTATTTTCTGTGAATACTGTACATTTAATTATGTTTTGTCAGGAAAACGTTTATTATGACATGATGATGGAATTGCAGGTTTGTGTGGGGAGAACTGCAAAGTTTGTGTAATTACTGTACCCAGGTGCAGTTACAGGATGAGAGCTACGCTCGTGGTGTCCCGTCTCTCCAGCACGCTTTGTCATATAACACTTTGAAATTACTGATGGTTTTGACCTCCACCACTTTCTCACCTAACTTGTTCCAAACATCTACTACTTTGTTTACAGAAGTGAATTTTCTTATACTTCTCCGGCAGCTTTGTTTCGTTAGTTTAAATCTATGACCTCTTGTTCTTGAAGTTCCGGGTCTCAGGAATTCTTCCCAATCAATTTGATCAATTCCTGCTACTATTTTGTACGTAGTGATCATATTGCCTCTTTTTCTTCTATCTTCTAGTTTTGGCATAATTAATGCCTCTAACCTCTCCTCGCAGCTCTTGTCCTTCAGTTCTGGGAGCCACTTAGTGGCATGTCTTTGCACCTTTTCCAGTTTGTTGATATGCTTCTTAATATAAGATATGGGCACCATACAACAGCTGCATATACCAGCTTTGGTCTAACAAAAGTCGTGAACAATTTCTTTAGTAATTCTCCATCCTTGCATTTAAAAGCAAGTCTGAAGTTAGAAAGGGTAGCATAGGCTCCTCGCACAGTGTTCTTAATGTGGTCCTCAGATGACATATTCCTATCTAGAACCACCCCTAGATCTCTTTCTTTGTTAGAATTCTTTAAAGATTTCTCACATAATTTACAGGTTGTGTGGGATCTATGTTCTTCAATTCTTCGTTCCATAACATGGCATTTATTCACATTAAATTCCATTTGCCAAGTGGTGCTTAATAAATAATAAAATAAATACACAGTTTGCTTAATAATAATAATTAAATAATAATTAATAAATTAATAAATTTACAGCCCAAATAAATACAAACAATTTATTCACTGGTAGATTTTCCCACACCACTCTTGAATAGGGTTAGGCAATCTGCTCTAGACTGCAGACCATCTGTCCAACTAATTTGGGGATCTATTTCCCTGGGGTCTAGGCCTAGCCCAACTCCTATAGATGATACCCTGCCCCCCCCCCACTCCCTCCTTACACTAAGTGTCCTCTAATAGCCCCACTTATAACAAATAACATCATCAAAGAAACAATGTAGTTCAGCCCAAGCAAAAATAAATTTAAATGCCATAGACACAAATGGCATTACAAATACCATAATGAAGTGCCTCAATGCAGAAAGGAAGTATTGAAGGCAATGGTATTTTTGTACCCAGGATCTTCAAAAATGTGTTACTATGAAGGCTTAATGTCAAACAAAAAATGGAAAATCTGATGCAATTTTAAATATTAACCATAATATTCACAACATACAGTACCTACATAAACTCTACGAAAATATAAATTGTACTGCCAACTTCTGCTATGCTCTGTAGTATTCCCTGAATAAATAAACTGTACGCATTCTAATGTATCTGATGGTAGAGAGTAGGCACAAAGCGCTATCAACATTAGTCAATAAACCAATCCTGTGTTTACTGTGGAGGAGAGCTTTCTCAGAGCACAATATTATATACAGAAATCTTATAATTTGGTGTTTTTAACTAACCAGTTTAGTGTATTTGATGAAACTTACATACCCAGCTTTTTACTACACTTCATGTAGGACTATCCATAATATATAACAATACTATTTTCATTTCTGTTCATTTGATGTAATATATTTTACTTATTTTTATTGTTCACATAATCTTACTTTAATTTCAATTTGGAATCTCTATGTTATAAATATAGTAATTTTAAGCAAAAGTCAACTATTTACCTGAAAACATTTTCTTCTTGGTTATCAGCACATTCACTCTCCTTCCCAACAACCTCAAGGGTAACATATAATTCTTGTATGGGATCCTGTTTGGACCAATCATGCCACTGAGTCACAATACTGGCATCATCCACACAAGCTTCGTTTCCTTCATCATGATGGATAGTAGCAGAAGCTAGTCGTACTAAATGGCAACAGGAGTTTGGTTTTGAATTTTCTTCTTTAATTATTTTAACTGCAGCTTTTATTTCTTCATTTATAAAATTATTTGTCCGTTCTGAAATATTATAGAAGGAATATTATATAAGAAATTTTGTTAAACTTGTAATAAGAAAAACCAGCTAAATAGTGCATTAAGTATAACTATGCACAAAAGATTGAATGGGAATACTGTATAGACCAAACTTGGCTGACCAAACCTGGCAGGTTCCACCACCAAAACTTCCTCCTGCAGTTCCACACCCACATCCACAGAAGGGGGATAGGCTTTTGATCAAGTTCAGCTAAGAATCAAGGTTAAAGTGATTACCTTGGAGAGAAGGAAGAGAGAAAGTAGATCAATTTTTCTTCACCTACTGATGTATATATAATATTAGGCCCTCTCTCTAAAGAAAAGGAGGAACCCAATATGCACCAACCTCAGGCTAAGAAGGCTTCTGCACAACCAAGCGAAAACAATCACACACACTCCTGCACCACTGTATAATCACACATGCTCCTACAACACTGTATAATTACACACTCCTGCAACACTGTATAATTACACACTCCTGCAACACTGTATAATTACACTCTCCTGCAACACACTATAATTACACACTCCTGCAACACACTATAATTACACACTCCTGCAACACTGTATAATTACACACTCCTGCAACACTGTATAATTACACACTCCTGCAACACTGTATAATTACACACTCCTGCAACACTGTATAATTACACACTCCTGCAACACACTATAATTACACACTCCTGCAACACACTATAATTACACACTCCTGCAACACTGTATAATTACACACTCCTGCAACACTGTATAATTACACACTCCTGCAACACTGTATAATTACACTCTCCTGCAACACACTATAATTACTCCTGCAACACACTATAATTACACACTCCTGCAACACTGTATAATTACACACTCCTGCAACACTGTATAATTACACACTCCTGCAACACTGTATAATTACACACTCGTGCAACACTGTATAATTACACTCTCCTGCAACACACTATAATTACACACTCCTGCAACACTATAATTACACACACTCCTGCAACACTATAATTACACACACTCCTGCAACACTGTACAATTACACACTCCTGCATCACTGTATAATTACTCACTGTATGTATTATTACTTACTTACTGTTGGGTGACCAGAGGCTACAGTTAAGGATTAGTGCCCAGTCAATCCTCCCCGGCCAGGACACAAACCCAGGCCGTGAAACGCCAGGCTAAGAGTTTGGCCATGGGGGACTGCTTCTAATGTCTCTGTGGTTCTAAGTTTCCACCTGTATAATCAGGCACGCTCCTATATCAGTGCTTAATCATGCACAAACATAATATCTGCCGTTACCTGTTGAGATAAAGAGTAATATTTTATCCATTGTTGCGAGGAGTGTGGTGCCACGGCGTCTCCCGCCACTCTCTTCAACACTCTCCCTACAGTGTCAACAGTGCAGTTCGCACACTAATATTTTTACCACTTCAGACACCAGCTTTGGACGTTTCGTATATGTGTGAATGCTCAAAATTAAAACGATTATATAATGCTATTAATAGTTAAAATCTTCTACTTAACAGGCATATAGTTATTAAATGAAGTTTAGTGATGTAATAGACATAATCCGGAGTTGGTAAGGACGCCGCCCGCCAGCGTAAACACAACACACTCTGAATGCCCACAAACACGATACAACGCACAAAACACAACACTGTTGTCAGTTTTTGGATAAACTCCTTTTATATTTATTATGTGATAGTTATACTTGTATAAGATGATAACTATTATAGGTAAGCGCCTAATATTTGATATTAATCAATAAAAAAGAAGTCAGAAGCCACACGCCTGTCTGTACATGTCTTTTGTGTAAAAGTATTTTGGGCGCTCATGTACTTGTGCGCTAGCTGGCGTTCACATCTGTTCTCGCCTACAAGCATTAGAACTACACAGACGAATTTATTTATTTATTTATTTATATGCAAGAATATACATTTTCTCGAGAGAGTACATAGCATTGGTGTTCTTACATTCTTTTTAAGCCACTAACTTGCAAAGCCTTTCGGCATGTCTAGACCTGCCCAAAACCTGCCTATTTATCTTTACCATTTACCAATAATAATATTAATAGTTATATATTTACAACATGGTACAATGGGTTTGTAAAATAAAATGTTATTATAAATAAATAGTAAAAATTATTTGTGTTCTATTATTGTTGTAAAATAAAAAATACGAAAAGAAAGTTTGTAAAATAAAAAATACGAATGTACATTATTTCAATTCAATTTCTTTCTATATTATGCACCCCATACCCATCCCGTGGGCGGTGGTGTAAAGGATTACAGAGGCACATAATCGGTCCGGGGTACAATGGAGTAAAGGAGTATGGCAAGGCTAGGCAACCTAGGTAATAAATAATTGCCTCAAGTCTCCGAAATTTAGTTGATGTTCCTGGGATATTGCTGCCCGCAGGCTGATCAAAGGCAGTCCAAGTTGGTAATCAATTCCCTCTTTACGAGCAAAAGTCTTGGCCAACTCATCAGTTCTATCATGCATTCGGAGACCAATATGGGAAGGAATCCACAGGAGACAAACTCTGACTCCATCATTAATTATTTCACTATATCTGTGTCTAGCTTCAGAGATAAGCACGTCACAGTTATGCCTTGGGAAGCTGAGGGCAGTCAAGGATGACAGGGAGTCACTTACAATTAGCGTGTCAACTTTGGATTCATATACGCGCTTCATATAGTAGACAAGAGACTGCTGACTATTTGTGGAGTTCATGTAGATCTCTTTGTAAGACTTCAATATCGTTATCATTTCCCATTTTACCATAAATATTTGTGTACTCTGCAAATTTGATGATGTGGTTTGTAATATTCTCGTCTATGTCATTGATGTATATGACAAACAGGGTGGGTCCTAAAATTGGCCCTTGTGACACCCCACTTCTACACTCATTCTTCCATCAGCTATTTCTTTGATATTTACGATATCTTAAATTTTCATAATTGTTGCTGTATTTTTTTTTTTTTTTACGTGGCAACGTTCGCCTGGATTTTGTTTCAGAGAACTTTCTCCTCCCAAGGGCCTCCCGCGAGGGCCTCCCAAACACTCGAATGCGCCTTTGTTTTGATCGGCTCACGTGGATTTGTTTACGGTCGATGTGGCACCATCTGCTTCACACTCCAGACATTATTATCTATAAACGAGGTCCGTGACGGAGGTGTGGAGGCAGTTTGAGTCTCCAGGGAACACAGGTAACCGTTGTGGTTCTGCAACACAAGCTTTTATCCTCAGACAGTCATGTTAAATGAATATTTGTAGTTCGTGTCTGCTGTTTCTAAGGAGAGAGGGGGCGGGACTTCCAGCGTCAACCTCATTAATGGGAACATGTGACTCGCAATGATAGGTAATATATGTTTCCTCATGATTGGAAGTGAGGGGTTTTCTTGTTGCATCACTAATAAAGAAGGTAAAGGGTAGATGAGTATGGGTATAGGAGTCTCGTGAGTTTTCAGTGTGTGTTGGGGAAGGTGGAGAAGTGAGGAGGGTTGGTGAAGGTCGGGGCTGACAAGTTCAAGGTGCTTCCAAGGTAAAACTGGTCCTACCAACGGTACTTTGTACAGTCTGGGAGGAGAGCGCTCTTCATCTTCAGAACACTATGTTAATGATTGGTTTGATTTTCTAAAAGTAATTCAGATGTAAAGTGTCTTACATGCCCATCAGCAAAAAGATTAAGGAAAACCAGCACTCCTGAAAACAACAACATATGAAACTACTGATTCCTTTATAAGTAACTTAGGGCCTCACGAGCACTATGCTTACACTGATGGGTCTGTTCAAATGTCAACAGGGCAACACTGCAGCAGACTGTAGAATATACAAAGACAACATGTGTACACAGACTACAAGTGTGAGACTGATTAATAATTGGCTTAGCTCTACACATACAGAATTAGCTGCACTTCAACTTGCCACTAATGCACTGACAAACAGTGGAGGAGTAATTTTCTGTGATTCAAAGTCAGGTCTTCAGGCACTTAAAATTCCCAACATACAAAATAGATAATAGGAATGTTGTAATATTCATTATAAACATAATCTTTAATAATAGGGAGTCAGAGGTCACTCCCTGCAGTACCTTAAGTCTTACCTTACTGACAGGCTCCAATATATTTCTGTGAATAATTCAATTTCTCCCACCCTACCCATCAACATTGGTGTTCCCCAGGGCAGCATACTTGGCCCTCTCCTCTTTCTCATCTACATTAATGACCTCCCAAATGCCTCCCAACATCTCAAACCAATTCTATTTGCTGACGACACGACATTCATTTACTCCAGTCCTGACCCCCTTGCTCTAAATGTCACAGTGAATACTGAGCTAAATAAAGTCCATCACTGGCTAACTGCCAATAAACTCACCCTCAATATTAACAAAACTTTCTATATTTTGCTTGGCAATATATCCTCAAATCAAATAAATCTCAGGATTAACAATACCCAAATTTGTAACAAAGTAGATGGCAAATTCCTCGGCGTTCTCATTGACCGCAAGCTGAATTTCCAGGAACACATTCTAAATATATAAAAAAAAAATCAAAAACTGTTGGCATTTTTTCTAAGATCAGATATTATGTACCTCGCCCTGCCCTGGTGACACTCTATTACGCTCTCATCTATCCTTATCTCAACTATGGTATTTGTGCTTGGGGTTCTACTACCCAAAATCATTTACATCCTCTAATTACTCAACACAAAGCTGCTATTAGGACAATATCTAACTCTAGCCCCAGACATCACTCGGTATCCTTACTCAAATCTGTGAATGTTAGATATTAAGTCACTGCACATCCTCTCATGTGTATTTTATATATATAAAACGTTGAACTGTAATGTCAATTCTGACCTTAAAAGCTTCCTAGAAGGTTGTAACAGATCCCATGAGCACCACACCAGAAACAAATACCTATTTGATATTCCAAGAGTACGACTTAGTCTTACTAGAAATGCTTTACAAATCAAGGGACCTCGAATGTGGAATGACCTTCCCAATTATGTTAAAGGCTACCTCTCCCAACCAGTTTAGGATAAAAACTAAGTACCACCTAATTAACTCAATGTAACCTACCTCACCCCTAAATGTCAACCCATGTCCAAAATTTGAAACAATGCTGTTTGTTGACCAAATAGTATTTTTGCTTTTTTCTGCCATGTTTCCCCCTCCCCCCTTTTTTCATTTTTTCTGATTTTTTCTCAACACAATTTATACTTTAATCCAAGTTAGTATTAAGTTTTAGTCTTAGTGTTTTTCCTGCCCGAAATGCTTTGCGTAATAGTAACTTTAGGCATTGTATGTACTAGCTCTATCTATAAATCCAACTTTTGTATTTCACCTTGTATGTATGTACTTTACCTGAATAAATATTTGTATTTATATTTGTATTTTGTTTGTACACAGAGCAAGAGTTTGAGTCTCATTTGTATAGATACCATCTCACATAGGTGTTGTCAAGCATGATGACATGGACATTTGCATCTAAAATTGCATATGATAAGGCCAGGTTTTGGCCTCTACTTGCTGGTAGGCTTGTATGACTTGCAAGTTCCTGATGTGATTCAAATTGGGTGGTTGTGAGAAATAGTGAGCCTCCTAGAACCCACCACGAAGAGGCATTTTATTATATTCAGTGCTGATTTTTCTTCTTTGCATAAGCATTGGTAGAACACTACTTTATAATACTGTACTATTTTCCTGGTTTTAACAAGGTATCTACGGTGGATATTTTCAGCTCAACAAATTGTGTGATACATTTCTGTATAGAAGAGTCTGCACATGATAAATGTTCCTGAGAAAACAGATTATACTATCCCAGTAGAAATCTTTTTATATTTAAATAGGACCTCTTTAAGGGAGCTTAAAAAAAAAAAAAAAGTGGGTTGGACATGTACAGTATATGAGTGGGATTGGGTGGTTATAAATAGGAGCTGCCTCGTATGGGCCAATAGGCCTTCTGCAGTTACCTTTGTTCTTATATTCTTATTTTCTCTTTATTTTAGAATACCAGCAGGACTATGAACAATGGCAGCGAGGGAGAATTGGATGGGTTATGCGAGTCCCTCAACCAGGCAGAACTAGTGGCCATGGTTGAACTGCAGCTGTCAGAAGTTGACATGCTACAAGTATGAAAAGTTTCAGGTTTAAATTTAGTCATTATCAAATGTTACTGTATATTATTTTTTGTAATTACTTATGCAGTTTAACCCTTGCATTGCACTAGCCGGCATATTAGAGTGTGTGCTAATATGCCAGCCGACATGTGATTGTATTAGTATATCATAAGATTCAAAACTCCCATGCATACAAGGAGACATAAATTTGCTTCCTCGGGCCTCCAGTAACCATCCCCCATCTTGAAAAAACATTCTGAGTCCCTTACTTTCCTTCCATAGGCTTAGTAACATGGCCTACATTACTAAGGCCCCATGATACGTTTAGGAACGTACTGGGCAGCCATACTATAAACCACTGAAATTTTAACACCAAGTGAGTGATTTCCATTACAGTATATATTTCGGACAAAACGTGTGCTATGTCCAATTATAATATTCAGGCTTATACATACAGTATATATTAGTATGAATAAATACATGGTGTGTGCATATATTTATTTACATATCTGTTTATATGTGTATTTTCAAAGTTATACATAATGAACACCATCTTTGACACACAGATACAACTTGTTAGAGCAAAAAACTAAATAAATAAAGTGAGAAACTGAAAATAAATCAACAAAAGTTATTCCCATGCAGTAACTCGCCTCATTTTTACACAAAGAAAAATGCAACTTCTCTAGGCCACTACAGCTAAACTATAAGAGGTAGAGACATTTTACTATAAAAGTATTTTTAAACATTGTGCTATAAAAAATTATTTCTGCTTGCTGTCTTTCAATTGCAGAGTACTGTACCATATTATTGCTCTTGATATTTCTTGATCTAGTCTATGTTCCCTGATCCACGGGAGTTAGTGGTGGAAGACCCATCAGTGTTGTGTGACTTGAGGGACTTTGCTGAAGGCCGCACGTTGCTTCTTCCTCCATGTCTTGACTTGATCATCAATTTGGAAGTTAAAAAGGTATTGAATTTTTTTTAGAATATATTATTAAAGGTATAAAATAAGTTCATTACTTAGCAAATAAATTTTGTTATCCTCCCCTTACTATGTAATGTATGAATCAGAGACATCCCTCACCTCATTCACATGTATTTTCATCTTGCATTTAACGAGTGCAAGTGAACAGTTCATTTTACCCCACTAGAACAATTTATTGTTCACGGTGATTACCAAATTGATTTGCCGATTGGTTAATAAACTTCTCTATTATCACATCTTATCTCTCAAAAATGTTGCTGTGCACAATCTGTATTATCATCAACATTAATTTTAACAAGATCATCTGTAAGTCATCTTTCTCAACTTATTTAAAATATTTGATCTGCTTGTGCCTTTTATAACACTAAAATGTTTCTTTCTATCTTTGTCTCCTCTAGTCTTTCTTTCACTTGGCCATATTCATCTGATTTCTCTGTTCAACTAGCAGTAAATAGTTACCTGAAAGTCAATAGTTTATCTAAGGGACCTCGGTAAGCCTAACAGGCTTCCTGTCCCCGTATATGGGAACCAAACCAAACACATTTTTAGAACTTTATCCATTATATTTTTATAACTAATGTACTCATAAAATTTTAAATTTTCACTGCTCTAAATTTTCCCATTTGAGAAGTGGTAAATTTTATCCATTATATTCTTACTCTTGTTCATAACTGCTTTACTAATACCCTGTAGGTGTGGAGGTAAGCAAAGTCACTTGCTCACCTTGCAAATGAGAATGACTTGGGTTCAAGTCTTGGGTAGGATAATCTCGGAGACCCAGTTGTTGCCTATTGGGAGCCAGGACTAGAACCTGGCTCACTCAATGAGGCAAAAGGAGCATGGGATCAGACATCAACCACAAAAACTGGAAAGAAACCACCCTAAAAGTATAAGCACAGCCAAACAAGTGACGGCTTTAACCCATTAACTGCTCGGCTTCCAAATATGACCCCCCCCCCCCCCAGTGCACAGGAAATAAATTCTCTGGAAAAAATTATTTTCTGTTTTGAAAATGTCGAAAACCCTACCCTGAGTATGGGTAAAGTAACTGTAAGTCAAAATTGTATTTACTTTGGCTGCTATGGGGTCTGTAAGTTGGTGCGTGACGTCATCATTCCCCATTCGCCCGTGGCGTACACTCCCGGGGCCAGTAGGGCGCCCAGGGCAGGATGCGTGTGCTGCCGCGAATATATTTTTGTTCATTTTTTTTACACGGTTCCAAATACATTTTATTTGTTTTTACGTGCCAATCCTACATATAATGAACACATACACTATATTGTGGCAGTAGAACATCCATACTGTCCGAAGACACTGTGTTACGTGCATGACACATGTGTACACATATCTGGCACATATTTCCAATGTATCATGCTAATTTATGCATATATTCAATCTATTTACACACTGTACAGTATCACACACTATATATACACACACACACCATAAACACACTCAGAACTCCACGAGTGCGAGCTGCCACACCCAGCCAGCCAGTCTTCCCTCTCTCCTCCAACATCGTACTCGCCATCACCCCTCCTTCCACCATACTGTTATTCACACCAATGTTTCATGTTCATTTATGTATATTGTTACGGCCACAATGGGTCGCAACCGGGTTCTTTGCTGGTGGAACTAAAGTTCTGGTATCTGGCCCCAAGTTAGTAGTGGCTTTCAAGGAGTGAGCTCGGTAATGCAACTAAACACAATGGGGGAGGTGCATTGAATACGACACTTCATCAATTATCAATATATTCACATATAAGGGCTAAATAATACAAGTTATATATATATATATATATATTGACATTATTAGGTGATGCTGTGGTTACAACCTGAACAGCAGTGCTGTGAGCTCATGCTGCGTGCGCCAGCCTTGGTTGCTCACTCAGTACTGAGGCTCTCACACCCGGGAATGTGGCCCACAATTTTTTTTAAAGATGGCATCTGTTTACAAGAGCCCTGAGGAAGCTGATGTGAACCCCATGTAGCCACGGGAGTTTTGAATGGAACACTAAAAATATAAATACCCGGAGGCGCGTTACGCACCCCCATTGAGGGCCTGCAGGTGCGTTGCGCAGTTTAGGGGTTAAGGAAATGAGGCACTCGTAGATAAACAAAGTAAACATTGCTATGGGGCAACTCCCCTAATCCCAATTCACTTGATTGCCATCAGATGGCAACCCAGGTCACTGAGGTTTCATCCAGCCTGCCACCTTACTCTGGAGCCAACCTTACCTAACCCTCCCATCCCTACAGAAAAAAATGGGAGAGAACAGGGATTGAGAAGTGACTGGGGGCCCACCAGAAAAGGGTATTTCATTAAAATCAACATTTGATTTCTGAGAGATCCCTTCATTAGTTCCTAGACTTACTTATAAGAGGGCCTTGGTAGAGGGACCCAGCTTTCTCAAAAAGAAAAAACAAGATGAGTAAAACAGAAAAGGTAGACTGGGCATACTTTGGGAGGTGAATGGATGGACTAGGTCGGGTGTATAAAGTTTAGAACAGTTACCCAGTAACAGTGATTGTGTGCTTTGTTTACCTCATTTCTTTCAAGCTGTTTCTTGTTTTGTGGTGCTCAGTGTTTCTTGTCTCCCCACCCCATGAAAATTGGGAAATGGAATAAGAATAATAATAATGATGATGATTGATCTAATTTGTAATTTCCGGAATAAAATACTGTACTGTACTGTTAAAATTTCTTCACATTAATGGAGGTTCAGTTCATATACAAAAAAGGCACTTCATAGGCTAGGAAATCTTAAGTGCTACAGTATAATTGATAAGACAATAAATCAAGAGTAAATATCATTTGGTTGGGTTTCCCCAAATGGGAAAAATAACCTCGAGTTAGTTTTATCTGCTTATTTATTTAATTTGGAGCCATGGTAATCAAACCACATTGGGACCAAAGAGCCAAAGCTTAACCCCTGCAAGCACAACTAGGTGAGTGCACATCAGAAAATTAAGGAACAACAACATTTCTTCATTTTCTGATGCGTGGTTTGAATATCATAGTTTCAGTCACATTATTGTGACTCGTCATCTGCATTAGAGCCATTGCCTTCTAATTTTTTTTTTTTTTTTTTTTTTTTTTTTTTTTTTGTCAGGGCTGTCTGAGCATGAGTGTCATTCTCCCTCACCACTATCCAGCTGTGCAGCCCAATATATTTGTTCGTTCACAAACACTGAGTCGTGATGCCCAGCATCGTCTCAACCAGGAGCTTTTGGGGTGTGTTTTCAGTATTTGGCTTTTTTATTTATATAAATTGTATAAAGTACAGTATTGTACTGTATTTTAATATACTATATATTTTATGACAAGATATAACCTAGTTTTCCAAGTTCTTACATTTGGTTGATTCCAAAAGTAAGATCCGTTATGTCTTATGATTGTAATCATTCACATAGATTAGAACATATAAGAAGAATGTAGGATTTAGGGAAACTGATGAAAGCCCATTGACCCATATGAGGCAGCTCCTCTTAATATCCACCCAAATTCATTCATGTACGGTATATGTCTAACCTACATTTGAATAATCTATCATTCCCATGTCACTTATATTATTTGGTACTTTTTTCCATAAATCAGCAACCATTTCCAAAATAGTACAGTATTTACCTAGGTTTTTCTTGAATCTAATCTTACCCCATTGATATTCAGTGTTTCGTAGCTCTTAACTCCTTGTCTCTCTAGAAAATGTATGGTAAGCTTTTTGAATATATATTTGTAAGGATTCTAATTCCTGACAGGAACATATGAATAAAGTTATTGTGTTCACTAGTCCTACCTTGCAGTTATCATGCATTGGTTCCGAAAATCATTGTCCCTGCGACCCGCGGGGATGCCCAGTTGACTAGACGACCTGACCAGAGACGTCCCTGCGACTCGACGTCTCTGGCCAAGTCGTCTAGTCAACTGAGCTGTTAAATACAGCTGCTTGTCGCCTGACATATTATTTGTAGCTCAGTTGAATTTGGTGGCAAACTTTTTTGCTGCATACCTTGCTTGCAATTGCACAATTTTGGGTCAGATTCAAGAGTTACTTGAACTATTATCCCTCTTGTTTTCCACTACTTCTAGTTTTTTTTTTTTTTCCTGAGGATAAGGTGCAGAAGGGGGTCAGATGCAAGTCTTCATTCCAGTCATTGACAAGTATTCTTGGCGAAAGATTGCCTTCCCTTGGGGTGGTAGCTTATGGGGTCAGCCTTGCAGCTTGTTCGAGGTAGAGGTTCTTGTGATCAGATGCCTCCCCCCTCATGTGTGGCTCTTTTACTTTGTTTGGCTGCCTTCACCTGCTTTGGGAAAGTCTGGCAAAGGTCAGTCTTGATCCTTTTATATGCATTCATCTGATAAACTGTAATGATAGTGAGCTGGAAGAACTTCTCCAGGCCTTTTTCCAAACTTAGGTCAGGGATTCCTGACCTTCCCCCTACTATCATTTTAGTGATTGCTATCCATTGAACATCATTAAAATTACTGTACAGATATATAAAAGGTGGTAAGTTATATGCAGTCCTCTGTCTTGAGAGAACTATTATTTTTTCATTAGACATTTTGATTAAAATTCTGAATTCAAATGTTTGTCTAAACTTTTACATGTACATACACTTCTACAAATGATAAATATGATTTGTAAATGTTTGTAAATTTTTACAGGTATTTAAAGACTTTACAAAAAGGTGATTTGTGCATAGGACCTGCTGTTACATGGTTGCAAGAGAAAGGTGAGACATTTTTTGATCATTCTGAAGAGCTGCCAAAAACTGATGCACATTCACTGGAAACCAAAGACACTAAGTTTGCTCGGCTGTGGATTTACTCTCACCATATATACAGCAAGGTAAATATGGCTATGTATTTCTGTTTCTTGGACTTCAAATAAAGAACTTCCGGGGCTCGCCTATTTCTGGGCAAGCACCCAGAAATATGGCATAAAAGTACAGAGCTTTTAACTGCGCTTGGACTCGATTTTATTTGATTGACTGTTACGCTTTGTGTTCTGTTCGACAGGAAATCGAGTGTAAAAGTGTACACTAGCATGCATAGTGTTTCGGGCAAGTCCTTAATCCTAATATTCCGTATGTATGTATTTGTGTGTACAGTATTTACAAATTGTGTAACTAGTTTCACAAGATTGGCAGCCTTCTATATCTTGAGAAGGGTTCCAAGATTGGCACCTTCTTTGATAATTACTTCACTTATTAAAGTACTTTTTCAAAAGTTAGAAGCAGTTTTGCCCGCTTCTAACCTTCTTTTGTGATAGTTATTATACTGTACATATGTATATAAAAATATTTAAACTTTGCTAGTTTTGAACTTATAGACACATTATCATGTGCATGTTTTAAATTGGTATTTTAGTTTTTGAGTGGTTTGATTGATTAAACTTCTTCCATTTCAACAATTCCAGGTAAAGCGAAAAGACATCCTAGACTTGTCAAAGGAATTTGATTTAACTGGATTCTGTTTACCTGGCAAGCCAGGTATCATCTGTGTTGAGGGCTTATCATGCAACACTGAAGACTGGTGGCACAAGGTACCAATCTCATTCTGTACTTGGATTTATAAAACAAAATTATTTTAATGCTTTCATTTAAAAAAAAAGACAAGATGATATTCATAATGTAAGATAATTTAGCAATTTTATCTTTTGCATTATCACTTATTTCCATCTGCATTGCTGATGTTTTGTTTCTCCTGGTAACTCCCCGTTCTTGAGGTAACCTTGTGGGAAATCTTCCAGAGACATTTCGGTTGCCTCAAGTAATTTTAATATTTTGGAACATTACTTGAAACATTTGTTTATGAATGAAAATTGCTCAGGAAGCATAAACACTCAATTTTAAAGTGGTTGGGGGTATAGAAAAAACTTGTAATGTTGTCACATTCTATGCTTTTTCACTAAATAACTGTGGACAGTGAAGAGGAGAGGAAGATGTATGACACAAGGTGGTATTATATTTGAAATGAAAATATGATAACCAAACCACAAACCAGAAGATGAAGAGAACAATGTTTCAGTCCATCCAGGACCATTATCAAGTCAATTGTGATAATGGTCCAGGACGGACCGAAATGTTGTCATCTCTTCATCTTCTGGTGTGGGGTCTGGTCATCATATCTTCAGCCACGTTATTGTGACTTATCATCTGCATTTGAAATGAAAATGTGTATAGCAGAAAAAAAAGTTTAAGTGTGTTCAGACATTTCTCCACACCAGCAGTTTTTAACTTGTACTTTTCCCAGGTGTTCTTTATTGATTTGTGTTAATAAGAGTAACATTTCTAAATTCTTCACCATAAAAGGGTTTATTTGACTAAGAAGCTTTTGAAAAATTACCTAGCAAATGACAGTTTGGGTGGGTATAAATAGGAGCTGCCCTGCATGGGTCTATAGGCTCTCTGCAGTTTCTTTTATTTTTATTATTTTGTCAAGGGAGGGTACAGAAGACATTTGAATTTATGAATGAACTGTTATTTATCATTCTGGCTGGACTGAATATTTTCAAGTGACACCCTAGTACAGGGCTACCTCGGTTTAAGAATTTAATTTGTTCCTAGAGACAGTTTGTAAACCGAAGCAAATTTCCCCATAAGATATAATGGGAAATGAATTAATCCGTTCTTGACTCCCCAAAAACTTCACTTCAAAGTAAATTATATACCTAATTCACCCAAATCTTCACTACAAAAGTATGTTCAAATTATTACTTACCCTTGCTGATGATGCCTGTTGGCGTATGGAAGATGGTGAGGAGGGGGGAGGAGGAGGAGAGGTGTTACTGTTTGGAAAGGGAGTCTTATACCACCTGAATAAAATTTAATATATTTTATTATTGTGAAATTGTTAGTATTTGCTTAATTTCAGGTTAGATCATGGAACTGGCAGAAGATTCTTTGTAAAAAGCGTGAAGAGAAAGAAATGACAGCTGAGGAGGACGTATCAAAATGCCGGCGTTTTTCTACATTTGAAGAACTTGGTTCAGATAATAATATCCGTGTAAAGAGTAGTGGGTTTCATGTAGACATGGGTGATGTCTTTAGGTACTTGGAAAACCATGAGTCAGGGTATGTTTTTAAAGAGTACTTTGGAATAAGTGGCCGGCCTACTTGACATGCCACGTAAGTGTGCAAGCTAAACATAGTAGATTTACATAATTGCTTTATGATTGGGACAGGGATAATATAATGTTTTCCATTACATGCTAGCTTCATTCTGGTGATGAGAGCTTTGTCTAGAATATTTTATTCTTTATAAAATTTTAAAAATATAACATGCTCTATATTTTTACTCTACAGTATGTTAATTAAATTATAAACAACTAGTATAAATATATCCAAACAGTCTAGTCTTGATTATTTGAGGTAATTGGTTAAAGATGATGTATTAATCTCTGTTAAAACAAGTGCATGTAATGAAAGGTGCCTCATACATATGCACTATATGTATTTAATAGTATATGAATGGTTCTATATATGCACGAGTGGATAGCATTTCAATTGGAGCACGAAGCACAGTTCAAGCCTTTATTTACTCGCATCTGGGTTAATAGATTCTCTGATAATGAAGACTTGGCAATCAACTTACTGAAACAAGTTGAACAATAAGTTCTCATTAACATGACTTATTTTACCTCAATTTATTTTGTACACAATAAAACTTATGTAAAACTTTCATTGCCATTGATTCAACTCTTAGAAACCTTTTCTGCAAATTTCAAATAAGTGTGACATGGCAAAGTTAAAGTGCACGTCGGTCTGAAATTTTCAACACTGTTGGGAAATCTCGCCGAGGGTAATTAAATGCTTTCCGAGAAATCCTCCATAGCTCTCTTCATCTTATGGCACTGACACAGCATTCTATTTTGGAACCATTGGCATGGTGCTTGCAGCCAGTGGGCAATGTTGTCCCCTTAAAGAGGTGGGGAACCATGCAAGGATTATAGATCAACTCAAAACTTAAGCAAACTGTTCACATTAGTCAGAAAACAAAATTATCCCCGAGAAATTTTTGGGAATCGATAAATTACCAAGATTGAAAAACACCAGCCCATTTACTATCAGCCCTCCTGAAACAACTAGGTCAGAAAAGACACTACCACAGTCGAAGACACCTGATGCAAATCTAATAAAAAAAAGTGCTTCCTATGCAGATTGTGGTACAGCAACCCTTAAAACTTATTACAATGAAATTAGCAGGCTCTGGAACCATCCAGATAAGTCTGGCTACTATCTTCTAAGAATTGTGTACCGTCAGGAAAAGTTCTGGGGTGAGGGGCAACACTAGAGTAATGCCAGAACCAAAAGTGAAAAAGGATACATGGAAGCCAAGAGATGAACACGGCCTACAAAGTTCTCCAACTTGTATAATACCCGAGGAAGCACCTGAACCAGAGGGAATATATAATTACTATGTTGTAAATATTTTTTTATGTCCATGTAGTTTGCTGGAGAGGTTCAGCCTCCAAGGAACACTCCTGAAAACCCTGAATGGGAAACTTGTGACACAGGATCCATCTTGGGCAGAACAAGGTCCCATAATGTGCATTCCCTGAACTGCCATAGTGCTGCACTACCTTATTTCTGAGCCTAACTTGGAAGTATCAACCGAAAAAACAATAGAAATGGCTTCTTTCTGAACAATGTCTCTGTAGCACCACATTTCCCTACCTGTATATTCTTCCGTTTTAAGAAGATTGATGCAGTCAAGTTTGTGCCTTCTATGTTACAAAATATTCAAGAGGTCCTAGATATCATTACGATGCCAATACAAGATTGGAAAGATATGAGTTATATCAAAGAAGTCAGAGTTACCAAGGATTTTATCTAGCACAATTTTTTTTATATATTATATATATACTGTACAAGAGTTCTTACATTCTTGTACAGCCACTAGTACGCATAGCGTTTTGGGCAAGTACAAGAGTTCTTACATTCTTGTACAGCCACTAGTACGCATAGCGTTTTGAGTAAGTCCTTAATCCTATGTTCCCCGGAATACAACCCCTGTGAAGAATCGTTTTTGCAACCAAGTACTGTACCCATTTTACTGTTGAGTTGAACAGAGGCTACAGTTAAGGATTTGCGCCCAGTAAATCCTCCCCAGCCAGGATACGAACCCAGGACAAAGTGTTCTCAAATGCCAGGGGAGCGTCTTAACCACTACGCCACGGAGACTGGTAAATAACTGATGTAAAAGAAATGGTGAAGAAAAAAAAAAAAAAAAAAAGCAAAATGTCTCAAAATTCAGAGTGCATTATCTGTGAATTCTGATTAGATCTGGAATGATGTTCGGATTTTGGAGGTGTCACTGTACTGTACTTACAAATGCAATATCTCTAGGTCTTGCAGAAAGCCTGTCTTTCATGTATTTCTTAGCATATGATGCCAGAGAACCTTGTTTTAATAGTGGGAGACAAACACTAGGAAACAAAAACAGACTATCACTCAAACAGCATATATTATTTTATAAAACTAGTGCAAATATATTAAGGACAGCCAAAGAGGCTGCATGTTAAAAAGTATACATCATCTCACATGGCCCAATATAATACAGATCACTAATAACAGATGAAACCCAAAAGGATATACCAAGGGTGATGTTCAGGGTGGAGATGATGTGAATGCATTTACTAAACTAATATTTGTATAATTAAAATCAATTGCCATATTTTATTGACTTCGGATATTAATCCACATTTTCCCATGATATATGTATTGGGTACATTATGTGTACATCATATGCCTTTTTGACATTTAAGTGCTTATCTTGCTAGATCATTATTGTGGAATTATAATTCAGAAATAAGGACTGGTAAGGCAGCTTGTGAATAATGCTTGTTAGTCAAGTGATCTGACTACTAGCACAACACAAGATACGTCACACGGTAATAATTCGCTACATTTCCCTGTATATAAAAACTTTTCGGTGAATATTTAACATACAAATAAATATAGTTTAAACAGGAATACAAATATATATTAATTTTTTTTTTTTAACAATTACTGTACTGACTGGGTAACTCTAAACCATTTAGATACAAATAAATGCAACTTGATAATGCAAATATTGTTGCAGGTCAAAATATCATCTTGCTACACCAGCTTCACAGTATTAGCACATGGTGAAGCATTAGCACATGGCACATTCACATATGGGCAGTTGTACTATTAATCCCACAAACTGACTTACAATTAGCATATTTTAATTCTTTGCTGTGCATTAATAATATAATCAAGAACCAGTTACATGTGCTGTTAATCTTAAATGCACGAGGGTGTAATCATACTACTGTATGATGCAAAATCTTCTCCAAGCTGAAAGTGGTAGTGCTACAACAAAACAAAACTGTTCACAGGTTATATACTATACAAATTTGTGGCTGTAATTTATACACGTATTAAAGTAACAAACTACTTGCATTTATCTATATTCAGTATAGTATATATTATTTTGAGAGCCATAAAAAAACTTGTGGTACATTTTCAGTCTTCCATTATGACAATTATACCCCCACTCCAGAGTCATGGCTGAAGTCTTTATTTGCTACTACAATACTCTACTTCATAAAATTTACCTCTTCAATGCTCAGCCCTTATGACTAACAATGTGATATGTAACACACTTCTTACAATGCTCTGTGTATGCTAGAAAATTGAACAATGGCTATGCATACATCTTCCACAATAAAATCCTAACAATCCTCCTTTTCTTAATGCCCAAAATTTGCATTTGTATGACAAAATTTTGCCACCTCCAACATCGATTCCAAAAAAGTTTTATCATGGATGACATTCTTCTTCAAGATTTTATGGTACAAGTCCTTAGAGTGCAACATCTGAAGCATCGCCTCCCTATTTGAAAATGAAGACGGCTCCCGTCCTATGACAAAGGCGGTACCCAACATAGAATCAATGGCATCCCGGGGGTGATGCCATTCCAAATGTTAATCTGGGATCATTTTTATTTTTTTCCTCCATTCACCCATATTCATATGTTTTTCCTGAATCCTATTAGAAAACAAATACAAAATTAAGGTGTAACTATCTAAATTTCAGGAACTGATGTAAATTTAGTATGAAATTCTGTACAGAGTATACAAGGAAATATATGTAGCTTAAAAAACCAGCGTTGAATGTAATGAAACGTCATTTTCTGGGCGAGTCCCGGAGGCTCCCTGGAGCTTTCTAGGCTGATATGCTGTCAGACGTTGGCATCAGTCATGTGTATGGAGTTCTTATGGGCCTACCGGGGACCACATCCCAGAACCTGGCCCCCTCTAGAGGCAAAGGGAGCAATGGCCTATAGAAACCCCTATGTAATTGGAAGCATTCTATGTCTGCCATCGACCGGGTTAGGCACCCAGAAAGGTAGGGGTCCCAAAACAAACCCCTATTCTGGTGAAAATTGCAACCAAAAGCCGAACGAGTGAATAGAACTCCCCAAACAAAAACGAGCAAACTAGTATGATGCCACCCATCGTCGCGCCGCTGTTCGCAGCCCCCCCCCCTCCCCGGAAGGGGGAAGGGGTAGCCCCAGACATACCGCACCAGTGATCCACACCCCAGTTCTCGAGGTTGATGCTATCGGCTCGGTTGTGTGCTCTGGCTCCAGTGTTTTTGCGGCGCTGTGCCTTGTGTGTGGCTGCTGTACTCCAGGGGTGCGAGAGCCAGGAGTTATTCCTCAGTACTCGGGCTGCATGTGCCTAGGGTTCCCTTCCCTAGGTGCCTTGTAAGTACTGCCCTTGGAGCTTGGGGTTACCGTCCACAAGTTCCTCGGGGTCTGCCTGTGTGTGTGTGTCTCCCTTTTTCTGCTCGGTTTTTTGGCCGCCCTTTGGGTACTTGGGTGTTTTGTCCCCCTAGTTTACCTTAGGGCAAGAGGCAGTTTTTGCATTGATAAGGGGCACAGGGTGCTATGCAGCTAGTTGTCACCTATTGCAGCGGCCGGCTCTGTTCCTTGGGATACGTTGTCCTCTTGCAGGGCTTCGTCTCTGCGGCAGTATGAAGTTTCCTGGCGGTCCTTCCGGTTCTTCTTATGTCTTTGTCGTTGTACTTTGCTTTCTGTTAGGGTGCTGTTGTCCTTTCTCTCTTGGTTGTTCTAGGACCACCGTCTTATGCCTAACACTGTCGCCTCGTATCGTGCGGTGCTGATGGAGCCGCTTCAGCTTGCATTCGGTATTGATGTCACGTCTGCACCGTTTTGTAAGCTGTCTTGGGTGTTGTTTCACCTCCGGCCTGCTCATGCGCTGCCTGAGCCGTCCTGGTCATTGGACAGAGTGCTCTCTTTTCTTTCTTCTCGTTTTGTTGTGGCCCCTTCGGTTCAGGATTGTTTCCTGATGGCAGACATAGAATGCTTCCAATTACACGGGGGTTTCTATAGGCTATTGCTCCCCTTGCCTCTCTAGAGGGGGCTAGGTTCTGGCTCGTGGTCCCTGGTAGGCCCATAAAAACTCCATACACATGACTGCCAAAATCTGACATTAGCATATCAGCTTAGTAAGCTCCAGGGAGCCGTAGGGGCTCCCTCCAGAAAAGAACCTTACATTTTGTTTTAATATTTTAAGAATTGGTCACTCCTTTAACTATGTTAGGGAATTTATAGACAATCTTTTATTGAAGACATTAAGGTGAGGTTGCATCCAGATCTTGTTTACTGGTCTCCTTTCTTTACACACTAGACTAGTAGCTTTTATAACTGGCTTCGTGTTGCCCTGGATGTCTCAGAATCCTCTGGTGAAGTTGGAGTCTTGGTTTTGTTGTCCTGTCTAATTTTATTTGGTTTTACAGTTTTTTCCACCCCATCTTCTGGTCTCACCCCTTCCATTCAACCACAGAATGGTACAGTACTATATATAAGAAGTTGTAGTTCAGGCTATATTTTGTCACGAATTCTGTACCGTCTGCCCTTTTTTTTCTTAACCTGTCTCTTTCACGATGATGACTTACTGATGACACAATGTACAGTACTAACAACAGAACAATGTCTCATAATTTGTAATGTTCAGATTAAGCATGATGCATATTGTCAAGACATTTCTGTCATGCACTGCATACATCCCGCTACAAATGGAAATTATGGAAATGCAATTTCTTTAGAATTGCATTTCTATATACGAATCAAGCAGTAATCATTTCCCAATAGGAAGTCAACCTTTGAATCTATCAACAACCTCAACAACACTCATTTTTCAAATTCTCATCCCATAAACATTTTAGAATTGCAATACACATTTCATATTTGAAATCAACACGTGTGAACTTACAACTGCTTTTATACGATACATTATGTCACTTATTCCATACCTCATAATTTATGCATTCTGCACTGTACATGCATGAGGCAAATTTAAGTGATTAAAATGCCTTGTGTAGCAAATTAATTTAAACAACAGTATTAAAATAGTGTGTGTAGTAAGAATGAGTGTACTCGACTGAACTTAGACCAATACATCTCGTTTGACTTGCTCAGTATGCACCTCATACGCGTCCTACGAGTGGCAGTTAACTACTGTACATATACTTTATTAAAATGAAATTTTTTTTAAATCTAAAAAGTTATGATATATCCTTTTGTGTCATAATGAGTAGTATGATTGAGTCCTGCCCTCTGCTGTTTACCCGTCCATGGATTACGTGACAAGACTATTTGCAAAGTTTCTTATCATGGTGGCCTTAAAGTCATTGAAGGCCTGGTGTCATGGGTGTAGCCTGGTGTGTTGAGTGGTGTCATGGGTGTAGCCTGGTGTGTTGAGTGGTGTCATGGGTGTAGCCTGGTGTGTTGAGTGGTGTCATGGGTGTAGCCTGGTGTGTTGAGTGGTGTCATGGGTGTAGCCTGGTGTGTTGAGTGGTGTCATGGGTGTAGCCTGGTGTGTTGAGTGGTGTCATGGGTGTAGCCTGGTGTGTTGAGTGGTGTCATGGGTGTAGCCTGGTGTGTTGAGTGGTGTCATGGGTGTAGCCTGGTGTGTTGAGTGGTGTCATGGGTGTAGCCTGGTGTGTTGAGTGGTGTCATGGGTGTAGCCTGGTGTGTTGAGTGGTGTCATGGGTGTAGCCTGGTGTGTTGAGTGGTGTCATGGGTGTAGCCTGGTGTGTTGAGTGGCGTCATGGGTGTAGCCTGGTGTGTTGAGTGGTGTCATGGGTGTAGCCTGGTGTGTTGAGTGGTGTCATGTGTGTAGCCTGGTGTGTTGAGTGGCGTCATGGGTGTAGCCTAGCACATGAGCTGTGTCCTGAGTGTACCCTGGCCCTGGCTTGCAGAGTAACTAAGGAAGAACTGCTCAGAAACAATTATAAACCACTCCATTAGCAAACAATTAATTTTCAATCTGCTTACAAATAAATAACCCACTTGCTCATATTCAAAGCAAGATTTTCACATTCAACCTTCATCAATTCATTTTTTTGTTTGACACACTACAATAGTTGATGTGCCAAGAAATACAATTCAAATATTTGCAGAAAAAGAAAACATTTTATCTAATCCTCTAATAATAAAAGTAATTTGCCTAGTAAGAAAAAACTTGCAAAAGAAATGAATCTCTAGTAAACATATGCATGGGGTCATTTAAGACCAGATGTTTCAGAAAGATTGAACTTTTTCAGTCTTCATCAGTTAGTATATGAAGCTGTATACGAAATTCTTTAAATTTTCCTATACACATTAAATAGGCAGTTATCAAAACATCTAAAAGATGTAAGGATACGGATTTTCTGACTATACAGTACAGGAACATTGATTACTTGTTAATTATACACCTGCATAATATCACAAAAGTTTTTTAGCACCATTTAATAGTGGTAAAGATTAGTTTCTCACAGTAAATCATAAAAATAATCCAGACCTTGACCAACTTCCCACAATGCTACTCCAGTGCCCAACTCATTTGCCAGCTGCACTCTAACACTGATTGAATGCAACGTTGGGTAGAAGACCATGTGACGACCATTCTTTGTTCTGGAAACAATATATATACATTATTTAGTATTCTTTTTGTTCTTGCCAAAAACTGTTATATTAAACTTGCATTTGACTGAATAAAAACTGCCTCTGCATCTATAGCAAAGATTTTGTGCCCATAATCCATCATAAGCAATGTACCAGTAATCATTATTAACATACCACATGGGAGAAAAATACTTACTTGTACTCAAAATAATGCTCCTTTGACTCATCATCATAGTTTAACTTGGGTTTATAAGTGGACAAGATACTAACATACTGATGACCAAGTATATGGGACCCTCCAGATATACTGTGGTCCAGCCCATACAAGTTGAGCCCAACAAGAATCTAAGTAGAAAATAAAAGAAAATACATTACGCTGAATAATCTAGAATATATGAATAACAAATTGTGTATTTTATACATTTTTTGAAGACAATTATATAAAATAAAAGCTTCTGTTACCTACATTTAAACTTTCTGAACATGCTTTTTCATAAAGCATGTAGGTATTCTTTAATGAAATTATCTTTAAATGCTACTTTCCTCTACTTTTATAATAAACCCTTAATCTATCCCAAAGACAAAATAATATTAAGTGAGAATTCACGTTTATCAACTGTGATTGATTAGACGCAGGAATCGCCAATCTTTTGTCAGTAGACATTGTTGCACCCAATACACGATTAACTTGTGTGAAAATCACCTGTACAGTGGGACAGCAGCTATCGGAACTAATGTGCTGTGGACCAGAGGATCTCTTCTTAACCAGAAGAGGGTAGGGAATGAGGACTACCTTCAGCCTGCAGTGTTAAGATGAGTACAGTGGTGCTAGCCTTTTCACACAGGTGGGTACAAGAGCAGACATCTTCTGACTTTGTTACAAGCTTAGAGCTTTCCTTTCATGCTTGATACCTGCTTGATGGGGGTTCTGGGAGTTCTTCTACTTCCAAAGCTTGGTCCGAGACCAGGCTTGACTTATCTTGACAGGCTGGCCAGGCCAACTCATCTTAAGTTTTACCCTATTAGTTTTTCTTGGAACACAACTTGTCAATCAGTTTACAATTGGGGCCTCAATTGCTATTGGGTGAACAGTTATGCATCAGTGGTTGGGGCTCAAACTTGGCCAAAAAAAGGCTCGTCAGGCACACAGCGAGCATGCTACCACTATGACAGTGAGGAAGAAGTCATTTTCATATGACTTGAAAATATAGTATAACAAGCAATTTCCATCAAGGTACAGTACTTAGAAAAACACTTCCATATTTAACGGAAGCCCTCCGATTTACAAAACAGATACTATTTGACAATGCAGCCAATTGTTGGTGACAATCGAATGTCACCCCCAAGTGGAAGTGCAAAAGTTGCCAATTATGCTTCGTTCAAATCTTCATACATCACACACATTTATATTTAATTTTTTGTTTTTATTTATATACTGTACATGTATACAAAGAGTTTTTGTAAAGTCACTAGTACACACAGCATTTTGGGCAGGTCCTTAATCCTAATTTTTCCCTCAGAATACAATCTGCCAAATCGTTTAACAACCAGGTACCCATTCACTGTTGAGTGAACAGAACCTGCAGTTAAGGATTGGCGCCCAGTCAATCCTCCCCGACCAGGATACAAACCCAGGCCAAAGCGCTCATGAAGTGCCGGACGCGTGCTTTACCACTGCGCTATGGGGACCACACAATTTTTTTTTTGTACAAAAAGGAAAGCTATGATATTTTGCATTGTAACAAGTTGTGAATAAGTATGTATATGTTTTATCATATTAAGAGTCAGTTTATAAGCTAGGAGATAACTTTTTGCTTAATATTTAAATGTTTTCTTGTTGTTCAAGACTCACTGACTATATTTCACCATTTTCAGTCCTATAATGATTAATATAGTTTGTTTTGTTTTGCCTGTACTGTGTGAGCTGTTTCACTATTTTGGATTCATCTCTGATCCCCTGTGCTCCCCCTCACCTCCATGAGCACATCAGATTCTGGTGTTCAGTAGGTCTGGTAGTTTTCTGGATACTGTATCACTGGTACCAGAGCCAATGCACTGGGATGCTACCGAGGGCCAACCTAGAAATAAGAACCTGGGAAGCCATTGGATCGGGTGTTTATAAGTCAAATGCCCTTAAATTGAGGACCCTATGAGCTCTGGTTGATGTACATAATTTGGTGTGATGCCATCCATATACTCAACTTTACCCAGTAACCTGTCACTCAAAAATATATTGAGACCCTTCCTTCGGTCTAAAATAAATGAGCTATTAAATTCAGAACTGTAATGGTGAGTGTTCCTTTTTTGTTGACTTAGTGACCAAATGCTTAATCTTATCCAGACATTCCAAATACCTTCAAAGAATAAAGACACTGAAAAAATAAAATAAGAACTATTATTGTACTTGACAAGATATGGAGAATACCTTGGCACGGTCAGGAGAGGAGGGTTCAGGCACAAGTCTTTCAACACAATCACGTATCCACCACAAAGGGCTATTAGGACCTGAGAACAATAATCCAAGATTAATTACGTCGCAAAAAATGACTGGATGATTAAGTAGCCGAGGAAGTATGAAGAAGGATTGTGGAAAGAATGAAAAAGTAATTAGTAACATAAAGCACATGAATACTGTATATACTAATGCAGTTATCAAGATGCACTAATTTGGATGAACAAAAAATAAAACTGCAAACAAAATTTATCATTTGCATCAGTATCTATATACTGCATAATATTTGTTAAATTTGATTGCCACAACTTTAATAAAAAATAGGATGAAAATGTTAACGTTGAGAGGTAATTAGAAGATTGGGTATAAATGGCTAGGAGACAGTGCACAAAGAGCTAGATCTCACTCCCCGTAGTTACTAATAGATAAGCTGACAGGTAAGCACTCTTCTTTGATTAGTTCTTTCTCTGATTACTTGTACATAGGATTCTTTTATTTCTTCCTTGCCCTCTTCTAACCCTATAGCTACCACCTCCATTTGAGCTGCCCACAAATTTTCTCTTGGCATATCCTTACCTAATTCAGAACCAGAATTCAACACTTTGGCTAGCTTGGAAAACTGCTAGCTTGAGTTTTTGTCCATATTCTTCTATTTTTGTTTACTTGAAGGTCTCTTCCTTTCACTTCTTATGTCTTATTTTCCTTCAATAACTCATTAATATGTCCTCTTCCTCTCCCATCTTAAAGTACAAGTCAAGCTGGTAAATTTCTTCTCTTTCTAAAATACTTATAATAGGAATTTTTCTTCATAATCCCTGTTGACTGTGCAGGTCCTGTCATGTCGGCCATTGTTGTTTTGGTTTTATCTCCTGTTCAGTAACCTTTGCTCTAAATTTTCCCAGATTTGTATATCTTTTTCATTATTTTGTCAGTCTTTGTCTTCTATTACTGATCTTAGTCAAATTATGGTAACAGACACCACTTGCACACTAACACTATAACTTTGATAATAACATAATTCCTGGTGCTCCTTGCACCATGTCCTCCAAGAGTCTTTGTATGTGTGTGGAGTAGTGATTGTTTATAGCATGAGATCGTAAGGTCTATAACTTTTTATTTTTTTTAACTATATTACAGTATTCACTATGAAGTACAGTAATGGAGATGGAAAAAATACAGCATATATACATTTTTTTATAAATACAAGTTGGAGAGTTTATCTGTAAAAACTTTAGCAGAAATACTTATTGATTTGGTTAATTGGTTAATTATATGAATATATAAACATAGCATGCTTTTGATATAAATTAATGACAGATCTATTTGATATATCTCGACACACTTTCACTGAAGATACTGAACCTCATTGTCATCTTAACTAAACATAAGAAATATACAGAATCTCAATAGTAAAATGTATAAAAGTAGGACATTAGGTGGTGAATGCCGTGACAAGGTGGAACACTAAGTACAGTACTGTATCAAATAGCAAGAAATAAGATTAAATTATGAAAACTTACCTGGATTTTGAAAGTTGGAGTAGTCATATGTCATGAGAGAAAATGCATCAACAACATCCACCAATGATCGGAAATGCTCTTCTAAAAAGGAGCCAGGAGAATTCCTGAAAGCAAAATAAAGTTGAGAATATATTTCCTCTCAAAAACTAGCATTGAATGTAATGAAATGCCTTTTTTTTTTTTTTGGTGGGACCTCGATGGGTTCCTGTAGCTATGTTGCATAGGATAGTCACACACACTATGCCTATAAGTCACACCAGTCCCTTTTGAGTCAGTAAAAATGTACAAAATTTATTCGAGATCATATTGCCTCTTTCTTGTCTGCTAGCTCTAGCATATTTTAACCCTTTAGCTTCTCCTCAAAGCTCATGTGTTTTTTTTTTCTGGAATTCTTAGCATCAAATTCCAGTTCAGCAGATATATGGACTCTCCACTGGAAATTTGTTTATTTTCAAATAAATAAATTACAATGCTCATCCTACTGGAATAATAAAAATTAAATCATCAAATCATACTTTGTTTCCAACAGAAACTCGGGATCAAGTTAAAATAGTCTTCACCAGAGTTTGGGCAACTTTATTCTTGCTGGGCCCCTAGTAAAATAAATATTTCCTGATGTACAAATTTGAATCACAGATTTGCACAAGAAAGTAATTTCTAGACACAAACCTTTGGTATACAGCTGGAGGAATGACGAGGATAAATGTAAAGCCAGCATTACGAATCTTGTTTGCCAGCTCGGTCACAAAACTTGGTAAGTGTTCAAGTAACTCAAGATTTGGAATCTGGCTCCAAATTTCTAAAACAATGCCATCTAAATGATGCATCTGAAAAAAAAAGTTAAATCTTTCACATGATAAAACCCAAAACAGCTAAAATTTTAGATTAAACTCTGTCCCAAAGGAGAATAATATTTTATGTGATATTTCACTCTGAACTGTGCACACTTTACCTGGTTGCCAACAAGTCACTTTAGAACTTGGACCTAAGTGACCAATTTGAGTTTAATGACATCTTGCAAACATTAGCCAGATTAAATCTCATAAATAAAAAGTCGGCATATCTGAATGCAATTTGTCTTACGTATGTATATACAGTATATGTATTACTGTATATACATACAGTATACATTACATATAAACCAACTTTATTTATTATACCATATACTGTATTGTACTGTATTTATATACTGTAATACAGTAGTCTATGTATTAAAATTATTCAATATATAACTGTACTGAAAAGCCATCAAGGCACTTTCAAAGTCAAGAACGATCAATAAAAAATAGTGTTGAATGTAGAGAAATGCCCATTTCTGGTAGAGCCCTGGTCACTCTCTGTAGCTATCTTGCTGAGATTGCTTCATACTACAAGTCACATGTTGTGGCTTGTAGTATATGGGAGTTCTGTTCGACCTACTCAGGACTAGAGCCAGAACCTGGAACCCTTACAGAGGTGCAGAGAGCAAATGACATTCGCCATTTCACTGGGAAAGCATCCAGAAATTCAGCGAAGCTCTACAGACAACTGCTGGATTCACAAGACTCAAAGCCTTAAAACTGCCAAACAACTCCCCAAATGATTCAACCAAAACAAATAATACACTTGAAACTAGTTTGAACCTGCTAGTACTGATATTAGCAGCCCAGAGCCTAGTCCACTGCTAGCTCGCCACTCAGTTCTGAAGCAGATAACACCACCCCAATGAACTGATGAGACAGGAAGGGAGGGAGGGAAGGAGACAAGGAGCCATGGGGCTTTACCACAAAGAGGCATTTCATTATATATTCAATGCTGGGTTTCTGGGTAAGCCCTTGGTGGCTTCCTGTAGCTAAATATACAGAGAAAAATATAGGAACTTACGAGAGAAGGGGTAGCAGGTACTAATTCAAAGGAGACTTGGGACTGACAAGAACCAGGGACACTGACTAAAGATCTGGACACTATGACCCCTGTTAGACTGCCAAAACCCTCAAGCTTGAATATCTGCCCAAGACACATTAGAAAAAACTGTCACAAGAGCAGTGTATTTGGGAATATCAAGGGCCCAAGGATTGACTGCAGAGTGGTTAATCTTGATAACACTGCAGACAACCTGGAAAATACAAGCTTAGGAACAGAGGACTAAGGATACAGGATCAACCCACAAAGTGTCCATCAATACGGAGCCTGTGGCATGCAGGTAGCAACAAACTGGTTCAGTTTTTGCACTGGTAATTCTCATTGTTTACCTAAACAACCTACCAGTAGGAATACTTAATTATGTAAACATGTTTCCTGATATTGTTAAGATACTAGAGAAGATAAGAAACTTAGACAATTTTGTCATGACCTTCAAGAAAACCTGGACAAAATAAGTGTATGGAGCACCACTTGGGAAATGGAATACTGCAAATGTAAATATTGTAAATGCATGTTATTGAATGTGGAATAGGAGAAAATAGATATCACACAACCTACAAATTATATGAAAAACCTTTACAAAATTTCTGATAAAGAAAGAGATCTAGGGGTGGTTCTAGATTTATTAATTTATATATATAAGGGTTCTTACATTCTTGTACAGCCACTAGCATGCAAGGCATTTCGGGCAAGTCCTTAATCCTAATTTTCACACACACATCCCCAGGAAGCAGCCCATAGCAGCTGTCTAACTCCCAGGTACCTATTTACTGCTAGGCAAACAGGGGTGCCCCTCATCAGGGTGAAAGAAACTCTGCCCATTTGATTCCCTCTTCCGCCGGGGATCGAACCCAGACCCTTAGGATTGCGAACTCCGAGTGCTGTCCACGCAGCCATCAGGTCCCTGACAGAAATGTGTTCAGGGACCAGAATATTCCACATTCAGGGAACCTGAATGTGGAATAGGAGAACAGACCTCACACAACCTATATATTATGTGAGAAATCTTTAAAGAATTCTGATAAAGAAAGAGATCTAGGGGTGGTTCTAGATAGAAAACTATCACCTGATGACCACATTAAGAATATTGTGCAAGAAGCCTGTACTACACTTTCCAATTTCAGAATTGCTTTTAAATACATGGATGGTGAAATAAAGAAATTGTTCATGACCTTTGTGAAACCAAAACTGGAATATGCAGCGATTGCATGGTACCCATATCTTAAGAAGCACATCAACAAACTGGAAAAGGTGCAAAGACATGCAACTAAATGGCACCCAGAACTGAAAGACAAGAGCTACGAGTAGAGGTTAGTGGCATTAAATCTGCCAAAACTAAAAGATAAAAGAAAAAAAAAGAGGTGATATGATCACTACGTACCAGATTGTAACAGGAATCGACAAAATTGATAGAGAAGAATTCTTGAGACCTGGAATTTCAAGAACATGAGGTCATAGATTTAAACTAAGTAAACAAGACTGCCAAAGAAATATAAGAAAATTCCCTTTCGCAAACAGAGTGGTAGACAGTTGGAACAAGTTAAGACGAGGTGGTGGTGGAGGCCAAAACCGTCGGTACCATACTGTAGTTTCAAAGCATTACAGTATATGACAGAGTGCTGGGAAGATGGGACACCATGAGTGTAGCTCTCATCCTGTAACTACACTTAGGTAATTACCAGACAGAATAAATGATGACCCTAGGAATATCAACCAAGCATCAACAACCAATGGACCCTTCTCTAAGCCTGCAGAATCTTTCTTCACTAGAAAAGGAGGAAAAGACTGCAAATGAAGAAAAACCCCACCAGAGTCAAAACAGCTATGATGCAAATATTGATATAATAACACTGTGGATGTAAATAAAGAGAAACAAGCCAATAAACAATCCTTGAAACATCCGAGGATAAAACGGGAAGCTGAGCACCGGGTGTTGACAGGTGCCAGACACAGCCTTGCAAAGCGCCTCCACCCAGTGAAACAATAAATATTCACTTATTTCCTGTTTTTCTTACATTTTGCATACAAATTAATAATTTTACGATGAAAAATTATTTTTTATTTGTTTATTTTTTGCATATAGGCAGATATGACCATTTTATCATAGCCACTGTTCAAGGGTTAATAGCAAGAGCTCAGTGGCCCAGGTATGTATTGCATGTAGTGCCCAGGGAATGTGCCATATTTTAGCAGCACCTTAGATATGCCACTGCCAAAACCAAATACCCTGGGGCCAGATTCACGAAGCAGTTATGCAAGTACTTACGAACGCGTACATCTTTCCTCAATCTTTGACGGCTTTGGTTATATTTATTAACCCTTAACATGCTCGGGGTCTAATATCCTGCTATCCACACAGGCGCATGTCATTTTGAAAAAAAAAAAAAATTTTTTTTTTGCTAATCTGTTAAGTTCTGTTCACTGATCACGGGAAAAATAAAAAAAAAATTCTATTGTACTTACTTTTGTTGCAATAGAGCCGAGAAGCTCTGCGATGACGTCACAATCTGCATGTTCGCTCATGCAGTACACGCCCGGGAGATGTTGCGCGCGGTCCTCAAACAGCCAGAGTTGCCACAAATATATTTTCGCGCTATTTATTTACAATGTCTAAGCGCATTTTATCTAATTTTTTTTCACTAATTGTGTTTCAAATACTGTTTGAACATATTTTGTATCAATAATTGTTGCATATTTGAGTATACACAGGCGCACACAAATGTTTTCAATTACGGCAATATAATATGTCATTACAGTCTATTATATTATATGTTCTGCTTATATGTTTACATATTTACACACTCGCACACGCTATACACACTTTGAAGCACACTTAGAAGATTTCTAGACTGTGGTAGTCATTGAAGCAGTCGACAGCACATAATGGGATACCACACGTTTCACACCATGTTTGCACAAGCTTCCGTTTCTTGTCTCTACGTGTCGTTGTTTTACACACCAAGCAATCACGTTGGGCTATTGCACGCTTCACACCAGGTGGCAAATACTTAAGTTTGTGTGCTAGGAAGCCTTCAGTGTGAGCGAGGCGTGGAGTACCAGCATGCTGCAACAGTGGGTTTATGATGGGCCGCTGAATACCTGGGACATCTTTTGCAAACTTTCCTAATAACTGTATTGCAGCATCAAATACAAAGTCACGGAAAGTGGGCTTACGTCCAGTTCTCACAAGGTACATGTTGAAACAGTTCAGCATGCTCATGTCCACAAGATGGAAGAACACTTTTTTCGTCCACCTACATGTCTTCCGCACACACTCTGCAGTGCCAATCATCATGTCTGATTTATCAATCAACCGCATGTTGATATTATAGTCTAAAACACAGTCTGGCTTATATAGTGGTGCGTTTGTTTTATGGCTCACTTCCCCACTGTTCACCATTGTTCCATCATGAATTGTTGTCAACAAGTTCACCTCTCTTTTGTCTTTCCACCGAACTGACAGAATGTTATCACTTTTCCTTCTCTGACACTCACCAACTGCAATGTCGTTGTCAAACACAGGCATTTCCCTTCGTTGTGGCTTTACTGTACCAACCAATCCGGTTCTATTTTCTAGCAAGAACCGAGCTAGCAAGGGACTTGTATAGTAATTATCTGTGTATAAAATGTGTCCCTTGTTCATCCACGGAGCCATGATGGTCTTCACTACACTCCCCGAGAATCCATGTTCGTCGTTACCGGGAATGTCTACATCACTAGCCGAGTACAGAATCATGTGTAACACGTATCCTGTCTCACAATCACAAAGAACAAAAAATTTCAGGCCAAATCGGTTTCATTTTGAGGGAATGTACTGTTTGAATGGAACACGTCCCTTGAAAAGTATGAGAGATTCATCAACCACCAGCTTCTGTGCTGGTACGTAAAAATCTCTGAATTTTCCAATAACATCGTTCATGTAGTGCCTCACTCGCCACAGTCTATCATCAGGTGTTCGGTCCTGAACACTTCCAAAATGTAGACACCTGAGGAGTATCTGAAACCTGTCTCGTGACATATATTTCCCGAATAAAGGTGTTGGTATTGTCTTGTCCTTGCTCCAATAGTCATTTATTGCATGTTTGTGACAGTGCTTCATCAACAAACAGAGTGCCAAAAACACATACATTTCCGCCACTGTGGTATTTTTCCAACGCTGCAGTCGTGAAAATTCTGTGATTTCCCTCTCAATCAGGTAAGCAGCATGCAGGTTCGTTTGGTGTACAATGTATTCCATGAGTGGTTCATCATAGAATGCTGTAAAATATTCCATCTCAGCCATGTCCTCACCTTGATTAGGGAAAAGGTTTGTAATCCCTACATCTTTATCGTCAAAGTGAGGAATATTAGGAATAAAATCGTCACCATCACTCCACTCAAGTACACCAGGCGTCCTGCGAGATGCAGAGGAAAGACGGCGAGGAAGCGATGCATACCGGCGACCAGGAGCTGAATACCGTCTGCGAGAAGCACGGCGGCTACGTGCACGTGAGGTGGGTGCACGTAAACACGAGGGTCTTGGTCCCTCATGTGGTGCCATGCGGTGGCGCTTGGCTGGGCGAGATGCTGCTGACGCGACAATTTCTCGCCCAGTTACACCACTGGTACCAGCCACAGGCTCAATAAAACTTTGATCTGAGTCACTAAACCCAGAAAAGGAGTCACCTCCCTCTGACTCGTCACCCTCAAACAGAAAATATCCACAGGAACTGTGAGGTCGTGGTAGAATTGGGGTAGAAAATGGGCGAGGAGGCATGGGAGAGCGTATAGGCCTCGCCATGGCATGGCGGTCATTCTCACTTTCACTGCTGCTGCTACTATCTCCCGACAACTGTGTATAATCCTCATCGTTGTCTGAATCGTCAAACACACTTTCTTCACCTTCAGAGAATAATTCGTGGGCTATTTGCTCTGGGGTGAGGGACTGAGTGATGCGTGCCTGTGAGGCGTTTGACCGTGCGCTCGCCATGGTGACTCTCGCTAAACTGAGGCCTCCCATGCCATCGGAGCGTGAGCTGGATTTTTTTTCAAAATGGCCGCTGTTTACTAGAGCCCCTGGGCAGCGTATGGGACCCCCAGCTACACCGCGGGCCATTCAAATCGTGCGCGGTACCCATACACTTCATATGAAGTGAAGCGCAGTTGACTGGTAAAACGATTTACACTTCATATGAAGTGATGCGCACTTTAAGGGTTAAACAGTTAACAAGCATGAAAATTTCCCAATCAACTGTTGTTATTGTTACAAATGGCCTCTTGGTGTTTCAGAGCTCATTAACTGTTTAATAATTGTAAACTAATCCGCCAAAGATTGAGAAAAGATGCACACGTTCGTTAAGTACTTGCGTAACTGCTTCGTGAATCTGGCCCCTGGATGGGTAGATATGTACCAGTACACCTCCTTGAGGTCGGGGACACCATTCAAACCCTCAACTGGAGAGCCAGACAAACTTGGATTAAAGTAGTCATATGGAATATCAGATAGGGACTGAAACTCTTCAAAACAGGTTCAAGCAAGTTTTGAGTGAATTTTTTGTTTTGGTTGAATCATTTGGAGAGTCATTTTGAAGTTTCAAAGCTTTGAGTCTTTGTTAACCCTGTAGTTGCCTGTAAAGTTTCGCTGACTTTGTGGATGCTTTCCCAGTGATATGGCAGAATGTCACTTGCTCTCTGCACCTCTGCAAGAGGGGCCAGGCTGGCTCTAGTCCTCCAGTAGCAATTGTGAAAGTGATAGGAGAAATCTCATGAAACTTACTTTAGTATTTACAAGCATTACCACGTTCTGTATCAATAACACTAATAAATGCTTGGATCACGCAGAAACAGGAGCAATGCATCGTGAAAATTAAGCTTGCTATAAAATCATCAAAGAAGAAAATACTAAAATTAGTTGCAGAGAATCAGTAGTCATCAAACACTATAACACCATGGAAAAGATTCAGCAGCCACCAACCACTATAACACCATAGAACAGGTTCAGCAGTCACCAAGCACTATAACACCATGGAACAGGCTCAGCAGTCACCAACCACTATAACACCATGGATCAGATTCAGTAGTCACCAACCACTATAACACTATAGAACAGATTTAGTAGTCACCAACCACTATAACACCATGTAGAGGCTGCTGGTTCAGCAGCCACCAACCACAACTTCACAGTGAAATAGATAGAAGGAAAGTTAACATTGCAGTACTACAAAGAAAATTATAAAGTAGGAAATACTTAACCCCACAAATGTCAGATATCACCATCACCTTCACCTCACATTGTTCCTATATAGACAAATATGCCTATATAGGCATATTTGTCATATAAGCATATTTGAATTTGTCATATAGGCATATTTGAATTCCATCACCATCACTTTCTTTTCAGATTTTCCAGCAACACACATATTTAAAGTTGGCCCAAAGACTATTTTAAAATAATACAGAGAACATTTTATGATTGACTTTTGAGATGATACAAGTACCTTGATCATATTGATGATGTCAATAGCTAGTTTATAACGTTGATTCTCTGAATCAAAGAATTCTCGGAAGTCATGGAGTTGCCATCCATCAAACAAAATACGAGGTACAACTGCAAAACAAAAATTCTTATAAAAAACTGTTACAATACTGTAATTAAATGAGTACAAGCCGTTTTAAAATCTATATATTATATATATGTACAGTATGTACATACATACATACATATATATATATATATATATATAAACATGCATACATATACATATATGCATACACGCACACCCCTCCGCACAGGTTCGAATCTTCATCACGGCTCCTCTGGATTTTGTCATTGTGATCAAGTTAGTGTGATTACTCTCTGTGAGAAATACTACCAACTGTTTCCCAACACTGGTGTGAGCAACCAGAAGGATTGATTGCTTTTCAATTGAAGTCCACTCTTAATAGTTAATTAAACTACATCTCAACTATTTTCTCCTATTTAATCCCCCGTTTCTGCCTACAATGCTGTTGTCTGTGTTTACACTAATTTTATGATTTTCTTCACATCTACTGCTCCTTTTGGTTTTTCATGCCAGTGTTGGGGGTAACAGTAGGTGCTATTTCATGGTTACTTCTTGCCCAGTTTCTCACTAATTGTCTATGAGGATGCATGCAATTATTGTGCAAAAGCTCTTTGACTAAAATCTTCCTTTCAAATATAGTCATCTTTGTGTATGTACATATCTATCTATCTATACTCTCATTTTTCTGTCAGTTAGAAAGTTTCATCAATTTTAGAAGCCTTCTTGTCACTCTTCCAGTATGTTTAGGTTTCCAGAACAACCTCTTATGTGGTACTCTGTTGTAAGCCTTTTTTTTTTTTTTAGGTCCAGATAAATGCAGTCAACCCAACCATCTCTTTTTTTTTTTTTTGTAAAATCTCTGTAGCTCTATCATAGAACTAAGTAGATTCATGACACAGGATCTTCCAGATTGACAACCATACTGTCTGTTTTTTTTCTCCAGATGTTCTACCCACTGGGTTTTAATTATTTTTTTCCCACTCTTTTGACTACTACACATAGTAATGATACAGGTCTATAATTAAAGAGGGTCTTCCCTACTGCCACTTAAGATTGGAACAATGTTAGCCTTTTTCCATATATCTGCCAGGACTCCTGTGCGCACGATGATTGATCGATTTTTTCTTCATTATACACCCCATACCCATCCCGTGACAGTGGTGGAAAGGGTTACAAGAGAACACTGAATAATCAATTGAAGGGGAATGCTGAGCTCGGATGTGCATTCTCCCAGAACCCATGGTGAAATTCCATCTGGGCCAACTACTTTGTTCTTATTTAGCTCCTTAAGCATTTTTTCCACTTCATCCCTTACATGCTCTATGTTGTTTTCTGGAAATCTTACTGTGACTGGCTCTCTGAAAATTTAATTTTGCAAAAACACATTTTGGAACCGTTTGTTTAATGTTTCACATATTTCCAATCTTGGAATTTTATCCTTTACCTGCAATTTGCTTTCAATGAATTTATAGAATAGGCCTAGTTCTGTTTTGCATTTTTCCACTCTCCCTTTCTCAAAATTTATTCCTGCCTCTCTTCTCACTGCCATTTAGTTATTTCTTGCTTCTTTATATTGCTGGTATGTTATCTTGAGTTATCTTGAGATGATTTCGGGGCTTTTAGTGACCCCGCGGCCCAGTCCTCGACCAGGCCTCCACCCCTAGGAAGCAGCCCATGACAGCTAACTAACTCTCAGGTACCTATTTACTGCTAGGTAACAGGGGCATCGGGGTGAAAAACTCTGCCCATTGTTTCTCGCCGGCACCCGGGATCGAACCCGGGACCACAGGATCACGTGTCCAGAGTTCTGTCCCCTCAGCCGCGGCTCCCGTTGATGTCCCATCCCATTAAGAGATGTTTGAGGGTTTAGCCTCTTCCTATATTGATTCCAGTTTTGTGTCTTTTGGTCTCTGGCCCTCTCACAATTTCTGTTGAACCAGTCCAGTTTCCTAGTTCTGCATCTCTTTTTTGGTATAAATTGTGTTGTGCCTTTATCTATATTTCACAAAACTTGACATACATCTCATTTACTTCCTTGCCTAACAGTAAGTCTTTCCAATCAATTTAAGAACTTCCTAAGTACCCCATGGTGTCCTCTGCTGAAATCAGGTTTTTCAACTGCTCCATTTTCGTCACTCTCTTCTAGATTATAACACTTTGCATACTTTATTTCCAAAAGGACATGGTCACTTTTGCCCAAGGAGGGGAAGGTACTGAATGTCAAATCTCTCTTTCTTTCTTGGTGAGTATCAAATCCAGCATTGAGGAACATTCCCTTCCCTCATTCTCATAGCTTGTTTAACATGTTGACACATGAATGTCTCCAGGAAGAAGTTTACAAATACAGTATACCAGTTCAAAAGTTCTTACTTCATAGGCCTCCCAATCTATGGGTTTCAAGTTTAAATCATCAAGTACCAACAGTCGCAATCTATCTTTATGTGTTCTTACTATGTATGACCTCTTTCATGATCGTTACAAAGCCCTCTCATTTGTTGTCCAGCTCATACTTTGTCCATGTGTTGCCTGCCAGTGGACCGTAGGCATTTATGATTTTCAGTTTATCATCCTGATGGCATAATGGCACTAAAGATTTGTAAACTTTTTTGTGGGTTGGCAATCATTAATTTGTTTACCTTTATATGTTCTTTCACCAGCACAGCAATGCTTCCACCTTTCCAAATTTTCCTGTCCTGTTTTGAAGTTTACCAAACTTCCCTAGGAAATACAACCTCATTTAAGATATCATCTTCAAGATTCATCTCCATTAGTGCAACAATGTCTGGTGTCTTCAGCTGTATTGTATAATTTAGCTGTAGTATTTCTGATCTCACTCCATCTATGTCAGTATATACAATAGATGTATATACAGTATAAACATATATTATGTGATATATATGAATACATATAATTAGGAGTTCCTGAGATAAGAAACAAGGAGCAAGGAGCTCCTTGCTCCTTGGAGCAGGGAGAAGTTCCTGAAATAAGGAGAGGGAATATCTAACCAGGCACCACTGGAGGATTTTGAGAATACCGGTGGGGAGATACTGAAGCATTTGCTCGAGTTGAATGTAATAAAGGCTATAAGCCCAGACAGAATCTCACCTTAGATACTAAAAGAAGGAGCTGAAGTACAGTGCCTACCACTCTCAATGGTGTATAACAAATCCCTGGTAACAGGAGAACTGCCAAAAATTTTGAAGATGGCTAATGTAGTCCTGATAAACAAGCAGGGTAACAAACAGGCACTGAACTACAGGCCAGTGTCCCCAACTTGCATACCATGCAAGACGACAGAAAAGATTGTGTGTAAAAACTAGAACACCTGGAATAAAAGAATGTTGTAACACATCATCAGCACGGGTTCAGGGATGGTAAATCTTGCCTCACAGGATTAACTGAATTCTACGACCAGGTGATAAAAATTAAACAGGAAAGATAAGGGTGGCCAGATTGCATATTCTTGGATTGCCAGAAAGCCTTTGATACAGTATCCCATAGTTGATTAGAGCACAAACTGGAGATGCAGGCAGGAGTGAAAGGGAAGGTACTCAATGGACAAGGGAGTACCTAAGCAACAAAAGACAGCAAGTCACAGCGAGGGGCAAGATCTCAGAGTGAAGAGACATCGCCAGTGGAGTCCCATACGATTCAGTCCTTGGACTAATCCTGTTTGTGATACACTGTATATGTAAACAATCTCCCAGAGGAAATAGACTTATTCCTCTCAATGTGTACCAAAAGATGCAAAAATCAAAAAAAGATTAAGACTGAGGAAGATAGCAAGAGGCTAAATGATGATTTAGGCAAACCTGAAGGAATGGTTCAACAAATGGCTACTAAAATTCAACCCACGTAAATATAAGGTAATGAAACTATGTGGAGGGAACAGGAGGCCAGACACGGGTAATGAATGGGAGATGAAGTCCTCCATGAAAAGCACAGAGAGAAAGATCTAGAAGTTGATATCACACCAAACCTTTCTCCTGAAGCCCACATTAAAAGAATATCATCAGCAGCATATACTAGGCTGGCTAACATCAAAACTGCCTTTAGAAACCTGTGTAAGGAATAATTTAGAACCTTGTATACCACACATATAAGACCAATCCTGGAGTATGTGACTCCAGCATGGAATCCATACCTTGTCAAGCATAAGATGAAGCTGGACAAGGTTCAAAGGTATGCCACTAGACTAGTCCCAGATCCAAGAGGTACGAGTTATGAAAAAAGTGATTGAATTGCACCTCACATCACTGGAAATACAGTATGAGTAAGGTAAGACATGATATCGACATACAAAATTTTAAGAGGAATTGACTGGGTAGATAGGTAAAAACTGAGTACCCAAATGAGCCACAGACATTAGAAAGAATTTTTTCAGTGTCAGAATTGTTAATAAATAGAATGCATTAGGAAATGATGTGGTGGAGGATGACTCCATACACAGCTTTAAATGTAGATATGATACAGTAAAGCTCAATAAGCTCAGGAAACTATACACCAAGAGATTGACAGTTGAAAGGCAGGACCCAAGAGCCAAAACTCAACTCTAGCGAGCACAACTAGGTGAATACAGAGGTATAATTGGTACTGAGCCACATAGGTATAAGTGGTAATGAAGTTATGGACAAAACAAAAAATGTCACATTGAATGTAATGAAATGCTCTTTATGGGTCTACTCACTGGCTTCCTGAGCTAGCCACCTGGTTAGTTAAGAGCCTATTATATCTCACAGATCTTTGAGAGTCATAAGTGCCTACCACAGATCGCATGTACAATCACTAGAAGCAAAGAGTCTAGAGACACTAGTTCAACCCAAACCAAGAAAAGCAATTAATGCACAATTAATCACAAGGACCTGGTAAGGCCACCAGACCCTTGTGGGTTTTTATTATATGCTTTTCAAGCACACTTTCTATCACTTTAATTATAATTCTCACTATGGTAATTATATATTTTTTTTACAAAAAATACATAACAATTTCAAAACAAGGAAAGATAAATGAATTTATAATTTAGATACAGTACTACAAACTCACTTTTGACGTTAACTCTCTTTCCAGCCTTCCTAACCTCTTTCATCCAGCCTTGGTCAATATCATGGTCTCCAGTAATTATGACTTCTCCTCCAGAGTGTTTTATCTGTAGCCAAACTGGTGATATATGGGTAAATTTGCCACCCAAAAATTTTGCAATATCATATCCATGATTATTCCACTGAAATTAAGAATGGAGATTATTAGATACAATACATTATATAAAACTCATTAGTGTTCTTTAAGGAACTAAAATATCTAAAAATAGTCATCTATATCTATAATGAATGTCTGTCTGTGCACGAAGTTGGAGGCAAGATGCATAGTGCTAGCCCCACCCAACTTTCCTAAATGAATCATGTTGGGTAGGGGTGTCAGGCAAGGCGGTGTTGGCCTGCATGAAATGCTTTGCCAAATATTAGCATTTATGGAGAAACCCCCCCCCCATGCCATTTTCATAAAGTCAAGATTAAAATATCTGTTTTCCTATTGTTCAGCAATTACAGTGCTTCATAATAAATTTTACCAAGAGAAGGGAAGGAAGGGAAGAAGAAGGAAGAAAAGAGGAGGAATGAAGAGGGGGAGAAGGGGGGGATGATGAGGAGGAAAGAGGGATGGAAGAGAAGAGGGCGAGGGCAGGAAGAGGGAATGAGGGGGGGGGGGAGACACCCAGGCACAGTCGGGTACCCCATCTAGTACAGTATATAATAACAAACTTTAAAATTGTAATATTATTGTAATATTATTATATTTGTCTTTTGGTGGGAAGAGAATGTACAAGTACATGGGAGGTCTGGAGCTGATGTGGAAGAATCACGTTATTATAATTGATAGTAGTCTCAAAATGACTATTGCTATACATTATCTATGAGCAAGCATGTAAGGTAATCAATATTGAGACAACTGTAAATACATACTCTAAACAAACCAAAATCTCAATTTACTAACACAGACAATCTGTGAGCATTTTCTTGTGATTTAATTACTTCTAATAAGAAATATGCATGTTACTTATATATTTACCATCAATAATTGTGTCATTGAAAAATGAGCCTTAAAGGAAGAGGAAATGTTTACACACAAGAGGAAGTTATCACCAACCTTGCCAATCAACAAATATGCGTAACTGTAGTGTATATACGGTAGTAAGGTACAGATTATGTAATTACTAAACGATAATTCTTACCGGAGTGACGTAAGCCAAAGTCATGTGGTGCACAGCTCGAAAACCAGTGTCATGATGATAGCTGCCATGGTTTTCCACAATATCTTTCCACTTGGGATGATCAGTTACAAGACCACGATCTAACACAGTCTTGTTAACCAAACCAGACACCTGTAAATATCACCAATCGTTATTTCTAATTAATGAACACTTTACCAATTTATGTATTTACTGCAAATTGTTTCTTCTTTAAAATATCCTCTAATAATACCAGAATGTGAATCTTCTTATTGCACAATATATTTATTGTACAAGTACACTATTTAAATTCTGCAAGCTAACACATTTTTAGACAAGTTCCTATAGGAAGTGTCTGATCATTCGGGTTGTGATCACTATGCAGGCCTTGAGATGCCACCTTCCCAATTTTGGGCTACTCTTCCCAAAAACTGAGCTTTGTTTCTGGACATCTGTCAAAGATGATAGGGCATTTCAATTTTGGAATTTTTAGATTTTCATGCATTTTTATTAATCATTCTGCTGTAGACTCTTCTACTCCTAATATTTTTGGTTTAATACTGACTGTTCATCTTGCAACTTGAAATTCACTGCAAACCTTGTGTTAAATTGAAGACTTGCCAGAAATGCTGCGTGTCAATACCTTTACATAAATGTAACATTTAATTACAAAACTCTATACTGTACTTATGCAACCCATTGCACTTTCTTATATACTGTACAGTATACTGTACTGTAAATAAAAAATAAAAAGAAAAACCAAGGTCCACTATGAAGGCTGCAATGGGAAACAAGTACATTTAAGAAACAGCAAATATACGTACAGAATGTCCCTTGGCACAAAAAAATTAAATATTAAATAATTTTTTTTTAGTTTTGTTAGCAATTAAATGCTAATTACCAAATGATTATATTATAATCATTATTTATTATTATCATTATGATTATATAATCAAATAATGATTATAAGACATATAGACAGACAAGTAGACAAAGATGGACAGAAAACAATTGACTAACAATTCTTACTTGGAAAATTGCAATACAGTACAAATCAGAACTTCAAATAAAGCGTGATAATTATTATTCAGAGTAATCACTAGAATGTAAATGTTCTAACTGGCAACATGGTTTCCTTTAAATATGATACAGTGTCATTTCCTGAGGTGTATCAGAAAGATGCCGGCCCACTTCACTCCAAGGACACATCCAGGATCACAAAATAAAAATGGTAAGTTAATTGCTGTACTTGGAATCTAGTTGTATTAAGCCACAATTATGCAAAAAATTGCAGTGATCATGCAAACTGACTCGAATGAAAGCAAGCATTCATTGTTGTGAAGGACTTCTTACATTTAAGTTTTGCCTTTACTCTATATACAAGTGTGTATAACAATGTATTACTCAAAACACATAAGCAGTAATTTATAAAGCATATACTCAATACTGTGCTTTAATGCCTTATCAATAGAATAAACTTTTGATTCAGCATTTACATTCTAATAATAAGCTCCATAATGAGCCAGAGTATGGTCCTAGTATTATAATTGAATTATTTAAATACAGTACAGTATAATGACAACTAACACTCAACATCTTTAATAAAAAGATTGCAGTAGTACCTATTGAACTGGAGGAGTAACAGGCTCCTAGGTAGATGCAAGACAATATGGTCCTTTTTTTCCTACAAATTGCTCACTATTTCTTACTGAATTAGGGTCATCAGCATAATTCTGAATAATCACTATATAGTTTTTAACAACCTTTAAGAAAAATCATCCACTTGGCTACAGAAAAAATACAAAACTCATTTAGCTTTAGGAAACAATGAAAAATGATCTTATCAGAGTTCATTACTGTAAAGGATATCTAACTCTTATGTAACCTTGAAGTTGATGATATAAATCCCTTCCCTCTGTGTTCGTGATGTCAAAATAATAGCTGGCCAAAATGCCGTTTGTGTTAATGAACGATAATATATCAATCACGAAAACCTACGACAGCACAATCCATTGAACCATCTTGTGTATAAATAAATGAATAAAATAAATAGATGCACCCAGCACTGTGCTCCAGTTTCTTAAAATGTATCTATTAATGGGATTAGTTCTGTAATCAATTATTTACATTTTAATACAGTACAATACAAAATAGACTACCATACTGCAACTATATCCACTTTGTCTTAAGTCCAATAAGACATTGGACTTAATAATTGAATAATAGACAATTTAATAATTTATCTTAATATGGCTATTATTATTCTTAAGTAAATGCACACTGGCAATATGATGTATTCTGTGTGGTCAGTGTTTTGTTGGCATTTATATTATTACAGTTATTTTATGCTGGGGTTAAGACCTGTGACCAGGTACTGGAACTGGTTAGGTCACTTAGTGGCTTGTGTACTGTATGTACTGTATGTATGTATGTGTGTTGTTTGTGTTGAGGATGGTGTCTCTTGTTATGTCCCCCAAGGAGCACCACCACGAGGTAATGCTAGGAATTGCTCTCTCTTTTATTATTGCCACCGTAGTTTTGTAATTATAAATATAACATTTGTTGCTACTTTGTACTGTGTTTCCACTGACAACTGAATTATATATAACTAAGTATGTGTGAGCATTTATGGATAAATAATAATAATTATTAGTACAGTAATTGTTTAAAATAAAAATAAAGTACTACATGTTTATCAATGTAATCACAGGAAGTTGTTATCATGCTCTCAATTCTTTATTCTCATTTTCTTTTTAAAAGTCATTGGATGTAACAAATATTGACTAGACTGGTATGTTTACATAATTGCTATTAAAAAAATAAATATGGTTCTAAGAATCATCACTTCTTAAACCAATATTTACCACCAAAACTAAAACCTAAATAAAGTAAAGAACACTTTAGTATTATCAACTTGGACTACTGTTAAATGATATCTTAAATGTTGTAGGTAAATTGTCATCTCTTTGTTTTATTAATTACCCTAAAATAGTATTATCTAAACCATAACATTAAATTTAAGGTTTGCCAGAAATGCTGTCCGTGATTAGTGGCCTTGTAAAAATATATATAAAAATATATACGTTAACTGCAGTCCCCGTGGTGTAGTGGTAAGACGCTCGCCTGGCGTTTCGCGAGCACTTTGGTATGGGGTTATATCCTGACCGAGGAGGATTTACTGGGTGCAAATCCTTAACTGTAGCCTCTTTAACTCAATAGTAAAATGGGTACCTGGTTGTTAAATGATTTTTTTGCGGGGTCGTATTCCAGGGAACATAGGATTAAGAACTTGCCCGAAACGCTATGCGTGCTAGTGGCTGTACAAAAATGTAAGAATTCTTGTATATATATAAATAAATAAATAAATAAATAAATAAATAAATAAATATACAGTACAAGTAAATAAATATAAAATGAAAGTATTATTATATAATAATAAATAAAAATAATAAATTATTATTATTAATTATTAAAGTATGCAAGAACAAGTTTTTAAATAATGTATGGCCCATCCTCTACAGGACATTTATATTAAACAGAATATATACAGTGTTTACAGTAACTGACATACTTGCTGCTGCCTGCAATACTGTACACCAGCAAACACTGAACTACAGTTACATCATATGATAATACAAATCTAGCTATTTTATGCACAAGGCCATCTGCATTACATACTGTAGTTATATAGTTCTAATAATGCCAGCTAAATATTATGTTTTTTATGCTACATAACCACCTTAACCTCTAAACTGCGCATGTCATACATATACGACAGAACCTGATGATACCATAAGTTCAGTTTCTCAAACTTGCTCAAACACTTTCCAATTTTTTATGCTTAATTTACTAGCAAACCCTGTAACTTTGTCTAAATGATCACAAGCGTAACATGAAAAATAAGAAAATTAAAAAATAATTATAAAATTGAATATTGAAAACTTCAGATTTTCAAATCAGCTGCAAAAATATAAAATATCACCAATTGTTCATTTGATGTTATTATGCTCTCAGAATAGCATATGATCTTCATTTTCATAGAATTAGAATATAGGATTTCAGTTTAGTTTGCTGTAAAAAAAATCATCAATGTATCATTTGAAATATGTGCCAAATTTAGATAAAAAAAATATATAACTCCGAACGTTTAGGGTTTATGAAAAATCCATTCTAATAGGATTGTAGAACAGACAGCTGTGCACACTATATGTAATAATAGTGAGAATCGGTCAGAAACTGCATTTTTTGAAGCCGACTCAAAGTTGAAACTAGTTTTAGAGATAATTGAAGTTGAAGTTATCGACAATGAATTAGGTAGTTCTAATTCATTTATTTACTTGTATGTTTTAATAAACATTGTTTGGCATTCGTACTCGAATATGTGATAAGTTGCAGGTCAATATGTGTTGGAATGAAGTCAAGAAAAAATAACCTACAAAATAGAAAAATATAGGGATAATTATAATGATTTATGGGATAAAGATGTATACTTTATTTGAGTGATAAAAGCCCTAATCTGGTCCTTAATCATCAAAACAACCAAAAAAAACAAAAAACAAAAAATAGAGTTTAAAATCTGCAAAAAAAATTAAGCCCCCCTCCCCAAAAAAAATTCAAAGTCCCAAGTTTTACCAGTTGTGACCGATTTATTTGTTGACCAATTTCATACTATCTTCACATAGTTAGGGACGGGTATGCACTTTCCAGGATGTAGAGGTTACAACAAAATCAGATAATAAACAAAGGAGACAAAAAAAAAAGTATTTATAGATGTGTTATCTTGGCAGCAATTCTACAATAATAGAACAGTATAAAAGTGTAAATGATTTGTCATTACTGTGATAATTATATTACTTTACATGGATTACAAACCACATTACAAGAAGCTGTAGCACCCATGGGATCTGATGCCCTATTTTTATCATTAAAATGGCTCTCTCCATAAAAATGATAAAATACTGTAATAAAATAAAGATCTTAATAAAATTACCAAATGATATGTAATAATCCATCTCCATTTGGGTTCATTTTCATCTCTTATGTCAGATTAAGAGAGAGACAATCAAAATAATCTAGCCAGTCGACATTTGGTTCCACATAAGCCACTACATTTTAAAAACTTTGTGACTGCTGGGGAAGGTGAGGAGTTTCTA